GGGGGGGAGAGAGGTACAGGGATAGGAGGGTGTGGTAGATTGTTTGGTCTTCTGGGTGTTGGGGTTGAGGGGGGGTGCTTGAGGGGGTGGAGGGGGTGGTGGTGGCGGCGGTGAGGTAGGTTGTGTTGCAGTATCTGGGAGGGAGTGTTAGTTGGTGGATGGAGTGAGGGGGGAAAGGGGGAAGACGTTACTCTTCGGCTTTGTCGTAGTCTTTCAGTTGGAAGACGTAGATTTCTAGTGCTTGCTTGTGCTGGCCGAGTTTGCTTAGAACGACGGCTCGGGGCTCGTAGTAGTCGGGATCTATAGATCGTATCAGTATCATTCCCTCAATATAAATTGTAGTTGTAGGAAGTAGACTTACCATTATTAGGCAGCTCTCTGAAAACACGCATCTTGTTATACGACTGGCTGGTCTTCAAGAACGTCTGGAACCTATCTCTCCAACTCGCTCGCTCCTCATCGCTATCAAACTGGTCGTGTCCACCCTTGAGCCGCTGCAGGAACAGATCAACAAGCGTCTGGTGGAAGTCCGGCGTCGTATCGTTCAGCTCCTCGATGATGTGCTCCAGGAACTTGACCGCGAGCTTGAGATCGATTTTCCGGAGGAAGTCGAGGACTTTGTGCCGCGGGAGAGACTCTGCGTTCTCCGAGTCGGCAAGGAACACTTCCATACCTAGCTCGGGGTCCACGTGCAATGGCCATTCGGCGAATTCGAGGATCAGGTCAATCATCTCGGGCGGGAGTTGCTGAAGGTATCCAACTGTGCGTTGAGGTCCTTGGAGAGCGGGCGTGACCTCTTCGTCGGCTTCATTCTTCCCAAACTTCTCCAGGAGTTCTAGAGCCTGGCGATGTAGTTTCTTGCCGTGTAGGAAGTCGATCAAGTCGGCGTAACGGCCTGTCTCGTACAGTTTCTCATTGACGACATCCGGCTCGCAGAAGTTGGGCAGTCGGAATAGTGGGCCAGCAAGACTGGGGCTCGCGAGCATATAGGCACGGAAGAGCGTCGTATCAACCAGCTGAGCAACTTCTAGCAGTCGCGCTGCCCAGTCGATCTGTCCGGGAGGCGATGTTTGATGAATGAAATAGTGGAAGGGTGGCAGGTAATCCTCCTGCTGGCTCTCGCTTGTCGCTGGCAATGGTTCGATAAGGTTGCCGTCAATGTCGATAAAACGCTTGATCTGTACTCGACACTGCGCGAGGAAGGACTGTAACGAGTGAACGGCGATCTTGAGATCCTTACCCTCAAGCTTCTCGGGTTGAGTGGAGGCTTCTGAAGCCTTCCCCCTGATCGATGCACTATCTGTAGCATCGTCCTTGGTTGAAGACCTAATCGAAGCCGTATCGGTGTCGGCCTTTTTGCTGCCTCCAACCCATCTCCCCATCATTGATCGACCTATGGTGGATGCTGGTGTAGACGGCGCCGCCTGGCTCTCGTCCGGCTTCTTCTCTGCCTCCTTTTCTCCATTCGACTCTTCTGGATCGGCCTCACTCTCAGGCGCCTTCACGCTCTCTTCCACCGAAAGCTTCCCTGCGATAGACCGCGGATACAAAGCAATGACCCGTTCAGGAGGTGCCTTTGCCTCGGTGAAAAGATCCATAGCCTCGCGATACTTCCTAGCATCGAAAAGCGTCTGTGCTTTAAGCATCATGATCTCCCTCACCCTCCCCTCCTTATCCTTTAGCAACGTATCCTCAAGCATGTTCAGCAAACTCAACGCCTCGTCGTGTCGCCCATTAACAACTAATTCATCAATCTGCGTTTCGTAGCTCTGCGCCCCCATCCGCCATATGCACCTATCGCTCGCGACCAAGAATCCTTTTCCTGCATGCGCAAGACTGATGTTCGGCTGCGGAACATGCACGAATCCCGCATTCGGCAGCGCGATCGTCTGCAGCAGGTTCAATGTGTCTGGATTTCTGACCTCGAGCCCTCCCTTCGCCGGTGCTTGCAAAGCGAGCATATAAGGGTACGAATACGCGATCGCTTCCGGTGCCGAGGGCCATGGCACCTGTCTCTTCTCCTTCGCATTGCCGTCGACGTCGATGAAAAGACTGTTCACGTCTTTCGCCAGCAGCAGCTCTCCCTCTCCTAGCGGAGTAGCGAGAGGTTTTGGCACCCAGCTTCCCATGCCCATGTACCCCATTCCACTAGACGACACGGCGCCGAATCGCGTCCCGCCTTGTCCACCAGCACCATCGCCCAATGCGCCAGGTTTGACTATGTCGGCCACCTCCTGCGACTCGACGTCCACCATCACGAAACCGGGGTCCATGCCGACGACGATGTTCTTCCCGGTAGCCCACGTCAGACTCTTGACCGTAGCGACGAGTGTGATCTCCGCCGCCTCTCCGCTCAGCTCCATGTCCTGCCATGTCCAGAGAATGATCTTGCGCTTCACAGCGACAGCCAGACGACTCACGATGGAGGGAATGCCCGTGCTGGAATCCTTCACAATGTTACTTGTGACCGCAAATGCTGTGGCTCCCTTCGTCTTCTCGAGTCGTTCTTGCAGCGCATAGGTCTGGAGGTCGTGGATGGAGACATGGTTATCCGATAGCGAGACGAGGATGTTGGCTTCTTTGATGATAGCGAGCTGGGTCACCGGGCGTCGCGAGAACTTCTCTTCCTCGCGGAGGAGGTCCGCAAGTCGGACTGCTGGGGTCGGAGAGGGTGTCGTGGAGGCAGTGTCTTGTGCGGGCGGGCTGTCTCGACTTGTTGCGGCGTCGTCTTGGGGGTTGGGGACGTCGTCTTCTTCGACGGTCTCGTTGACTCGGTATATTCTCAATGCGCCGGTGCTTAGACCGACTATTACTCTGTCTCCATATGCGAGGATGGATTCGATCTTGGATTTGTCGCGTTGTTTTAGTTCGACGATTGGGCGGGCTGTGAATGCCGAGAGCATTGTTTCAAGGTCGAGGGATGAGATGGTATATGCGGAATTAAGATGTGTCCGATGACGAGGAATGTAGGTGGAGGTCGGCGAGATATCACGCTGCAATTATTAGGGTATCACTGCAGTCGTGCGAAGCTTCATCGTCCGATCCTGGAGGTAGTAGACATTGGAGGTTAGGAAGGGAGCCTTGAGCTTTGAGGTCGGAAGCTCTCCAGCGTCATCGCCGCGGTTGGAGCTTTGGTGGTCTGTGCCACCTTGGAGCTGCACGTGGACCATGCATTCACAGAAATCAGTATGTCTATAAAATAGCATTTAGATGAAGATAGACTTCAAGCATAAATTGCAGGCCAATGTATGTTGTGTAGAGGGAGAAGTTTTTTGTCAATTTAGTGTATCTGCGGCAACCCAGTTCTATATAAACATTCTGGTCGGTTGAAACCGCAAACCTTCTCCCTCTCCTCTCCCACCATTTCGATATTTTCTGTTATATACTGCCAAAGGAGTGTGTTCCTTCGCAAATATTACCACCAGATGAAACAGGCCAGGAGACTCACACTCAAATAGAGAAAGGTTCTTTCAAGGGGTCAATTTCATCCACGCATCCACCACCATCCTACACGATTCCATGGAAACTGTCCCGGCAAAGCCAGGGATCGACAGTATCGCGAAGATTCGCGACAGGAACTCAACCCACGATCCCAAGGAAAGGGAATGTTCTTCGAGTCCGCGTGTTTTCACACGCGATTACCGGCCAACGCAGCGACAATCTCTTTCTAAAACTCCAGCTCTTAAACAATGAAGACAATACTCCTCCTCTATCTTTGCGGTCCAACGAAAAACAAAGAAAACAAAGGAGGAAGGTAATGGAGGGAGTGCTAGAACACTTGTTATCGATCAAAGCAAACTCTTTGTCCTCGATACAACGACCAACACACTGATCTCTATTTCTCCTAAGATGATAGGGATGGGTCGGTCGGATCGGCTCCTTCCTCCCAGCTCGACAGCCGACTAATCGGGTCCGAAGATGCATCCATGATAGGGCTGGAGGGGTTGACCTACAAAGTGTATGTAGGCGGAAGGGAGGACGACAGAGGCGAATGAGCGATCATACACAATATGCCCGGCTCGTGCACAGGGACGAAACAACCAAGCTGACATTGCAGCCTTGACTACAACGCGAGAGAGTGGAACGAGGGACTGCGGAATGCGTAAACTTCGCGGCCAAGCGGGCAAGCCAACGACGAGGCGGGGAAGAATACGACAGACGGGAGTCGATCAAATCCCACTTCTGCGGAGAAGGGAAATGTAGCGAAGGAAGGTCCCTGGAGAGGAGCGGGGTTGAAAGTGCCTTAAGGAACAGACATACCAAGGAAGACATACAAGCGCCTCAGTATTGGAGATGACATAGGAGAAGAAGAGAGAACAGACTCTTAGTATGACGAAAAAATATACTTGACTTGAAAAACAATGAAAAGAGGTATCCTAAAAACTTCGAAATATGCCAATTACTGAGGGGATATCTTCCAACGCCGCCTGACAATGTGCAGAGCACAACACATAACAAATAAACCGAAAATACATTATGCCCGCTTGGTCGAGCGAGAAGGCATCAGACCGAAGCTGGGGCAATTAAATTGAAAAGAATGTAGATATGAAATACCAGTTTCATCCCAGAGAGAAGCGTTAGCTCCTGCAATCTGGGGTTACTAAATCAGAGAGCAAAGCATCACCTGATAAAGAGAGACCTTAGGGACCAAGGTACGTAACCCGAGCAATTACGTCTACATCACAGATCGATGTAGCTAGCACATCCCAGCCTCGGGAGACTCAGAACGCGAACGAAAAGGTCATGTGAGGATGGGGGTGCTAATCGATGAATACGGATCTAGTGGAAGGGGTTTCGCTTCTGCTCGGTAGGTGAGGCGAAAGGATTGGACTTCTCGTCGAGGGGTGAGGGGTCTGCAAAATGACCATGACTGCTGCTTCGTGCATGCCCTGGGTGGGCAGATTCGATGACCGAGTGTTGGGCCGCGACTTGGCCGACCGTTTCCGTGTTGTTCTCGGTTGTGCGGAATGGTCGAGGTGTGATTGTGTACGACGGCTTCGTAGTGTGATACTCGTATGGCGGAGCAGCAGTCTCGGGATAGTCACGTGCATTTGGCCCAGATTTTGGTGCATTCTCGTCCGCAAGGACCGGGTTGATGATGTACGGGTCTGCAGGAACAGACCGATTGCGGCGCGGGAAGAGAGTGCAGGCGTAGATCACGCCACCAAGAGCGATTAACAAGTAGATACAGATGAGAGCTGTGGAGATGAGCGCTTCGGTGATGATGCCAGAGATGATCTTGCCGACAACGTAGTCGACAGCTTCGGTAATTTCGTCTCTGGCCTTGCCGTTGGGATCAGCGAGTAGTTCGGCAGCTGAGGAAGAGTCACCGTTGTTGGCCAGGGCGCTTATGGAGAGGCTGTCGTTGCGCACACCTGGGAAACCAACGTGGGCGTGGTCACGAACCCAGGTAAGTCCTTTCTGGAAAGATGCAATCTTCAGACCGATTAGGCAGTTGAGGACGTCACCAATGGGGTCGCGCAGGATCGTGTCGCCGAACGCCGTATCTAGGGTCTTGCTCATTTCCTCTACGAATGTGTTGAGGGTGCCGTTGACTGCTTCGGTGGTTGTATTGACCCAGCCAAAGATGTCTTCGTTGATTTCGCTATCAAGCTTGTCGATCACCCCGTTGACACCATTCGACCATGACATGGACGAAGCGTCAAGAGACGTGATGACCTTTTCCGCGAAATCAGCAACCTGGCCGGTGAGCTCTGGAACCTTCTTCTGTATGGCCCTCACGAGGAGGTATTGGCAGAGACAGGAGAAGAGTCCAGCGATACCGAGAGCGAGCAAGAGGAGCATGGGGACGGAAGTTGCGTATGCCCATGCCCAGCGTACGATTGTCTGGCGGCGTTCAGAGCCAAAACGTTGGCCGAGCCACAAGCCCCAGCTTGCGGAGTGGGGGCGAGAGGCAAAATAGACGACGTCCATCCCATCGTGGCCTTTCTGGAAGAGTTCCGCGTGTTCTTTCATTTGGCGGTAGCGACGGATCTCAATCCAGGCCATGGGAACGCAGACGAGAATGGCGGCGACGATCAAGACGGCAAGAGCGATTCTGCGGCCGGTAATTCCAAGTTCGATAAGTTCGTCGAAGAAGCTGTTGATAGAATTACCCTCCGAACAGAACGTAAGCCGTTCTTTCTGAGGCACGGGAAGCAAAGTGCGGTTGAACTCGTATTTATCCAATCCTCTGATGAGTTTCTTGACTTCCTCGAAAGGAAAGCGGAGGACAGTGTCGGTGAAGTTCTGCACTTGATCGAAGGTGGGAATAGAACCGTTGAGCTTGTTGATTCCCTCCTGAATTTCTGGGGGTGCTTCGAGCGCCTTGAGCTTCGTGATTTCATTGCTGAGGTCGATTGTAGGTGGCTTGAAGTCATCGGTGAAGGGCAGGCTTTGAATTTTGTCGAGAATTGAGTTGATGCCGTCGGTGACAGTCTTGGTGGCATCACCCATGCTGTCGGTCACCTCGTCGATGGTCTTGTTCAAGCCCTCGGAGATCTTTTCGCCAATCTCTACGGCTGCCTTCATGCTGCCGCGAACGGCGAGGGTGATGAGGCAGAGGTAGGTGCTAGTCATCATGTGAATGACGAAGATGATGATCTCCTCGACGGCGGTGACACTGAGCTCGAGCATCTGCATGAGGCCACTGATGGCCTTTTCGACACTGGTGGCGGTCATTTCGTTCATGCCCTGGGCCATGTAGTGGGGCATGGAAGCCATGGAGCTTCCGATGTTCTCGACTTGGGTGCATGCGCTGAGAGCCTCTCGGCGAGCAGAGGAAAGGCTCGAGTTGGTGCCCGCAATGGCGAAGAGAAGTCGGACGAGTACGAGCAGGAGAAGGATAGTCCAACGGTTGATCCATATCTGTGAGAGTCTAGCTCGAAGGCCGAGGTATGGTGTAAGGTATGGTGTCCGGTTTATGGTAGGTCGTGGTGCATCATGTGGGGCGTAGTAGTCTCGCATCTCATGATCGCCAGCGGAAAGAGATGGAGGTACGGCCGGGAAGGGTTGCTGTTGGTTCACTGTGGAAGCCATGTTGGAAGATGATGGCTGTGAGCGCGAGGTCTGGGCCTTGTATTAGAGTCGGTAGTGACGATGTTGCAAGCAAGGCGACAAGGGAAGAAGAAAAGAGATCTATGCAATAGCAATATGCAAGCTGTTTGGGAGGACGAGGATACTATCTGCCAGAGATATTGCGCGCGGCGCAAGAATAGTACAGAATAGAAAAGAGGTATTACTCTAAGTAGGAACAATAGAGAGGATGCAAGACAATAGAACAATAAGAGAAAGGAAGTGAAAATGGAAATCAACACCACACAATGCAAAAAGGTGAAGAGAGAAGGAAAACTGTGAAGGACAAGGTGATGGAGAGAGGTGACAGCAAACAAAGTGGGTGAAGGGGTATATTTTTGTAAAGCGAGTTGCTATACACCGTCCCCAATGAATCACCGTTGCACAATGACATTAAGAAAACAGGTGAGGATGTATTGGCAAGCGCCGGGGTACGTACCGCGAGAGAGCGAGGACCTATTTGCAGACCAGCTGCGGAGGAACCAATAGGAACCTCAAACAGGAGGTCTGCACGACCAGGGCGTTTCAACAGCGCATATATTTTCCGATGAGGCTCTGTCCAGGAACGGAGGGATATGGTGGAATGGGTGGAATGGAGACTTTTATTAACTTAGGCGCCCTTGTGGGGAGGGAGTCGGTTCAAATCCTGAGGGCCAGTCGATTGGTTGTCAGGTGGTCAGGCTGGGACGTTGGAAAAAGGTAGGCCAGGCTAAAAGAAACGACACGCTACAATCAATGAGCGTTGTGCAAATCGATCTGTAGCAAATTGTTCCAAGAGTTTTATTTTAGACTTCTGGTTTGTTTCGTCGTCTGAGATGAATGGATGGTTCTGAGGTTGATGCGCACGCTATCGAGTCACGCAGGCGATCAGTCAAACAAAACAGATGGAGAGACAGAGGCGAAGTCTTGGTTGTCAAGGCGGGAGAGTCCCATATGGAGGTTCCACGGCTTGCGATCTCTACTGGCTGAACGTCGCCCAGGCGCGTCAGTCGTACGTGACTGGGACCTGTCTATGACGATATTCAGGCTTCTCCGCAAAATGAAGAAGATTGTCGGTAGAGCGAGTGCAAGGGAACACGACCTCTTCGTTGATTCTTGTCTGTCGTGTTGGTCGAAAGAGGAGGTGCTCAAAGAGTCGGAAAACCACTGGGGGAGGGGGCAGTTTTGTATGGCCGGGTCGGTCTGGGCCGCAACTTCCTTGTTTGCTCCCATCAACGTCATCTCATCTCCTCCACATCCTCCTACTAACAACTACCACCATCAACAATTAAATGTTCCCCCTTCTAGTTTTGAGGAATACAGTCTACATTCACGCGATAGATAATTTCCTGGTGTTGAGTATGTGTCGCATCACTTTCCTAATGATTACAGGCTATTCACAAATAGCAACAAACAATAGCATACAATAGCGATGGCTTTCTTCATGACGCGCCCAGGCTACTTCGCAACAAGAAAAGTATGGGCGCACAGGCGGCCTCATAAATGGGGAAGTCACAGACTGCTCAATGATTGGCCTAGCTTGTTTCGCCTATAGAGACGCTCCTGTCCAATCATTGCCATGGCGGCTACCGTACTTGGTACCGCCAAGAAGCATTGGTCTCCACTACCTACCGCTAGAGCATCTGAACATCAACCTCATCTCAACTCAGATCCCAATCCATCATCCATCTCCATCTTCATTTTCATCTTCCATTTCATCTTCGTTTCCATGTCCTTTATAATATCCCATCTACTGTACCTTTTCTTTTATCCGTAATGCATACTCCACTGCTGTTACGGATCGTCTCACAGGATGTGCCAGTACCGCTACTTACTACGGAGTGTAAACAATCAATTATCCAGCATCCGAACTCCCACCAATGCATTTCTGCTCAGGTCATCGTATCACATATTTTATCATCCATTAATCAGATCATACGGATCTTATAATGCGAGCAAGAATGAGTAGTTCAAAAATCTCCCTCTATCTGAACTTGTGATTTACTGAATGTTATCGTTGGAAGGCATTGGCTCCGAAATCCACGTTCAACTATCCGCAAACTCACAATTACATTACAACAATTGCGAGAACATCATACATGCACATCGCGTCATTCCTTCTCACCGATCAAGTTCCATAGCTCTGGCTCACGAAAGGGCACAGATGCTCATTCTCGTGGGGCCGCCGTAACAACGTTGCATCTTCTCTTGACCTCCAAATTTGCAATGACCTAGAGACGGACTGAACGCACGCATCTTATGACACAACTTCCCCTCTTTCTTTCTTTCTATCTTCCTCTTGTTCTTCCTGTCTAAACGTGTCCAAACACAATGATGCTCTGCTTCAATTAGACACAATAACAGCACCTGAATACGTCGCAATCTGGTTTCATTCTGCCATCCCCCCTCCGAAGTACTCTGTTTCGACGAGAAACCATACCTACGTCATACCCGGCTGCCATTGTGAATTGCGTTGTTGAGAATCACAGTCATTTATTTAGCTTTGGTTGTGGGGAAACTTGGTTTGCCTACAACCGTTGCCTTTGAGTTATAACAACACCACAGAGCAGCACGAATTTGGAGTTTTTTGGCCTTCTCATTGGTTCGTTCTCTATTACAGGTAAATCCAGCCTGCAATCACTTTCACAATAGAGGTCAAACTTCGTTCGTATTGTCATAGAATGGGAATCATTAGCGTATCCTAAGCTTCATATCTGTCGCCTCGGGCAACACACTGCACAACTTCCCTCATACTTAAACACCTCATTTCGACTTCCAATTCATACAACCATCAGCTACAAATCGCAAGACTGTCAGCTGCTTTCGAGGCTCCTAAGAAAAAACGTTGACTTCAACGGTATGTATGTATTTCACTTCCTTTGTCACTGCCAATCCCCTCCCCCACATTTCCTAAGCTCCGGCTATTTTTGTTTCTTGCATACAAGAAGCTCCGGTCGCCTATGGAGATGTCCGGACTAAACTTCAAAAGACCTCCGAAATCACTTCTACCTGGATTGCGGAACAACCCGACTCCGGGAAGTGAAAACGGTTCTAGCAAGGTAAGTAAAAACCCACACTGCTCAATGGGGGTCCATGTTTTGGCCAAAAAACGAACCCCCATGGGTGAGCCCTACAGTGCCCAGACTCGCAAGCTCAATGGGGGTCCGTAGGATAGCTTTTTTTATTTTTGCTACGGAACGAACCCCCCTTGGCCTTTCGCAGAGAGCGGTGAAGTGATAACCCTATCACTGCCTACTCCATCACCGCTTCGCATCACCGCCTACTGTGCCTATATCCTCCCGTGCCGAATATTTCCCTTTTCTTTCCTGTCACTTCTCTGCATTGCCATTTCGCAACTATTCAGTTTGGAACAAGTGCTAACGAAAATCGATCAGAATAGTTGAACCCACATAGTTCTACAATCTAACCACAGCTCTCGTGCATTGCACCCCAACTCGTACCAAGCGCCTTCGCCCTAGGGCAGTTCCATCGGTAGACAAGTAATTCCGTGCCAATCAATCGTAACCACCGGGTGTTGACCTTTAGGGTTTGAAGTCTGTCAACCCACGTCCTACTCCCAGATAAACTTGTCGATCTCCCGCGACCACCTCATGGCTTGGCGAAACGGCAAATGGACCACGAGTGGCCCCGGCTATGGGACGCGTCTCCCCGAGCATGACCATGAAAATTCCGACAACCCTCGCATCGGAGATCTTGCGAACGATTTGGACGGGCTTGGTATCAATAACAGTTCGCGTACCGGAAGCACTCCGGTTGACACCAGTCTCACATCGGCCCCACCTCGATCAGCTCGTTCCCGTTTCTTTGGATCGAACAATATATATGGGAGTCTGGCGGACAATGACAACGATGATGACTCCCAAGAAGATCTGAGCCCGGGGATCGATGCTAAAGGCTTGGATTTCAGTGTCAAGGCGCATGGCGATGGCCAATCTGGTACTAATGCTCCTGAGAGCCGTGACGACGCGAACCAAGAGCGCTCTCCCGAGTTTGGGGACTCTGGCAGCTATTCCTTGAACCTGGCACGGCAACTCAACCAGGTCGTCAATAACAAGAACGCACGCCCCAACACAAACTCGCCAAACAAGGGCCGCGACAGTTCCTCCCCTCGCCAGGCCATCGTACCTTATGGAATGATAGATCAGAGGGTGAATACCCGCCACGGCTCAAATGTCGACCCTTCCAAAAAGCCATCATCGGGCCATAGCCGCCATCCCGGTCGCCGAGGATACACCGCACAGAATCCAACCTCCAATACCTGGCATTCGCAAGACGCTATGCTCATGCAGGAATTCATCGTCCTCCGCAACTCAATGCGCCGTCTATTCAAGCACAGCGATGTGGCCAAGTGGAAACACGGCGATTACCTCGCACACAAACAGGCACAGGCTCAGGCAGAGATGGAACGGCGTGCAGAAAAGACTGAAAATGGAAAGATCCTCCGTGCCTCTCCGACCCTTCAGCAGAATCCTCTGGATCAGGTCACGCACGACCTATGTAGCCAACTCCTGGCTGGGCTACATTTCCAAGGTAACATCTCTTTAGTCCTTGGGCTTCCCACAATCTGGTGCGAGAACTGGACCGACGGTAAGGAAGAAATTGCTCCGTGGCCATCTATTGCAGAACTCAAATGGGAGGGTGACGACCGGGCCAAAACTAATGTCGGTCGCTATCCCCCTATTCCTCGCGAGATGGGTGCTCCAGGCATTGTCTGGAGCCAGCTCCAAATGGTAGAGCAGTATCCTCTGGACCAAGTCAGCCTCATTCCAACCATGGAGGATATCTATGCGCCTATCGAGGAGATTGAGGATGAGGTCAAGTATGACCTGATTCCGCGAAGCCTAGAAATCGCCATTGAGAAGTACCTAGAGTCCTAGGTCTATCAATGTCCAGCACACTTACATTGGTAATCATTACGAGCAACCTCACTGTTACCCGTATTGGTCTTGTTTCTTTCTGCACTGCCTTTCGAAGAATCCCCAGTTTTCGTGCCTTCAATGATACCCTATGATACCCTGCACATTTACAACCGAGCATTTTGGATCAACGCAACAATCGATTTCCGCAAACAAACACGACACGCAAAGAATATGAGCATTCGTTCGCCAAGTGCAGGCCCTGGAACAGCAAAACGACCACCCTGTCCACTTAATGATAGTCAGCCCAACACAACAGCTATTGCCGTCAACCCCAGCTTGGCGTCCAATGTCCTCGATTTCTTTCAGTCCTACTTGTTTGGAATATCGATTGAGCTACTCTGATTCAATACCGGTTCTTCTTTGTGTATGGCGTTCATTCATGTGGTCACGGTTTTTCTTTTCCTTTTGGGTCTTTTCATTATCTTCTCAGGCAGCATTATCAACTTCCTGCTCTCTCTACAAACTTGCAATCCGGATCGACACAGCATGGTATGGAGTTCTCGGATACACAAAATGCTTTCAACCCCAACATGGCATGACCCTTCCGATGTAACCGACTTGATATCATTGGTCCCCAGTCATAACTATCTCCCGATTTCATACCGGACCAACTTCCCTACCCTTCGGACCGATCCCGTCTTCTCCGGAGTCGCAGCCTTACATGCTACATGAGATACTCTTCCCATGCAGTCTTCCCTTTCTTTCTCCCAGTCATCCATGTCTCTCTCAATCCGATCCTGCTGGCATGCTAGAAAGATCCGTGGTTCCTCACTTTCCTCGGACCACATTCTCCCCTACCACCCGGTAGGCTTTTCCTATCCACCACCAACCTTCTGCAGGACCTACATCCCCCAAGGATCCAAGCCAATTCCAATCCCCGCAGATAAGATACACACTCCCCATGTACATCACCACCCCCAATTCCCCATTCCCACAGCACGACGGATATCATAATCAGCATCAGGCGACATACCCATTGGTGTACAACAGCAGGCAAACTAGACCAGGGCGAAGAGACTTTGGTTAGGTTTTTCTAGGCAGTCAATCAATCATGCATTCATCCCCCCACGACCTTTGCCCGCGATGAAACCTTCAGCAGCACCCCCTACGGCCCCTCTTTTTTTAGAAGGGGGGGTCTAGGGGGGTTGTGTGATTCCTTGGTACTTGGTGATTGCAGCTTTGTTTTTATGTTGTCATAGTGATGTGATGATATGTGTAGACCTACCCATAGCATGCGTGTCCACCACCCTCGCTCCTCTTCTCCCTATGAACAGTATACATCCACCCCACTACTCCACCGCCTCCCCCCAAAACATCCCCGTCATTCAACAGGGAAGTCGAAGACAGGCGGGTCCTACGCCAATTGCAGCTTCCCCACACCACGTACCCGATCCCAAACACCCACCCAAGTAACTAACGAAGTAAATACGCCTACGCACATCATTTCTCCGCACCCCTCAAAAATTTCCCCACACTAACAGCGAAAGTCGAGGGGAGGAGGGGCTTTGGGCAATTGTAGATTTCGGAGTTCCGAGAAACTACAATTGATAAAACCCCCCTCCTGACGGGTCTGCCCTAGGTTCTACGTGATGGATGGTAGAGCGGTTGGGGGGGAGTGAATTCGTTCTGGCTCCTTGGAGTTTTAGTAGAGGGAGAGGAAAAGGTGCTGGGGGGGTTGATCATGGGGAAGGTGGACACTCTTAAGCTTCTTCCAATGCTGAACTTATAGAAAGGCTATGGGGAATAGGGGAGAGCACTACTGGGGGGGGGGGTTTCCAAAAGGTGCAACGTTTTCGACCTTTTGGAAACCCCCCTATCCCCTCGATATATCTCCTTAACTTCCACTGGAGGTGAGAGCGGGAGAGGAGGGGGGGTTTCGAAAAGGTGCGACCATTTTCGAGCGAACAGCTTTAGGTAGGTGGAAGTCGGACAGGAGGGCTTATTTGCTTGAAATGCTCTGCTAGACCGTATTTTCAGCGACGAGGCTCTGCCAGAGAGAAGGATTTTCCGAAAAGTCGAACATCCTTTCACCTGATTGCTTAGACTGTAGAGGGTCATTGTGCATTGGCCGGCATGCAAGGTACAGACAGGGATTTTCCGAAAATGGAGGATGAAATTATTTTTTAGTGGAAGGGTAATATCTCGTTAGTTATTTTCCTTGTTGTTTGAGGAAGAAATACGGCGATGGTGGTGGTTGAGGGTTATTGTCATCTCTTTTGTTGAAATTCTTTGTTTGGTTGAAGTGAGAGCTTGAAGTTGGTTTTAAACGACGATGTAACGACTGTACAGAACAACCAACACCTCCTGAAAGGGAACTTACATTTTGAAATTTCTACTTCCTAGGGTTCGTCTAGGATGTAGTCTTCTCGAAAATAGGAAGTTTGTCTGATATAGTGTCAGATCTTCGGTGCATAACTTGGAGCATTTGGGCGCTCTGAAATCGATGTCACCTGCAATTTTGCTCGAACACAACTCGATAATTGCAGTTCGCTTGAGTTGAGTGTACATTTGTAGTCGACTTCTACCTAATAAAATTGAATAAAAAACCAGGACAATGTATGTTACCATAAGAATAGCTTTACAGTATGCAGAGCACGTGGTGTGTACCAGCATATCCGGCCCGGTTCAAGACTCCCCGCATTCTACAAGTCTACCCGTAGAACAACGTGGTACGCCATCAATGACCATCTCTCTTATACCTTTATGTGACTCTCTGGTTATGTACACCAAATGTCCCTACATAGGTAGTCCATCGATGACAGTATTGTCCGGATTGATTAGTCGCTGCTTGAATCGAATGATCGGAGAAGCGATCCATGGAGACAGCCTTACTCCATACTAGATGTATTTGCATCTATTTCATACTTTCATCTCCAAGCCACAGCTGACAGAAACGGAACGTTGTAGATATCTCGTATCCAGCCATGAATGACGCCAATCCCATCGATCCCGCAAATGGCAAGTTCAGGCGTCCCGGGCTCTCGCTCTCTTAGCCACATTCAGCTCAGCTGCGCGGCGGACGGCTCCGTTCGCTAATCGGATGGTACGCAATATGAAACGGTTTCTTTTTCTGTCGCTATCAACGACGAAACTACGCCAAAGGCACTTAAAGCCGCATTCTGATTCGTGGGCTCGTTTAGAGTCACGTTTTCTTCGTTCATTTTAGCCATACAAAGTACGGGGCTGTCATCGAGCCTACGAGTAGTGTCAAGTGCACGCGGCCTCCATGTTGGCGCAAGGGACAAATCTGTCTGCCTGATCAACGTACAGTATTGCGATTTTTTTATTTAAAACGCCTTGCATTGCGCTTCGTGTGATGCCAATTGGCACCTCTCCATCACACTCGTAATCATGGCTATCTTCACTATTCCCAAGGTTGCCATCACCCTGATCGCGCTATACATCGCCCGCCGTGTGTACTGGGAGGCCACAACTGGAGCTCGCCGCCGTTCGATAGCAAAGCAAAATGGATGTCTTCCACCCAGGAAAGTCCCTCTCAGGGACCCGATATTTGGCCTGGATCTTCTCTACAGCAACATCAAAGCCCACAGTGACAATCGATTACTCGAAGCGTGGAGTGATCGGCTGAAATCGCAGGAGAGACACACCGTTGTCATGCCCATCCTGGGCAATAACATCTACCTCACCGACGACCCGGAGAATATCAAATCGATGCTGGCGACGAATTTCAACTCCTGGAGTCTCGGAAGAGAACGCATCAAGATGATGGCTTCGTTCCTCGGGTACGGCATCTTCTGCACAGAGGGAGCGGCATGGAAGCATTCAAGAGATATGTTGAGACCGTGTTTCGAGCGCTCGCAGGTTGCAGATGTAGACATGATGGAGAAACATGTCAAGTGCCTGATCGATCAAATCCCCGACGACGGCAAGACAATCGATCTGCAACCGCTCTTCCACCACCTCAGCATGGACATCGCGACGGAATTCCTCTTCGGCCGGAGCACCAACGCGCAGGACCCAAACCTGAGAGACGAAGACGTCGAACACTTCGTCGAAGCGATAGAATACTGCTCCGACCCCTTCTCCAACGACAACATCAAGCGATGGGGCTTCATCGGCGCCTTCCTCCCAGACCCCAAGCACGCAAAATGCGCAAAAGTGCTCCGCGACTTCGCCGACAAATACCTCGACGCCGAAATCGCCTCGCGCTCCACCTCCACCACCACCACTCCCCCAAAAGACCGCTACTCATTCCTCGACACCCTCCTCTCCGCAACCCAAGACCGCACGACCATCCGCTCCGAGCTCCTCAACATTCTCCTCGCCGGACGCGACACGACCGCCTCCCTCCTCTCAAATCTCTTCTTCGAACTCACGCGGCACCCCTCCAAACTCGCCCGCCTCCGCCACGAAATCTCCACCCACATCGGGTCCTCCCAACCAACCTACGACACCCTCAAACAACTCAAATACCTCCGTGCCATCATCAACGAAACCCAACGCCTGTACCCCGTCGTCCCCTCCAACTCGCGCGAAACCCTCATCGACACCGTCCTCCCCCGTGGCGGCGGGCCTACGGGCGCTTCCCCCATCCTCATCCCCAAAGGCTCGTTCGTGGCATACCATTCCTACTCCCTGCAACGCCGCAAGGACATCTACGGCGAGGATGCGGAGGAGTTCGTGCCGGAGAGGTGGATGCCGGATGAGCATTCCTCGGCGCCGTTGAGGCCGGGTTGGGCGTATTTGGCGTTTAGTGGCGGGCCGAGGGTGTGTATTGGACAGAACTTTGCGATTACGGAGGCGGGGTATGTGGTGGTGAGGTTGTTGCAGACTTTTGGGGAGGTGGAGAGTAGGGATGAGGGGGTGTGGAGGGAGAAGTTGACGATTACGTGTATCGGGGCGGGTGGGTGTAAACTTGGGTTGAGGAGGGAGTTGGAGACGGAGGGAGAGGCGGTGGAGGAGAAGTCATAGGATTCAATAGGCGGTTAGTCTAGGTAGATTTGTTGTTAAAAGAAGGTTAGATATCAGATGTCACACAACGTCACGTAATACCCAACTCAATTACAAAATAATATTTATGATTTGATAAAGTTTGTATGTATCCAGGAATCCCATCATCTGAATACATAACTCTGTTTGTATCTCTAGCTTATCGAAAGGACTGAAAACCTCAAATCGGTCCCACTGCCTGTTTCGTTAAGCTTCGAAGAAAGACCGGCCAATTTCCAGTCAGTGTAAAATATTTGCTCCTTAGGTAGGTTGACCCGGAGTAATGATGATAATTCGCACTCAATGATACAGGAAAAGTAGGGGAGGGGAAGAAAATATGTGTGGGGTATAATGCATCCGGAATCGAAGAAAGGCACATTGCCGGTGCCGGAAAGTTTGCTCCGTAAGTATGTTTGCCCGGTGCCCATGGTGCTAATTCGCACCTTCATAATACAGAAAAAGGTAGAGGAGGGACGAAGAGGGAAGGAAGGGAATTCATCCAGCCAAACCTCCCTCATGAGAGCGGTTTGTCTGAATGAAACCCGACCGATTCCTCCAAGATTAGACTTGGGAATGAGAAAAACCATCTATAACTCTTGTGACTCTAGAGTTCGGAAAGATGGCGAGCCAGTGTAGGTAGGGAAGACGTCTAGTATAGATCGATGAGGACGCCGACGGCTCCGTAGTCGTGTTCTTCTTCCTCCTGCGTCTCGGGCATGTCTTGAATCTCGTCCTCAGGTGCGTTACCGAGAAGATTGCCCTCATCGAAGAGGTCCGTGGCTGAGAGGTCTATTGCCATTCTGGTGTTCTCTTTGTCTTCGATGTTGTCTTGGATTTTGTCTTGAAGCTTCTCCTGGGCCTTATCCAACTCGTCTTGAGCCTCTTCTTGAGCCTCTTCTTGAACTCCACGCTCCTCTTCCTCAATCTCCCGCTGAATCTCCCTCAAGACCCTCGTCTTCTCTTTCCTCCTCCCAATATCAATCTCCCGGTTCTCCTCTCGCACCTGAGCGTCAGTCATATGGTCCATATCCCTGTGCTCTCTGTCCCTTCCGTTGAAGTTGTTGGTCGACCAGTAGTGTGCCGCCGCATATGCGGTCATGGCCTCCTGTCGCGAGGAAGACGCATAGGGAAAATCATAATCATACGCAGGGTATTCCTTATTAGCCGAGGGAGCTTTAAACGGGGCATCCCTTTGCGTCTCTTCATTCCCGGTGCTACGTCCGTCATGTCCATTGCCGACACGAGAGTTGTTCCTGGCACCCGCTGCGTTGCTGTCCCAAGGCGCGGCCTGCGGTGCATTCCTAGCGAGGGGCCTCCTGGATTCAGGACTGCCGGCCTTCGCAACCATGGCTCCGAGATTGTCTTCGAAGGCGCGGATGACGGCCGCGTCCATTTCAGTGCGCTCGATCACGATGGCGCTCTCCGGCCAGTACACATACGCCGGCAGCGAATTCCGGGCGCCATTTGTGCCGCACAGCTTGCAGGCGAAGTCGTTCATTAGTAGAGTTTTCTGCGAAGCCGTCCCCTTTGGCGCTGTGGCGCGGAAGATTTTCAGGAGCGCATCGTTGGTCAGTGTCGTTGTGGATCCTGCAGCGCCAGCGGCATCGCCATCACCACCGCCATCACCAGCAACGCCAACAGTGGAAACAACACCACCCTTCCCCTTACCATCTCCCTTCAACCTGAACACGCCCGAGAAATTCTTGACTACCTCTTCAGACATCCTCCTCACCTCCTCCCACGTCTTCCTACGCCTACGCATCTGCTCCCTATCCTGCTGACTCAAGCCCTTTTGCGCCGCCATATGGCACCGATTCCTCTGCATGCGCTCATCCTCCGCGCGCTCGAGCGCCGCCGCCATTCCGAGGCAGTTCCCGCCGCAGGGCTCGGCCTGCGTGCCGCGGATCGCGACGACGTGGCCGCAGGTTAGCAGGTGGGTCCGCGAGTGCGAGGTCTGACACGGCCGGGACTCCATGCGCGGGTACCCGATGCAGGGGGTCCAGCGCGCGGCGGGTTGCTGGACCGTCGTGATGCGGAGGTACTTGCGGGACTCAAGGGAGTTCGCCGTGTGGAGTACGGCGTAATGGAACGGGACCGTGACGCCCTTTGGTAAGTGTCGAGCGTAGCGAGGGGGGGCTCTCGCTTGTGAGGCCATTGTTGGTGGTGGTTTGGGGTCACTGGGTTTTCTTTGTCAGTATGATGGACGGGATGTGAGGTTTAGACGTTGTGGGTTTGGTGTTTTGGGGTGAGGACGGAAGGTGGAAGGAGGAGGGGTGGAAGGGGGTTTTTATGGTGCTGGAAGTCATGTGTGGGGGAAAGTGAAAATGTCGGTCTATGGACAACGGAAGTCACTGTGGGAAGAGATTGCACAATGGCTGCCTGCCTGGTCATTCACGTTGAGGGGCGGCGTCGTCGAATCATTCAAACAGTACATTGTGCACTATGTTGAAAGACGGTGAGGGTACCAGTCACTGACATTGTAATTCGTCATTGTCAAGAGCAAGTGAAGTTGGAATCTAGGAACAGCATAGTCTTTTGACAAGGTTTGATAGGATTTGGTCATAGAGGAAATCTGTCTTTCTAGAATATTTGACATTGTGTCGTTCCAATGGCGGCGCCGCGTCAACTCGTAGCAACCATCCCAACTCTTCGACCATCACTGCCTCGCCAATCGAGCAACCTTCTTCAGCCCTGTACCTGGTTTAATGTTCCAGTCAATACCCTCTCTCGCCCGTTGAAAAGCATCCTCAAATCCCTTTCCGTTTGGATTCAACCCACATGCACGTTCGAGATCTCCGGCTGCAAACAGAGGCTCACCAACCGCAGTATGTACAATGCCGCAGACATACCAAGACTCCCCCCTCTCCTCGTCAGTGAACCATTCTCTCTTGTTCGGCGGAATGAGCTCAGCAGGAAGACTCTGGAACCAGGGGTTAGAATTTGGAGATGGAGAATCCGTGGCCAAGGAGAGTGCTCGAGATGCCGCTGTCTCCGCGGCCAGCATATCTCTCGCAACCTCCTGTCGTTTCGAGACATCAACCGCGGCGGACGTCGAAGACACCCAATCCCCCTTCGACGAAGTGACCTCCTCATGCTGTCCAAACAGCGCCTTCGCGGTGATCAACTCGCACCGCCACCTCAACCTCTGAATCGCCTTATGGAACACATCCGCCTGCATATGCAGCGTCTCCGGCCTCGTCAGATACGCATACGTCAGCGTCACGACCCCCGACTGCGCCAACTGCGCACTCAACTCGTGCTCGCCCCTCCCGAGCGCCTCCTCCGCCCTCTCCACGGCCCCCTCCACAACCCCCTTCACCCCCTCCGCCGTAACCTCCCCCACCGTCAAACTCTCATGCAACCCCTCCTTATACCCAGGCAACAACCTCCCCGCCTCCCCCTCCTCAATCGTCACAGCGCCAAATCCATTCACCAACCTCAACAACTCCAGCACATCGCCCTGGAACCTCGCGAGCCCGAAACCGTACGTATTCAGCACCTTGACGAACAGCGAGTGGTTGCTCGCCCACGACTTCGTCGCCTTCTTGGCTTGGTCCCAGAAGTTGATGAGGCGGGGGAGGTACTGTGCGGGGAACATGACTTCTGCGCGCTTCTGGCTGCTGTTCTTCTCGACGAGCGTGAGGTCGAGGGCGTGGCGGGTGGCGGAGGTGGGCGGGCAGGAGGGCACGAAGAGGATGCCTGAGTCCGTGAGCATGGTTTTGGCGTGTCGGGCGTCTGCGGTGTAGAGCTCGAGGCGGATGAAGAGGTTGGTGGAGTAGAAGTAGTGGAGGGTTTCGCGGCTGAGGTGCCGGTTGAGGGTGAAGAGGGAGGTGGTGGTGGGGAAGGGGGGTCGGGAGGGAGTGAAGGTTAGGAGGGAGGAGGTTAGGGTGTGCGTGTAGGAGACGTTGGGCTGGGAGAGGTTGACGAGCTCGGTGTCGAGGAGGTGGGAGTAGATGCGGTTGCGGATTGAGGTTGGGAGGGAGGTTAGGGTTAGGGGAGAGCGTTTAGGGGTGGGAGATGCGGTGGAGAGAGTGGTGGATTCGAGTTTGTTGGATAGGTCGGAGGTTGTGGCGTCCATGGAGTCGCGTTTGGAGGAGAGAGTGGTCATCGTGATCGATATAGGAGGGTGTTCTGTACTTCTTCGTGTTAGATATATTCGACCCATTGAGGCATTGTAGATGCTGCAACCATAACCAGCCATGTGGTGTATGAACTAACATCAATGAGCCTGCCCAAGCTCTTTTGTATACCAAAAGAACCCTTCAACTACTTACAGCTATCCAGCCAACTATCCACTTGAAGATCAATGACAATTATCGTTCAATTGCAATCTCAGCGTCGTTCTACAGCTTCAGTCGCGTCACAGAAGCCTCACGAATAAGTCCAATCACAGAATAACAGCAATGATGTGGGAACAATGCAAAAGCGAAGTTAAAGGAAGCTCGGTATTGTTTACTGCGGGGTTCTATTTGTTTTATAGCTGCAACGACCAAGGAATTGTCCCACCTCCGCAAGAGATTCCATGGCGACGGAAGAGCGGAGGTGGACATGGCATGGCATGGCATGGCATGGATCTTGAGAAGTGCGGGGAAGTAGGATTCGTACAATGTAAGAAGTGGAGAAGCGAGCAGAGCGGATCCGAACATCCCATGTTGCCGCGAAGCTGCGCCTCATTAAATTGGAGAGAGAGTGGACAACAGTGAAGAAAAAGTACTTATACGCTTTTGTGTTGTAGAAATGGTTCACATTACAGTAAGTCTATATAATTCTAGCTACAATGTTCTAGTTGCACGCTATATACTTCTATACAGTCCTTACCACGAGTTCGGTGGGGCTTATTCCAATGAGTACGAGAGATGTACAATAAACGAACAAGATCGATACTATGTAGAAGCCTCGACAAATGCAGTAAATGCCTGCAGATCCTCCGTAGCCTCAAACTCCAACTCCACGCCCTGTCCGACGAAGAAAATGTACCCTTCCTTCAATTCATACTCTTTCCCCTCCGCCTTCATCTTTCCCGCGCCTTTCGTTGCGATGAATATACTCGGCCCGCCCAATTTCCCTATCGTTTCCGTCTCGCCGGCACCAACTTCCATCGCTAGCATGCTGAACTCGCTCAAGGGCGGCGCATACAACTTCGTCTTCCCGTTCTTGCTCCGGTCGAAGTTTTGGCTCGGGAGCAATGCTTCCCTGGGGTCGTGCGGCCGGAACGAAAGGACGGAAACGAAAGTGTCGATGGAATCGCGGTCTGCGCGAGGGCAGAATCCGGTGTTGAGGACGTTGTTGGATCGAGCCATGCACTCGATGATGTCGCCGGATAGGTAGGCGTGGATGCCGTCTGCGGGAATGTAGATGCTCTCGCCGGCCTTCAGCTTCATGTAGTTCATCGTGATAAGTGCGACCACGGTGCCGTTGTCGGTCTGGTCGTACTGCTCCGAAAGTCGAGGGATGAGATCTGGGATGTAGGTGTCTTGTCCGAATGCATCCTTTGGCAGTTGGAGGAGGTCGTGGTTGACCTTCTTGATCGTTTCTGGAGAGGCGAGGAGCATGGTTTTGACGATGTGTTTGAGGGTCTGGTCGTCGAATTCTGGAGTCTTGATACTCGGGAGAAATTGCTTGAGGGGCTCTAGTTGCAGGAGCTTCTCGATAGAAGCTAGAGGCTTGAAGCCACAGAATGCTTCGAAATCGCCAAGTGCAAGTGCAATCTCGGGTTTGTGGTTGGGGTCCGTGAATGAAGATGGATCACGGGAATGCAACTCAGCCGCAAGTTTCTTATTCTAGAATTGATTGACATGTCAGTATGACTTGACATACTGATGAAGGAATCAGATCCGTACAGGGTGGAGCTGCAATGGCAGCGCCTTTGCTATTGACAGGACCTTGGGGAGGTAAGGCAGCTTCGCGTGATTGAACTTCTTGATTACACCCTGGCCAATGAGTTCATTATGGTGCCTATCGAGGACATCTTGGAGATCTTCGCCGGTCGACAAAACATGGGAGGGTAGCTCTGGGTATGTGCCCATCCACCTATAACGCGTTGGTTAGCCAGTGTGCTATGTCTGTTGGAGAATGATACGACATACATCTCAGCATAGGGAGTATTCTCTTCGATGTTGAACTTCGTCCCGGGAGTTTTCGAACATAATGTTGCCGCCAGGGATTTTGAGCCCTGTTTACCCCAGGAATACTGGTTGCAATCACAACGCAATTGAATGACTTTTTCGACCATATTGTCAATTGTATTGAACTTCTATAGTGAAACTTAAGGTAAACACGAAAGCGTTTCTACACGAAGATATGTATCAGCAGAAAGAGAAAGAGCGGTTTTTAAATCCCAATGAGCCCCATAGATATGAAGATAAAAGATTATCGTGACCACTGTGCGACGTCATCAGGGTCCACTGAAAGTCTCGGATAGCAAGGCCGCATCGTGGTCATAATCATAATCGCTATCAAGGCGTATCTTCATCACTGCGTCGTGCCTTATAATATAGATATCTATGTGTGTGGCGCTGTTCCTGGAAGATATACTTTGTTCCCATGATATTCCCAAGTAAGGTTGGAGCATATCATTGGTAGGGTCATTCTTGGATGATGATTGGCTATAAACTCTTGATGTGTATTCAATAGTCTGGCCACTCAGCGTTGAGTATTTCCAGCCTACTTATAAGTTTTAAGATGAAGTCAAAGCATGATGTTCTTGGCTTACAATTCATGACTGCGGACTTGGGAAGGTCTCTTATGTGCATTGTAATCGGTCAGAGAAAATGTCCGATGCTTACGAGTCTACAAACTCCATAATATAAAACAACAACACAGTGTAGAAGGTCGTTACAGGAGATGCATTGATTGGAGTCTCAGGGTCTCGTTTAGTAAAAAAAGGAGACCTTGCGTCGTGCGCACGGGCCATCTACTTTCCGCGCGCCAAGTGTTATCATCCATCCATGAATTAATCGTTTCCCGAATTTCAATTTCCATTGCTCCCTCAATTATTCTCCCATCTCTCGCACGTATAATCGCACTGCCAATCCTCTTCTTTGGCACTGCTGACTACCTCAATTTCCCTTTCTTTAATTCTGGCCGCGACGCCTCAGCATGATTTGGTAGCGCCAAACCTCCTGCGCCATAACCCGACCGCATCGCTTCCACCCCCAACTACGAGTACCATCCCTCGTTTGGATCCGAACACCTATCTATCATCTGGTCTCCCTGACTGGCCCTCCTGGCCCTAATTCCTTTCCACGCACACACATACACATCTGAGAATGTACTTCGCCATGCCTCCGCGTAAGACTTCGCGGCCGCCTCCATACGCCGCCCGCAATTCCAGCTCGATGCCACCTGCGCTGCGGAATCTCCTTCGGCGAATTACACTGCGGACCGCCCTCCTCGCCATATTCGGATTCACGACGATATTATGGCTGTTGGGAAAGTTCGGTGACAGGGAGACAGGAGGCTTGGTCAAGCCTGTCATTGGAACAGGCGCACCCGTCGTCCTCGTGACGGTGTTGGATCCCGCCGCCGACGAGGGTTGGAAGCATCAGATTCGCAAGAACCGCGAGGACTATGCGAGAAGACATGGTAGGTTGCGCTGCAGACAGCATTCAAATTGTACAGGAATCATGAAGTTGACGAACTCGACATAGGATACCTCACCTTCTTCCCCAACAACAACGACTACCCCCTCAACAACGCACCCGCATCATGGTCTAAAGTCCCCGCGCTGCGACACGCCATGACCCTCCACCCAACCTCGACGTACTTCTGGTATCTCGACAGTACCGCTCTGATCATGAATCCCTCCGTCTCCCTAGAATCACACCTCCTCAACCCCTCCAAGCTGGAATCGCTCATGATCGCCAACGAGCCTGTCGTACCCCCAGACAGCGTCATCAAGACATTCGCCAACCTCAAAGGCGACCGCATAGACGTGGTGGTCACGCAGGACCGGGAAGGCCTCAGCCACTACAGTCTGATCGTGCGGAACGGCGAGTGGGCCAAGTACTTCCTCGACGCGTGGTTCGACCCCATCTACCGCAGCTACAACTTCCAGAAGGCCGAGACGCACGCTTTGGAGCACATCGTGCAGTAAGTCCCTGCCACACATCATCTCCTCGAACTCCCCTTTTTCAGCAAAGAGGGATATCACTAACAATCCCCCAACAGATGGCACGGCACCATCCTCGCCAAGCTCGCCATGGTGCCCCAGAACCTCATCAACGCCTACGCCCACGGACCCTTCAACCCCAAGAACGGCCAGTACAGCGACGGCGACCTCGTCGCCACCTTCCCGGATTGCGACAAGGCGCAGCGCTGCGCAGACGACATGCGTCCTTTCTTCGACGCCCTCAGCGGCAAGAAGAACTCGGATTAGAAGCACGTCGATACAAGGATATACGTAGCAGCAGAATGAAATCTATACGAACGGACGGGGTCGGCGCGGTTGAAGTAATGCATCTTATACCCCCTATCTCTTGGGACCCTCGATTGCACTCGTTGGGCGGGGAATACCACACCTCGCTCTTCAAAACATGAGGTCCCAAGCGAACACGATGCAAGCAAGAACGTAGGGTAACGACAAGAGAGGAGCAGGCGTGGGGAGGCAGGGGAAGGGGAAGGGAGCAAGCATAGCCACTCTGGCACACACTGGCGTTTATGAACGAAACAATCACATGGTTCGGTTTTTGAATACATTTTACACATATAGTAGTGGTAGTAGGAGCGAGAAGCACCCAAGCGGCGCGGACAGAGCCAGGGTCGCGGTGGAGATGTTACAAGATGGGGATCGAATGAATCGCATCGTATCGACATGAAGAATGGATAATTTATTTCAACTTGTCGTGTTTTGCATGCTCCCGTTTTTGTGCTTGCCAGATCGAGGATATGACGAGAGGAGATATGAAGTGGCGTCCTGTTCTTTTGCTCCAAGGTCTGTGTGATATCAACATCAATATCAACATCAATGAAAAGAGCCAACACCCTCCCACCCTGAACCCTCACTCTGGAAAAGTAGAAATTCCTTATCATCCATCTCACAAGAAAGCCAAAAGCCCGGCTTATCTGCAATCTCATCCCACGTCTGCTATCTCTAGAATTCATAAACAGATCCAAGACTATCGTACAATTCAACTTCCTTTCAGAAGGGACTCTCTTTCGTTTTTTCTACTCTTATATCTTACAACAAACGCCTACTTATACACTTTTACATACTTCCATACATTCATACATACATCCCATATCCAATACCCACGCCCCTTCTCCCTCCGCCATCGGACCGCCCCCTCGGAAATACCCTCCGAGCACCACACCCCAGAAAACAACTCACTCACTCACTCGTACTCCTAACCATCGGCTTCCTCTGCCTCTTAACCGCCACCATACTCCTCCTCGGCCTCGCCGACCTCTCACGACTAGAAACGGGCTTCGGCCCGCCGAGCACACTGCCACACATCGGCATCCTCGCGCCCACGTACTTGCCCAGCGGAGAGAAGACTTCGATTTCCGGGAACCATTCGTCCTCCTCCTCCACCTCCTCGAACCTCTCACGCGAGGAACGCGAGGAACGAGCGAGGGAGGAAGAAGGGGAGGAGGGAGCCCCCAGACCCGCGCGATCAAAAGCGTCACCCTCGACCTCCTTCGCACCAAACTTCTCGTCCTTGATTCTTCGCAGCTCCTCCTGCGCCGCCAACTTCGCGACCCGCGCGTGATTCGGATCCTTCTTCGCCATGCCGACGGGCTTCCAGCCGTGCCCGCGGCGCACCTGGCAGCTCACCTCGACCCAGCCGACGCCTTCGATCAGGATGTCGGTGCTGTAGATGCGGAAGGGGAGGTTCGCGGGTTTCATTTTGCCGGCCATGGGCGAGGTCAGGGCGCCGCCGAGCTGCTTGGTGACGTCCCATTGGAGGGGGAAGATGCCTGCGGAGGACATTTGCGGGCCTACGTTTGGGAGGAGGATGGAGGGGACGCCGGAGGGGCGGGTTTGGGATTGCAGGGTGCTGGCTTTTTCGGTGGAGGTTACGTGCGGGGTTAGGGGGACGAAGGGGTGGACGAGGAAGGTGAGGTCGGAGGAGTTGGGGGACGGGGTGAGGCGGATGAGGCCGCCGCCTAGGAGGAGGGATTTGCCGGGTTTGAGGACGTGGCGTTGGGCCGTGACGCGATGCTTCATTACGAGGTCGTCGTGGTGGGAGGGGTCGACGAAGGTGGTGAGCTCGGGGGTGGTGCGGGCGAGGCCTGGGAGGTCGATGAGCTCGCCGCGGTTGCGGCCGAAGGGGATGCGGATGGGAGATGCTGTTGTTCCTGGGAGTGCGGAGGCGATGGGGAGGACGGGGAAGGGGTTGTAGGGTTGACGGGGAGGGAGGAGGGAGTCGGAGTCGAAGTCTTCTTCGTCTTCTTCTGGGAAGTGTTCTGGGTCGGTGGCAGGCTCTAGGACGCTTTCTTTGCGGCGCGCCAGCTGCTTGTCTTCGTCCTGGAACTCGTCCTGTAGCTTTGAGGATTCTTCCATCGTTTTGGCATTCTGTAGCCTTTCTTCTCGTTCTGCCGCGGCCCGGATCTTGCGCAAGTCTTCGTAGTCTGCTCCTCGGCCCTTGGGGAAGACGACTTCGAATAGGTTCGACTTGCCCACGTTGACCTTACCAACCATCCACCCTGCCCCGCCGCGCTCCCAGATATCTTCCTTGACCTTCTTGGTCCACCATCCCCGTTTCGAACTGACGAGATAGACGTTTCCCAGACGAGCTGTTTTGTTCACACGGCCAAGTGCCGTTCGCATGACATTCTGTACGTATGGGAGCAACTTGTCCACCTGCTCTTTCATCGGCGCCAAAAGGTCCGCCCTGGTAACAATGAAGCTCACTTCCGCAATTCTGTTTGCTCCCACCCAGCCTTTGTGCCTAGCTCGGCGGTTCTGTGTCCGCAGCTTCGGTAGGCGCAGCGCGGACTGGAGGTTCGGAACGAGGGACAGTGGGAAGTCGGCGGCGTCTACGACATGGTAGATGTGGTTGCGTCTATGTGGAGACTCCGCGATGGTTTCCTTGATAGCGTCGACCGAGGGATGGTGGATGGGGTTTGCAATGTTGTGGTGCAGCAGATTGTGACAGCGATCGCAGTATGGAGTCTCTGGAGCGGCGTCCTCGATATGCTTGGGCGCATCGAGAGTTTCCTGATCCAAGCCGAGCTCTTCCAACAGCGCCGGATCTATTTCCTTCAGCCGGTTTGTGTAAATATCCGTCTCGACCTCCTCCTCCTTCTTCTGTGCTGGGTCATAGTTGAGATATGTCTTCACTTGTTTCCGGTCGATGTTGTAATAGCCCGCCTCGCTCTTGTCGAAGACTTGGGATGGTGCTCCGCAACCTGGACAGGCGCGAGGAAGCAATTGGGTGGGCGACGATGCGGTCTCTTCCGATGCTGGAGGCCGGACATCAGGCTGAATATGGTGCTGTTCAGTGCTAACAGCAATTTGTTGTTGTTCGCGATTTGATCTGAAGGTTGAGAAACTTTTCGATGGCGTAACTCTTTTGCGTAACGATGTGGGATGTCCTAGGGTAGTGGTGGTGGTTGTGCCTCTGAGAAGTGCAGGGCATAGGAATGCAGGAACCGATGCATTATTATATGCATGATGTGCGGCGAGTGATTCTGAGGGTAGATGGTGCCGTGCCTGGCGGAGGACAGCTCTCATTGTGAGTGCACCTAGATGTGTATGAACAATCGCAATCGTTGTCGTGAAGGACTATATTTTGTTGTCCATAGGCTATGTCACTCGGAACTGTGACAGTCGAGGAGCGCGAAATATTTCCTTGTCTGGGAAAAAAGAAAAGACGACGGAGGACGGAGACTCCCACGCTAGGACAAGCTAGCTATATCGGTCTCTAGCGTCCCGGGATTCGAGCGGCTCCGATTTCTCGGCGAATGACGGACCAGAGGAGGATCCAAGCTCCAGCGTAACTATGGACATCGTAGGAAAGAGCAGCCCACGCAGTTGCTCTCCCACCCCAAAAAAACAATCTACGTGGAGTCACATCTGGGGTAAATATTACTCACACCACCGCCATCGCCCATCACATCACATCACACCAGTTACTGTTGGATCCGAAATCCTTTTCTTCTTTTCCATCCTCCAAACTCATCTTCTTTCCTTCTCCTACATCCCCATCTCCCCAATTGCATCTTCCGTCATCATGCTCGCCTCATCCAGAACCGCCCTGCGTCAAGCTGCATCTAAGCAGATCTGCCTGAGGACCGGAGTCAGAGCTGTCTCTGCATGGTCCAACGTCCCCCAAGGCCCTCCTGTGAGTCTACAAACCACTCTCAATGGATCAATTGATTCATCTACGTGCCAATTGATACGAATTGAATGCTAACATCGACTTCCCACAGGATGTAAGTACCGTCTTGTCCTCCGCTGAACCGCTGACCCTCCGCTCACCGCCCACTCATCACAGGCCATTCTCGGTAAGTAGCTCTCAGGACGATCGACCATCAAGGGGAAAACCATTGTTTACTGACTCCCAACCAGGTATCACTGAAGCCTTCAAGGCCGACTCTCACCCCCAGAAGATCAACTTGGGTGCGTAGTGTCCCCTCTCCTTCTCTCCGTCTTCAAAAGCCACGCCACTGACACGACCCCACTCCAGGTGTCGGTGCCTACCGTGATGACCAAGGCAAGCCCTATGTGCTCCCCTCCGTGAAGGAGGCCGAGAAGAAGGTCGTCGATTCGAACTTGGACAAGGAGTACGCCGGCATCACCGGTGTTCCTGCCTTCACCAAGGCGGCTCTCGAGCTCGCCTACGGCGCCGACTCTGCCCCCCTCAAGGAGGGCCGCATCGCCGTCACTCAGACCATCTCCGGCACTGGAGCCCTCCGCATCGGCGGAGCGTTCCTCGAGCGCCACTACCCCGGAGCGAAGACCATCTACATCCCAACGCCGTCATGGGCCAACCACAACGCCGTCTTCAAGGACTCTGGCCTCAAGGTCGAGAAGTACAGGTACTACAACAAGGACACGATCGGCCTCGACTTCGATGGCTTGATCGAGGACATCAAGAGCTTCCCCAAGGGCAGCATCGTGCTGCTCCACGCCTGCGCGCACAACCCCACCGGCGTCGACCCCACCGAGGAGCAGTGGATCAAGATCGCAGAGGCCGTGAAGGAGGGCGAGCACTACCCCTTCTTCGACATGGCCTACCAGGGCTTCGCCTCCGGCGACACCAACAAGGACGCCTTCGCCCTCCGCCACTTCATCAAGGAGGGACTCCTCCCATCCCTCTGCCAGAGCTTCGCCAAGAACATGGTAACTTCCCCCTTACCCTCCCCCATATAATCTCCCCCAGACTAACACCCCCTCCCTCAGGGCCTCTACGGCGAGCGTGTCGGCGCGTTCTCCATCGTCTGCGAATCCGCCGAGGAAAAAGCCCGCGTAGACTCACAAATCAAGATCCTCGTCCGCCCGCTCTACTCCAACCCTCCCGTGCACGGCGCCCGCATCGCCTCGACCATCCTCAACGACCCCGCGCTCAACAAGCAGTGGCTCGGCGAGGTGAAGGGCATGGCAGACCGCATCATCACGATGCGCGCGCTGCTCAAGTCCAACCTCGAGAAGCTCGGCTCCAAGCACGACTGGAGCCACATCACGAGCCAGATCGGCATGTTCGCGTACACGGGGCTCAAGCCCGAGCAGATGGACGCGCTCGCCAAGGAGCACTCCGTCTATGCGACTAAGGATGGCAGGATATCGGTTGCCGGTATCACGAGCGGGAATGTCGAGCGTCTTGCTGAGTCGATTTATAAGATCACGGGATAGATAACCCCCTTCCTCCCCCTTAGCTAGATCCCCAACGATTCAAGAGACACATACAAATGTAACGAGAAACAGAAACTTGGCAATGAAGTTAAAGAATTTGAGTAATGCAAAACACACACATTCATCCATACATGTACCTATGCCTATACCTATGCCTATGCCTACAAAGTCCCTGACAGAGTCAATGAAATGGTAAGCGGAGTCAACACGGTGATGAAAGAGTCTGGGTGGTGGGAATGTATTGTCTATTGTCTGTCTGTGTCTACGGCTCGGGCGTGTATGACTTGCTGAGAAGTCTTAAGGCGCTTTCCTACGCTCGTGAGAAAGGAATGGAGAAGGATCAATTAGGAGTCACCTTGAACGAAACGACACTGGTGACATGGTTCTAAGGACGCACAGTCATGAAGCTTCGTTTTCGTGGGAGAGCAGCACAACTATGACTCTGACTCTTCGTTCCCATTCTCAATCCTTCAAGCCAAACCTGAATGGAAAAAAAAATCCAAAGAAAAAGCCATCCATCCTTGTGAAAACGCGCCATTTTCACATACTGGAGGCTACAACATATCCATACCGTCCAAAAGTAATGCCCATGCCTTTTTCAAAGGTTCCCATCATTATTCTTCGTTGTCGTATGATTGCCTATATCATAGTGTAGTGGGGAACAAAAAGCACGGTACATAACATAGTGTGCGTGCTTATCGATACCGATAGACGGAGTAGCCTAGGTGGGTACTTAACTCGTGATACCAATGTTCACGATCGAACAGAGTATGCTGTTCGTCAAAGACAGCATGACATTGGAACTTGGAAGAACACGACAATATTTTTATCGGCGGTTCTTTTTCAAAATTTTGAGCGGACATTGCCCTCGACACGATGCTATGGTGATCCTTTGCCCGATTCGGGGACACGGAAGCCGCATCGTGCAGTACACGAGATGGCCAGCCGTTTTGTCTTCTCGAGTTCGCTTACTGCTGCCGCCACATTATTGTGGTGTATTGTACCCGTGTGGCATACGAAAAAGCCATGGCGTGAGCAGAGTCTAGTGCGATGGGCCGTATATTTTGCAAGCTTCCCTTACCTTACAGCCCTGCAAGTGTGTCAATTGAGAAGGGAAAGACAGAATAGAAGTTTCCCTCATCTGAAATGGAGATGATGCACATGCTACTGGTAGCATAAGGCGGACGTCCAAGACGTCATGTTCGCTCCAGAGCCTAGACGGTTCGTTAGTTACCAGTTCGTTGTTTCAACTCTATTCTCTTATGGTTATTACCCCGCCAGCTACGAGTGTCACTTGTAATTATTGAATCTTTGGCGGCAGCGGGACATAGATCTTCCTTCGCATGCCTGCCCATGCCCAATGTTAGATCCGGAGGGAGCCTTAAAACCGAGACCGAACCGCCGACCCTGCAACCTGCAATGCTCACCCTGGCAATGAATATGTCCACTCCCACTCTGTGACATTCACCAGATGGCCACGAGATCAATTGCGAGCGCTGTGAATTCAGGCAGCTTGGTAGGCATTCTGCTGACAGATGGTCGGAATAGCTCGGAGGAGTGGCTTTTTTTCCTCTCACGGCAAGTGCTGGGTGAGAGGGGCTGGGAGATCGGCGCTCGCCAATGATGGAAGCAAGCCTGATATGGACGCAATGTATCGAGGTCTTAGCCGTGACTTGCTAGCTGGGATCAGCGCCCTTGCAGAGAAGGAACACAACGTCCTGTCCTCACTACGAGTATTGCCTCGTACCCAGAGTGAACCATTCTAGGTCCGTAATGTACCATTGTTGAGGAGAACTGGTGAGGCATAGCGCGTCGCCAGGGCTTTCGAGCCTTTTCTGGAATCTGGGGTATCACAGGTCAACAAAGGAACCCATGTGAAGGACAGAAGGCTACTCTGTACTGCCACCGCCCTTGCCTCAGAGCCTGGAGAAGGGAGAAGCTGAAGAGGAGAGGACACGCGAAATCTCCCTAGCAGACGCAGGGCACCAAGCCTAACGACCGCAAGCCTGGAAAGGCGGGACTGTAAACGACTAACGAGCGATATGCACAGTGACGATATAGCGCCCCATGACGTAGATTGTCAGACCCTTGGTTCGAAGCGGCCTGATTGCCGCACGCTCCCATCATTCAAAAAGTGAGTTTCGAAGCCCGAAAAGGTGAGCGATTGTGTCGTCTCAACCACCCCTCTGGCGACAATCACCCTCTTCAGACTCTTCCAGACCGCTTGGCGCGGTTTTTCACACATTTCTCCGGCATGGACATTGTGTGTGTTTCTCCACCACGTTTTCTTACAGCGGGGACAATAAGACACGGTGGACACCATCAGTCGGGCGGGTAGTGGGCACACTATCGACGCCATACCCTCTGTCAAAGGAAATGAAGCAGGTGTAAAAACCGTTTCGCTATGATCTAGTCCTTCCGGGCCATGGGATGGAAGGGAAGGCGACGGAGGGATGTACTGGTGGGACCTGGCCGCATCCTCGTCTTCCATTCTGTTTCATTCTGATCAATATGGACACGAAACACGGGTGCAGCAGGCGGTCGGGGTGGGATACGACGATCTGTGAGTAAGAGCCCGAGGACTGTTGGCATCGAGTTCGGTCTGTGACCCCACCTGATGAAGTCAAAGTACAGGACCATCGGTGTATGATTCTGCCTATCACCCGGCCCCTCCCCCTCGTAGCAGCCGTGGTGGTGATGCAAGTCACGTCAGTGACGGTATGCTGTACCGCGAGGACTCGGTATGGTAATGTAGATGTTCCATATGAACTGTAGCAGCCGAACAAGAACTTGATGGCCATAACATGTCATTTCCATAACAAAGCCGTAGATAACCCATTGTTTTTCCGCAGTTGCTTTGAGCTTTCATGGTTACAATCGTTGAAGGACAGCTCCCAAGGCGCCCGAGAACGGGTCCTAAGACAGGGAAAAAAACGAGGGACGGTCGAAAGCAGGGAGAGACGAAGAAGACATGGGGGCCATCACACCGATGCATCCCACATTTAGACTATCCGGCACAGGATTCCGAGCGAAGTGCAGGTCATGCAGCTGGGATTGGAGTCATTGGAGTCAACTGGCGGGGGTGCCTTGGGGGGGGCAGTCCAGGGTGGGACAGGATAGGACAGGATGGGTTGCAGAGGGACGGACAAACAGGACATGGTGGACCAGGAGGAGGAAGAATAGCGAGGGATGAATGGATGGTTAGAAAGGACGGGAGTGAGGGAGGATGCAGGAGAGGAGAGGAGGAAGAGGAGGAGATGGCCCGTCTCCGAGAAGAAGAAAATATGATTACTCGTCGTTCTCTTGAATCTTGCGTGTCTTCTCGTGCCTACTCAGGTAAGCGGATGTGATTTAAAAGCGTAGGCGCATCCCGCAGCTGCTGTCACCCGCCTTGAACGCATGCCTACCTAGGCAATCAGTATACACACCTGCATTTGACTTTGATTATTCTTTTGGTCGAAACATTGTCAAGCAACGATACTTTCAATTGTGTATCGTGTCAACGAATTCTGTGGTGTGCAATATCATTGAGCATACTCGATCAATTGGGATTGGTGACGTTGGTGTGTTGGTGAGAGATCGTATTGATACCGTATCAGTACCTATACCCGAGCCGCGGGAAGGAACGATCCATCCATCCTGGAGAGTGACGAGTGACATTTCGGCCATCTACCGAACAAGCGAAAGAAGGAAGAATCGAAGAATCGAAGAAGCACGAGCGTTCAACAAGCAAAGGGAAAGAATTCATCGTTACATGCCTGAAGTGGATAAGAACAGTCGTTAGTAAAAGAAAGGTAAGTAATGGTTTTCTTTTCTCTTCATATTCCTTTTCTTTTTTTTCATTCCTTTTCCCATACTGTGCAATGTGCGGTGCCAGTAATTGCTTAAAGTTGATTGAACGGGCCGAACCTTCCCTATTCTTTTCCATCAGGCTTGTTTCGTCATCGATCCAGGCCCGATTGAGCGGAGTCAGATCCAGAAGGAGCAGGCGCGACTCAAACGAGAGAGATACAATCACCCTTGCGGTTACATCCTCTTCTTACTCTACTCTCTACTCTCTACTCTTCCCTACACAGTGCATCCATGATACTGTGAACTGTCTATCCTCTATCCTCTACCCGCTGTCCACTATCCGCTACTGTCTCTGAATCTGCTGTTTACTGTCTTACCATCTCATCTCATCTGTGAGATTCGAGACTTGGAGCAGTCTCAATATACGAGTCGTTATACGAGCAAGTAACCAATACCCACTGTCAGTAATTCAACACCTAATCCATCCATCTGGATACCTTTTCATCGTCATTCTCCATCTCCATTTTATATTGTAAGTGGTGGGTTGATTGATTCAGCATTTCATCTATTTATTACTCGTCTATATCGTCTTTTCTCTCTTCTCCTTCAATTCGACTTCTCCTCTTTTTTTTCTTTTCCGAGTAGCACATGACAACACACCATTCTACATCATCAGCATCATCATCATCATCATCATCATCATACCACACATCATTCACCCACCGATCTATCTACTTATAGTATCTCCTCCTTGGTTACCCAATTCCGACCCTCTCTTATTCCTAAGAACTTGCCCCTCCCGTCCACATCCCGTCCTGATCCTCCATGCCCCCTCCATAACCATAACCTTAACCTAACGCTCCCTTGTCATCCATCCATCCTGGTTGATCTCTTGGTCTCTTCTTTTTTTTTTCTGTTCGTTTCTCGTTTCCGGGGGCCCACAAATAGTTTCTAACCAAGAGCCATCTCTTAGCCCCCCAGGAAACCCCCCCCCCATTACTCGCCGTTACCACTCTATTCTCGCACTACCACCACTCACTCTACCAACGCTACCACACCCACCACCTCCCACCAACATTTATTATTATTATTATTACCGCCTCTCCACCGCTATACCGCCTCATAACCTCTTCCTGACTCTTTACCTCTTTAAACTACTCACTGGGCTCCACTCCCGCTATTTTCTTCCTGCCACTCACAGCTCACCTCTCTTTACCCTTTACTCTTTACTTACTACCGTACTCTCCCCTCTCGCTACTCTCTTACTTACATACATACGAGTACTCTTCAAGGGAGTAAAATAGTCCGACTGCTACCACTACCACTACCTTATTAGTACTTGTACCTCCCACCACCAACCTACCTACAACTTACCACCACTCACCACCTCCAACAACAACTCGACCACCATCACCATCACCGCTACTACATTTCCCGACCGGCTCCCGTCCAAAGGAAACCAACAGAAAAAAAGTTCAAAAGACCGCCCGCCCTCTTTCTTCCACTCTTTGTCCTCCCACGAGCACATCGCACGATAACAACGTCAACATCCCATTCCTTGACTCTGCGCGCGGCAACCAACTGCGACTACTGCGATTACTTTGTGTCGCGCGGAACAGATCCTGATTGCTCTCGTTTCCCAACGTCGCGTGGATAAATATGGCTAGAGCAGGTTCGGTGAAGGAGGAAGACAGGGTTCGTGTTACCCCTCCATCTCCATTATTGCCCTTCAACTGTATACACTCGATTGCGACTCAACTCTGCCTACCTATGCACTCGAACATCCTGACACAGCTCATACATACAATCTCACACATTCTCACACCCTTCTCTCTCTTGCTCCCACTATCAATCCCAAACATCTGGCCATCCCTCCATTCATTCCTCACCCTGCATCCGACTCTCCAGCCCTCCAGCCCTCCATCTCTCCTACTCACCGCGCCCCCAACATCACACCTTAACCCACTTTCTCGCCTCGACCTACCCTGGCATTCCCTATCGCATCCTACGCACTTGCTCTCCACTGGCCTATCATTTCTCCTCTACACCTAGCTAAGCGTACGACATACGAAACAAGTATTCGTCACTGCTGACATTCTTCCTCTTGCATTTTCTATCCCCTTCGCATCGCTCTACCCTCCCTATTGCTATCATTTCCGATCAATTCTTCCTTTTCTCCTTCGTAACATTCTCTAATTTCCCCAAAGGCCGCAGACGGAGACATCATGTCAATCCCCGGCGCAGCAGACAGCATCGACCCGTCGACGTTTGAGCAGATCCTCGAGATGGACGACGACGAGGACGACAGAGAGTTCAGCAAGAGCCTCGTCTACGACTTCTTCACACAAGCCGAAGGCACCTTCGAGAAGATGGACTCAAATCTGTGAGTTCCCATGCCCCGCATCCCGCCTCGGCAAATATACCCGGTCGCTGGCACAGACTTCTGGGTCGTATAGATAACCTCCAATATCAGTCGCTGACGCATCACAGTGAAAAGGGCGACCTCAAAACCCTCTCCGAACTCGGTCACTTCCTCAAGGGCTCCTCCGCCACCCTCGGCCTCACAAAAGTCAAGGACTCGTGCGAAAAGATTCAACACTACGGACAGAAGAAGGACGACACGGGCACCAAGGACATAGAGGAGAAGGAGGCTCTCGAGAAGCTCAAGACCACCATCAAGGCCGCGAAGCAGGAGTTCAACGACGTTGAGAAGGTCCTCAGGAAGTTCTACAACGACGAGTCCTGAGGGTAACGTTACGCATCGGGCGCATCGGCTTACGAATGTCACGGATAGAGCTTTGGTAGACCACCTTCTCGAGCGCGCGTTGACAAGGAGAGGAGCATGACGAGGTCGGGCATCCCCCACGGCCGACAGCAGGAATGCTTGCCATGATCTCATAGGGTTCGCGACAGCAAGGAGGGCAATCCAATTCGCTCCCCATCAAAATTAATTCTCTACACGCCATTTTCTCACCATCTTTCCCATCACGTTTTTCTTCTCCTTTGTCGTGTCTCCCGGGCGGGACGAACTCTCCGACGCCCGCCCGGGGATGGCTTCTGTGTACAGGACTATTTGGGGACTGCATTGTTTGCGTTGCGTAGGAACGAAGGGGTTCTTTTCCTTGAATTGTACCTCCGCAGCCATTTAGATCACACGATATTGCATAGGCTTGGATCTGCACGTCCAAAAGCTCGTCCGTCCCACCGTCCGTCCGAAAGCAGCACCGTCTAAATCATCCGTATCATTTTCACGCACGTTCGTCCGTTATATGTAGCCCTATGCAAGTCTTCCCATGATTGTATAATCGAGCCATTGCGGGCCGATTGCGGAGTTTCTCTAGGCGGGTGCCGTGCCCTCCCTTCTCGAAGGCAGGGCAGGGCAGGGCGAGGGGCAGAGGGAGGGGCAAGCGTTTGCGTTGTGCGTTTGCTTTCCCACGTTGCGCTAACCCCACAGTTTATTCTTACGTCACTCTATCAATAGGTTAGCCTTGCATAACTCTCCAACTGCCTACCGAGCTGAACATTTATGCATACATAAAACGTGCATGTGGTTTTTATATCTGATGATGATGCTAGGCAACGAAACGACGGATTACTATGTAACCACTGACATTGATATTGACGACCACGGACGCGAATGTGAACTGAATTAACGCACTTTACGCAAAGAAGGTTATATCAGCATTAACATAGCGTCTCCTACCCGGTCTGGCAATTGAGTACCTACACTCTACGCGTTTAATAGCACCACACGTCGCACGTCGAACTATACAGCGCCATCATATCATCGTATCAACACACCTGGTCTAATATAGTAGAAAGAGATATACACAGTACACCCCAGGCTTCCGTTCGCTCCGTCAAGCTTTGCACATGCGCGGCGTCACTTCACTGCTGCCAATTGTACGAAGATCTGGATTCTCGAAACTATTTCAAGGGCAACCTCATCTACCCGTGAATACATTCAAACGGCACGGCAGTCGAGCTCTCAACACCACCCCTCCCACCAGAAGCCCGTCTTCAAACAGCGTGAAGGTGTTTCGATTCAGCCCACCCTCAAAACCTCAGACGCAACCAAAGCCAGAAGCAGAAGCAATGGGAAAACGCAAGTCCAAAAACCAGGAGTACAACACTTTCCTCGACGACGAGAGACCTGCCCCCCAACAGCCCCCCCAACCCCAACAACAATTCCAACCCCAAGAACAAAAGGGGAAGGGAGAGAAACTAACGCACTTCCTCTCCCTGCCCCTCACACTCCCGTCCGCCTCCATCATCCCACAGCTCCAGTCCGCCCTCGCGACGATTAAAAACGACGTCGATCCAGGGAGTAGTCCAAACGCTAGGTTCCCAGCACTGTTCCCAGCGGATGCGGTTCGGCCGGCGGGGACGCTGCATCTCACGCTCGGCGTCATGGCGCTGTCCTCCCCCGCCGACCTCACATCCCTAGAAACGTTCGTCAAGGAGCTTGACGTGCGGGGTTTGCTTCCCGCGCCCGGGCTCCCTGATCCCACGACAGAAGCACAGGGTACGCCAGCGGTGGAAGGTGTGGAGTTGGACCTGAGAGGCCTGCACGCGATGAGAGACGTCGAGAGGACGAGCGTGCTGTATGCGTCCCCTCACCCCACGAACATACCAGCGCAGGCGTTCGAAGCGTTTGCGACGGGGCTACGGGACGCTTTTACGGGGGCTGGGTTTGTGAGGGACGAGGGGAGGGGGTTGAAGTTGCATGGGACGGTCGTTAATACTATCTACTGTCGCTCGAAAGCCGCGCCGGGAGGGGGTGGTAGAGGGGGAGGTAGGGGGAGGAGAGGTGGGCCTGTGAAGTTTGACGCGCGTGGGATTGTGGAGGCGTATTCAGATGGGGAGGGTTTCGTTTGGGCGAAGGGGGTGAGGGTTGATAGGGTTCAGGTTTGTGAGATGGGTGCGCGTACGCTTGAGGACGGGTCTCAGGGGTATGCTGTTGTTTTCGAAAAATCGTTCATTTAGCATTTACATTTAGATGGATAGATTTAGATGGGTAGAATGGTTACACGCCCTCGCCATGCTCCAACTTTTCGACCTCACGCGTGATGCGTTCGATATCCCGCTTCAAGGTCACCTTCCGCGCCCCGAGATCACGCATCCCCTTCTCGCCCGCGCCCGCGTACATCTGCAGCGCCTTCTCCGCGACCACCCTCCTATCTTCCAGTCCCTTCTTCTCGGCCGCAAGCGCCTTGCCGAGACCACGCAGCGCGCGCTCGAAGTCGCCGCCCGCGGGGGAGGCGGAGATGGTGAGGCGCAGGATGCGCGCCTGGGCGTCCAGGAGGGCGGCTTTCGCGGCGAGGAGCTCGGCGCGGGTTCGCGTGGAGCGGGAGACGGAGCCGTGGGTTACTTGTTCGAGGGTGGAGATGGCGGTTTCGAGGAGGGTGCGGTGGAGGGTGAGGGTTGTGTGGGCTGTGTTTGCTAGGACTGCGTGGGCTTGGGCGAGGGAGGAGGGGAGGGTGAGGGTGGTGTGGGTTTTCAGGGCGGAGACTTCGTGGGCGAGGGAGGAGGGGGGGATGGGGGTTAGGGGGGAGAGGAGGGTGGTGAGGTGCGTGGTTAGGGTTAGGAGTTGGAGGGAGAGGAAGTGCGCGATTTGGGGGGTCGAGGTTAGGAAGTGGGTGGTCTCTGAGGAGAGGGTTTCGAGGTCTGAGGGGGAGAGTTGGTGCCGGAGGTGCGCGACGGCTATGGCGAGGGGTTGGTGGAGGTCCTGGGGTAGGTCGGGTTGCGTTGATGGGAGGGTGGAGAGTGTGGTTGTGAGGATGTTGGTTTGGATGAGGTTGGATTGGGCGTGCGTGAGGTTCTGGAGTTTGAGTTAGTTGAGTGTTTTTCTTGAGATGAGGATGTTTTTGGAGAGAGGGGGTTGAAGGTTTGTATGATAGTCACGGGATTGATAGATCCCAATTGATGCCAAGGAATGAATGGAAAAGTCATGAGATGGCATCGACGACTGCAATTATACAGCAAGTCTGTCTTCTGCAGGAAACGAAAGACGTCACGATTAATCGTGATAAGCAAATTCATTTCAACATACCCGCCGTATCTCATCATGCATTCTTTGCTTCTTCGTGTCCCTGGTTGAGCCATCTGGGTTCAACTTCCGCGTGCACAAATCTTTGTAAAGGATTGCAAAGCTGGGATTCCGCTGCAGCACGTTTGGGTCCACTGGAGGTAGCATTATTGCTTTTTGGATTTCAAAATCCTGATGTGGGTGGGTTTTGAGGATTGGATGTTGAGTGACGGTGAACGTTTGTTGTATCGGAGGAAGGAACTAGGGGATATTAGGTTAGAGGCTTGGCATAGAGGTTATATCAGATGAATGGAGTCTGCGCACAGTGCTTGATGACATTGTGATAGTAGACAAATCTTGTCAGATTCTTGTTAAATTGGTCTAGATAATTCTATCTCTTTCAATCGATAATCAGAACCAATCATTGGGTCTCCCGACATTGTGGCTCACGAATTGCCCTGAGTCCGCAATCGTGGCGGCATCAATGACTTCAATCATCTTCCTCACGTTCTCCTCTGGTGGAGATGGGCCATTGCATCTAGGATCCCACGCCTTGAACTTCGCCTCCAACATCTGGAACAATTGATCGACCTCAGGAGGAACTAAACATCCGAAAGTTAGCATACTAAAGAATCACAGATAGAAACTGAATGACCTACCATTCCCCTCTTCATCAACCTGCGTCAAAACCCACCCAGGACTCAACGACAAAAATATGACACCTTTATTCTTAAACTCCTCCGCATACTTCAGAATCAAAAAGTTCGCCGCGACCTTCGACAGCGAGTACGTAATGAAATTCGCGAAGCCCGCGCCCGACACCGCATCAGGGTGCGCATGTCCGGTACTGATATAAATCACCTTCTTGATCTCAGACTTCTCGACCAGCGGCAGGAACGCATTCGCCGCGTACAGCAGCCCCGCGGTGTTCGTCTCCATGGCCTTGTTCAGCGAATCGCGGAACATGTCTTCCTTGCCGATGAAGTCGGTGGGATTCTCGAGGGCGCCATCGAAGGATAGGTAGGCGCCGTTGATGATGAGGTGGTCGACGACGCCGTTGGTGATCGATGATGTGGCTTTTGCGGCGGCGTTGAGGGATTCGTGGGAGTTGAGGTCGCCGGCGATGATGTGGACGTTGCGGAGGCCGTCTTTTTCGACTTTCTGCTTCGTTGGGTCGGGGTTGCGGACTATGCCGATGACGATGTTTGATTCATCTGCGGATAGGGTTTTGAGGTATTGATACTGTGTGATGTGGTTAGCGGAATGTCTTGAAGTATATACAATACCGGTTGAACTACCCCAATACCCCTAGAAGCGCCAACAATAACCCAAGACGGCATTTTTAGATACACGATAAAAGTATACTAGATTAATGAATAGATGTGAAGTCTACATGAGAGTCTACAGCGCCGTACAGCCTTCCCATCCTCGCCTTTATATATCTTCCAAACCCCTCCTCCACTCGCCGTATCCGCGCCGCCCGTTTAATCTCACCGCATGCCAATGCCAATATCAACTCCCACAACTGCAGCCCATTTCTCCTTCTAGGGAAGGTCCCATGTAATACCTCTACGCCATATCGCTTTATTGGATCAGCGGCAAGGATGTTTCCGTCGTGGTTGGGGATGCTTGATGGTACGTCATGCTAGGTGAGATTTTAGGGCAGGTGATATGGTCTTGTAAATTCGTCCGTCCGCATTTGCATGAATCAAAGCCTTGAGGCGTCATTAAAGGTTGATAATAATGGAAGTTCGAGATGTGGGGTTCTCTTTTGATTTGTAAGGTATCTAGTGTGAACGTCTTTATTGCCCAGTTCGGAGATTTATAACATTTCAAGAGATGAGATCTTGGTTGAGTCAGCTACTGATAAATGTCCTCTTTCCTATTTCGTACAGATGCATGCTCCACTGGAAACTTTTATGTGATAGATATCGATCCGCTGTTTTACCTTCACTTGTCGTTGGAATATGGAAGATACCCGGTCAAACCGTTGGGAATGTACTTCACAATACGAGACATAGTGCTAGACGCCCGGCTACATTTCTCAAAATTGATTCTGATCTGTAATGTTGATACAATACGTTAAAGGTCTCGAAATTTCACTCCATAGACTGTACGGCAAGTGAGTGAGTGATTGTCTTCAGATCATGACACGTACAATACGTTCGTGAGATGCGGCCCCGCCTTCCCCGAGGGCGCCTTTCATTTGAGAAATATCACTGATACACTGTATTCAAATAGATGATCTTTGATCTAGGGAATTCATGGCTGTTGTGCTATAGTATTGTTGTTATTATGCTCCGTTGCTATAGTGAAGCACCTATTCTAAATACACAATGTTGAGCCTTCTTAATTTCATCCACCAAGCCGGATCCGCCAAGACAGCTATGAGCAACACCATAATCAGTGCGAACGCTTGAGGATCTTGAACTTCACTAACTTCATAAATAGTCGTCTTTGTGGCTCACTTCACCCCTCGGTCACTCTCTCACGCGCACTTGCCAGCATATCACAGCCTCTGCTTCGCACCTACCACGCTTCTTCAAAAGAACAGTCCGCCAAATTCTCCTCCAAATGCAGGCTGCTCCACCGGGATCAAGGTTTTACCGCTCGCACTGCTTCGTCTGCGGCGACAAGGGAAGCGATCTTCTACCACTCATTCGCCTCCCCTGCGGCTATCACGTTGTATGCCGAGATCCAGATTCACAATGCCTGGCGCACACGTTCCGAGTTGCCACGCATGACGAGGGCATGTTTCCTGCCAAATGTTGCAAGGAGATTCCTCTGATCGACGAATATCGCCCTCTCATGCCCGAGAAACTCTTTGCTAAGTACGAGAGCAGGGAAAGGGAATGGCGCGTTCCGCCAAAGTCGCGGACCTATTGTTCCAACGCGAAGTGTGCTGTCTTCATCCACCCGGACAAACAACATGACGTAGCGGGCCAGAAGATTGTACGCTGCGGAGACTGTAGCACCAGTACGTGTGTCAAGTGTCGCGTGAATCTCCACCATGGACGCGATTGCGGCAAACCTAACTGTGGCAGGTGCGCAAGCAAACTCACAGTCGCGATCAGGGCTCACGAGTGCAAGGTCTCCAAGGAGGAGCGCAAGTTCAAGGAGGAAATCAAGGCAGGAAACCTCCAAGAGTGCCCTTGGTGCGGCCGCAAGATTGAGCTCACGAAGGATTGCAACCGCATGTTCTGCCCCTGCAGGACGGTCTTCTGTTACATTTGTGGCAAGGAGTGGAAGGGTGTGCATGGATGCCCTACCCAGGGAAAGGCGATCTACGACAAGGACGGCTACAATCAGCGTGGTTATCACCGAGACACTGGACTTGACAGGAACGGAAACGAATACAGGAGCATGCGACATGGCCTTGACGACTTTGATGCATTTGATGAGGACGAAGTCATGGACGAAATAAATGGGCTTATGGAGGAGTAAGCGTTGTAGGCAAAGTCTCAATGATCGGTTGATTGACAGCAGTCAAGACTTCAAGCATGAACGTCAGAGACCGTTGAACAATGGAGGGTACGTACGACCCGAGTGTCAATTTCAACCATCTTGCTGACGCCTGGAAACCTTCATCCAAGTGTGTAATTCTAGTGCCTGATGATATCAGAAGGATGGATCATTTCAGGTTCAAAAATAGTACTCTGTAATAATAAATCAAAGGGAAGTTCGACTCAAGAAAATCTCAAGTTTGACAGTGAATAGGTAGTTCAGTCTTGTGGAGTAACAAGGAATAACCCTCCATGCTAGTTAAGGTCGACGTTTCTTCCAGACAGTACCTTACATCTGGTGAGGGAAGAAGAGCCCATGTACTTCCCATTGCAGGTAAAATAAGGGGGACTGAAGACGCAACGGTTCACCTGATCACGATGAATGACATTTCCGGCCTCAACCAAGAACCATACCCAAGAACCATACCTTCGGAACCCAACAAAAAGAACTCCTCGGCATATATAAACCAGAATTTCTCCTCAGAGCATCTGACAGACGGATTATCGAAACTTGCCGATATCACTACCATGCAGGCTCTACCATGGGACAAAACAAGTAAGCTTTTCCCAAGACAAGGTCTCCAATACAGACACTCTCCTTGGCGCCAATGTCATTTCCCTCTCGAAAGTTGAACGGAGCCTGCTCTCTATCTTCCATTAACGATGTCCGATATTCAGCGTCATTTATAGGTAGTGCTGCGTTCATGGAGACCAATACCACATTTTCTGGATACCACTCCAGTTTTTATTGAATTCTACCAAGTTTCCATCACCAGTACCACGGAACTAATGATATTGCACGGTGTAAACCTGGTCGAGTCGATATATTCCAACATTATTACCATGTCACAAATATTTTTGCGCTGCACATTTCCTTGGGTCAACAGGTTTGGGTATAAAAGCTGAGAATCGCCTTCATCTCTGAATCTACTCAACATTGGACATTACTCAGACAAAGGCATTTCAGCACCGGATGCCCATCATCATCATAAAGCTCATCGCTCAACGCCGATCGTACGTTATATCTTATAGCGATCTAGACATGTACGTATCGTACGTACATCTCATTGAGGAACTGACAGGCCATCAGGACATATCACGACAGAGACGTGGATAAGAGACCGACTATACAAACAGTACCTACCAGCAATTCTTTTGCCAATCTGTATCACGTCCCTATACACGAATGCCTGACACTGGCCAAGCCCTGGAGTGCTTCGTGTGCTACGACGCTGGCAGTGAAGAGATGCCTCTCATCCCTTTCGGCTGCAACCGCCATTACGTCTGCCAGGACCCACAGTCTATGTGTCTGAAGTTCATCTTCGAGTGTGCAACGAACAATGAGTCCCTGTGGCCTGTAAAATGTTGTGGCACATTCATAGAAATTGGCTACTTCAACGACTACGTTCCGAAGCTCTTGCCAATCTTGACGTGCCTGCGGTACCAGGCAAAAGGGCAGGAGTACCGTATGCATCCCAGAACCCGGGTGTACTGTGCGAACGAAGAATGCAGAAACTTCCTCCACCCCTACATCTACTGCTGCACCTTGGATGGAGTCCAATTCGCGCGCTGTATCGACTGTCTCGATCTCACCTGCACCACGTGCGGAAAGTCGCTCTACGACAGAGCATGCAGAATCGCCGGCTGCATGGAGTGCGAATTAAGACCGAATCCAGAGCACTCGGCGCACGCGTGCAATACGGAGAAGGACGAGTCGTTCCTGGCCTTCTGCAGGGAACACAACTTCAAGCAATGCGACAGATGCGGAAACATGGTCGAGCTCGCCGATGCCTGCAACCACATAACCTGCATATGCGACTATGAGTTCTGCTATATCTGCGGTAGACGCTGGCTAGGACTGCATGGATGCCCAAGATACGGCCAGCCAGTGTATGACGACGAGGGTTTCAACCAGGACGGCTTTCATCGTGACACGGGTCTAAACAGAGATGGTGCGGCTCGCTTTTGGGACGAATTGGAGCCAGAAGATGACGATGCCGTTGTCGAGGAGCCCCAGGAGGAAAGGGTTTTAGAGGCATATGACACCGGGCGTTTTCTTGGCAGATGGTTGGACGACGGTTACAATCTGGTATACATTGGCGGAGCGGATCGGTTGGGTGCTCGAGAAGAAGAAGATGGAGCCGATGAAGATGAAGAATGGGAGACCGAAGAGGAGGGGGACGACGAAAGCGAAGAGGATGATGATTCTGATGACGAAGATGATGAAGATTACGAGGACGAGGAAGAGGACGCAGAAGATGATACTAGGAACTGGCATGATCTCTTCGAGGATCGACCGATCCGGGAACTCAACCCTACAGTAACCGTTCTTAGAGAGAGACTTGCTCGATACGACTTAACGCATGAGCATCAGGAGTGGGATGATGCCTTGGAACAAGCACAATTCTCCGATCATGGTCGGATTCGCGAGGCTGAAATCCTATATTGGTCCGATTAAGGTCAGATTAACGAAGAGGAAATCCTATTTTCCTCCGAGTTGCCAAACAGTTCACTGGACGCTGCTATTTGAAATACATCTTAAGTTTGTCCCTTTTCCCAGATGTTTACGCGAATTGCAAAGTAGTAGATCGTAATGGCACTCTCGTGATTTTTCTTCCACTGTACTCTAGACCCCTGTAAGATGGAGAATGCACTCTAATTAAAGCCACGAAACGCAACTACAACACACCTTTTATGACGCCTCATGTCATGGATTCCGGACATTTCTTATGATTCATATGACTTGATAACATATCTATCGGTAGTAGACACGTAGTCGCCGAAGCTTGGGGATGTTGCAATAATGATGCTGTCGATATCCAGGAGGTTGGCGCTACGCCAAGAGCGCCGCAATGTTGTACAACCGACAGGTTCTATTCTGGCACCGATCTTCTTTCAATGTTTGTCCTTTCATGCTATCTGAAAACCGCCGAATCGACTGCAGAGTACTAGATATGATTACACACTTCCGTACGCACAGTCGAACCTGTGTGCTATGTTTCGGACATGTGGATGATGGCTGGTTTGGTATGTGATGATTTATTGATCGAACGGGAGAATGTCTACTAAGTTTGCAAGTAGTTCAAGAAGATTACTTGACACTTCTGCCTCCGAATAGCAGCTGTTCGAATACGGCTTGCAGAAAGTGCAAAGGGGCACCTCTAACATTCCTCGCTCACGATCTTTGCGTAGGCATCTTACAGATACTGCGAGGCACTCAGCCTTGCGAGGTACGTAGCAATGCCACAGCTATCGAAGACCTGCGGACACCAATTTGGGATATGGGAAGGGCACTGGCTCCAATTGCACCTGGGCCGCCTGTGATATGGAGCCAGACGGAGGTCTTACAGTCTTCCTTCTGCTCTGCGACCATTTCAAGAATCTTGCGTGCATGGCCACGTCATGATAAGGTCTGGGAGTTGCTAGACCGGCTTCGTGACCTGCCGCAGGAAATTCTCCAGATCATCATATCCAACGTTAAAGAGGACTGTGCTTTACGGACTCTTTTCATCCTTTTTGGAGACACTTTCAATATACTTGTGAATCTCGAGTCTGACCAGGATCGGGACTTCTCAGTGTCGAGTGAAGATGAAATCTTCGCGACTTCCATTCGCATTGGCAGCACGACATACCTCACTGGGTTGTTCGATGAAAAAGTCGAGGACTCGGTCTTGATGAAGCCAGCTACCCTTCGAGGTGGGTTCCTCGTCGTCTGGCTTAACACTATCGGAGTCACTCGCGTGGAGTTTCATTCGTCCCTTGATTCGCTCCCGGATTGGAAATCTGATCGAGAATGGTTGTATGCCATGGCCCTACCGCATAGGATACAAATACATTCAAAGGTACATTCATTGCAGATTGAGAAAGATGATTGATATACTGATGGCTCGTAGGGCGTGTTTCTCAAACAGATCACCGACAGTGCCGGAGGCCTGAACAGCATTCGCTGGAACTCTTCAAAAGCGCTTCTTTATCCAAGCCCCCAACTCCCGCGGCTACCCAGAAATTACAAAATATATCTTCAATACGTACCACTACACGACACAACAACAGGCATATCCTTTGCTTTCAGGACCACTCAACTTCTCGCAATCATAAGTCACGGGGGTGCAACAGACCGGGCTGAGGACTATTCAAAAGCTGATGAAGATGCGGCGTGGATATACTGTCCATTACGAAAACCAGACGAAAAGATCGTTGAACTATGGTCCGTTCAGAGTGAATCTCCAGGCGTTGCAAACATAGCATTCATTGTAAGAAACCAGGGTCCTGTATCACTGTCCTTCTAATGATTGTACTAGCTTCGAACTGACAAGAAGCTACTCTGGATCGGAGTTGCTTACGAAAAACACCCACGTGCCAAAGAGAGGGCACTTTTTGAACCATTGTCGCGGCGTCCACTCCATGGGCTCTATTACAATGTACGTGATGAAACTGGTGCAAGGCAGGTAGTTGGTGCTACCAGCGAAGGCGTTGATCAAGAAGGGGGCCTGCCAATATCTCAACCGGATTTTCCAGCTCGCCGTACCGAGGGACAAGTTGAGCCAGTTAGTGCTTGGACTGAAAACTGGCATTGGTTCTACTCAGAAGCTCCACTTTCGTCAGTTGAACGCGTTCGAACGTGCTCATGGAACGACGATTGCCAGGGTGTGCTTCTGCGATACAAGGACCACGACGAGATTTTGGGGCAATACAGACTAGACATGCTGGAGTCGGAGTGGATCGATAATCCCCAGTGGGTTGTTGTTCGAACTTACGCATGGGTCCAAGTTTACTTCTCACAATACTACCCTACGGATGTGGATGTGGCCCAAGGTGATTGTGTCTTTCCTATGTCTGGCTTCATGTGTTGGTGGTTCCGACTTGGGCAGAATCCTCGTATTTCTGTAGTCTCATAGTAAGACTGATATGGACGACAAACGTGTGTGAGCACGAAGCAGTTTTCTTTCATTTGAACTTCCAACTGTATCACGGAAAACCAGGAAAGAAAGCAATACCTACTACATTGGACTCAAGCCCTGAAGGAAGAACGAAGAAGCGCCTATTCAATTTGCCCCTTCTTATCAGTGATTATTTGGAGAACGTACTTTCCATACCTCCATAGTTGTTTCCTTGTCGAATTTGAACTAGAACTTGTCTCTTGCAAAGCTGTTTGCTCGTCTGTTCCAGTTGTCCCAAACATTCCTACAGATTTAGCTGTAATTTGCTTGGAGCGGTTTATCTCCAATTGAGACGCCAAGGTAAGTATCTAGATTAGAACAGTGGCTTCTCGCGTTACATTTATTAGGAGTATATACGATGATTCCACCGCTCTTATTATTTGATTTGTAATCCTGAAGATGCTCTGCCCATATTTAACCAACTCTAGCCAGGACTAGCCCGTGCACTATAGTCAAACAACCACTTTAAGAACTGACATCATTCATCACATTCGACGGCCATTGCGAATATCCAACCTTGAAAAAGTATCTTTTGGAATCAAACCATTTTCTTTTAGATTCCCAGCAAGAAAATGTCTTATAGCAGAATCGGCGTTGTCACCGGTGCCAACAAAGTAAGCAACCCCCCGCCATATCATCATCTCAACATCTAACCCATTGCAGGGTATCGGGTATGCAATAGGTATATAATATCTTTACCATAACAATGAACGATACTGTTAACACCATATCCAAACAGTCCGCCAACTTGCCCTCCAATACCCAACCTCGCCCACCAACGCCGGACCCCTACTAATCTACCTTACGTCCCGTGACCAATCTCGCGGCGAAGCCGCCCTACAAAGCCTCCAGCAGGACTCCCAGCTCAAGGAAGCAAAGGCATTGGCGTCTGACGGCGGAGTCGCGGAGATAAAGTATCATGCCCTCGATATTACCGAGGAGGACAGTGTGGGGAAGTTCGTTAAGCATCTGAGGGAAAAGCACGAGGGCGGGATTGATTTTGTGATTAATAATGCGGGGATTGCGTTGAACGGATTTGGTATGTTGAGATTTCCTGTTTCAATGATTAAAAAATCATTGTGAGGCGGAGAATGGGGATTTAGATGTGTTTCAAATGACCTTGCTAACGAGAGTCCAGACATCGACGTCGTGAAGAAGACGCTCGGCTGCAACTACTACAACACTCTCAGCGCATGCCACGCCTTCCTCCCCCTCCTAAAACCCCACGGCCGCATTGTCAACGTCGCCAGCACCGGCGGAAAACTCAACATCTTCTCGCCCACCATACGCAACCGCTTCCTCGCCTCAAAGACAGAATCCGACGTCGACGCACTCATGCAAGAGTTCACCGCAGCCGTGGAGGCAGGAACGCAGTCTGAAGCAGGATTCCCTAGCGCCGCGTATGCGACGTCGAAGGCGGGACTGATCGCGGGTACGCGTGCGCTCGCGAGGACGGAGAAGGAGAAGGGAGGAACGGTGTTGATCAATTCTTGCTGTCCGGGGTATGTGGCCACGGATATGTCGAAGCATAATGGGACGTTGACGCCGGATCAGGGGGCGCAGACGCCAGTTATGCTGGCGTTGAAGGATATTAATGGGGAGACGGGGGAGTTCTGGAAGGATCTCAAGCATGAGGAGTGGTAGATGTTGATATGGTATCTTGTACGATAAGATGTTATTAGGAGACAACGAGGGGGAAAGTCCATGTTTTGGGCTATTGCGGCAGTCTATAATGTAGAAGAAAATAGCAACTGGACTCCAAGTCTACAGTATATAAGGGAGAGCGGCCTCCCTTGAGAACATGGCATGGAGGTGCAGCGAGAAAGAACGTTGTATTTTTCCCCGCGTGGATCCTTAAATCCGACGACATGCCGCTGAGTTTCAGGGTGTCTCGAAGAAGCACGTTCAATAAGATATTACAATCTAGTTGGTCTTCTTGTTCGAGCCTCCCACCGTGCCTTTCAACTTCCACAGACTGAACTTCGCAGTGAAATACATGTCCATGACCGCGCGAGGAAGGAAGAACCACACACCCCACACAATCCAGCTCATCTTGCCCTCCCAAATCGTCCTCTGCTTTCCGTACCAGTGATCCCCAGCGATCACCTGTTTCACGCAGCTCCTTGCATATGTCTGCGTATCCATGCCCAATTGCTGGCTGAACGTCAACCGCCTCTCGTAGTCGTCCTTGATAGGCAGGGAATACGAGTCCGCTGGGAGCTCTCTATGCACCCTCGCGATATTGCTGGTGACGCCTCCAGTAATGACATTCACGACGCGGACGCCCAGGGGCGCAAGCTCGACACGCAGAGTATCCGAGAAAGCGTGCAGCGCTGCTTTCGAAGCGCTGTACGCGGACGCCCATACGTACGGCAAGATTCCCGCGAGACTACCGGTCTGCACGATCGTTCCCTTTGCTTCGATCAGAAGAGGGACGAAGGCTTTCGTCATGGCCATCACGCTGTATACGTTTGCTTCGAACAGGTCGCGCACCTCGTCGATGTCGAGGTCCGTCGCCGGGACTGTGTAGTTTCGGCCGGCATTATTGTACAGGATGTCGAGGCGGTTGTTGGTGATCCGCGTCACCTCGTCTTTCAGGGCATTGATGCTTTGCTGAGAGGTTACTTCGAGCGGGAGATAGGTGATCTCGGGATGTGGTGCGGATGGGTATTTGGAGGGGTCGCGCACGGTGGCGAGGACGTGATAGCCTGGTAAGGTCCTCTCATCAGTATTTCGGCGCAATGGTTTGCAAGCCACCTTCATTTAAGCATCTCACTCGCAGGAAATCGTACATACCTTTAGCAGCGAACTCGAGAGCTAAGTAATGGCCAATGCCGCCAGGCGTGCAGCTGTTACGACGTAGAGGGTTAGTCGAAGGATGTCCGGCAAGCAGCAAGATGTTGGGTGGGGGAATAGCCGAATGCCATACGAAAATTGTTGTAGGATTTGCCTCTTTCGATGAACTTACCCAGTCACCAATGCATATTTCTTCTGTGTAGAGGCCATGGCTATCTGGTTAAAATATTGAGTCGTCTGAATGATAATTGAGATGGGATGAGATTGTTGAGAAGGCCCTTTCAACAATAAGAACAACAAGGCCTCGGGAACAGTCGTCGTCAGGTGAATGATCTCGGAGTTGAGGGAATCTAAACAGTCAATCAATTACTGTGTAGGAAGATCAATTACGCCTGACAACGCGCGGTCCATGGATTTGCTGAGTGAGCGACTGCGATTTGGCATGTGGTACAATACGAAGTCGATCATCGATGAAACTCAGAGCTTGAGCACAGACCTGGTCTAATCAAGTACCTAGGCAGTCAAATATCAGCTATCTAAAACCTACTCGCAACTACATACACAATTGAAGTCATATATACGATATGGCACTCCTAGTGTTGTTGTGAACTGATATGAGAAAGCATTGGATCTTTTCGGATAGCGCACGCATATACGAAGGTGCTAAGATGAAAGGATACAAACAACCCCTCAGCTCAACCCTGACGTAATAGGACGAACCACGACGAAGACAGCATTAACTATTCAGAAAATGGATGAACTACTTGACCCCTCAAAGCCACATCGGATCGTTCTCGGAGCTTTCTCAGCTCTTCCTGATATCTTGTGTCGTGCCTCAAATATCCTCCTCAGCTCTACCTAATGTCATGATCAAACGGAGACCTTCAAAACTTCACAACTCGCCCTAAAAGTACTGCAATAAGCATCCCATTTGCATCATGGCATCATCGTGGATGAAAGACCACATGCCGGGGTTTCTGCTGCCGGCAATGCTACTTACCCTCTCGTTGTACCGTACGCTTTAGCATCATATCGAACGTCAGTGTAGACCACTCACTCTACTTCAGATTTATTCATGACAATCTTGGAAGTCTCTTTTGTCCAGCTACAGCCATGGAAGCTCCTCAATGTGACAGACCTACGCTTCAAAGGCTTCGCCCGACTATGGTCGCACTGCGGTAAACCCATCCCATGCACCGCCCATCCCTTTCTACAGCATCCCACGTGATACACCCCTTAGAGACAAACGAACAAGAAAACAGAGCCCACAATAACACACACTCCTAAACAGGCGAAGAACTATCCACCGAAATGCCAGGCCCCATAACCAAACTACTCAGCACCTGCTCAGGCCTCGTCCTAGACATCGGCCCAGGCAGCGGTGAGCAACTTCGACACTTCACGCCCTCCCGCATCACGGCTGCGTACGGCGCCGAGCCGGCCGCCGACCTGCACCCCAAGCTCATCTCCACCGCGGAGAAGGTCGGGTTCGCAGGCGGTAAGTATCATGCGCTTTTGTGCGGCGCGGAACCGGAATCGCTCATCCCCGCGTTACACAAGAACGGGTTGCTTGCGACGGCCAAGAGCGGGACGGGAGGAGGAGCGGCGGGGAACAGCGCCGCCGGGAGCGAGGTCTTTGATGAGATATGCAGCGTCCGGGTGCTCTGCGGCGTGCCGCGTCCGCGGGAGACGGTGAAGGGTTTGTATGAGCTGTTGAAGCCAGGGGGGAGGCTGGTCGTGTGCGAGCATGTGGTGAATCAGAGGAGTGCGTTTGCGAGGGGGATGCAGATGCTGTATATGCTGCTTGGGTGGTCGTTCTTCATGGGCGGGTGCGAGTTGCAGAGGGATACGGAGAGGTTTCTCAGAGAGGCTGGGGAGTGGGAGAGGGTGGAGATTGAACAGGTGGGGTCTATGGATACGATTCCGTACATTGTTGGGGAGTTGTTCAAAAAGGAAAGGTGATACAGTAATGCTTGGTTGATCAGTACACTTGGTCACAAATTGTACGGTGGGTTTGCTTAGTCCTTCAGTTGTTGAATGTTCTACGGAGTACTGCGCAGGAAATGAAGATGGACCAGCGGGGTATGACGATTGCAATTTGTAAACAGAAAAGTTCAAACATGCCAGAGAAAAGGAAAAGGCAATTGTGTTGAATTGCAAAGTTGTGGTGGCGGAAGACTTGCTTCAGCCCAGGACCAAAAAAAGGAGGATTAGGGCATCGCTGATAATGAAAAGCCCCATGAAGAACATGTAGAAAAACACACCTGAGCGAAAATCGCTCCCGGTGTTACAAATTCACCCAAAGTGAGAGAACATCTCGATGTACAGTAAAGTATTGTATCGAATTCATTTCCAAGTCCATCTGAAGCAGCATACCGCACGTGCGGCCCAGAGGATGTCGTAGTTGAGTGTATCACCGCACAGTTGTTGAATTGCAAGCGCCTACGATTGCAACGTCCAACAGACGCTATTAATCCGTCATACTCTCGCAAGGTAGCATTCTGTCACTCCAATACAACGATTCCGTCCCACTGGTAATCTCCTTTTCCATAAACCTTTTTGCCGATGCATGTTTTCGCAGTTATGTTGGACAATGTATAGCGTTGGTAGTGTTGGTATTTATGGTACAGATGTTCGTCTCACGTCCCAGTTGGCATGGGAATGATGACCACGGCACCCGAAAGAGCTGCTGCTGTCTCCTTTGGCTTTGGGTCGGACATTGTTGTGCCAATTGTGTGCGGTGGAGCTTTTCTTCCTTTGGTCTGTTTGTATCGACCCCTGTGGTGAGGTTTGGTCGGGAGATATTCTGATTCTGGCGTCGTGCCTGGCTTTCTTCCGGTGATGGATTGATTTCTCGAGTGTCAAAATTCGCTTCTGAGACAGATATTCTCAAAGGTGGAGGCCTGATGTCGATAAGGTGTTCAGATCTCGGTGCTGTACCATTCTACCCTTATATATATGTCTGAACGAGACCACATCGAGAAAAGGGTCCAGCATAGTGCGGTAGGTATTCTAAGCGCCACTATAAAAAAGGTCGCATCGTATATCGCTAGGGACCGCTCTTCTCTCCTGCTTTTGCCTCAGTCTCGGCGATCTTCCCACGCCTTGAGTTTCTACCCGAATTGGGTAGGAAGCTGCGAGATTCACCGGTCCACCTTGGCGATCTATCGCTTAAGAGGAAATGAAAGTGTGGCTGGAATTTTCCTAGCAAGGGTTGGTCTCATCGCATCTCGACACTATGTATGCGCTTAGGGTTTGGATGTTTCTCGACTCTTTTCGGTGGTGGCTAAATGGCGGTTCGCCTCTGGAACATAATTAGCTTGTGGACTCGCGAGGCGAGATGGGATCGATCCTTGATAGAATATGATGGTGCATGCGAGTGGTATGAAAACCGAGAGACGAATGACATGAATTAAGCTGATGTTAGATGCAATTCTGACCATTGAGGTTAGAGCTTCGTGCGTGTACACAGTAAACACAGATCAGCCGTGCGCTTAGGACGCATCATGCGCCAGATCCATGTAGGACAATAAGGGAGTACCTGCTCAATGTCAACGACGATTTGAATCAATAAAAAGGCGCCATTGTGGGAGGGGGGATTCAATTTAAAAGACGATTTTACTTATAGTAATTGAGATGAGGGGACAACGCCACCAGTGAGACTACAGAAGGGAAAACCAAATCGAGAGGACGAAAATGAAAGACCGCTTTTGAGTAAGAAACCATGCAGAGCCCTGTGATGCTGGTCGCTTCCAGCATATATGGGCATCGTGCACTTTTCCAAAACAGGAAAAATAAGTGCATGCCAGACAAGGCTAAAGTTAGCCGATCTGTGTGCTTGGATGTGATGAGACGAATTAAAAAATGGTATAGAGAAGGAAACATGGAGATCTGCGAGACCATAAATGTTGTGAAATCCCGTCGTTCTATCGCCGTCGCCATGCAGGTGCCAAATAATCAATTTTTCTTCTCTGGAGTACCAACGTCAATCATGAAACCCATGACCATGGACGATGTCGCCATTGGACCAAACAAACCCAAATGCAAGGCGAAAGGGCAGAACCATATACAGTCGAACGGGGGAGGGCAAAAAGGATTACTCGCGAGTGGACCACGAACGCCCTACGCTCGAAGTCGCCCGTGGCTATTATGATGATTACTTGAATGCTGTTCAAGCTCGTTTAGGTAAGTCTTTCTGAAAGATATGCGGGTCAGGGTTGCTTTCAAAGAGCCTGGACTGGCTTGGGGTCGTAATATTCATAGAGTTTCTGGCCCTTTTCGCCATTCAATCCAGGCGCCTGAAATGTGGAAACGCCGGTCTCCTGATCATACGTTCGGTACGTAGATGCCAGTCGCTTACCGCCACCTCCTGGTAGATCTACCACGAATTGAGGCATTGCAAACCCAGCAATGGTCCCGCGAAGTTGTTGCTCAATATCAAGCAGAACACCGAGAGGGGTGCGGAGGTCCTCTATACCACGGACCATATCGCACTGATAGACATAGTACTGTACAACATTAGTAAGTGTTACAGATTCCTTGCACATCCTTGTTGCATGAACGTATTCTTCTCGCTGAAGAGTATCAAGGTCAAATCACTTACAGGCCAGATATTGAGATCGGAGAGTTCTCGAATCAGTCTTCCCATAGTCTCTGGGCTATCGTTGACTCCCTTGAGTAGAACAGTCTGGTTCCGCACCACTACATTGTTTTCGAAGAGACGCCGAGCAGCAGCTTTAGTGATCCAGCTGATCTCATCAGGATGATCGAAATGGGTATGGAGGCAAACATGCTTGCCTAGACGTCTTCCCTCATTGCTGATGTCAATCAAAGTTTGTGTCCAGTCATCGTGCGGATCAATGATTCTGTTGGGAAGAACGGCAAGCCCCTTGGAAGCCAAGCGCACGCGTCGAATATGTCCAATAGAAAGTAGCCTATACCGTCAGTACTGCCACAATATTTTATGGTATGAAAGCTTTACCGATAAGCTATCTCCCTTAGGAGGTGGGGCTCAAGTTGATACGTATCCCCCCCAGAAACCACGACATCGGTGATTTGAGGCGTTTTCTCAAGGTGCTGGTAGATGACGTCCCACCGCCTGCGACTGGGTTTCTGTCGCTTTTTTTCTACTGTACTGGTGTCATCTCCAACAGCGTAAGATCTGGTGCAGAAGCGGCAATATGTCGGACAGATCGAGGTCGCTACAAGATAGTCAATAGCTAGTCCGCGCGATGATGCATGGAGACATACCAAGCATCAGAGCTTTATCTGGATATCGATGGACGAGTCCAGGCACAGCTGTACGACGGGTCAGCATGTATCATGTGATCGTAACTAAATCCAACACTCACGAGAATCTGACTCTTCATGCAAAGAATCAAGAGTAAGCTTTTCATGATCATCGACGAAGCATGAATTGAGAGGAATGAATTGGCGCCTGATAGGATCATCAATTGCATTTTTCCAATTGACTCTACTAAGAGTATATGGCGTTAATCGAATTGCCATTGGGGCATTCTCGAGGCCTAGCATTGCGTCCTTGATGAACTTTTCTCTGGTCACAATTTCGCTTAGACGAGGGTCCTTTGACGGTGTAAGAACTTCTGGGAGGGCTTGTTTAAGGAACGTTTCCAGCTTGTCCTTATTTCCAATTGTGTTTCTGACCTGGCGAGTGGCACGTCAGAGACTGGATCTATTCAGGATACTGAAGCTTCAACTTACCTGCCAGCGATAGCTCATGAATTCAGCATTGCTGACATCCTTCCATTGCGGCACAGCACGCCAGAAAGGATCGCCCGTTGCAGAATCTGCAGCGCTAGCAAGCTGTCGGCATTGATAACGTGCAGTATGAACATGTGAGTTAATGAAAAAAGATGGGGTTGGCCTGGAACAGGCGACCGCTGGCAGTCTTGTGCCAAGCGCTCTTAACCTGTACATGACTTTCAATGGTTCCCTTTATGGACAGAGTCGAAGAGAGATTGGAAGGTCAGATCAGTGAGTGAACAAAGGAGGGTGTCGACCTGCCTTATACAGGCGCCATGGGGTCTGCAAGTACAGGGTTGGGTGTCGCAACCTATTCCCCAACATGAAGCTATCCCGGGAGCCGGGAGAGCTCTTAGGCACAAGAGCGCTTAAGATCCACATGGCCAGCTAACAACTGTTACACGAAACTTCCACGGGTTCAAAAGTTTTTCTTCATGTTGCTTGTTTTGCTGGGAATCATGGGATTATGAAGTTTCATTACTCCGTACATGAAAATGGAATAATCAAGGAAGTGTTGGAAGCTCTTGTGGACACTTCCCTAGCACACTCCGTTTGGAGTAGAATGGGGATTCGTACAATGAAATTGATGCATTAGATGGATGGAAACTCAAGAAGTTGGATTCAATGAAGGCCGAGTGCTAGCGGAACAACAAGAACTGATAGAGATAGTATCGGCCTGCTGCGTCGCATGCGAGTCGTACCAATCCAGTCTATTGGTTTTCCAACGGGACTTGGTACGGGAATAGGTTAGACAAACGTTGCATCGTGAAGATCTGTGGTTGTTGACGATCTAGTCACTAGACAATAGCTGGATGCACATAGAGACCAACCATGGTACTGAACCGGTAACAGGACAATTCTGGGTCTTGAGGAATGGACGCTAGGTACCGTGTATGATAGGTAGGCATGGTCTAACCTTTCACTTGATATCGGAGAAGGATGGTGTCCTGCACGAAAGCAATAGGACTAATGAATAGAGCAAGATGACGGTTAGAGAACGAAAGGCCAGGGCAAACGGCGCTACTGTCTACACTACCAATGAGATGGCAGAGTAGCAGTTGGTATCGGTGTGATGTTTTCTTAAACCTGCAACGCTCATCATCAATGGTGGGAGTTGGACGTGCCGTGGCGAAAAGAAAAACGTCCAGATATCGCGAGGACAGTGGTGTGTACTGTGTAGCGTATCACTTGACAGGGAACAGTACTTGGTACTCGGCCATCTCTCTCCTGGAAACACTCTCTAACTGAACGAAGTTAGCATATTTGTAAGACAGGTCTACGAATGAGGTGCTGAAAATGCAATCATATGCAGCCTCTTCGACCGCTGTCTGCACAGTTGCATGCATATAGTAGGGAGCTTCCGTTGAAGCAATGCGGAATACTCCGTAGATGCGCACGATACGAAGAAAACGACAAGACAGAATATCGCACAGGCTTGACGACGAAATGCTCACATCCAGAACGGTGCTCTATACTCCGTCGAGGTACTGCATACAATGGAAGCACAAAGTTCGGGTGTACAAGGTCGGGAGTACTGGTCTGACGGAGTTGTGGATGTTCCGAGACGACCAGGATGAACAAATGGGATGTGCTTTTGGGCGGCGCTAGTAGACGCTAAGACCTCTTGCCAAGCCGACTAAGTCGACGTCACATCTTCTCTATGTGACACGGCACTTCTGCGAATTGAACCATCGTCACCGAATTCCACTACGACTATACGTCTCTCAACGCCTTCACGCCTCCACGTCTCCACGCATTCACCGCGTAATTATGGCAGAAGCAGAATCCCCAGCTGGAGAGTCGCCCGCCCAAGAGAAGGCACGTCTTCGACGAGAACGGAGGAACGCAAAGCTCCAGACGGGGGGTGCTGCTCGACTCCAAGCGATCACCTCTGTCCAGGGAGGTTCGCACCGTGACGTGGAGAAGGACGTACCTGGTATGATCATCCCCTTTTGATTGATATTGTTGGGATATGGACATGTCATCCTGGAAAACTCACTATCACTTATTTGATTTGACCTAACTCTCGCGATAGTCAGGCCTACTTCCAGCATTGGGAATAATGCTACGCCTACTGCCTCAGGAACCGCTACGCCAGACCCTGATGTGATTGATATATCGTCACATCACTACACGCCTGCAAGCCAGCCACGTCTTCCCTCACCGTTCGCTTTCGACGGGAACTCGCCCCGTCCCGCTCGCTTCGACCCAGCGGGAACAGATGGCCAGGACCCATCCCAAGATCCAATGTTTGCCATGCTTCAGCAGATGATGGCCGGCGGTCCAGGTGGACCAGGCCAGAATCAAGGTCAACCTGGTGCAGCCCCAGACTTGCCGCCTGGCCTCGCCAACATGTTCCAAGCCATGCAAGGCGGTGCACCCGCAGAGCCCTCCCCCAGTCAATCATCTGCTTGGATATGGCGATTGGTTCACTCCGTACTTTCTCTTGTCCTCGCCATCTACATGGTCATCCAGACGCCTTTCAACGGCTCCAAGCTAGCCCGCACATCGCCAGTAGCGGATGACGATTGGACGCTAGACCAGTCGACCGCGGACGCTTTCAAGCACTTCTTCTACCTCTTCGCCACTTTTGAGGTTGTACTGCAATCCAGCCGATATTTTATTGAGAAAGGACAGTTGCAGGGTAGTGGTGTGCTTTCTAGCATAAGTCAGTTTCTACCGGAGCCGTACTCCGGCTACGTCAGGATTGTCGGAAGGTACAGTGTCATCTACTCTACGGTCGTGAGCGATGCTATGGTTGTCCTATTCGTTCTAGGCGCAACGAGCTGGTACAAGGGTACTGCTCCGTCTTGAAGCGTGGCTTGGTGTAGTTTGTACAGCGCGATCTGATAAAGCTTCGTCAGCTTGCAACGGCTTCGTCGAATGTTACTTGGAGATCTCATTTGCCCCACAACATATGGATCCACATTTCACACTACAGGTCGGAATATGCGGTGGGCGGTCCAAGGACATGAAACTGGATGCCCCTTACCGTGGATCAGTGACCGCCTAATGCAACATTCTCTAGAAGCGTGCAAGCCAACCAGGCGAATGCGGCTCTTCGTTTATCGCTCCCTGGGTCAACGGAGCTTAGCGGTGGGGCGCATGAGGGACCATGCCGTGTAACAATCCAACTACCAAGATCCCTGCCACGTCTGGCAGACCGACTATCCATCTTGAGCGCCGCTTTCCACGCAATGATAGATGTCAGGTAAATACTGTCGATTACTCCACCCAATCTGTCTTTGGAATGGTGTAGCATAGTGCCACGCATGTAAGCCTTGTTACGCACCCAAGTGTTTGCTCTTTGGACTTGAATAGGAGATATGCCCCATTGCAGAATGATTTACGGAGCAATACTCCGTGTCTGCATGATCAACGAAGTTTTCGAATGTTATAGACTCGGCTTTTCCTACAAGCCGGCTATCCTACTTCCGCAAATGCCGTCCCAGCTGCGTGAAATTATTGGCAATGGTCATCAATTCATCTATGCTGACTACTTTCGGTGAACTTTGAGTAATTGCTTTTGTGTCGCATTTTTTTTCTACCAAGTGGAAAAGGAAAGATCGACTTCGGATCGACCCCTATTCAATCCATGATCATTCATTCTCGACGGTTCAGGCATTGATATTTGGTTTTTCTATGCCAACGGTGATTCTAAGCCACCGCGCACTGATTATCACGTCGAATTCATCATTCCGCACGTCATCACATGCATCGACTTCCCCCTCGCGACAATTTTCTGAGCAACGAGCCTGCATGATTTGTGATGGCCCAGGTGCCTTTTGCGTTATCATACATATCGAATGCTTCTCTGCAGGATGTATCATCCTATCCAAGAAATAATACCGACACGGTTGTTTCCTGCTTCCGTGTTTTCCAGGACATTCACGCTATTTGACCAGCAACAATTAATTGATCACGGGCAACAACAGCGGCACGAATCTCCGACAAACCCATTGGCTGGATCTATTGTCCGATTCTGTGGGGTACGGTACCTCGAGTACCACAACGCATTCAACTCCGTGGACAGATTACGCCTGTTCCTGGAACAAGGCAAAAAGGCAAACGACGAATCCTGCCTTCCCCAGCCCAATTCGGCAAACAGACAGACCCCTGTCGCTACATACATAGGTACACCATTGACAATGGGGAAAACAAGCTCACTAACTACGTACGGAGTACCGAGCATAAGCAACGACTTCAACGTTCGTCAAAGGTATCTCAACGCCGTTTGACCCTGCTTTGATTCTCAACGCCTTCGAAATGCCGAGCGACGTTTTGTACTCCTGCATGGATAAGTGCTACAGCTTCGAAAGGTGGACAAATTGGCTTGACCTCAGGTTCGGGAATAAGTATCTACGTAGGTAAGATGTAGCTCAAGCTTTACTACAGAGAAGAGACTGGTTGTTTGTCTTCGTCTTCGGGAAGATCGGTTGCAGATGATCTCTTGAAATGCCACATGATCGCCCTTGTGCCTTCTCTTTCGCACTGCGGAGACAGATACCCGTGAGCCGTGTGTATGTACTCCGTACATCTCGGGTCTATCAGTTCCAGATGCTTGGATCTTGGGATTCCGGTATCTGCACGAGATATCAGCTACTACCAAGAAACCTCTATCAAAATGAGCTGCGCTCATCTCCGTGCAGATAGAACAACCCAGACACTTTCCCCTCCTAGCAACCAGACAACCCTCCAAATTCTCCGGAATCTCGCAAGCAAACAAGTTCTTCCTCCATCCGACCCACTCCCCTCCTACTTCCCGTCCACAACACCCGCATACACATACCCACACCCGCATATCTGCACATACGCCACCTTCCCTCAACCCACTCTTCCTCCCGCAAAACAAAAACCCGCTCTCCCGGAAAACATACGGTGAGTCGCTTGTGCCACGGCACCGTCACACAGTTTGCTCGTGTGCGTTGCTTTTGCGGGAGCCGGACGCTGTGTCCGGGGGCGTATCGGAGCGGGCGGGTGCGAAGGGAGGTCAGGTGGTTTATCTTTTTCCCTTTCTGGGGTTGTATTCCGTTTGCTCTTGGGGGGTTAGGAAATGAGAGGATGGGGTGGATGAGTAAATGCTGTGGAAGGGGGCAGCAATACACGAGGGGAGTGTTGCTGTCGTTCGGGCTTGTACGGTGCTGTGCTGTCCTCACAAAAAAGGGAACCCATCGTTGGCCCATCATGTGGTTGGAAAGCAACGGTTAGTAGGTACTGTGTAGGTAGATGAGTGGATGAGTCGACACCCGCTCTCTTCACCGCCCCCTCTGGGCACAAGAGAAAGGTGGAAGGTATGTACGCTCTGTAACCCCCTACAGCGAAACCGTTCCACGCATGCACGTATGCTTTCCTGCCATACTCTTGGAAAGCCATACAAGCACGTTTGTGAATTGGATATTTCTGTTCGATTCGATTCGATTCGATTCGACATAGATACAATGACGTGGTCTATTGGCGTGCTGGTTTGGGAGGTTGGTTGGTTGGCCCTAGGTAGACACCTTGGAACAGTGAGAGCATGTAGTGTATGGTTCCATAGCATAACAAAATATAATAAAAAATTAAAATTCAAACAAATCTTAATTGTCTTAATGGAAGAGTGTGCGATGGTACAACAGAGGGAATGTAGCGGAGTCAGGGTGTTAGTACCAGCAAGCGACAGATTTCTGCGAATAGAGGAAACACTGGTGGGAAGGGTTTGGTGGGTTGTAGAAGTACGGATTTCTGGAGAGAACGAGTTGTTGTTGGCTTTCGACGTGTTTGGAGGCTGGGGTATATTGGATGCTGAGAAGCGAGTTCACACGTTCATTTCGAATGGAAGGCAGGTTTTGGGGATTTTGCCGCAGAAATTGGGACTCGAAGTCAGAAACAATTGTACAATTCTATATATCATACATATCCCCTCCGTTCCTCACCTCATCAGGCGATTCAGAGGGGTGAATTTTCGTTTACACAGCAACAGCAGGCACAGCGAGGCCAGAGTCCCAAAACCGAAGTTGACACCACGAACGATCTACTCCGTGATCTCACCCCTCGCCAACTTCAAAATCCTCTCGTCCTCCCTCTCCTTCTCCAGCCTCTCGCGGACCATCTTCCGATCGGCCTCGCTCCGCTTGTTGAACGCCTCGATCTCGCGCCACTGCTCCTTCTCCTCCTCTGTCATTTGTATCTCGACGGCGCCCGTCCGGCTGACGAGTTGTGCGAGGACTTCGAGCTCCGGCATCTCTTTGATGTCGACGGAGTGTGTGGGGGTTGTGGGTGCTGCGGCGGCGGCGGAGGAAGGGGTGGGTTTGGTGAAGATGTTGAGGGTCGCGGGGCCGGAGGGGTTCTTGTGGCGGGTTATTTGGATGGGGACGCTCGGATTGCGGTATTTTATTCGGGGGAGCATCGTGCGCCAGAACTTCCTGTGAGGGGGCGTCTGTTAGCTTTTTGAAGTTGTTCGTGGTGGAGTGGTAATGGTTGGGTACGGGCGTTGGCTCTCGTGGGGAGTATTGCTGCAGTGTGTCTCGCCCAGGGGTATCAAGTCGGTGGAATTTCAATTGCTGGGTAGAGTCTTGGGAATATCAAGAGGGTAGAAGGAAATATCGTCGTACTTTGCGCCCCGATGTCCTCCTTCGATCTTCTCATGGAACTCCAGTGAAATCTTGGAAACCTCCTTGGGGAGGATCAAAGCTCCTGGTCCCGTCCGTATCCATAGTAACTACACAAAATACTCGTCAATTGATGTCTCCCTATGCGGTAGAGAATGTGCGGAGAGTGGTGAAGGTCATGCGAGTCCGTTCGGAGGTGTCAAAGTGGGAAATTGATCATGTCTGGGTGTACATACCCTCTGTGGGAACTATTAGCGGAGCTCGATTATACTGTAGGATCTGAATAGTTGTACTGACCTCTCTCAAATGGCGCATGCGCCTTATTATATGGACCATGATGTGATGTTGTGTGTTGCTTGTTAGCAGAGCTGTCCATCGCGAGATTTCTTGAAGCCTGGGGCCGAGGTTTTTCCGAAACGTCTGATTGGCCATCACTTTGACAATCACGAATGCATGTCTCACCCGCCCGCACTTGTGAGCAAATATAAGATTCAAAAATGGGTAGATTTCAGTGATCGTTGGTATCTTAAGGATAAATCAGGAGCTCTCCGATACATGTTTCCCTCCGTTTTTCGTCCACAACTTCCGGCGTGGAAGTCACCACCTCCTCCAAGTTCGACCGTGATACATAACCACCGTTGTCCAATTACAATTAGCTACAAATCCTTCCAAACCAGGCCCTAGGAAATAGATCTATATGAATAGAGAAATTGGGCGAAGAGCCCGCGAGGCCTGATCACACATGGTCATGATAGGGCGGGCTGTTTGTCAAATGAGGTGTCGTGCATTTACTGGGCGGGCGCGGCGCGAGCCTGTCCTGCGTTGGGTGCAGCCATGCGCTTGTTCCTACGTATGAATTAGTATTTCGATTGATGTATTCTAGACGTTTAGCGACTTACATGAAAGTCCTGCTGAGGAAGGAGATCATGATCATGGGCAACCAGGATGGCATCTTGGAGAATCCCCAGAGGGCGTAAGCAACGGGGGTAGCAAGGCCAAACTCGGCGAGCTGGCCGTTGAATGGGTGCCAGGCGCCCTCATATGGGGTAACCTGCTCGTACTCCTTGTCGAGGACAAGCTTCTTGATGGTATCGACGGTGGTGGAAGTGCGGTTCAAGGGGATGAAGCGAGCAGTAACGGCAGGAGCAGACTGGTCCGCGAGCGGCTTGGGGATGTTGAAGTAGTAGAGCGAAGGGGGACCAACGGACCACGAGTTGCAGAGGATGGGCTCAGCATCGCAATCGACAATACCGAACTTGGGTGGGTTTGGCTTCGCGGAGATGAGAGCAACAGATTCCTACCATGATGTTAGCTATCGTACATATGCAACGACATGATTTCAGATCGTTTAGAGGTTCAACATACGTTCCATGCCTTGGTGGTGTTTCCACAGAAGCCGTAGCAAGTTGCGTTTCCGCCGTTGATGTAGATGAGCCAGTCCTGGGTCGCCGGTGCGCTCACGGTGGGATCGGCAGTGACGACCTGCTTCCAGTTCTCCAAGGTCAATTCATGCTGGACGCTGTCGGCGACCTTTGCAGCTCCGGCCTGGATGGGGTTTGAGGGGGCGGCGGGCGCAGCGGAAGAAACGGCGTTGGTGAGCTTGTTGAACCAGCCCTTTGCCTGCTCCGCAAGCGGGACCTGGTTCTGTGCAAGCGCGACGGCGGGGAGAGCGAGGGCGATAGTTGAGAAGCGCATTGTTGCGATGAGATGCGATGCGACGAGTACGGGGTTGTCAGGTCGATAGAGATAGGGTTGAGAGAGGAAAGGAAAGGAAGCCTAGGATGACGCTGGAAGGGAAAGTCGAGTATGGAATTACAAGGAAGGAAATACAGGGTCCTGGGATCAGGGAAATGTGGGGATTTTGGTGTGGGCGGGGGCGACGTGCGGAAAGGACACGATTGCGACACCAACGGAAGGTTTTGGTAATAGAAGAGGTAGGATAAGATGGAAGAGAGAGCGTGTGAAGAATTGAAGAATTAGATATTCCTTGAATGATGAAGGAAGAGAGAGAGGAGAGGAAGAGCAGGGGAATAGGGAATAGGGTACGATGTTTGTATTGATTAATGTTATTGTATTGATCCATCGTATCGTTAGGAAACAAGTGACTAAAGGAAGGATTCCTTCCCAATTCGGATGTCGAGGTCGATTCAGTTCGAGGCCTCGTCCGTCTTCCGTCCTCCGAAATTACACGCTAAACCCGTTCGAGCACTAAAACACGCTCGACCAATGAGGTAGCCGTATTGATCTTTAGCATTCATCTCATCCCTAAACCATCGTTCCATGTTCCATCCCTAACAACCAGGCCAGGAACTACCTACGCCAGGAAAAAGCTCCATCCCATCCACCATACCAATATCCACCGAACCATAACAAATTATGAAACCCCTTATCCCTCACCCAATCGGGTTCCTCCAATCCACTTTGCGGCAATTCTACGCCGACCTTGTTTTCAAAACTCTCTGATTTCCCTCAATTGTTGATTCCTTCCCTCGTCCTCGTCCTGTCTTTTCTTTCCATCGTCGTCGTCAACCACTGGTAACGGATCCAACACCCCCTTTACCCGACTTCACGATGCGCCTCAATAGCTTCGCCGCCCTCTTTGCGGCATCCTCTCTCCTCCTCGGCGCCGCTGCTGGTCCAGTTGCTGCCAAGCGACAAGGTAAGCTCAGGCTTGATCCATTGGGATCACTACTACTTCCAGCAGCTAGCTTTAAACTGTATAAGCAATCATAATCACCATGGCTAATCCCATCTTCTGTATATAGAGAACGATGCCACCACCGCTTCCGAGACCGCGACCGCCTCTGCCTCTGGTACCGAGTCCGCCTCCACTTCCGAAGTCACCTCCAGCACTCGCGTCCTCCCTTCCGTCGGTCTCATTGTCAGTACGTTGAGCAATGGAGAAAAGACCACGATCGAGGTGGTAGCTCCCAACCCTACTCCCGGTGCCAAAACAACCGGTGATGAGGACTCGGAACCAACCCCAACCTCCAACACGTACACCTTCTCCCGTACCGGTCTTCCTGTCCCAGCGAGCACAATCTTCCCCGTTTGCAATGATGCGAACGCAAAACCTTTCTGTCTGCCTTCCAATGAGTCAACCTTGTACGTAGGAAAGACATACTACGCCACCTGGAACGCCGACTTCTTCCCCAAGAACTCTACCGTTCTCATCAAGGTCCTCTACTCGAACGATACCACAGAGGAGGTCTGGTCTTCGGAGAAGACTCCCAATGGCTGGGGATTCGTTGCAATCGAGACAACCAAGAGCTGGAAGCAAGGTATGCATTGAATGTACAGGTTGCACAGAAACGTCTCTAACCCTTGTGAATAGGCTACGACCGCTTCAATCTCTCGCTTCAGGCCATCAACTACGACAACAACGAAGGTGGCAAGGCCGAAACATTCCAAGGACCCATGTTCCTCCTCCAGGACGAGCCTACCCGCCACTACGAACCCCCGCCACCAACCAAGTTCAACAAGGAAGGCCTCCTGATTGGCCTCCCAGTCGGTCTCGGTTGCATGATTCTTATCATCGCGGGTCTCCTCTTCGGCATGCGCAAGCATCGTCAAATCGGACTTGGAAACATCATGGGCCGCCGTAACAGGGGCTACGGTGCTCGCAAGAGCAAGAGGGAACGCTTGGGATTGGGCAAGAAGGGCGCCATTCGTCTGGAAGAGAGGGAGGCCGCTTCTGACTGGCACGATGCCCGTGTCCGCGGTAACAGCTTGGGCAGTCTTGTCAGCGACGATGGCATCCGTCCTGGTCGAGGAAACCAGTTCCGCGACGAGATTCAGAGGCAGAAGACCGGCCGTATGGATTAAGTTTCCAGCGGCCTGCACGACGAACGACTTGGCCCGCACTCTGCCGCCCAAGACATTGTACACCAGGAACGTCCAGGCATGGAATAACACGCCCATCGCAAGGACGAATAGAATATCTGACATGCGTCAATGTATCATATGAAAGCATTACTTCTCGCCAACCGCATCGCGACAGGAGTATCATATATTTATGTATCACGAAAATAATTACAGCGGCCCTGTTTCGCTTTTATTCATTGCCCGCACCGAGCCACCGTCCCTGAATCCGATTGATGCAGACATTTTAGAACCTGTCCTGAGGCCCTGACTGAAAGACTGTCAAAGTTCTACTTGCTCAACGATCTTTCCTGAAGAACAAACGGCCCATTGTGCTGTAAGGAAGTGGATATTAACTTTTCCACACAGGCAGGTGTGAACAAAGCACGTCTCTTCATACAACGTGATCGCTGTATTCTCGCTGAAGGCATCGCGGTCTTGTAAGTATATGTGAAATCTGGGATGCGCTTTTCTATTACAATATGGACATCTGGCTTCTAGGGGTACCATCTGTGTCCCAGGAATTTACTTTCTTGAACCGACCTTGCGGTTTGCTGTTTGCTCGAAACCCCCGCCTTCTCGCGCGCCATGTTCGTGTTGTCAGTCTACATGCTAGACTAGTACTGTTCGGGTCAACTCTCAACCTTCCACATCACGTCTGCAGACAACCATGTACCGTTTTGTCCTGAAAATTGTCAAGGGATTGCTCATCTTGCACAAATCAAGGATGCTTTAACAACTTCTGATATCGATATGTATAAAATTTCTACACACGCCATGCTGCGCGATAGCTTGGGGTATTTTCTTTATGTGACTACTAATAGAGAGAAAGGAAGGATATAAAGAAATGGTAGGAAAGAGAAAGGAACGCAAGGAGAGAATTCGCTGAGTCCCGCTCAGCAATTCTTCTTCTCGGGAGACGGCGGGCAAGAATTATCCTTCTCCGCCTCAGGCGTTGCTGCCACCACAGGCATCGCCCAGAACGTATTACAGCACGTAACCAAGGCATACAATTTAATCAGCGTGCAGTACCAACCCAGAAGCAGGTAAGGCACAAAGTACACAACGTCCTGGGGATACTTGCGAAAGTGCGGCATAATCTTAACCGCCTTGAGAGAATCAATCCACAGAAAGAGCGTCAACAAGCAAAGCATACGAGTGCGCGACGAGAATCCCATCCCGGCGAGTCCTGCATTGAGAAAATACGCCAAAGCAAGCTCGTACAGCGCAGTCAACCGGACGAAAGAGTACACCAAGACACTGTATGTAGTGTAGGGGAAGCGCGTCCAGCTCACTCGCTCATACAGCAGCGCGCGCGGGTTCGAACGCCAGGTCGTGCGGTTCCAGCGGATCAGCTGCTTGTGGAAGTTCGGCCACACGCCCACGTTCTCCGTCGCCATGATGCTGTCCGGCCCGCCTTGGATCTTGATCTCCCAGCCGTGGTTGGCGAGCCAGCGGGTGTGGAACTTGTCGTCGTCTGCGTTGAGCGGTCCGACTCGGCCCCAAGGCAAGTGCAAGTACTCGTTGAGATACTGGTGCACGAAATCAGGATCAGCGTAAATACAGGTGCGGAAGACGGCAAAGCGAGAAGACAAGCACGACAATCCACCATCGATGCTATTCGTAGCGAGAAACTCATGGGCTCGGCGCAGCAAGTACGTCATACCAGCAAAATTCCAGAACCCACGAAAAGAGAAAGGATGGTGATGATGAATGGGCTCGAGAACAGGGGCGACAGCACCAACCAACGGCTTATCAAAAGGAGCAATGAGAGAAGGAACGAACCTGTCGGTAGTCGGGAAGAAAGTATGATCATCCGAGATAATCATCACGGGCGTCGTAATCTTAGCAACCGCCATGGCCGTCTGCTCGCGTCGATTGGGCTCCTTGCGGTATACGACGCTCACCCGTGCATCTGGGAAGATGGTCTTAGCTAAGTTGATATACTCAGCAGCAGTGTCGCCAGCGGCAGCGAGAATCAGCGATGCGATCGGATGCGCCAGCGCAGACGAAACGACCTCGTGCAGAAGCGGGTCATTGAATCGCGTGGTCGGAATAATGACTGTCACGTCCTCTGGTCGAAAAGTCGGTTTGTCGGAAATGGGTACAGGGCGGTAGTTCGACGATGCGATCCAGTTGGCCAGCACCCGGACATATCGGAACAGAAACAGAAACAGAAAGGCGATGAGGAAAGCGTTAGCCATTGTTGCGTCGTCCGCCGTGTGTTGCAAACGAAAGTCGTGTCTATGTCAAGGTACGTTCTTCGTGGAAATTGCTTCACAGTCTACGCCTCGAACAGTGCTTTGTCTCTCTATGACCAACGAAGTAGTTTCGAGGAAAAGTACCTGACTCTTCGCAGATATGACACTGTTGTACTTGTCGATATATAACTGTAATGAACTCGGAATGGGAAATGACAACTGCTTGCAGCCCAACATCTCCCCGTCCTCTTATATACGACTCTGACTCCTCCTCCATCTTCGCAATGTTGAAGTTTCATTGTTCAGTTACAACTTCGTGCATGGTGCACGCGTGTTGTGTAGACACTTCAACACCACTGTTCAGTTAAGGTGTTGAATCGCGAGTCGCTTGCACAATGCTCCAGTCAAATCTCCCCAACTCTTCTGACAGGCAAGTCAGGCAATCCCTCAGCATTGCAGCTTTTCCAGCCGCGACCGACCGAGCGTGCGGAGATGTGAGAGAGCATTGTGAAGTCCCCCCCAACACTCTCCCTTAGTGCTCCTCTGCCAGCCCGACGTGCGCTCAGCCTGGGAAGAAGAAACACGGCACGCCGTCGTCTGCCGATGTGTAAGGTATATCTCGTCCTGCAGATGAGCGGGTGCTTGTGATGCCGGGGTCTTGAGTGGAAACGCTCAGGTGCTCGAGGTGGTCATGGAGACGTTGTTTGTTTGGTGGGAGTGCTTTATATATAGGTGTTGGGTTCTGTTGGGTTGGTATATATGGTAATGGTAGGGAGGGGTTATATAAGTTGGTGTTTGTGAATGAGGGTAGGGGAGAGAGATGGGAGAGGAGAAGGTGGGCGGGAGGAGAGGGGTTGATATAGGATTGGAAGTGGTGTTTGTGGTGGAGCGAAGGGAGTTAAAATTTTCTTTGTCGGTGCCTGGTGGGAAATGTTTGTCTGTTCATGCAATGAGCGAGTTTGCTACTATCGCATTCGGTTCTCTTAGCGGGTGATTTTGGGAGGGCCGAATTGATGCGTACCTGGTATGTTCGCAATAAGCATATTTTGGCTTCAAGAATTTTAAGTGTATCGAAGGATGGCTTTGAGATTGGGATTTTGGGAAAGACAGAAATTAGGAGGGAGTATTGGTACTATGATGATTTTCGGTGTGGTTTAAGGTGTCATAGGCACCAATACAAGACATCCATCACTGATCGCGGGCATATAATCACGATGCGCAGAATACCTCTTTCATACATAGAGCTCCCAAATTAGATAATTTCATCTTGTTTCCTGGTTTCCATGAGTGCCTGAACGCTGCTGGCGCATGATGCCTCGTGTCGAACAATGCGGTCTAAGACGCAGAGCCTCACCGTCATAGGAAGTCGAGCCTGCAAGAGAAGTTCTATATTATTGTACATACACCTCCGAAACATTTCGCATTTTTCATTGAAAACATGGGAGTATTCGCTCTATGAGGCGGGACAAGAGAAAGACGATTCGTTAGTTCACAATGTCGCCTTCTCGCTCACCGTACCGTTGTGTCGAGGTGAAGTTGGTTCACGAATTCTCTTGGCCACGATTTCACTGTTTTTCTGAGGTGAGGTGAAGGTGAAAATGAACTAGCTACTTGTTATAAGGATCTATTTACCATCCATTCTCTCCTCCAGCTCGTGCGTCTTCGCTCTACGCTCCAAACCAAGACGATTCTGCCAGAAGGCAGTGTGTATAGCCCGCACAACCAGGCAGCACCCACCACAGGCCTTGCAAGACTCTCTTCCAATCCCACTTCTCACGGCCCAAACCTCACTACAAGCACACTTAGCTGACGCTACAGCGGCCTCTCGTCGTACAAACCCAGAACATCCATCTATCGACAACATGCCGTACGTCATCCACGCCCCCGGCGTCGAAGTCCCTTACATCCTCGACGACGAAGACGACAGGTACCTCACCTACTTCCGCAACTGGAGCTGGCCCGTCTCCGACCACCACGAGGCGAGAGAGCCCATCGTCGCCGAGCTGATCGCCCAGGGCAAGAAGAAGCATCGCCGCCCCCTCCGCGACGTCTGGAGAGCCGAACTCGTGCGTCGCTACCGTGAGGAGAGCAAGCGCGTTGAGCGCGACAGGAAGCAGCGCAAGCGTGAGGAGAAGGAGAAGAATAAGGCGTCGACGATGCAGGAGTTCAAGGAGAAGTGCAAGAAGCTTGTGACGTTTGCAGAGAAGGAAGAGGTCAAGGAGGACAAGCCGGGGTATCGGAATGGGATCTATGTTAATTGGATGGTGGATATGCAGAGTGTGTGGGTGCCGGAGACGGAGCGGGAGCTGGAGGCGTCGTTGGAGTCCAAGGCTTGGTGAGTCGTACAGTGGATGTGTTGAGCTTGTGGTTGGAGGCCTAACAAGATGGCTGTGAGAGCTCAACGTCTTTTCACTCACCCCGCAGGGTCCCTGGTACGATTAGTCTTTGTGGCTTCATGAAGTCATGGGCATGGACATGAGTATGAACATACGTTCGGTAATGGGTGTGCAATATTGGAGAAACCGGTGAAGGCATTTCAGGCCATATCGCCTATACATAATTCAAGCTGAGAAGTCAAGCTCAGCTTCAATATAATAACAAACATACTCCGTACTCTGTACGGAGTACAATCACACTCTAATGTACCGTAACAGTGACACAGACGCATGTTAAACGCCACCAAGCAACGCTAGGTAATGCACAATGCTTTTTTTATGCGAGGCTGAAGATGTGACCCCAAGGCTGCGTGATGTGCTGTAAGTGCATTACCACCAATCAGCTGACTGTCATACATTGGCATTTCGTCAGCACCCGATCGATCATCCTGTAAGGCGAATAAGGCAAATACCAGGAAACAAAAACCAATCATCTGTCCTGAAAAATGGGTTATCTTTCTATGTCAATAATATACCCACTGTCGATAAACCAAAGTCACTTCAATCTCAATCATGCTCGTCGACGATGTACAGCTTAATTTGTTCCACTTGGGTTGCACAAGCGCCTGCTTTGGCCTTGTTGCACACGCAGTAATTCTGAGTCTGAAGTCCGAGTTCGAGCTTATCATGTATCATTTTATTGCATCATTTATCGCTATCTACTTTGGCATTGTTTACACATTCGTGGGGCAGGGACATAGTTTTGCTGATGCACTCATCACTTCCACTTTGATGGCAGTTTCTTTCAACTCTAGTCTACTTAGCAGCATAGTGTTCTATCGTGTTTTCCTCCACCGTTGTCGAAAGTTTCCGGGACCTTTCCTAGCTGGGGTATCCAAGTTCTACGCATTCTACCAATCAGCCAAAGAGGTGCGGTACTACAAGGAGACTGAAGCCATGCACGCAAAGTACGGCGATTTCGTTCGCGTTGGTCAGTTCATGAATGTACAATAGAATTGCTCACAAGAATTAAATTGTGTTTAGGACCACGCCAGATTAGTATAATGCGGAAGTCCGCAGTTCCACTTATCTTTGGTCCGCAGAGCAATTGTATCAAAGGGACGTTCTATGGCAACGCAGGTAATGATCCAACGAAAATCTCCATCAACATGATAAGGGATGAAGCTAGATATAAACTCCGACGCCGCGCGTGGGATAGGGGTCTTTCAATGAAAGGTAAAGAAGAACAAACCATGGCTCACAATAACATGTATTGATTACAATGCAGCGATTGGAAACTATGAGCCAAGAATCACGGAAAAGGTGAATCTACTCCTCGCGCAAATGCGTCGAAACAATGGAACCCCAATGGACGTAACGAAGTGGTCTATGATGCTGTCTTTTGATATCATGGGCTCCGTTGGGTTTAGCAAGGACTTCGACAATCTCAAAACAGGAAAATTGCACCCTGCCACGCATGCTATCCACGATCATTTGACACATATAGGCACAATTGGAGAAACTCCGTGGCTGCTGAACATTCTCAGCTCGATACCTGGGGCCGCCGCAGGGTTCGCAAGCTTCTTCAACTTCTGCGCTCGCGAGATGGAGGCAAAGCAGAATGTGAGTGATAAATGTCAAGTCTTACTTGTAGCTTTCTAACAAGTACAGAACTGGAATAGTGATGCACAACCCCAAGACATCGCGTCGTGGCTTATCAAGGCTGTCAAAGACAAGGATATCTCGGCCTCTCCAACGAAAGAGTCTCTGACAGACGACTCAAGAGTCATCATTATTGCAGGAAGGTGGGTTCTTAATTTGCCAAGATTCCTCTTCCGTTACTTCCCCAACGTTAACGTCGCGTAGTGATACTTTTGCTAACGTCCTGGCATGCACTCTTTTCTACCTCGCCAAAGACAAAGACGTCCAATCCAAAGTTCGTCGCCTTATTGACGAAGCATTGCCCGACGGCCCTGCATCATGGAGCTATGACAAAATTAGAAAAGTGACGTACATCGACGACATCGTCAACGAGACGCTGAGGTTGAAGCCACCGGTTATATCGCAGCCACATCGACAGACACCTGCCAGAGGCTTACAAATCGATGAGCAGTACATTCCCGGCAACGTTAATGTAACAGTACCTCCGATACTGATCATGCGAGATGAAAGGTGGTGGAAGCAACCCTTTGAATTCATTCCAGAGAGGTTTGGGTCAAGGAGGGAGGAAATGGGAACGGATGACGCTCCGTACATGCCGTTCGGTCTCGGTGAGTGCTTTGTTTGGGATATGGCTTTTGAGTCTAGGTGACTGACATGAAATAGGTGTGCATACGTGTCCGGGAAATAATTTGGCGTACGCTAATTTGAGGATATCTATCTCATCTATCGTCCAAAACTTCGACATCGATTTCGCCCCTGGGGAAACAGGCGAAGCATTCGATAAGGACTTTCTCGATACGCCTCTAATAAAGCTACCGCCACTGTATCTAGAATTCAAAGCAAGGAAGCCTGTTAATACAAGTACACAGCAGTGATCGACCGTCTAGGTCTTGGGCTGGGGAGAAGAGACAATGTTCCACATGTTGTGTATGTTTAGCAAGGTGCGTTGATCTGCTCTACAAAGTTTCATTATTGTAACTAGCATCTATTAGAACAATGAGCAGACAATGAGTTGATAAAAATAGAAGAGATATGTTTTTGAGGAATATAGTATTGGGAAGAGAGCAAATAATTCCCGTTTATTGGACACCGAATACCTAATAGCCTGCCTTCACGCCAACTTGATGACGATTCGATTAATTAAAAGGCAAAACGGAACATACACAGTATAACTCATACCACGAAATGCGAATGTGGTTTCGGTCCGAGTGCTGGTTTTTTGCCGAGGCTTTTGTCTCTGATTCAGTCAAAATATCAGGGGGCCATTGTGCATGTCACGCCAGCCTCGCCTTTGCGCGTGACGTTAACAATGTCTGTGCCAATCTCTTGTTTCATGACTTTTCGTTGACTGATTTATTTGGTTTCATTTGACTGGGTCCAGGAACTCTCTGATCTTTGTGTGACGGTTCGGGCCTGTCACGAAGGTAGCAATCAATTACCTGTAGATATTTACAGCTGCAGTGTGTTCAAGCTTTTCCTGATATTGCTTCCACTCTATGAGCCAACCTCGATACCAGGATTGCCACCTGAACTACCCTTTTATCCACTTCCCCTCGTCCTAGCCCGGTACCTCATCGGCCAGACACAGTCCACAAAGTATCTACCTAGAGTTTCGAAAAGCCGTAGAATATATTTGCGCATCAATTTAATTCGTTCGCTTCGTCTCGAAACAATTAACCCTTTCCTGCACCCCAGAAACGCCACATCTGTCCTCCACGTCAAATAGGCAAGGATTGTACCGAACCCATGTATTTAATTCCCGTCACAGGGCTACGGATAGATTGCTCGCAACGGATGAAAGGGGATAGTATTGTATCAAGTTACCAACTATGTGCGACTTACCCCACAAAACATATAGACCTACCTCCTCTGCGCCCGGTATTTCTGCCTAAAGAGCTGATCAGGGGGGAAAAGATGGAAAAGAGCCTGGGAGAAGAAATGTTTTAGTATATGTACTGTCATGTTTCCCGGCCCAGATTTGGATCATCGTCACAGTTCCAGATCTGACAACGGTTTTTCTCGAAGACTACCTGATATAGCAACCATGAAGGTCACCGCCGCTGCCGCACTCTCCCTCGTCGGCCTCGCTGCCGCCGCTCCAGCTGAGCTCGCCGAGAGGCAAAGCTGCCCGAAGGTCTACGTCTTCGGCGCACGAGAGACGACCGCTCCTGCCGGCTACGGCACCTCGCAAGGTCTCGTCAACTCCGTCAAGTCTGCTTACGCGGGCGCCGGCTCCGAAGCCATCGTCTACCCAGCCTGCGGAGGACAGTCCCAGTGCGGTGGCGTCAGCTACGACAATTCCGCCACGCAAGGTACCGCCGCTGTCGTCAAGGCCGTCACTGCGTACAACCAGAAGTGCCCCGACACCCAGATCGTCCTCATTGGGTACTCCCAGGGCGGCCAGATCATGGACAACGCTCTCTGCGGTGGAGCTGGCGCAACGCTCACCGGTGCTGCGCTCGAGGCTGTCAAGGCGGCCATCTTCCTTGGTGATCCTCATAACCGCGCTGGTCTCCCTTACAATGTCGGAACTTGCACGGCACAGGGCGTAAGTGTCTCGATGACTCCATTGTTTGCTTTGATACTCATGTTTGGATGTACAGTTCGCTGCTCGTCCTGCAGGCTTCCAGTGCTCGCCGGCCAAGACCGACAGGCTGAAGTCGTACTGCGACTCTACCGACCCTTACTGCTGCAATGGAAACGATGCCAACTCTCATCAGCAGTACGTCAACAAGTACGGTGCCCAGGCTTTGGCGTTCATCAAGACCAAAATCACCGCATAGGTCATGTGAGGTGGAATGAAACCAAAAACTATGTATATATCTATACAATGAAAAGCAATACCCCAAGAACATGCAATTTGATGAATCACGTGTGATGATAATAGAACGTTACCAATGGGTGTTCTTATATGTAGTAATAATGCGTGTCTATTACCCAATATGGGACTGTAAATGCTCGCTAATCTGTGCAAAGTCTATGATTCTTCCTTTCCTCTGTCGCCCCGTCTTGCTTAATCGAAGACATCAGTGACATACCTCACATTCCTCAACGAATCAAACCACTCCTGCACACCCTTGGAGTCATCATCCTTTCCATCCGCCGTCTCCATGCCAACCTTGATCTTAATAATAGTCTCCTTCGCCGCATCCGCAATGGCTCTCGATCCGCACACATACACCTTCGCGCCATCCCGCCACAACTTAGCCACATCCTCGCGGTCGTGCAACATACGGTCCTGGACGTACTTCGCGCCCTCACTCTTCTCAGCCGCACGGCTGTACGCCCTGCGGACGTCCACCGCACCAATGCGCTGCCACTCGTCGAACTCCTCGCGGTACAGGTCGTCCGTTTCCGGGGAGCGGCAGCCGTAGAAGAAGATGGCGGGCGCGAGCTTGCGGCCGGATTCGATCATGGCGGCGCGCTCCTGGACGAAGGCGCGGAAGGGCGAGAGACCCGTCCCGGCGGCGACGCCGATGATGGGCGTGGTTTCGAGGTCCGAGGGGAGGCTGAAGGCGGCGTGCGAGGGCCGCACCGCGATGTGCACTGTGTCGCCCTTTTCGAGGGCCGCGAGGTAGGTCGAGGCGACGCCGATGTGGGTTCCTTGGCCGGATAGGGCGTTCTTGTGCAGCACGGAGAAGGTCAGTGTGACGTGGTCGGCCTTCCAGAGAGGAGAGGATGAGATGGAGCTTTGGAAGTTAGTGGCTGTTTGCTGGTTGAGCGGGAAGAGAGCTTACTATTGTCGGACCCGCATTGGTGGCATCAACGTCAGGAATGTGCCGATAGGAAGGTCGATGCTGGGGAAGCGTTCGAGGAGGTCAAGGACGGAGACACGCTTGGCGTTGATCTCCTGAGCGAAGTCTTCATCGGCTAGCTTCTCGAGAGCTGACTTGGTCTGCTCATCAGTGGTGGATGCAGCGAGGACATGGAGACTCTGTTTATTTGTTAGAGAGGGTTGATGTGGGTGGCGCACTTTGTTCGTTACTTACCCGCTTGGTTGCTGGCTGCTGCAGCTCAACGTATGAGCTCAAGATCTCGTAGGCGGAAAGAGAGGTGTTGGTGGGAAGAGCAGTTGGTCCCTCGGTGGTAATCTCAAGATGGGCATCTGTGGGCAACTGGAAACGGCGCATTGCGCGGTTGACATTCTCCTTGGGGTTGATGGGCAGGACCACCAAGTAATCGCCTGCAGAGTACGTAGTGCCTTCGGGAAGACGAATTTCGAGGTGCTTCTTCGCTTGCTTGTCGAAAGTATCCTTAGTGAGGATCTTTGCCTCCGTGACAAGACCAGGCTGGACATTCTGGCGGAGTGTAGATGCTCTGGGGGTCGAAATCTTGACCTGTGCATTGACTGCAGATTCATCCTTATCCTGAGCGGCGACATTGTACTTCTTTGTGAGAGAAGGCCACAGCACGTGATCCTCCCAGTGTTCGAAGTCGGTGAAGACTTGGTTCTGAGAGACGTCAGCAAGACCAATCTCGGCGACCCTCTCGCCTCCAAGATCAGCCATGGCGGCGTCGACCAATTTCGGAATACGATGGTATGTCTGCGTCCAGTCTTTGTGACCGCATCCAAAGACAGTGTAGGCAACATTCTTCAATGGGCTCTCCTCCTTCTTGGAACCCTCTAGCCAAGCAACGAAGTGAGATGCATTGTCGGGTGCTTGTCCTTCATATGAAGCTGTGATGATCACAACAGCCTGGTCCGTTGGCAGATTGCCCTTCAAGCTATCGAGGCAATCAACCTTTGTGGCCCTGAAACCATGGGACGGGGCATCAGTAGCCACACGCTGCGCAAGAGACTCGCATGTACCACTGTTGGATCCGTAAAGAACTGTCAAGGGGACCTTGCTGCTGTCATCGGCGGATTCTGCAGCCTTCTTGGAGCCATTGGCCTCTGGAATGGCTTGACCCGAGAGACGGTGCTGAAGGCCAACAGCGGTCAGTCCGTCGCGCAAGATGGCACGCATGTGCATATCCTTTGGCTTGATCGTAAGCGTTTGCTTGAATCCTAGTTGGTAGCCCGCCGGCTCCAAAACAAAGTTGAAGTTCTGGAGGAGCATAGTCATGACGAGCAGAGACTCTTGCCAGGCGAAGGGACGACCAATACAACCACGCATGCCGTTACCGAATGGCTTCCAGCAGTTGGGGAAGTCCTCATTCAACTTCTTGAAAGGCTCATCGAGCATGCGCTCAGGCTTGAACTCAAGAGCATCTTCTCCAAAGACCTTGGGGTCGAGTTGAGACTTTGCGAGCAGATTCACAATGGTCTCACCGGCCTTCACGGGGTACTTTCCGGCAAGGAGAGTATCCTCGAATGCCTCGACGGTAAACAACGGGATAGTGGCGTTCACTCGTAGGGTCTCGCGGAGCACGGCGTTCAAGTAGGGCAATTTGTTGAGATCCTCAACCTTGATGGCTCTCTTGCCAACAGCCTCGTCTACCTCCCTCTGGGCCTTTTGGTAGGCTTCGGGATGTCTGCAGAGCTGGTAGAATACAAAGGACAATAAACCAGATGTAGTCTCGTGTCCGGCAATCAGGAAGGTGATCAGGTTGTCCATGATGCTTTCATCCGTCATATGCTTTCCAGTCTTTGGGTCGACGCCCTTCATCATCGCAGTCAGGAGATCGCGTCTAGCGTCATCCTCCCCAGATTTCCTAGATTCCAAGACCTCCCTAGCAGTCCTCCTCATGGTTTCGATATCGTTCTTGTATTTCTCATCCTTTTGGCGATAAAACAGGGATGGAAGCGGCAAGCGTCTCGGCTTCTCACCAGCCTCTGTCAGGAAGTCACCCATGGCCTCAATGAATGGGTGTAGTTCCTGGGAGTAGTAGCTGTTGAATCGGTAGCCCATGGAGCAAAGGGCTAGGGTATCCAATGCAAGTCTTGTGAAATCATCGGTGACGATGATTTTTGAGTTGGGGCCTGCACGCGCCCACTTCAAGGCGAGCTGTGAAGCGACGTCGTGCATGTCGGTAAACATCGACTGGATAGAAAGGGGTCCAAAAGCGGGCATGAGAATTCTGTGTGCGATCCCCCAGGCCTCCTCTCCCATCTTTGCAGTGAAAAGTCCATCATGGACACCGTCTCTTATCTCGTTGAGAGCTGTATTGATGCTCTTTTTGAAGCGCTTCTCGTCACATGTCTCGTTGACCAAGGCCTGAGTGGAGACCAGCACCACAGATCTTCCAGGAAATCTTAGTCGGTATATTTCGCCTGGTCGATTGGGTGAGTTCACTGCTACAGCAGATTTCGCGTGTCTCTACTTACCGAACTGATCTGCGAGTGATTTCATAGATCCAAGAGGGAATTCTGCGTCGAGTGCTGTGATATTACCAAGAATAGGAAGACCACTGGGCTCTGGAATCGGTGCGATGCCCTCGTCGGCCGTTTTTGCAGCGGGTGACGCCCCTCTAACTTTCGAATCAAATGCCATTGTGAATGTGAAAACAACAAGGATACGGCAATGGAAATGAAACAATCTCTAGTCTATATATGGGTATCCAAAAAAATATAACAATAGAGGTTAAGGAAGAGACTTTTCAGGTGTTTGATGCAATTATGACGAGATTGTAGAAAGAGAGATATGCAATTTCTGTTTGAGAGATGCACGCCATTATAAGTAATTGTTCGTATGGCAAGGCTTTCAATGCACTGTTCCATCATAGCAGACTTTTCGTCCGCGTTTCACGGGTCCGAGCAAGGTCATTCCTAGCCTAATGGAGTGTCCGAGACCTAGCGTCACATGCAAGTATGCATCTTCGGTGATTCTGAGGCATGGCGCCAAAGAGATTAGTGAACCTGTCCTGTCCTGTCCTGTCCCACGTCCCGTGCAGAGTGTCCTTCTTTCGCAAGGGCTTCCAGAAACGATGTTGATCCACTTGTCCATAACAGGTTCGTACGAGGCGTTTTGTACCTCGGTACTTGGCACACCGTCGCATGTCGGCCTCTCCGACATCATCGTAAATTGCAGCAATCTGATAAGCTGAGATTGGATTCAGTGTGGTAGGGCTATATGTTAATAATATTCCAAGGGCGGAGGGTCGTTCTCAAGATGATGACGACGGTGGTGATGGCGATGGGTGCGCGTATAGCCAAGCTTCCCTTCGTCTTTGGCTCTGCGGAGAATACCGACCCCTGTGCCTAAGGGGCGATCCCGCCCAAACCTTCCAACCTTAAACCAGCCTCTGCAATGGTCACTTCCGATTCCCAAAGCTCCGATCATCTATCATCTCTACTGCATGAGTTCTTCAGCCCTACAGTATCTTAAACATAGAATTCACAGATAAACTGTCTCGTTCTCATACTCCTTTGTGGATGAGTTCTGATCAGAGAATGTCGTCCAGTGAATACCTGGCTTCGAGGAAACCCCGTAACTACCCCCAACCCGAGATATGACCAAGGAATAACATCGTTATGCCTGCACGCATACCTCGCACCATCGCTAGGCTGGACGACCATACCTCGTACCAATGGCAAATGCCCGGAGGAAGAGTGGATGTCACGGATCGTTTCTATACCAGGGATTACCAGTCTCTCTCTTCGGCTACTGCCACACCATAGTCTGACCAATCAGGTCCAGTGCATTGTGCATACGAGGACTAGCATGAGAATAGTCACCGACACGACAACTCCACAACGGATACTCTGCCGACTGTTGCGCATCATCATAGACTCTTTCAGTCCTCGGGCTGTAAGGCTAGATACTCGGCGTTTGTGACCAACAAATCGTATGCATCGAGCAACATGCCTCTTGAACCCTGCAGCCGCAATGTTCAAATCGAAGCGAGGACATTGGAGAACCTCTCACATTCGATGCTTACGAAGCCGGCAATCTTGAAACCCCCCGGGAAACATCGTTTGCTTCGGTTCGATAACGATGTGTGCTTCTACAGATAAGGTAAAACCACGTGGAGGATGTCCGAAGCATGCATCTATCGCGCCATACCGGACATTAACATGGGAATGATCGGCATATAGCAATCTACTAGATAAGCTTTGGAGGCTGGAAGCTTGTGCGTCGGTGTTGTATCTTGAGATGCTTCAATGGTAAACATTCGTGGGAATGGTTGAATACGAGAATGAATTTCTGGAAATATCTACGGAGTTTGTGCTCCTAATATATGTCCTAAATCCCTGTTCAAGATGTATAAGTGTATCGATACCCATAAGGAACGACGTCCCGCCATCAAGAATATGAACCTCCAGTGCCCCCCGATACCATTGCGAAGAGAGCGCTACCCAGACGCGTGTAGATAAAACTGAATGCGAGAGGCTCTTCGAAGATCTTCCGCCGCGACTGATGTTTAGCCAAAGTTCCCAAATATCTTTCCTTTCAGGCTTAAAATCGATCATTGAACTTTTCCCGCTCGCAGCGCATCCATGGACTACGATCGATACCCTCAATCAAAGGTTTGGAAGGCTGGGGCATGTCACAATAATGAATCTTCCCGGTTCACCTGCTGGGAACTCGAACCAGTCTTTCATACCCCAGAATTGTTCGACACCCAGAGCCCACAATCCATTACTCAACGCCGCATTCTTCTCTTCCTCTATCGCCAGAAGCCTCTTCTCAAGCGCCATGAACGGCTTCAACGCCAACGTCACGCTCTTGAGTTCCGGCAGCGCAGTGATGGCGGCAAAGTCGTACTTGAGTCCCATAGCGTGCATGTCAATCGCCCTCACACCGCCTTCATAGCTGAAGATAAGGTCATTTAGATCGATGGTGAGATTAACGTTCTGAACGTTCTGGCAACGCTGCAAGAGCTCGGTGGCGTTGGAGCGGAATACGTCAATTTCTAGCATCTCGAGACCGACGAATTCGACAGAGGTGACCGCGTCGTAGCTGTCGTCGATCTCGTTGAGGTATACGCACAGGTTTATGATTGCGGCGACGCTAATGAGTGTCCATGTGGTATTGCTAATGATGGCTTTAGTATCGTGAGTGTCGAGTGGGTCATTGATGCCGACGAAGGGAGGTAGGCGGATTTCTCCCACTTCGGGGACCTCGATGTTGTAGTACTGCGGGCAAGCAGGTTGGGACTCGATGAATGTATCTAGTGCGAGGGACGATGGAGGATTGAATAAGAAGTCATCGGGACTGATGGGTTCGCAAAAGTTGAGCCCCGCGGAATCGAATGTAGAGGGGTTGGGATGCTTTATGCTGGTTAGCTCACTCTGCGGATCATTTAGAAAGGTTGTTGGGGTTGATTCTGGGGGCGTCATCATGGCATGCTCTGGCAGGGCCATGTCGAAGAAATCGAAAGTCGCCGGGTTATAAGTGCTTCCACGGGGATCGTATGTAGAGGGCCCATAATGCATTGAATCAAGTGAGTTGCTTTGTGAGTTATCCATAATTGTGGATGAAGTTGAATCTGGAGGTGTCATCATGGTATTCTCTGGCACTGCGATTCCAAAAGCATCGTAAAATTCAGGGAATTGGGTGTATCCTATAGGATCGGTTGCAGAGGGCTGAAGGCCCAGCGATTTGCTCTGCAAATTATCTGGGAGTTTCATTGAAGTTGATTCCGCAGGTGCGGACATGATATTCCCTGGCACCGCCGGGTCATTGTTGAAGAATTCGGGATCATAAGTGATGGTCGAATTGGCGGAACTTTGAGCTAGAAAGCCAAGCAAGTCGTTGTGTGACATTTCGAAATCGCCCATGTCAGCATTTGCTTTTCGGAAACCCAAATCCGCGGAGTTTCTGTTTTGATGCTGGTCAGTATTCATAATCTGTCTGGAAAGTGAAGCCGCGTTGTGAAGTTGTGGGATTAGAAAGTTTAGTTCCACCTTCAGTGATAACCTTCATGAGAAGAGGGGTATATATAGTGTGATTGATTTATATCAAGACTGCCGAAGACGCTAAAGGTGAAGTTGAGTCCTGGGTAGATCTCATGGGTCAGCCTTGAGCAGCAGTCATGTTGAGGTTAAAAAGAGTATGACACATTATCAGACATCGAACTCCATAATCCATTTAAGCACTCTCTGTTTTCACTGCCTCGCTGGTTCCGACATATCTGTATACGGGTTATGAGATCTATCGAGATTCATAAGAATATGAGCAATTAACTTATTCTGTTCTACATTGTGCTTCTGAATGTGATGTGGGCATTTTTTGATTTATCGCTCGCGCGACACAGAGTAGACTAGAAACACATAGAACAGGATCTATCGCCAGATGCGAGAAAAGAAGCGAGGGGCGCCTTAAGGTTTTAATGGTAGTCAGTGGCTTCCCGTAGTACATATATGAGAAAGCAGGAAAGGTGGATCTCATACCACGTGTAACACCCGCAACCATGGATGACTTTTATCATGCTCTAATTTCATGTTACACAAAGTGTGATTGTTAGGCAAGTACCAATTAAAACTCGATGTAGACCTTTGTGGCGGCAGGTTTCTGATTATATAGCATCCGCGATGGAGCGACAAAAGAGGTCGTTGCGCTCTTCGCGCGCCAATCAAGCAAACGTACCCAACATTCACTTGCCATGTTTCTATTACTCTTGGCGCCATTATTTGACTTCCTTTCATACTGAAAAGCGTGACTGGCAACAGGCAACGCAACGGAACGATATACTCACCAACGTTCTGTTCAACCTACCTTTTCGACTTTTAGCTTCGTTCTAAACACTAAAGCCACAGCTGGGCAAAGAAAGGTCCCATTCTGCAAATAAGTGGAGGTTCCAACGCTACTCGCAACGATGGTTGCAGGCGATCAAAACACGCTCGTTGCTGTGCGCACCAGACTCCTAATGTCAAAATCACCAGTTGCCAAGTCACTCCTCGATCTGATAGAGAACAAGGAGATCGGTCCGCTCAAATCATTCTCTTCTGTCGTCAGAGATTCTTATGGGCCGACTGAGTTATACTTTCCCAAGCTGAACCGATCTATGGCCATTCTGACCACTGTTCCCTCCCAGGAAGACTTGCATGACATTATTCGCCGGAAATTCGAGAGTCACGACAATAAACTTGGGTCATCGTCTGCTTCACTCAGCGACCCAGGCGCTACATCATCGCAGTTTCTCATATCGGAAGGTGCACTAGCTAGCCTCAGACACTCCAGCGGATATCTGGCGACTGATATCGTACTGCCAAATATGATCGTTGAAGAAATCCAAGAGAAATGTACACCAGAAAAGAGGGGACTTCGCCATGCAAACGAACTTTTCACTGTACCCACAACAGTCAGCATTCTCCCACAAGATGCCACCCTTGGTCTCCAACACAACACCGAGGCCTTCACATATTCAACCCTCCTATCGGGTTCCATGGTATGGATGATATGGCCTCCAACAGAACACAATCTTGCAACTCTACGCAATGCTTACGATGCATTTGCTAAAACCCACGACCAAGATAGTTTCAAGATTCTTGAGAAATTTGAGTACGGCGTCACTTTCGTTCAGAAAGCTGGCGACGGTCTGCGAATCCCTCCATTCACACCGATGCTAGCATTGACGATGGAGCCTTGCGTTCTCGCTAAATATCAAGTCATCACTAAGGACTCATTTTTCGCCTGCCTTGAGAAGCTGCCGCTATATATGAGCTACTGGGCCACTGAGCCACTTGGCGCGCAGATGAAAGCAGAATTTGGGCGAGGTATCGTTTCTGCCATTGCGGAGATTCTGACAGGCGCCTTTGACCGCATTGATCTCAACACAATGAGAAACCCTATCAAAGAAAAAAGCAACATTCTGACATTGCTTCGTACATGGGACAACGTGAAGATGGGTCTTATCGGTATCATGGATCCTGAGACAAAGAAACGCCTGAAACACGTTTGGGTGACCTTCCTCACGAGGACGACAACACAGAGATGTCTCATCTGTGGAGGTGCGGTCAGGAGAGATCGACCAGGTCACGAGGAAGGCCATTTTTCGAGGTTTCACTTTGAGAATGAATGAGTCGCTACCGACACTTCCTTAAGTGTGTGTAACCATTTGAGGCCACTCAAAGTCTCCACGAACCAATATTTGCATCAACAGTACGCCAATGCTAGCTTTTTGCTGGTATTACGATCATCGCACCAATTTGGCAAGCTGAACAGCTGCATATTTTGGAGCTATCACCGCCATCTGTATATTATCGGGTCACAATGCAGAATAGAGGAGGACAGATATCAGGGTGCTATCCTAGAGGCATTAGATGGTATCTGTTAATAACCATGTAATTAGTATGATCGAAAAAAATCCTCTAGCTTAAAGAAATGACGATTTTGAGCAGCTGCATGAGTACAGCAATGATGAACGTGTTCCAATTCCACAAATCTTGATCAATCACTATGAAATGTGACTGTGTGAACTGCGGAAAGAGCTGGCATACTGTACTCCGTACTGTGACGCTCAATAACAGTCATACCTAAGCTAGCCGCTTTGACGGCTGGCTCTAGTAAGCAATCATCCACCATGCACTTACCACATTCGCACCCAGTGAATTTAAGTCAAGATGGCAATATGAAAGATTGTCACCAGGATTGAGAGCATTTCCACTCTTCGAATTGTTTCGTGTAGGGGCAATGAGAGACGTTTTTGGGCAGAGAAGGTGCGCTGTCATAGATACACTTGTCATTGGCACAATATTGCGGGCACAGGAGATACGATATTGTACAATTCTACAAACAGTAGTCATACAGGTGGCTGGTCATGCCTGCTAAAGAAATCCTGTTTGACCTTTCAAGTCCCACTCTTAGACTGTCAGCCGGGCTGCGCCCTTCTTCGCGTTAATCACAGCTCCCCATTCGTCTTTTCGTTCGGCATCTCGTCGACCTTGTTCTTGGAGCAGAGCCCACTTCTTTTCCGCCTCAACTTGTCTCTGTTGCTTCTTCATCAACTCGTCTGCTCGTCGATGAGCGAACCAAGCCTCATCTCCTCCAGCAGCTTCCACTCTTCCATTCCTCTTTGCTTTTCTCCAGGCCTTCCAGGAGCTTTCACCACCAGCCCACTTGATCTCACGGGTGATCTTGGCTCTCTCATCCACAGCCATGGCACGAGCGAAGTTTGTATCGGGGGCTACGCGCATCCTCTTACATTTATCGGCCCATCGCTGGAGAGCAGTCTCCTTATTCCAATTGTCCAGTCTCTTCTCCGCAATCATCGTGCGTCGGTCGTATTGTTCCTTTGCTGCAACCACCTCGGATTCGACCCGTGCCTGTGCCCGTTCCTTGGTCTCCTCGCGAGCTGGTGAAACCTTCGGCCACTGCTTGTCGATAACGTCCTGAGCAAGACCTAATGCCGCAGCCTGGGCCCTGAACCTTGCAATGATTTCTGGCTGCTGCATCAATGTCCAGCGTAGCGCCCATCCTAATGGACCTAGCTCCTTTATGCGCACTTCGCTTTCTTTCAACAAGTATTCGTCCAGGCCGCCCTCACGATCCATGGTCTTGAGAACCTTGGAGGTTATTCGTAGCTTTATTTTTCTGTTGAGGGCGGCGGAGTACAGAGCCTTCGACAAGACGTTTGGCTTCCAGTGTCGTCGTGTCTTCGTCTTTGTGTCTGGGGAGACATTGTTGCCGAATTGTATCCTCTGTCCGCCGTAAAGACCCTTGTTGGATTGCCTGTACAGTAATGATGGACCGTAGGGGTATGGTGGTATGTTTGCATCCCTCGGTATGACATTTACTGGAAGATGAGAGCCCAAGTCACCACCTTTGGGTCCATGGCGAGGAGCGGTGGTTGCGAAGGTCCTGGGGAGAAGGGCCGCGCTGCGGATATATTTTGCGGGTCGGGGAAGGCTCCCTGAGAGCAATTGGCACCGTGGAGGCATGATCGGGATGAACGGCCAGCTGTGCGAGGGTCGACCGCAGGCTGTTGTGGTTGAGAGATCATGGTGCGGAGGTCCGCTGAGAAGATTTCTGGAGATCGTTAGCCGCGCGCCTGATGGCCCGTGCGGCCGCGTCTAATTCACAGCTTCTTGGGAAATCGACATCCCACTTCTTCACAATCGTGCTGCCGCAGCTTCGCAAAATTCAGTGGAGAGTTATTGCAAGTTTTTGTCTTTTTCACAGAGATATCCTTCGCCGTGTTTCTACTAGTTTCTGAGCGACCAGACGAAAAATGACCGAACACCCTCCTCCTACGACAGCTTCCATTGCGATTGCCTGCGCTCTCGTAGCAGGCGTCACAGGCTACTTTGTCGGACAAGCGAAGTCTCTGGGGATATTTGGTGGTAGCCCAATCTCTGAACCATCAGGAGAGAAAGGGTCTGAGGCAGATGACTCAGATGAGTCCAGCGACGAGGACGATGCTGCGCTGAGCGAGTTTGCTGGTCACAATGAAGAATGCAAGATGGTATTGGTTGTCCGAACAGATCTCGGCATGACAAAAGGTGTGCCTTCTTCCCAAGCATGGCTTTCAATCATATGCTAAACGTGTTGTATAGGCAAGATAGGGGCCCAATGCGGTCATGCAACCCTCGCGTGCTATAAGCACTTCCTCAAAACCTCGCCGAACTCTCCGATTCTACGACGCTGGGAACGCTACGGCCAAATGAAGGTTGCGCTACAATGTAAAAGTGAGGAGGAATTGGAGACTCTACAGGCTCAGGCTTTGAGCTTAGGCATGGCGGCGCATATCATCCACGACGCAGGACGAACCCAGATTGCGAGTGGAAGCGCTACAGTCCTGGGAATCGGGCCAGCACCGAAGAGCGTTATGGATAAAGTCACAGGCGGTTTGAAGTTGCTATGAGCGGACGAGACTTGATGGACATTGAGAATCGGCTGGTCAGGAGAGCTGGACATCTCCCATTATAGAACGGTAGGCATTCGCCCAGTGAAACGCGCCTCTCAAAAGACGAACAATGCTGGCTCAACGATGATATGCGATCATGATCAGATTGATGCAGTTATGGCGCATTTCGCGCGATGCGGACAATACACGTAAATACACTTTAAATCAAGACTATGAAGGATTTCAAGCATGTATGTAGGCTGGACTGGGTTTTTCCTCAACTTCATGAGCCGACGGCCATCAGTGAAAGGATCAGGAATCAGTCGCCCAGGCACGTCTCCTCCACCGAGCTCGAACCGTGAGGTGAATTCAGGCTTTGGAAGGCGGCCAACTCTCTCTGCGACCTGTCGACCGGAAGATTTACATCATAAAAATTTGATGGCTCCATAATTCGGACGAACTGCCGCGCCGTCGACCAACACACCCCGTAGAGTGGCCGGGACAGCGCGACACAGGTCGTTGATGAGAGAAAGAAAACAGAGCAGAGCAGACAAATTTATTTGGTTTTGAGATTCGACATCTTGGCACGCTAGTAGTCCTTAGCGCCGGTAATTGACTGCAAAACGCGCCGACTTTCTGTCACGTGTTGTCCGCATCCCCATTTCGCGCCGCGGCCTACCCATGCCTGAAGAACTTCGCGATCCAGCTCACTCAGATTGTCCATCGAAGCACCCCACATCTAAACACCGACAACATGAGTGACGCTCTCTCCCTTTCCGTTGAAGAGGCGAACAAAATTCGCATCGCCATGGGCATGGCTCCATTGCCTGTCCCTGGCGGTGCGCCAGTCGCCGCTGGTCCTTCTTTTAAAGAAGCTAAAGAAGGCGATGATTCCGACGACGAACCCGCAAGTACCGTCGAAACCCGTCAAGCTGCTGCTTACGACAACTGGACCAAGCTACAAGACGAGGCCAATGCGAAAAAGAAACGCGAAGAGCGAGCCGCGGCGATCAAGAAAGAACGTGAGAGGGCCTCACGATCTGCGAAAATAGAAGGTCAGGGTCTCGCAGATGGCGGAGACGACGACGACGATATGGCCTGGCTCAGGGGGTCGAAGAAGCGACAGAAGAAGATTGCCAAGGCGGAGCAGATGCAAAAAGAGCTTGAAGAGCGCGAGCGTCAGGCACGAGAGGCTTTGCAATACACTGAAGCCGATCTCGCCGGAGTCAAAGTCGGACATGAGGTCAAGGAGTTCGAGGATGGCGAAGATCAGATCTTGGTGCTGAAAGACACGGCTGTCGACGAAGACGAGGATGATGAACTCGAGGCTGTCTCGTTACGAGAAAAAGAACGATTGCAAGAACGACTCGATTCGAAGAAGCGTAAGCGCGCCTACGATCCAAATGAAGTCGACGAAGACGGTCAAGGTTCACTCCTTGCGCAGTACGACGAGGAGATCGATGGCAAGAAACGGAAAGCATTTACACTCGATGGCCAGGGGAAAACTGTAGAAGAGCTACAGGCACAGGCACAAGCATCAAGCGCAGCCCAATTGAAGAGGGTTGCGGTCAGTCTCGACATCCTGAAGGACGACGCGCCAGTGAACGACTACATGGATATTTCGGAAGTCAAGATCAAAAAGCCGAAGAAGAAGAAGTCCAAAACCTCCCGTCGAAAACGCGTCGAGGAAGATGAAGACGTTTTTGTTACCCCTGGGGAAAATGCAGAGAATGAGATGGAGGTCGACGAAGTTGCAACGGAGGCTCCGAAGCCTAAGAAGAGTGTTTTTGACACCTCATTTGTTGATGATGACGACCTACAAGCTTCGCTTGCCGCACAACGCCGCAAAGCCCTCAAGCAGCGGAAGAAGACTAGACCGGAAGACCTCGCACGCCGCCTCCGCGAAGAAGCATCAGCTACACCAGACATTCAGGATTCTACAGAAGCCGAGGAGCCGGGCTTGGTCATAGATGAGACGTCCGAGTTCGTCCAGAATCTCGATCAATCCAAGATTGAAGAAGCTGAGGAGGAAGAACGACGGCGACGAAAGCCTAGTCACGTATCTAATGGCGCGGATTCCGTTGATCCTGATGCGACCGTTGTCAGGCCAGACGAAGATGGGGATATTGACATGGAACAATCCTACGCAGAGGCTGCAGAAGCGGAGGATCGTGCTGAAGCTCGTCAACAGGAGACTTCAAACAACCTGACTGCAACTGGTCTGGAGGTCGAAGAGACGGTCGATCGAGGCCTTGGTGCTACACTTAAACTCCTCAGGCAGCGAGGTGTTGTTCAGGACTCCAATGCTGCGGAGCTCACGAATCAGTACCGTGAGCGCCAGAGGTTCCTCGCGGACAAACAACGTGCTGAAGAGGAGTCCGAACGGATGGCTAAGGAACAACGTGAGCGAGAACGTGACTCTACACGCTGGAACAACATGTCTGCTCGTGAACGAGAAGATTGGGCGCGCAAGAACAATGCCAACCGCGATCAAATGAACAGTAGGAAGGCTGCCGACTTGATGAACAAGATGTACAAGCCCAATGTACAGCTCAATTACGTAGATGAGCACGGACGACACATGACCCCGAAGGAGGCCTTCAAGCAACTTAGTCACCAATTCCATGGAAAGGGAAGCGGCAATACCAAAACGCAAAAGCATCTTGACAAAATCGAAGCGGAAAAGAAGAAGATGGCCGAGAGTGCTTTGGATACTAGCCTTGCTGGTGGCATGAGCAATGCCCAGGCTCAACAGGGCAAGAAGCACAAGCAAGCTGGTGTTCGATTACAATGAGCGTTATCGTGTTTCATTCGGTCACTCAGGTCAGTTTACTTCTGCATTTTTATAAATGATTATAGTTATTAATAGAGCGTTCATGGTAGACCATCATCCTCATTATAATGGTATGCGCCGTTGATGTTTCTTGACTATCCGCCTTCTAGGTTTCAGCTTTCGATACTCAAAGACTTATGACATGCGAATCGTTGCAACGCCATCAAGGGCAAGTGTCATTTACGATATAGGTCGCTCTAACATAAGATCGCCTTTCGATTTTTTAACATGAGCTCTAATGCGCGGTCGTTGTGCTATGCATCGCCATGTCGCATCTGTAAGTATGTTTGCTGCTTAGTGCAGAGCAACACTGCTTGTTGCATCTTATCCCCACATCACAGCACCTATTTTCGGTTTATCATGCATCCCGTTGCATATACCCTACCGCGTGCCACCGGCACCTCAAATGCAAGCATTTATCTCCAGCAGATCCTCCACAGGCTAAATCAAGGCACTGGACATAGCGACCGGCGCAAAGGAATCGTGGGGTAAGCGGCCTTGGCGCCCTGGCCGTACATTAAATGCATTCATTACTCATAAAGTGATATGTGAGAATCCACACAGTTTCGTCCACTCTGGATCATTTTCTAGATTCTACACTTCTCGTGTCCGGGATGAGGTGGTTCCATGCAATTTACTACAAAGACCACCAAGCATCACGGTCTGAAGCACAAGTAGAGCAGGCCCCACAACGTTAATGCATACGCTTGATGTATATAATAGTAACCTTTAATCTTTACAATTCAGTGGCAAGAGCTCCTCCGACCTAGTGATCATGCATATTTCTTTCATCGTCCCAGCTCTTGCAGCGACCGCCATTGCGGCGCCATCTATCGGACCGCGACAGGCCGTGCAAAAGATTACTGTCGATGCTACAAAACAGTACCAGACCATAGACGGCTTCGGTTTCTCTGGTGCTTTTCAACGAGCCAACCTTATTGTCAATCTCAAGGAACCGAAACAATCCGAAGTTCTGAATCTGCTATTCAACACAACAACTGGAGCTGGATTTAGCATCGTCCGCAATGGCATCGGCTCAACAGTGGATAGCTCCAAGGACTTCATGAACACCATCCTCCCCAAGTGTCCCTCATCGCCTGATGGTGTCCCTGACTACAAGTGGGATGGAAAAGACAGTGGACAGTTGTTCTTGAGCCAACAGGCCGTCAAGTTTGGAGTCAAGACCTTCTATGGTAATGCTTGGAGTGCACCCGGTTGCATGAAGACGAACGGGAACGATGCGAATGGGGGATCTCTATGCGGCGTAAGTTGTACACCATACACACTCAGATCATGTCCTAATCGTTCCCTCAAGATCTCCGGAGCACGATGCAATAGCGGAGACTGGAGACAAGCATACGCCAATTATCTCGTGAAATACGTTCAGCTGTACGCTGAAAGTGGCGTCAAAGTAACACACCTTGGTTTCTTGAACGAACCTGACATGACCACCTCGTACGCGTCTATGCGATCTGATGGTACCCAAGCTGCCGAGTTTATCAAGATCCTTCGTCCTACATTGGACCGAAACAACCTCACCGATGTCGGTATCAATTGCTGTGAAGCCACTGGTTGGTCTATTGCGAATCAGCACGCTTCACAGATTGCGAGTGCTGGCGCCGACGGCATGATTTATGCAATGACCTCTCACGAGTACACAAGTCGCATTGGAAGCCCCATGCGCACCAAGGCCAAGGTTTGGCAAACTGAGTACTGTGATTTGAACGGTGGATGGAGCACTGGCTGGTATCAGAACGGTGGAGCAGGCGACGGTTTCACATGGGCCAACAATATCTTCAACGGCATTGTAAACTCGAACCTTTCTGCATACATCTTCTGGGAAGGCATCCAGGATCGCGCCACCAACAACAATAACAACGAAAAGTTGATCTTGGTCGAGGGCCAGACTTACCAAGTCAGCAAGAGGCTGTGGGCTTTCGCACAGTTCCGTGTGGTCAGGCCAGGCGCTGTTCGTATCGGAGCGAGCGGTGGATCGAATCTCAAGAGCGCAGCTTTCGCTAATGCAGATGGCAGTACTGCGGTGGTCGTCATCAACTCGGGAACTGGAGCGCAGACTGTTGGCATCAGTTTAGGGGCAGACGCATTGAAGGGAAAGACGGTTCAGGCATGGTACACCGACAACACTCATGATGCTAGCGTGACTGAAGTTAAGATTGGAGACGACGGAACAGCATCGGCGAGTGTGCCTGGACGAGGAATGATCAGCTTTTTGGTTAGTGGGACCACTACAAATGCTAAGGCAGCAGTATGAAGCAATTGGTAGATCGCAGTTGTTCGAATAGTCAAGGCACGAGATGAAAGAATTCAATCGCTCATCAATCATAATTCACAGACTATCTACATTTAGCATTATGAGTGAATGGGACTAGAGTCCACACAAGGGATTTTCACGTGACAAAGACATCAAAATCGCCTAATGATTCTTGTGGCTTGGTAAAGCAGGTGTTGTTGACCTTTGGTAGGTCAATGTAGATAGTAGATATGCTTTTTCTTTCACTGTCGTTCATTGTGCACCTCTGAGACCTGCACAATGCTGATGCTGGCCGATTCACTTCACAATGCGACCATTTCCCCCACCATCTATAAGGTCCCTTATTCGCCCTAATCCAAGTAAGTCAGGTATCACCGATTTTGAAACACAGTTGTCGCAATCAACAATGGCCAAGTTTTCACTCTCTCGTCTCTCCCGGAACATTTCCGAAGATAATCGACCATCCAAATTCCTAGGATTACGCATCCCCAAGAAAATCGTCATCAAGATATCAAGAAAGAAGTCTCCAACAACTACTCCCAATGCATCGAGAATATTCTCCCCCCAGACAGAAATTGCTCCGAGCATTGTTGACGTAGAGGAACAGTTGCAGGAACAACCAGCCCAGTTAGCCAACACTCCAGCTACTATCATCCAACAACATGAATCTATCAAGGATAAATCCATCGTGGATAGGCCTATTAAGCCGTTCGGAGTGAATGGATTCAGAGAAAGCACAGTACTTCTCGTCCAATCATCCCAGGAGGAAACCGTCTCGATAGCTCAGAGTAGCATCCACACTCAAGAAAGACAAGAAATATCGCAGGCCCGATCGAATGCAAGTATCCCTGTCACTGTCACTTCAGACTGTGCAAGTGAGGACGAATGCACAAAGTCACCAACAGAGAAGGATTCTGAGAAGATGATGCCCATGTTGATTCTACAACCAAGAGAAGAACGCATACCCACAATTCTGGAAAGTGTACGCACCCAGGAACTATCGCCGGCTCGATTCAGTTCAGGTGTAAGCATCCAACCACTGACAAGCATCCTCCAACCACTGGTTCAGTCACCACAACTGGACGACGAGTCACCCAAAACGAACACGATACCTGCATTATCATCTCGAAAGAGTACACCTGCTGAAGAAGGAGTGGAGGCTCGATCGATTATTGGTACTCCAGACACTGAGATTCTACGCTATACTAGCCTGGATGAACTAATAGGATCATCATCAGCAAAGAAAGATCCCAAGGACAAGACCAATGCACTGGTTCGTATTCCACGAGTAGAACATGTATTACGATCTCAGACCAGAATACCCACTAAGAGACGACCTCGGAATTGGCCAAAAGCAGCCAATCGCCCATATTGCAACGATCGATCCGACATAGCTGCGTTATTCGATCCGAATCAGGGTATCGAACTCCTCAACGGCGCCACTGTATTGGATCCGACGTCCATAGATCATATGTTACAACTACGTGACCTGCATTGGCAGTGGCGGAAACATTTTGGTCGAAAGACATCGCCCGGACGCTGTCCTGCTAGGATAACACCAGCTCGACCTTCCGTCGGGACATGTCTACTCAACGTGTATAGGCCGTCGCCTCAGCTACGAGGGCTGAAAGAGCCGTCAAAATGTGAACAGAGCCTTCGCGATGTGTTGCTCAAATACCAAAAGAGACAGCACGATCCAGAACCACAAGAGTCCCTTAGCGCCGAACAGAGTCTTCGCAATGTGCTGCTTAAGTACCAACCGAAAAGTCCTGGTCCCACGGGATATGTCTCATTCGACGACATCGGCATGCGCGAGAGACCATCTGCGTCAGGCTTCTCGCTGAAATTTCTAACATCTGTGTTCAGGATTCCTCGTCCGTCGAGAGCTTTGGCTGCGCTTAGGTGGACGGCGAACTCTCCAGACCGGCCAGCTTCGGACGTTAAACCGTCTGGGCGATCGTCGCACAGTTTCGGCGGATCTAAGGTTATTAGAAAGGTGAAGAGATTCTTCGCAAGATGGAAGGCCTTTAATGGCATGAGATGGGCTACTACAGGGGATAGAGAAAGAGATGAAGTAAGTGCCCATGCGATTTGATATTAACAAAGTAAACATAGTTTTCCTATGTAGTACAATTTCATAAGATTTCCATCAAGCCTCATATGACATTATGCATTGACAAGCGAGCTACCTTCGTACGTATCAAGTGATCATCTATTTCTCTATGTTCATGCGGACCTGGTCTAAAAGATTACGCCAAGGCTATCTGCGTTGAGTCTGAGTCTGCTGCTCCCTTTGCCACCGTATGAAAGTGTCCCTTCCAATCTCCCTTACCTTCCACATTTGCTCCCAGCTCTTCTGCTGCACGGGAACGGGATGACCCACGTATACTTGGTTTGGATGCAGAACTGCACTTGGCCAGAGATCTCTCGGGCGATGGCCTAAGGATGCCATCAGGGGATACACATCGTCAAAAATCAAAGTCCCAAGAACCCTCAACTGTTGAGGATAGCCTGGTGCAGTGGCGGCAATTAGACGGGGGTCGTATGCGGACGTATCGATGAGCTTGACGTAGCCTCCATAGTCCCCGTACGGCGCTGTCTCTTGGAACGCTACAGGTGGCTTCATGTATGAGTCGAAGCACTCGTCGTCCACGACTAAGAAGTCATGTTTCCAAGCTCTCCTGCGGCAATCTGGAGAGTTGCGGAATGCGGCGAAATGTCTGATGAAGATGTTAGTCGACCAGTATATCGTGTAATTGCAGCAGAGAACGCGATTTACCTCTTTGCAGCCAAAATACTGTTCTTCGAAAATCCCTTTGCCTGACCATCAACCCACTGCAGCCCCATGTTCGCTCTGATATCTTCAAACCCTTCGACCCACTGGCCGGCTTCCCGGAAATCGGCATGCAATTTGGTCAGGAACGCAGCCCATTCTTCCTTTGAGCGGTGGGTCAGGTTGTAAGCTACGTATCCCCATGTTTGGTCGCGTGGGCCTCCGTGGCTAAGCGACCACTCAGTTCGTGACTTGATGATCGTTATCCAATGCTCAGGCCCCAGCGTTCTCGGCTCCCCTCGAAGCTGTGTTCGAATGATCTGGTGCTGCTCTTTGGACTCGACCATCAAGGCCTCTATGTCCTCCTTGTTTGTATATACAGCATCAAGGTTATCAAGCAGGCGTTCGGACACTGGCCAGCTCATATTCGCAGACATTTCCTTGCATTCATCGTCTCTGAAAGGCATCGGAAACATCGTTCCTGCGACCTTGGACGGGAATCTCGACGGAGTGAAGCCTATGAAGTCGTCCATGGGCATCATAACCATGAAGTCTGCCTTTTGCACGAGCCTCGACAAGTCTGACCAGGCCTCTAGCAATTTCTTCGCAGCGTCCCTTGAATTTTCAGCCCCGTCTCTGGCTACGGCGGCATCATATCTTGCCTTTCCCTTCGCCACAATCTCTTCCACACGAGCAGCCATCCAACTGTGCGTCCGTGTCGACATGGTCTCAAACACTGCATGGATCCACTCCAGCCACAAGCCCGTCAAATTGATAGTCAAACCGAACCCCTTCTGCGCCCTCCGCATATTGAGCGCAGCCTGTAAGATCTCAAGTTCCTGAGCGATGAAATTGAAATTCTCTTTAATACCTCTTTGCGTGACGGGGTCTCCCAGCCACATAAACGTGTGAATGATCTCGAAGAGGAATTCGAAGGCGGGCTGCCAGTTTTCAAATTCATCAAGCCTCTTCTCTTTCCAGCGCTTGCCCGTCATGGGAATCTGGCCTTCCCACAACCTGGCGCGCATGTTGGATATGCGGCGCTCGATGGAAGCAACAAAGTTGCGGTTCGGGTCACGGTATGCTGCCAAGATGCGTTCCTGCGAACAAGATGAGGTCTGATTGTATGGCGCGGGCGCCCATGAAGCATATGGGTTTCCAGACAGAGGTACTTCGTCTTCTAGGAGCAAAGGCAGCTTTGTTCTGTCGCCATTGGGGAGGTTCCCCTCAAAGGCAAAGTCAAAAAAGAGGTAAACGGTGCTACTGGGTATAAGATTCTCGCCTTGTGGTAATTAGAAGACTGGATGAAAGAAGGCTTGATTTCAACGCACCAACCATCAATGCATTTACCGATTCTTTTGTGAATCCTTGCGCCCTATTGAGGTTCATGATGGCTTCCATGCCGGCCAATAGGCCAAAAAGATCGTCCGTCGCCATATTTCCCAATTATTACAATGCAGAGATAAGGCTTCGTATGCAGACGCTTAAGGAAGAGGAACACTACGGAGAGGTTTTATAGAAGGATTTAAGATCACGGGCTGTAGATGGGCTGGCTGTCGCGATTCGACCGCGATCCTAGCTCAGGAGGTGCAAATCTTCCTTTAGGTGTTTCTGCCTTGGCCGATACGACTAAGCCCAAACGAGTAGCTAGAATCAGGCAATCCATCGAAGTTGAAGCCTAGAGTTTTGTGCCCTCGTGCACTAATACATGTAATATTTACAATCATCTAAGTTCATATCTATGGAGTAAAATGCAGAAGAGCCTCATGTTTTCAACCAGGCTGCAGCGGTTGTCGCGACAGCCTGGTGGTGATCTCACCGAAGGACTAAACTCTCTTACAACTCTGTATGCTTAATTGATCCTGTGGGATTATTCTTTTCCCATTGCTCCAAGGGGACGACCTGTACGCCCCAGCCTTTCAGTTCCTCAATAGTGGCAGCCTTGATCGAATCGCTAAGCGTCTCTGTCGCATCTTCCACCAAAATGACCTCGTAGCCTAACTTGATGCCATCAATGCAAGTACCTCGCACACAGGCATCCGTAATCAATCCCGCGACGACGAGAGTCTTGATCCCGTGAAGCCTTAATTCGGAATCCATGGTGGTGAACCTATGGTACTGGTTGTCCGCGAAAGCGGAGTAGCTGTCAACGGAATGGTCCTGCGCCTTCTTGATGTAATGTACGGGCGTGCGATAGCCCTCTAGATTGTAGAGGCGCATCTTAAGATCTTGTTCGATTTCTGAGCCCCAGGTTCCCGGAACGCAGTGGGGGGCGAAGAGCATTTGGCTCTCAACCTTGGTAGGAGTATCGACGAATGGAACTTGGACGATATCGCCGGCTTTCTTGCCCTCATGGCTAGGGGCGAATGATACATGATCCTCTGGATGCCAATCTTGAGAGGCCACTAAAAAGGGCCACTCGTGGTCGTCGACGAGTTTATAGACTTGTGGGAGTATTGAAGGCGCGCGTGAATTGTTCAGCGAGCCGGTGATGAAATCATTTTGTATGTCGATGAGAACGAGCGCTGTATTCTTGTGCAGTTTGCTTGAGTACTACATACCGTTAGTGATGTCATCATTTCTTAGAAACAACTGAGTTGTAGTTACCGGGACTGCTTGACTGAGATCGAAGAGCGCTGAAAAGGCTACAGCCTGGATAAATGCGATTACGCTACGATGCATTTCTGAAGATCGAAAATACAGGAAGAAACAGAAGCAAATTATTAGCTAGTGCACAGTAAATGAGGGCATTTCAGTGTGATCAAATATGTATTTTTTGTAGGCTGTGGCAGTTCGTGTCAGGCATCCTTATCGGCGGGCACCGAAAAATGATAAGGCCAACCGATCGCGGTTGGTAAAGTCACAAGAGCAGGGATTGTGGCTCTGTTAAAACCTTGTTCTTCAATGTGGGCCTGGTAAGGCAACGAATGCTGACAATGAATAAAGAAAACTGTTATCTGGAATGTTATCAAAGGCACGATTTTCTGGTCAAATTGCGACAATGTTTCATGAAGCCAATGCAGGGGCACATTCAAAGAGCATTGCTGCTGCGATTTGTGTATTCATTGTTGAAATAATGAGTAGCAGGTAATTCCAATCATTTTGCAGCAATCTTCAATATCATGCAACCCCGCTCATGCTATGTTCATAGATGCTTATAGATCCTTGAGCATACTCAATACACCCGCCCAGGTCTCAACAACAGTAGGTTGAATTTGGGAGGCTGGCAGGCTGAATCCGTAAGTGCCCCTGTCTCTTAACTCATAGGTGTACGAGTAGGTTGCATTTCCAACGGCATCTGTGTAGTCGGTAGAATCGCCAGTAGTTGCGTATAGAGTTGAGCAAGCTGGACCAATGGTGTATGCAGTACCAGAGATGGCACGAATAGCCGCAGCAGCGCGGCTTGCAATCGACCGGTGCTGTGCATCGTTCTCCACCACACCGCTGCAGGTGTAACCATATGCTAAGATGCATGTCAGTAATTGCAATATTGTGTGGAATCGATTGTACGTACGCCAGAGGATATACTGTCCATATGAGTGGATGTCAAGATAGAGTCTAAGACCACGACCGTCACGAAGAGAGTTTACATGGGAAACCATTGCCCTGTTTTCGGGGGCGTCAGAAGCAGCGAGTCCCTTGAAGGTTTCCGAGCACGGGTTTGTGGATGCGCCGCCGGTAACCTCCCACTTATAAGGCCAGTTACGGTTGTTATCACGGCCAACGCACGTGCTAGTTGAGACTGTCTGGCGGTTCTTACGCCAGAGCCGGTCAGTAGTCTGAGTGTAAACAAAGCCTACACAGCATAAGCAAGTTATTTAAGTCACTAGAGAGATCACTTACCATCTGGGTTGACGATCGGGATGATATAGAAGTCGAACTTGTCAACAAGGGCCTTGACAGTGGTATCAGATGCGTATTTCGTGAGCAATTGATACGCCAGGTACTCAGTTGTCTTTGGATTGTTAGCTTATATAAGTATAGGTTCGATCGCTGCTAGATTGCAACTCACCATCGTTGAAATCCACTCTCGGGCATGGACCGTTCCATGGAACAGTACAGCAGGCTTTGAGCCCTTTCCACCGGATCCCCAAATGTGGATGCCGGTCAAGGCTCGCCCTTGGACAGAGTTGCCGATAGTAATGACCTCGGACTGGCTAGTATAGCCTCCCTGAAGATCGCGAAGGAATTGGATATGATCAGCGTAAGAGTGGTATGCGGTGAACCAAGTTGCACTTGGTACTGATTGTTCTTAGTATTCCTCAGGCTGGTAAACACGAGAGGGTACAAACCAGCATATGTACTGATGGGGCCCTCCTCGTCCAGAACTGCACCGACATCTTCAGTGAGGACGGTACTTTCGAGGGAGAGGGCTTCAAGAGCTTTGAGATTCTCAGGCGAAACGACTACATCCACCAATGCTGATTTTCCAGGATTCAGGATGTGGGCGGACAATTCCTGGATCTTACTTTCAACATCCTTGGCTCCCTTGGGCACGTTTACACGTAGGATCTTGAAGCCATGGTAATCTATCTTCTCCTCTGCCCGGGGGACAACAGAGGACAAGGCCAAAGGAAGCAAGAATGCAGAAAGAAGGATGGACTTCATGATGACTGAAGAAGTGGCTCGCGCTGTTCAATCCAGAGCGATGCTGAGCGAACCTTTTAAACAGCCATTTCTTCATCCTCTAAGTCTCGAAAACTGCAATGCATCTCGCTTACATTTATCTTCACCTGCCCATCTCGTCGCATCGCCGAACGAGATAGCACGCGATAGCAGGTGACACTGAGACTTGACATGGATCGAAGGGGAAGACAGCCTTGATGCAGGCGCGGGAGATGCGCTCGCGGAGAGAATCCTGATCGCTGGATGGATCATTAATCTATTTGCCCGTGGGGTGTATGTCTGGCGTCCCTTGCGAAGGGAAGGTGTGAATGGCTGTCGTGATCGCCTCGATCGCGGAGGCTTACTTGGCAACACCACTTCGGGCAGGTCACCAGCAGCGGAAAGCTTGGCTGGAATCATAAGGCCGAATTGCGTTGATTGTGTGCTCAGGTACACTCGAAGGTGCAAGTTTTGGGCGCTGTCCTAGGTAGGCAAGTAGATATGGAGCGGCGGTGTCGAAATGAATGGCTTGGCTAAGCCAGTTGCCACAGCGCTTGGTGTTGAGCACTTTATACATGATTGACGGAATCTCTTATAGCAATTTGACTATAGAAGAAGGAGATAAGGTCGAATAAACTATATCATACACCCAACAAAATCTTGTCTGACAGTAACCGACCCTGAAGACATGCTCACTGATGCATAACGGAATTGCGGTCTTAAATTTGGTTGATTTTCTATGAATTGCTACCTCTATCAAAAAGTTTCCTTGCATGACTATGCACGTTCTAAGTACAATCAAGCATAGGCGAGCCTCTCCCTCGTCCACCCAGGTCGCAAGTATTCACTGTCAAACTTCGAATTCCAGCTACTCTCCACAGCATATTGAGTCTCCAGTTTGATATCAATCTTTGCACCTTCATCGCTCTGAGCCCAGACAGCCAATCCGATCGTATTATCTCCATTATAGTTGAGAACACCGGGTGGGACGGGGAAGCGCCTCTCGTTTCCGACATACGGGTTGAATTTTCCGTATTGATAGCCGTTCACGAAGAGCTGTGCGCGGATCTTCTTCGAACCAACGGCGTTGAGGACGAATGCGAGTGAAACGTCAAGGCCGTCTTTAATGTTGAGAGGCACGACGGTGCGGTAGAATTGAATACCAGCACCCGAGAAGCCAGTAGAGGGTGAGCTGGTGGACCATTTAGAGTCGTCAAAGTCTGGCAAGTGCCAGCCGAGCCTCTCAGCCACGAGTCCTCCTTCGTTTAAGGTGCCACGAACGGGATCCAGTTTGCCCCCGTCGCGACCGGCAGTACCGGCAATCTTCCACTTTGTGAAAGTCGCTTCGCCTTGTAGCTGTGCGCCGAGAATGCCCCTTGGGTCAACGGCGCCGGCACGGAGGTCATGCCCAGTGTTGTCTTGAGTGATCAGAAGGACATTGGTACTGACATTGGTACCGTTGGAATGAACAGTGCCATTCGTGAATGACAAAGTCAAGTTACCGCTACCAACCGTAGAGTTACCAAGGTAGGAGCCGATGAAGTTTCCATTGAGCCAAGCACTCCAACCAAATGCCAGGCCACCTTGCAGAGACAGCTTGACGCCAGTTGCAGAGCCTTCAAAGTATCCACGGAAGAGATGGAAGCTATTGTGGATGTCGTAGTCATCTACGTAGAGGACTGGAAGTGTGTCTGGCTTTGTGGGATTCGGAGTGGTTTGGTGATCGGCATTGACCCACGCAATACCCGAGTCGTTGTACTCGGGTTTGCGCTCTGGGAGAGAGTCTTGTACCTTCCAGGAGTCGAGAGAAGGGAGCTGGATAGCTCCATTGAAGCCAGCATGGTGAGCGATGATGCTACCATGGGGAGACTTCTTGAGAGAGAGCTTTTTGCCATTCCAAGTGACTGACTTGACCTTCTTGGACACGAAGATTTCAATGTTGGTTGCATTCCCGATATCGCCGTCTAGATGCACTGTAGAATCAGACTGCTTGACACCTCGAACTAAGTAAGGACCCTGAACAAGGACTGATTGATCCACCGGCGCAAATGGGTCGTTGGACAAGTTTGGAGCCCAGAATAGATACGCGGTTGGCTTGTCTGCAACAACCACCTTCACCCCGTTGTCAAAGGTGAATACCGACTGGTCTTTCACACTTGAAACATTAATCGTCACACCATCGGCGGTCTTGAGCTGACTATAGTTTGCTCCTTGCTGACGTCCAGGATATTTAACGGCCTTCGCACCCTTGATATGGAACTCAGCAGACTCTCCTTCGCCAGCCCAGAGCACAACCACTGGGGTTCCGTCTACGATTGCGTAGGTGAGGACCTCAGCCGTAGAGTAAGTAAGAATGTTCTTGCCGATCTTGAAGTCGGTGACAATGATCTTCGATTGATGTCCATTTAGCACAATGGAGCCGCCGTGTTGAGGAATGGTCAAGTTACCAATGGACGTCCGAACATTGAGCTTGAAGCTTTCCTTAGTCGCAGATGGTGAGTACGAATGGATGGTGACGTAGAAGGCTCCGTTCGTATTGGGATTGCGCAGCTCGCTTGCAATGACTGCTGAATTGGTGGTGTAACTGGTGCTATTTGAGACTCGATCCGTGACAGTGAGGTCCTCTGCAACACGTGTGAAAAGCGCGAGGTTCTTGGTCTCGTGATATTTGTGACCAATCAAGCGTGTCTCGGAAATAGGTGAGCTGTAGTCGTAACTGGTGGCGACCACAGGGCATGCCAGTGCACCCCAGTTGGTTCCGCCAAACATCATGTACAGGCTGATGGCAGTAACTCGCTGTGACACGAGATTCCTGTAGAACCTATCATGCGTTAGTGCGGGCTAGAATGTGGAGTGAAATGTCAGACTCACAGATTGGCAAAGTCGGTGCCGATGTCACTCGGGCAACCACCTTCAGGACCACTCCAGGGATTGTACGAGCCACCCTGAAACTCAGGGAAGAAGCTTGGTTGTGTTGGAGAGAATTCCGTGAAGTAATCGTAGTAGTTTATGACCTTGTATGCGACGTACTCGCCATTGGTGCCAGTACACTCGTCGAGATTACAGCTCCAGCACGAGGGATAACTATCGACGCCTGCAACATCGACATTACCAGTAGCATTGGGAGCATAGTCATGAGACCAGCTCTTCGTGTTCATGTTGGGATCGTTGTGGATAAGCGGGACATCGATGCCATTTTCGCGAGCGGTATCCTCCAAAGCTGCCATGTAGCGGGCGGCTGGCTCGTATGGGATCTTCTTCTCTCGGTCTTGCCATTGCTCGCCATATTCGTTCTCGATCTGATAGACGATGACGTTTCCTCCGTTTGTGACAAGATGCTTGCTTGTAAGACGAGAGAACTCAGAGAAGTAAGGCTTCCATGCAGCTTCGTATCGAGGGTCATCGTCTCGAAGCTTTCCATAAGCTCCAGTGGTGAGCCAGAGCGGGAAGCCTCCGGCATTGGCCTCAGCATTTACGTAAGGTCCTGGGCGAACGATGACATATAGACCGACTTTCTTTGCGATCTCGAACAGTTTGGTAAAGTCGTGAGCGCCAGATGTGAAGTCGAGTGTCTGGTTGTTCGCACTGTGGTAGCCCCAATGGCCATAGAAGGCGAATGCCGTGAACCCAGAAGCCTTGATCTTCTGAAGCAGGTCCTCCCATACCTCTGGGACTGGGATTCGCCAATAATGGATCTCGCCAGAAAAAACGAAAAGTCGCTTTCCGTTGATTTTGAAGCTGTAATGATCCCATTGGACGACATCATTCAGTCCATTGTCGTGTAAAGGCCATTGGCTCGGAGGTGCTGCCTGTCCAGCGACAAGGGACTGGCTGGAAATAGATGAGAGAAGCGTCGTCAGACACGCGAATCCCTTGAGTAGCCTCATTGTCAATCTGATTGCGCGTATTCACTGAGCCATTGAATAACATCCAGATGAGTCGCCTTTTGTACTCGACATTGCATCACCGCCATTTCGATCTACAGGCACTTAATATAAAATTACCGGGTTGGCGATGCGCTACTCCGCTCAACCCCAGGGTCTGAATGGCGGGATGATGAACGTCCGCCCAAGATCCGGGAAAATGCATTATTAGACTCGGCCATACCTCAGCCGAGGTACCCAAAGCAGGAAGACTTCCGCTGTCATTGAGGTCGGAACATGAAATGAGTCTTGGTCGAGGATGTATTTCCAAGAAGAAGTAGGCTTGGAGAATTGAAGTTATTGAACAAGAGTTCTGTGTATTAGTGTATGGCCTCCATGTTTGTAGTTGTTTGGATAGTGACCCTCGTACTCGTATTCTCTGAGGGGGCTAAGCCGAATCCGGATAGCGACCCATATCACGTTTCTAATGATGAAAGCAGAAGAGAAATTATGTTGACAATGTTATTGGGTGAAATCATTCTTGTGCGCCTATACCATTGTTTAGAAATAAATTGTCTGTATGCAGGGGATGGGATGTTCCATGCACCGAACGCAGGAATACTCTAGAAGATCCGAAGAACGAGACCCTTGCTCGTCCATCTGTTCGTCTAGCTAGGATGAGTGTAGATGAGATTTGCTAGGGGAGCACATGATATTATCACTTGGTCTGAAAATATGAGAATGGCGCGGATAATGAATTGTCGACGAAGAGGCTACTGTACAGTTTTTCTTCAGCTTGCCGCGCGATCCCCATTCACCCACCCTCTCGCATCTTGACTCGGTTGAGTCAACATCGACGTGCTACCTAGACTCACCGTTTCAGTTCCCAGTGGGGCTGATCGAATACATAGTTGACCCAGGAGTACCAGATTTAAAGCTCCATCCAAGCAGGCTTCTGTTGACCTTGTACAAGGAGGCCGCCATGCTTCTTTCCACCCTTTGCTGGCAGAACCTCGCGCTCAGAATTGACCTTTGCAGTTGTTCTAAGGACATTACCCTTGACATCGAGGGCCTCAGCCACGATAGTGAGTCCACTTTGCTTGGGTAGAGTCAAACTGGTCTCGAAGCTTGTACGCTTGGTCTCACCAAGCAACGTTTTGCCGCCGAATCTGCCAGTAACGGCATAGAAGCGCCAGACACGAGTCTCAGTGTCGCCATTCCAAGAAACATAGACTGTGGTGCCATCATCATTCTCGAGAGCCACGATGGAGGGTTCTTCGTTGGGGAGACCGGTCCAGTTGTATCTGAAGCCACGATAATTCTCGACACCGAGACCAAGGTAACCAGAGTCCATATATGTGTGAAACAGAACATTGCCTTCGCTGTCATATTCTGTGAGAGCTCCCTCAGAACCCCAGTTTACAATGACATTGCCGTTGGGAAGAAGCTGAGTGGAGCCTTGAGACTTGGACCGGAGATCATCAGGCGGGTAGAAACCTTGTACCAGCTCCGCAGTCCAAGCTGTAGTATTGAGCTTAATGATCTTGCCACTGCTAGTAGGTGCAGTGTGGACTTCCGTGCCGCGACCGTCTTCGGTGCCGTGAGCCGAGTTATCATAGAGCGAGATGATTTCGATATCGTCGCCATCATCCTCGGATTTGAGTTCGGGATGAAAGCGAGCGTGATGTTGGAAGCAGAAGGTCACATTCTCTCCAAGTTTGAAAGATGATTTGTTGCCATCTAGACGCCAGATAATAGAACCATCGGAGCCGTTGATCTTGTGGACCGAGCAAGCGTCACGAGCAGAGACGATGTAGTCACCATCGGAGTTCTTGTCGACACTGTTGATATGGAAGTAGTCCCAAGCATCAGAGGAGTTGTATCCAGAACCAGCCTGGCCGGGATTGATGGGAAGAATAGCCTCTGTCGAAGGTCAGTGATACGATTCCACGACAAGGTGGGCAGGGTGCATTACCATCAGGTGCGACGTGATCAAGACTAGCCCATTCAAAGAGCAACTCGCCGGTAGTGATATCAAGCTCTGCGCATGGTCAGTTTTCATTTTCCACATATCAAATGTTGTTGCACTTCGTACCTTGGAAGATTGCGTTAACAATCCACTGCTGCTCCTCGCTTGCACCATACGCAGTCAGGTCACGTGGAACAGGTTGGTAAACTTGGATAACAGCAGTGTTGTCGCTCACGACATGGAATTCGTGTTTATCGGTGAGCTTGTGATTACCAGCGCGCAGCTCCCGAACTGTCTCATAGTGCTGGTCCATAATAGTTGTGTGACCGTGACTGCACATTCTTGATTAGATATATTCACAATTGAAAGGCGGAGCGGAGTCTCTTACCCATGGCCATAACCAGCATTGTGGTCACCTTCGAAACTGAAGAGCACGTCTCGACCCTTCCACTTAGCAGCCTGGAAGTTGGTAGACCAAATGGAATAGATTCCATAGCCGGACCAAATAAGATCTCCGTTGTCACGAAAGATGTATGGTCCAGCCTGGCGGGGACCATGCTGTTCAAACGCAGTGTCTGGGTAGCCCGCGAAAGGAGCAACAAAAAGGAATCCCTGTTCGACATTGTCTGCCGCGGGAATGGTGATGTTGAGGCGAGGAATGGCAAGATCAGTGCGAGATTTGTACTGCCAATCGGCAGCTGCAAGCTGCAGTACAGATGCCGCAACAATGAACCGCTTCATGATTCGATTGTACTGGAGGGGTTAGAAACCGATAAATTCCTCATCTTGCTGGAAGGGTACATTGACCTTGTGTAGGTTTCTGGACTATAAGGACGACTTTGCTGATTGATTGAATATGCGAGGGCGTGGAGGTTTGTTGACAGTATGAACGATGTTACGGTATTGAGTTTCAAGTTGAAGTGGAAATGCCTTGAACTTATGACGCAGGCGGAGATGGCAGAGATGGCGGGGGCGTCTGAACCACCTTGCCGATCTAGCGCATGAAGCGTCAACACCAAACGTTATTGCGTGCTGCTTCAATGACCTCCTCCATTCCACAAAATTGCCGGCATTAGCGAACACCAACCAGTGACATCGACTTAAATCAAAGGATAGACAGGGACTTGAAGTACTTCGACCGTTGTTTGGCACGGGTAAGCTCGAATACGACGAAGTGCATGACGTTACGGGAATCTTGGATGCAAGTCTGCCTCCACCTTTAAACGCTCCGAACTCGCACAACGGCTCGGGTACCTGTTCCTGGAAATCTCGATCCATAGTTATCTTCATTGGGTAACAAATCAAAAAGGTTTATCATTGCGCAGTCCAGGAGTATTGGTAGCGGAGAACGGGCGCCTGAACATAAAGAAAATTTTCAACTTGCACCGCTGTAGAGCAACAAGAAACACTATTTGAGTGTGATTGCGTGCTTCTGAATGGAATCTACACGATCTCTGCAATGACTCTACTTCGCGACGACGAGGACAATTCCGTCCAAGAACCCAATGAGGACACTCCCCTGCTGAAGGCGCCCGATGAGGAGAATTGGACGCCGCCGCGGGGTTTCGTGTGGATTGAGTTCGCAATCTTTGCGAATGTCTTCCTATATGGGTTCGATGGAACGATTACAGCAGCTACCTATGCTATTATCAGTTCCGATTTCGATGCAGCCAATACGGCCTCTTGGTTGACAACCTCTTATCTTGTTACGAGCACCGCCTTCCAACCTTTGTATGGCCGATTCTCAGATATCTTTGGTCGGCGCATCTGTTTTTTCGTATCTACTGTCACCTTCGCTGCAGGATGTCTCGGCTGTGGCCTTGCTACCAACATTGTCCTGCTCAATTGCATGCGTGCTTTGACGGGCTTTGGAGGTGGAGGTCTGATGACAATGGGTATGAGGCCGGTGAAACCCCAGTATACTTTCAAGTATTAACGCAATCTAGCAACTATCGTTAACTCGGACATGATTCCTTTCAAACGGCGAGGAATGTACCAAGCGCTGCAAAATGCGATGTTCGGTTTTGGCGCAATTTGCGGTGCCTCCTTTGGTGGCTCTGTGGCCGATAGCATTGTAAGTAGAACTTTATATCATAAAGTGTGTTGTAACTAATAATAAAAAAGGGATGGCGATGGTGCTTCCTTCTGCAAGTACCTATTTCTGCAATCGCCCTTTTCTTGGGTTATCTGGTTATTAAGAATCCCCTCGAACTCCATCCTACCTGGCAGGACATTCGTGCCAAGGTTGATTTTGCTGGAGCACTCCTCCTAGTCACTGCTATATCTATCCAGCTCGTCGGCTTAAGCTTAGGTGGCAACGAGCTTCCGTGGAGCAATGGTTGGGTTATTGGGTCTCTGGTCGGCAGCCTCGTGCTTCTCGCTCTCTTCATCTATGTCGAGGCAACAACAACAGCTATCCCAGTGATACCGTTACGTCAACTAGTTGGACGAAACCCAGTTGCGGTGCAAATATCTAATGTCTGTGCTGGCACAGCAGCTTACGCGGTACATTCATCTACCCTCCCTTTGCTTACCACTCATCTAATCTGCAATTGTAGTATCTGTTCATGTTGCCTCTATTCTTCCAAGTCGTCCTCCTCGATTCTGCAACAAAAGCGGGCGCACGATTGGCGATCCCCTCACTTGCGACACCAATCGGTGGTCTCATCTCCGGCGTTGTCATGTCACGCTGGGGAAGACTGATCCCACTGGTTCGAATCGGAGCTACATTGATGACTTTTGGAAACGCTTTGGTCACTTCTCTCTCTTTTCATGACAAGACATGGAAATATCTGGTTTTCATCTTTCCAGCGAACCTTGGACAAGGAATCATCTATCCAGCCATCCTTTTCACCACACTTGCTTCATTTGACCATGCAGACCATGCGGTCTCTGCGTCTACAGTGTATCTTATCAGATCACTTGGGAGTGTATGGGGGGTAGCAGTTACCGCTACAATCGTGCAAAACACTTTGAGCTGGAGACTTCCCGGCGCACTGGCTGATGTACCAAATAAGGATAAGGTGAGACATCTAGCGTACAACATTGATGAAGAGACATTGACAATACCTAGATCATTGATGATATCCGTCATTCCGTAACTGCTTTGCATCATCTTTCTCCAGAGATTCAACTCAAGGCTCGCTTGGTGTATTATGACGGTATCCGGTATTCATTCGCAGCGTCAACAGTCATTGCTGCAATTGCTATTATTGCGAGCTTGTTTGCATATAATGCGGGTTTACGGAACACACACTGAGTTTGATTTTACTTAGATAGAGGCACATTTGGATAGATTACGATTACAACCCTATGGAAATGGCTTTATGGGCAGAGCTATTGACACAGTCCCGGGTACCACAGAAAGACCCATGCATGAAACTAGATAAATTGAAGGGAATTCACTACGCGTAGTAAAATGTCTTTCTCCGCGGCCTTATTCAAGTATTCAGTCTAGCAGAGCGAATTAGAAATGCACATATATGACGGGAGCTTCTGTGTGGTGGCCATCTTTCCGCTCAAGCCGTTCGTCCCACAACGACACGCGCGAGCCGTGACCATGCATCAGGCCTGCTACCAACCCTGTCAACCATGTTGTTGGGAGACCATCGCGAGAGAAGTGTGATCGTTAGCTGAACCCAGTTCGTGGGAGTTGCGATCTCGGACGTTATGTGGCACACGAATCAGGCCAGGCTGTGAACCCTTAGTGTCATCACGCAATAGAAGGATGTATATCGCGAATATCCCACCATGACATGCCAGGAACGTGGAATAGGTCAGACTCGTAGATAGCGGAAGATTACCGAGCGCAAGACTTGATATAATATCTTAGGAGGTTGGAGAATCTCGAAGTCTTCGCAGTTCGTTTCTGTTATTCAAAGATACTTCTTCGATTATATCTGAATACAATTGTTCATCTGCAAACACCACAATGTCTGACGAAAAGCGCATTGATCAGGGCACTTCCCCTGCCGAAAGCACCACTGACAGTGGCATCGATGACTACCCGACATCTGCTCCCCAACTCGGATCGGTTGAACCGCATGTCTTCAGTGACCCTGTTCGCTGCCAGCACTGGCAAGACATCTACGAAACGGCGAAATACGAAGGTAGAGCCAGGTTTGACCCAAATCTTACCTGGTCGCCTCAGAGTGAACGTCTACTTAAAAGGAAGGTAGCCCCATAAAAGAAAACCCAGCGACCAGAAATCTATGAACGAGTTGATCTCTTTGAATTTGAGAATGCAGAAGCTGATTCATTGTGTTGCAGTTGGACTGGCGTATAATGGCTTGGGTTTGGATTATGTTTTCAAGCATGGATCTTGTGAGACGTAACATTAACCGTGCGGTTTCTGATAACATGGTAAGTAACATGGTTCCCGATCGAAATGGGGAATACAAAGTCATAGGCTATAGCTCGATGATATTGGTGTCAACACCAACGACTACAATACTGGCCAGACCATCTACCTTGTCTGCTTTCTCATCGCCGAACTCCCTGGTGGCCTAATAAGCAAGAAGGTTGGACCCTTCCGCTACACGCCAGCAATCATCGTGACCTGGGGTGTTCTTTGCGCTGCCCAGGCTGCTATCAACAATCGTGCTAGCTTCTGGGCTTTCCGTGCACTCCTAGGCTTCGTACAGGGTGGTTTCATTCCTGAAATGGTTCTTTACCTATCATACTTCTACAAGAGCAATGAACTTCCGTTCAGGTTGTCCATCTTTTATACCGTCATTCCATTGACGCAGTCCTATGGTGCTATCCTGGCTGCCGGTCTTTTGGCGATGCGTGGTATTCGAGGCTGGGGTGGCTGGCAATGGCTGTAAGCACAAACTCCATTCAAGTGCTCGGAATATTATTAACGAGTTTCAGGTTCCTTGTCGAGGGTCTCATTGCAGTCGTAATTGGCATCGTATCCTTCTTCGTCATGCCCGCTTCGGTCACTGAGGGTGCTGCTGCATTCAAGCGCCCCGATGGTAGCAACAAATGGTGGACTCTGGAAGAGGAGAAGATCCTTGTGAATCGCATCCTCCGCGACGATCCTACAAAAGGCGACATGAACAATCGACAGGCTGTTTCCTTGAAGGGTATGTGGGTCGCATTGACAAATGTTGACTTGTGGCCCATCTTCTTCGTTGGTAAGTGAAACTTTGTGACAAGTGTGGTTGTACCCCGTTGCTAACCTTCAAGGTTTGTGGGCATGGATTCCATTCCAACCCTGCGCCAACTACCTCTCATTGATCCTCCGAAACATGGGGTACAGCGTCTTTGAAGCCAACATGCTGGCTATACCCGGTTACATGCTCTTCGCCATCAACGTTCTAGCTTGTGGCTGGCTGTCTGAAAAGCTCAATGAACGTAGCCTTATTGCCTCCATCAGTAACATCTGGATGTTGCCATTCTTCATCGCGCTCGTCTGCATACCGGACAGTTCTAGCCCCTGGATTCGTTACACCTTGCTGACAGGTATTGCTGGTATCCCATATACACACTCCATCCTAGTCGGCATGACTTCTCGTAACGCGCGTAACGTGGGAACACGGGCGGTTAGCACTGCCGTCTACAATATGACCTACCAAGTGGGTTCCATCATTGCAGTCAACATCTATCGTGAGGGTAAGAAATCTCATTTTCCCTGCTTCATCTGCCACCGGTCTAATGTTATTCAAACAGAGGACAAGCCGTACTATCATAAGGGCAACAGAGCGCTTCTTGGCCTTTGCGCCGCCAACATTGTGCTGTTCTGGCTGATGAAAGCATTCTATGTTTGGCGCAATAAGGTCAAGTCCAGACAGCTGGAGGAAATGTCCGTCGAGGAGCGAAAGCACACTATCGATACGCGTTTTGCTCATTAGGCGTCTTCATCCTTGCGGCGTCGTTACAGTGCCATCGACATAACCTTAAGCCCCATGTCAAATGACGCCGCCAATGATAGTCAATGCGTATCACAAAAGCCCACAAATCTGGCATATCCTATCTCTCCCATGCCCTTCTTAAACTATGTTATGCTTTCGCAGCTCACACTCGTTTGTTGTTGGTAGTCTGTCTTTATTTAGCTCATTCGTAGATTGTTTGAATTCTGTTTGCGAGACATGACTTCAATGCATTAAATGTGTTCTAGTGTCGCACAGGCGCGTAATGCCAGTCCTTCGATCCAGGACTTGATCGTGAATGGTATATCACGTGATTAACACAAACATTCCCAGTCCGACCAGTAACTACTTGGTCAGAGACGTTGACGTGGAGTATCTGATTCAACTCATATGAAACATAGCATCCGTCTTAACGCGACCAAGAAATCTATATGGTGGTGCAAAACGACGACAGCCAGTCATTCGCGTAACGACGAATTTGGCGCTGGCGCGTAGTGGTCGGACCAATCAAAGTACGTGCAGCCCAAGACGAAAATAGCAGCAGCATAAACGGCGAAGGAATGTTTACGGGCACAGTGTGGCACCGTGATCTATTTCAGTGTTTCAAACTTCTCTCATTAATTCATTCTATCTTTCTTTCCTACTTCGAATCGGATACTTGCACTACGCTGGGCGTTCTCTGAAATTAGACATACGGAGTTGAAACCTATTACCATTTTATTTTTTCTATCTTTTCCCGATTGCCTATTCGGATCCTATTTTGTGTCGATACTTTACATCGTTTATCGCTTCACATTTTGCCGCATTCGGTTCATTTAGACAACATTTCCATTCCTGTGCTGTCAGGGTCTAAAAGCATCTCAACCGGAAATCAAAACCCAATATCGAAAAAGCCGCGCAGTTCTCCACAAAGCCTTCAACTTTCCACCATAGACTACAAGCCAAAACTTCACCAACTTCAAAATGACAGTCCCCCAATCCTGCACATTCACCTCGCCCATCCCCAACCCACCCACGACAACAACATCCACCTGCGCCGTTCCCCTCGGTGGTTCAAACTCCACCTACCTCGACGTATGTTGCAATGGCCACATCAACCCCATCACCACATACGGTTCCCCCGGCGACAGCGCGGAGTGCTACATGTATTGTACGACGGATAACTGGTCTGAAGTCTCGAGGTGTCTGGAGGGGAAGTTTGCGGAGGGAGGTGGTGGTGGTGATGGGAAGGGAGGACCGAGTTTTGCGTGTTTCAATGCGGTGGATGGGGCGAGTGGTTCCGGCGGCGGAAGCGTGAGGGTGAACTCGATGTGGGCTTGGATGGGTGTTGGGGTGATGGTTTGGGGGTGTGTTGTTGGGATGGTTTGATGAGGTAGTGTGAATTTGGGGGATGGGTATAGGGGGTTGCGAACGAGAATTGGGAAGGATCTTTGCATTTGAAGGCGTTGGTTCTTGGACTCTGGGGTTCCGGCATTTCCATTGGATACAGCATCATGGTTTCGGTGCATCTTTTGGTTGGCAATTCTATTTCCATTTGAGAGCTGTACTTTTGCAGCTTTGTAGTCCCAAAAATATGTTGTGGGCTTGCAACTAGACGTAATGATTTACAAGGCTGCAGCCTATGCTATGTAAGAATCAAATGATAAGAGCATACTTTAAAGGATGAACGATATATCTAGTATGCAGTCTAATTTCGTGATGCCATGTAAAGAAAGCGAAGTTGTCATATCTCATTAAGCATCTCCAGTTTCCTCCTCGTCCTCCTCAACATGGTGTGCAGCCCAGGGACTTTTCTTTCTTAGAGCAATTCCATATCTCGTCAATATAAAAGGAATGGGAATCATGACCACCGACATAGCCGCAAGGATGAGGCAGGAATTCTTGGTTCCGAGATTGACGAAGAGGCGTCTTCCAGCCAGTGGAAATGCAGAACCAGCCAAGTTCCTGACGAGGCCAATACCTGCAAGCGCAGATGCGGAGTACGTTTTATAGGCATCCTCTGTATATGTCAAGGTCATGAGGATTAATGTGTAGAACGACCAGCCCCAAAATGCCGATGCAATAACGGGTACGACTGGAGGAATCGAAGGGTCCGCCGTGTAAGCGAACGCTACAAGTGAGACAGGTAGGACGATCGCCGCCAGTTTGGCAAGGTGAACGCGCGCCTCGGGAGCGTCATGATTCTGGGACAGCGAAACTTGCTTTTGATAGTATCGTTCTTGGTATGTGTTCGTAAGCAGTCCAGCGCAGATGCCAACAACGATACCAACGAAACAAATACCGACCCCAACCACGTCGAAACCGTATCCATTAGGACCAAAGATAAGATGGAATGCGCCGTTGAATAAGAAAGATAGACCGTATAGATATCCGTTGTAAAGAGCACTGAATTGAACGATTGCTTCGCTACCAAGAAAACGGAAAGGCCGAGTGAGTGCTGTGCCGAATAATTGCCTTGGTCCTCGCTGCTTCATCTCGTCGGACACATTCAATTCTTCGTTTCCGGTGGTAGCTCGTAGTGATTTAGCTCTGCGTAGAAGCAGGACGCTGTGTCTCGTTTCGCCCAGGTAGTACAGTGCCCCTGCCATAATCACCCAAAATGTAAAGCAGATGAAGAACATTGCGCGGAAAACTCCGTGCCATGATCTGCCTTTGGCGATGAAGGAGAATAGAACGAAACCGGTGGGCGAGCCTCCCGTTGCAGCCCAGAGAAACCAGCTCATAGCCGGTCCAGTGTCATGATGATGGAAAAGATCTGCGATAGTGCCGCCAAAATTCGAAATGGTTACAGACGAAAAGTACCCAGAGAAGAATCTCAAGACGAAGAATACCGCCAAGTTCTCGACAAAGGTAGTTCCTAGGAGCAGAACGAGGAAAATGCCGTATGAAAAGACATAGATAGGCCGTCTGCCGAAATACTCAGACAGCGGTGCCAAACTCATGGGTCCGAAAGCAAGGCCAAGGATGTAGAGACTCAATCCTAGCGTCGCTACCTGGGGAGATACGTTCAGATCTTTGGCAAAATCTGCTGCTGCTGGAGAGAACCCGGAAGCCCCCCAGCTAACACTCAAATCTATGGGTATTATCGCAGCAATCATGAGCCATTTGCGGTACCAAGACCAGTTCCTAGGGTCCTCGGGGTCATCTGGGTGAAATGTGATGACTTCATCTTTTGCGACGTTTGCCTCCGGCGATTCCTGGTATGCTGCCAATAATGGACTGTTTTCTCTGGGCATGTCGATGCTAGGGTCATGGCTCATCTTGGGTTGACTTTGCCCGCCGGACAATGAGTCAAATCAAAGATAACACTACACGAAGCCTTGAGATAGAATGCTGGCCAAAGCCGGGACAGTCAGAAACAGGACCGTCAGAAACACCTCGATGATACTAGTGAGAAGAGGGCAGGACAATATGATGGCGAACGTTGCGGTGTATAGGGACGCACGTCGATGAAGGTCTGAGGATCCATCTCTTGTAGGTGTCGGCTAGACAGTGACGATCAGTGTCACGCAATGACGAAGGTCAATGATGCACGTGAACAGCCCATCACTGGTCTATGCCGGATGGAGAGGGAGCGATAAGGCTCGGTTGGAAATGTCCCGAGCCGTGATTGGCTACCCCGGATCTACATGCACCAGCGCAGGAACTCCAATTTGTGCACCAACCGGATGTATGCCATCGAACCTTGAAATATAATTACCTTGAGGGGTCACTGGCTCTTAATTTACCTGAACTAATCATTGAAATCTACATAAACCTCATTGAAATCCTATCACCATGCCTCCACATCTCGTATTCCAGAAGACTCATCAAAGATGCGATTCCTGGCACTCATCACTGCCCAATTCCTGTTACCAGGAGTTTTCGCAATTCTTAATGCAACAGAAAATGATAGCCGCCTTACCATCGCCAACGACCGCCTCTATGCAACCGTGAGCAAGCAGACTGGGAAGGTCGATGGGCTTACACTCGACGGCCAGGATCTTCTAGGGTCCGGCACACTTTACCTGGATTGTTATTGCACACCATCGGGGTTCTACACACCTGGAAGCAAAGGTGCCACTTTCAAGCTTGTCCAGGGGGAAGACAGTACAGGGAAAAAGTATGGCGGGATCATCATGGGAGAGACCTACACTGCCACCAAGCAACGACTCGAACAATACTATTTTCTCCGCGAAGGGGAAACTGGCCTTCATACATTCAGTCGTCTCGTGTATAACAACAAGGAGACGCCGTTTCTACGAAATCTTCAAGAATTTAGAACTCTTCTCCGTCCGAACCATTCGCCAAATCTCTTTACTCATTTTGTCACAAATGAGGAATTCGACGCACCTCGACCAAATACCGACGGTCAAGTTGTCGTACAGGATGCAACTTGGTGGCTAGCGCATCGCGACGATCCTTATGTAAAAGGAGTGGCTGATTATTTCACCAAGTACACATTCCAGGATACCTGGCGGGACCATAAAGCTCACGGCATGTACGCGGATGGAAGCGCAAGCAAGGATGGCTCTACTTATGGTGCCTGGCTTGTACACAATACCGTCGACACGTACTTTGGCGGTCCGATTCACTCGGATCTTGTCGTTGATGGTATCGTTTATAATTACATGGGTAAATCATATGAGCTGATCCCCACGGACTAAGCTAATCCCATCAGTATCTAATCATCATGGCGATGGCACCCCAAATATTACCGACGGTTTCGACAGAACGTTTGGGCCAGTAAGTGCTTCGACTATGCTTGCTGCTTACCTGCTAAAGAACTGTAGCAATACTTTCACTTCAACAAAGGCAAACCCAAGACGCCGCTCGCAGATCTTCGGCGTGATGCAGAACAATACGCAAAGCCCGACTGGAACGCAGACTTCTACGATTCAATCGCGCAACATGTGCCCAACTACGTTCCGACATCCGGACGAGGGACCTTGAAGGGCAAGATTAACCTACCGAAAGGTGCCACGGATCCCATTGCCGTCCTAGCTCAGAGCGGAGTGGATTTTCAGGACAACGTTCTTGACCCGAAAGCATACCAGTATTGGGCCAATATCGACAAGGCTGGCAAAGTATCCATTCCTCGCGTGAAGGCGGGAAAATACCGTCTTACAGTATATGCACATGGTATCTTCGGAGACTACGTACAGGATGACATCCTCATATCTGAAGGCAAAACCACCACGATTGATGCAAAGTGGACTCCGGAGACAGCAGGCACTGAACTTTGGCGAATCGGCACGCCAGACAAAAGCTCTGGGGAGTTCCGACATGGCTATGCTCCCTCCGATAGATCGCTGCACCCACAAGAGTACCGGGTGTACTGGGCTGCGTATGATTTTGTTGATGAGTTTCCAAAGGGCGTCACATACAAGGTTGGTAAGGATGACCCAGCCAAAGCCCTGAACTACGTCCACTGGAGTGTTTTCGGAGGCAAGGCAAACTATGTCCGACCCAATCCAGTGTACGACAACATCAATAACTGGACAGTTCTATTCGATGTAACCGAAGCCCAACTGAAGAACAGGTCAACCGCTACATTTACAGTTCAGCTAGCTGGAGCTAAGACGGCTGCTGGCAACACTGATGTATACAACGCGAGCGAGCCGTACTCAAACCTGCCATATACCGTGAACGTAAACGGCCGAGACTTGAAGCCCTGGGTGATCCCGTAAGTCTATCTGCAGTTCTAATAATTCCCAACTCGTCATCTCACCATCTCGCAGATATTGGCAGAGTAGTTCCTGTGCTGTTCGATCGGCCGTCATTTGCTACACCCTGGCACATAAGTTCGAGTTCAATTCAACACTACTTAAGGCAGGCGAAAACACCTTTGTACTCAGCCTTCCATACAAAGGTACGAATTATGAAAGCGCTCTGCTTCCAGAGAGTGTTTATGTGCAATATGATGCATTGCGTTTGGAGGTGAAATAGGGACCTAGGTAGATAGCAGAGATGCAGTCTCATACTCAAACAATTCTTCCACCCCCTCTCTCTGGGCTTCTCTCTGTATCCCTATCACCTTATCGGACAATCTAATTTCCCTCCGCGTTGTAAAGTCACTTTCAGAGCTTTACAGAAGGAACTGATATCATGGTCTCCCAATTACGGTCCAAGCTTCTTGTATCCAATTCCAATAGCCATGCAAAGCCCTCAACAATGTCAGCTAAGAATCTTTTCGAAATTGCCAGTTTAGGTGCGAAACCCCAGAATGAATGGCATACACCAGGATACACTCTCAATCTTGCAGGTACCCCGTTATCTTGAAGTGCATACGAGACGATAAGCCCATCGTCACGAAAGAGATCATGACCAGAAACCTGGAGAAACACCTTCGGCATTGAAATGAATTGCTCCAATGGCTGAGCGAGAGGATTAAACATTGGCGAAGCTGCCAAGGGCTTATAGTATTTCCAGATCGTGGCGGCCTTTCGGCTGTCGATGACAAGAGCATCGCTGTGTTGTTCATGGCTCTTCCATAGCTCCTTATATTCGTCCGGTATGCAGGCTTCTCCATTGAATGCTATCAGGTTTGGTGCCCATGTACCCGTTACAGGAGGCTGGAGTCCAGTTTCCACTGATCGCCTGGTGAGTGCGACTGCAAAATTGGCTCCGCTAGACATGCTACCGATGAGGAATCCTTTGCTCGGGTCGGCTCCGAGTTCTGGTGCATGTCTCGCCGCCCACTTCACTGCTGACCAAGCGTCCTCCACACCAATTGGAAATGGATGCTCTGGCGCAAATCGATAGGAGGGGCAAAGGACGGATGCATTGAATAGCTGTGCAAGAGGTCGGGCATACATGGTAAGCTTAGCTGGACTGCCGAGAAAGAAACCACCAGGATGCAACAACACGATTAGTGGGCCGGGATTAGTGGTAAAGGTCGGTCGGGTCAATAGAGCTTTAGAGGTATAGTCATCTCTTATTGGGATCTCGAGCGTTTCTTCGTATAATCCCAGTGGAGGTGGGCCGAGCGCTTTGACGAGCAAGTTGTCTGCGTAGTCCAAGACCTCTCGACATTGCTTTGTATCAGTGAAGGGTGGGTCAGGCCAAGGGCCAGTGTTCGGGAGTAGCTACAGTATGATATCAGACTCTGCCTCAATAACGAATATGTTATTATGATCATGGCTATAGTCTTACCTCGTTCAATTCGGGATCTCCTTGCTGTGATGTATAGTCCTGGGAAGCCGCGATGCGCTCATCAGATGGCCTGGGCTCCATACTGAGGAAGGCAAGATGATAGACGCAAATGTCCTGCATGCAGGCACAGTGACAGACGTACATATATACCTCTATTCGAATGCCAAGGTCAAGGACCAAAATTACCCGTGTCCAAGATACGGACTCTGTTCGAACGAATGCCCATGCTTTGTGTGAAAATCACTTAACTCCATGAGCTCCATTAATTTCCGGGAATCAAGTTATGCAACGTTGGTCACAATAGATTATACCAGTCACGGCTTCGCTATTACAGCTTTCCTCGTCCCTTATTTATCACCATTCTCGTTTATCACCCCGTCTAATGGTCCCTCTTCTGTGAATGACAAGCTGGTAGCTTCATGATAATTAAACCAAGGCATGAAGAGACTGACAATTAAGGCTACCCCAGCAAAGGGTACACCAATCACAAACGTTGAACTCAAGGCACTACCATAACTGAGGATAACGCCCCCTACATTCGCTTTTGGAAGACCAGAAATTGCTTCGTTACTTGCACCCATCGCGAGAACAAATAATGGATCAAGATCTGGCACCAGCTGACCCAGGCTCTTGATAATCTCATTCTGAAAAACCGCCTGAGCAACGGGAAGCAAAAATGCACTTCCCATTGATTGTGCAACTAGATTTGGTTAATTTAAATCATGGTCTTCGAGAGGTAGTAGAGCTTACAGATGATAAGTGATGTGGCTGTTGCGACATCTTGTGGTTTTACTACAACCTGTGATAGCATGATTGGAATGGTTAAACATAGCCCTACGCCTACTCCAAGGATGACCTGGAAACCAATCCAAGCGGCTGGATTAGAATTTTCGTTCAATATCGTGAACGACCCTGATCCTACAGCTGCAATTGCGGGTCCTATGATCAAAAATGGATTGTGCATCCCACTAACTATGATCACGGTGCCAATCGCAATTTGAACGATCGTTAGACCTAGTATTACCGGGATGAGGCGAATACCAGATGAGATGGCCGAGACGCGTCTAACTGCCTGAAAGTATATGGGCAAGTAGAAGAGGGCGAGATTGAAACAGCCAGCGATACTGAGGCTAGGTTAGAATCCTGTTGTATTTGGGGGGATCATTCTTACAAGAATTCAAAGACAGTACCGACAAGTAAGACTCTGTTATTTAAATGGCTTGAAATCATGAGTGCCCTTTCTCCTTGGAACCACTGATCGACACCAAACATAATGAGGAGTACTAATGCAGCCACTATTACACCAATGACCTCTGGGTTATTCCAAGGTTTCTCGCCACCAGCCCACCGTAGGGCGATTGTGAAACATATCATATTAGTGCATATTAGAAAAACTCCGATCAAGTCCATCTGCAACAATTTCTCCTTTCGGGTTGCCGGTGTTGTCGATGCAGCTTTGGGGGCTTGGAAGGCGAAAAACACGACAATAGCTGCGACGGCTCCACACGGGAGATTGATGTAAAAACTACTCGGTTTTAGTCTCTGTTTATCTCTGTCTCAACAGAATCTTCTGGTTTTCTTACCACCATCTCCAACTCACGTGTTGCGTGAATGCACCTCCGATTATTGGTCCCACGACAGAAGCTACCGCAAAGGTTGCTGATAATGAGGCAGTCATTGCTGGCCGTAGGCGCGGCCTCGAAGAAAAAGTAATAATGATGAAGCATCCTGAGAAGGTACCAGCGCAACCTGCGCCGGTGATTGCCCGTCCGGCGATAAATGCGTTGCTTCCTTTAGCAAGGGCTTTGATGATCAGCTACGTGTATATACCGCGCAAAGAGAAGAAGAGTATACCGCAAATCAGGCTGCCTCCTTCGAAAATGATAATACTTAGGAGGAACACAAGCTTGACGGGGTAGTATTTGTAGCATTTGCCCCATAATGATTGTGTGGCTGCCAAAGGGAAGAACATGGCCGAACCGTACCAACCAACATCCTCGAGACTATGAAAGTCTTTGGTAATTGAAGGAATAGCAGTAGTGATAATTGTCTATTAGTGTTTTGATGAGTAGAGTCTTCGATAGTTGCTTTAACTCACTGTGTCTAATGATGCAAGAAATATACTAAGAACAAGGGACGCGATTATCGCTACCAGTCGCGGGGTGCTTGGATATTCATGTTCTCCGATCATTGACGATGAATCAGTCCCGCGATTGTCTGTATCAGTCTCCTTACTCATGGTGATAGTCTCAATAAAGTACAGAGGGTTGGCACGTTGGGTTAGCCCACTGCTAGTATTTTATGTCCACAGCAGTGCCTTCGCGAGGTTTGTCGCGAGCATTAAGATAGTTTACTGGCTACCGTACACTCTTAAATAGACACTTTCGGAATAGAACATACATGAAGTTAGCAGGTGGCCAGCCCGACGTGCCAACCCTCTGTACAATAGCGTCGCCAGTATTCCGTCTAGAAGGCCGGAAGGTGCCATCTCTAATAGGAAATGCGGGCCAATCAAGCACTTGTTAAGTAACACAACATTCGCCCATCATCACCGATCGTCCTGAGGGACCAAGTCGCAGGGGATAAGTATCAATTTAATTCCCAGTAGCAATTTAGCCGGGCCAACTATTGGGAACTCGCGACATCCAATTCGCATAAGCGTCCTTCTATCTCACATTGCTGTGTGGCGCGCAAGACCCCCGCGCCTGTGCCAGACAGCCATTCTGGGACGTTCCGAGGGTATGCTTTTCTGCGATTCCCTGCCTTGCCCGTTGTAATTGGCGCTCATTGTATTGTGCTGTTTTATTATATCTTGGACACTGATGGCTCCAAATCACATTTCCGCTAATGCTATACTGCATGAGCTCGATGTACCTTTTCGATTCCTTTGAGAGATCATTTCGAACCAAGGTTTCTTTGACGATGCGAGAATACTCCATTACTTCTTTCTTAATACGCAAACGGCATCTCAACTTTGCGTCCTCTAACGAGATATTGTGCTCATGCATGAGCACCCAAAGAGCATTGACAACATCTGGAAGTCCTGCCAATTGAGCAGCTTCAAGTTCTTTTTCGTAAGAAAAAAGATCATTCGTAAGACTCGCTGCTGTCAAAGCAGGAACCACAAGTTCCGCACACAAACTTGTCTCGTTTTCTGGGATGGTTATGGCGCACCCAAATGTGACCAGTGCATACCAAAACCTAGATGGCGCATCAGGAATGAAAAACGTTATTTGGGCGTTGGGGCATTACATGTGTCCAACATCTTCGCAACGGTAGGGTAGATATTCATCTAGGCCACAGAATCGACGATGGTGCTGCCGTCCGGCTCCTTGCTCCATGAAGGAAGCCCAGGCACGCACGGCAACCATCGCTCGTGGTCGGTCGATAGCAATCATCGTGTTTAATATCTTCGCTTGCATTCGACGCTTCCCACACTTTAATGCATCAATGCTACCGTTTCGCGCTCCTTCCAGAAATGCCTCCAATACTTCGTCATTCTCGATGTCGGCCTTTCTTAAATGTTAGTATATTGTGACTAGGCGCATCAATTTATCACGTACATTTTCTTGGTCCAGTATATCCGTAACATCTATGAAGAGTAAGCGCGAGATTAGCCTACCAAAGATTTGCATACCGTCATGGAGAAATGCAAACTCATTTGCATACGAAACAATCTCGAACCTATCAGGTAGACATTCTGGGAGTGAGACGGCCATAAAACTATGCTTAGGACCTAGGCCTCCCTTGTAGTTCTGTACTTCTTGAACGTACTTCATCCAGTCTTGCTGCGCCTTGAATGTTCCAATTTCTTCTAGATCACTGTCGATGTGCTTGCGTACGGGAATGCCATCACAAAGGCCACCAGTCTCATCTTGAGATGGAGTCAGAAGAGTAGAATAGCGATATTCTATGGCCGACATATTTCCCGTTAAGGGTAACGAGCGTTAAGAAGTCACAGTCTGGGAGCGTGGAGTTTAAAGATTCCAAGAAGGTATGGAAGTAGATGCTGATATCACCAGAAGCTTTTTCCGCGTAGGAATTCCGGGGACCGGCATCAAGTTATTCTTTTTATACTTAGTCAAAATGCCGCTGTCCTCTTTACATTGCAATAGCCCCTCGTATCATTAGCGCAGAGAATGACGAGTGCCGCAATCTCACATCAGTGGCTGCCTCGTAGGATCTCATTGAAAGTACTGCCAGTAGATTCTTGTTCATTCGGATCAGGAACAAAGTCCCACAGACTTGACCATACTGGCTCGCCTGCCAATAGATGAGTCAGATGTGACAGCGGTACATGACTACGTCGTCCCTCTTCCGCGAGCAGATTCCAAGGGCGTGCGCGTTATCTTCCACTAGCCAAGGCAAAGTTAACTCTAGCAAGAGAACATGTATTATTGCGGCACAGTATAACCTACGTAACCTTTTTGCATTTGTCAGGCTCTTGATCAAATCAACTCCTAGTCTAAGTTGAATCCCTGTGGATATCTGTTCCTCCAGGATGGAGTCAATCACTTCTGTTGGCTTGTGAGATACTCCTGCCATACCTTCCCGAGATCGGCAGGCCTGATAGGAGCAAACATATTCGCGAGCCAGCCCTTCTTTCGATGAGCCGTCACGCCAATCTCATCCAGCAGTCTGTCTACGTAAGGCACACTATCAAATGCAGCAAAATGCCCAAGTTCGCCGTTCGAGAGGTATCGTCGCCGGTTCCATGCAACCATGTGCGCAATGTCTTTCTCTCGCTCTGCAACAGAAGGAAGCTTGATGGCTTTGTCCCAATATGCCACAGCCCAGATAGCCTGCGCCTCCGCAGCAAACAATTTCGCACCTGCAACGATATGATTCATGAATAGTATGGAATCATCGTGTACGGGAGCCAGTGTGTGATAGAGTCTATACGGCGTTCTGTCTTCGTACTTGTGATAGTGCTTGGGAGGATTCCTGAGCATGACGAACCGCTTGAGGACTTCCTCATCTGCTTCTGCCTCGAGCTTGGCCCATTTTGAACTCTCTTCTTGTGATTCGACGTCCTTGGGAAAAGGCAGACCTAGATCCTTGAGGGTAGTGTTGTCGAATACCCCAAGCCCACTCTGCCAACCAGTTCCACAAAGTATGGCATCACAGGGAAAGTGGGTTTCATTTTCGTCGTCAAGATACAACTCTCTGCCACTTAGAAACTTGACGTTACCGCGATGAACGTATACCTTCTCAGCCACGAGACTCCAGAAGTCTGAAAAATGGCAGCCACCAGCAGTTCCATTCTGCCAAATTATGCTATGATTTGTTAGAAATTTGCACGAATTGGAGTAAGATACTCACTCATTGTCGTATTCCAGCTTTTCGAAGCCCTTATCGCTTCTTCTTTCCTTGTAGCCAGCATAGTCGCGGACAGCTTTATCCAAGAGAGAAAAGACTTTGCTCACTAGCATCGTACCGATACGAGTGCTATGAAGAAAGTATGACCACCATGAGCCTTCGGAGATCAAATATGATGGCTGCAGAGAGGCCATGATTCGTGCTTGCGATGCTTCAACGCCGTTTCTATAAGGAGTAGGCAGGTCAATGGGCGCAAACGCTGCAGCACCAAGTGACCCATTTCCCGTCTTTCTTATGATCCATGAAACAGTTTTGCCTGCCTTTACTGCTTCGTATACCATGTCAGCGGCAGATTTCCCCGCCCCGATAACGGCGATGTGCTTTATGGACTTGTCTTTTATAACGTCGGACTGTCCAAAATCAATGGAGTGAATGATCTTTCCTTGGAAATTTCCCTTCCCGGGGAAGTTGGGCACGTTGGGAAGCGAAGCCTGTCCGTTCGCCATCATGACTTTCGAGGAGATCATTGTTCTCTGAGTGCCGTCTACTGTATTGGCGCAACGGAATTGCCATTTTTCATCAATTTTCTCGATAGATTGGACCTCCGTGTTAAATTGTACTCTGTCTCGCAATGTCTTTCCGGCATGGCTCTTCGAGTCGACGTAGTCTTCGAGGTATTTTGTTGTATACTTCGCTCGAAAAAGATCATGCCTGTTCCGGAGTTGTTTATTAGTAAAGATTCTTCTATGCCGTGCGCTATTGCCTACATGAGGTCTTCAGCCGGCGGTCGCTCCATCGGCATATCAGAGAATTCAGCAATTCCGTGTGTCCATTGGGACCAAAAACTGGGATAGATTCGGCCTATAACAGTCAGTGTACGTGAATGACCTTGCGTGAGACCATCGCACGTTCACTCCATACACCTCCAATACAGTGATCACGCTCCAAGAGGGCTAAGTTTGCGTCTGGATGTGCCTGAAGCAGGCGTTGTGCTGCGATGATTCCAGAAAGACCAGTAAAGTTTGTCAGCCGTAGCTCACAAGGATCGATATGTTCAACAAACCTGCACCAACCACGATAACGTCGAAGCTAGCATCATTTTCGAAGGACATCTCGATAACATATGTAGAATAAATTATAGAATAGCTGAAGAGAGAGTGCAGGTCAATTCAATTGTGATCGTGCCTTGTGAGGCTGACGGCTGCGCCGCCGGATGAACATTGGCCAAATCTAAAAGCTCCCGCTCATTGGATACCGAGCTCTGCAACCTGGTACACATGCTGTTAGGTATCATTTAGCCGCTGGAAGGCATGTACACTATTTTGCTTGTTGTGTTATGGAAGTAATCACCACTGGATGTAATGTTTGTTGAGAGATATGCTGACATGCTGTTGAAACTTTGTGGATTCAAGTTCGTGCATCTGCTTGAAAGAGATTGCTCAAACTGTATTTGTTGTGTGTAGCTAAGCTAAGCATGCTTTGGGCTAGAAACTATCGCAGATAACAAAAGGTGGATGGCCCGTAAGGGTGTCAAATGCTTTTGATGTGGGTGAATGTAGACAAGATTCGTGAATATGACTGTCTATGGTTACAGGTAATTGGCTTCATTAAACCAGGGCGCTCGTTCGTCGGTATTGTTGAAAAGGTGCATGATTTCGTTCGTGGACAGAGGGTTGTCAGACATCTCCTGTGCGATGCCTAGAAAAGTTCCTGAACCTCCCAAGTGACTACTGGCAAGATTCTGAACCTGGTTTGCTGTTGAACTCCCGGTGACTGATGGGATTACCCCAAACGCATCCATGTCAATAGACGAAATAGGGTTGTAGGCGGTATCAGTAGTGACATGATAGGATTGTTGAACGGGGTGGTATTGGGAGTTTGAAACCGACATTCCATGTAACGGATATGTGGACACAATGTCGTTAGAAGCTCGATAGAGGCTCTGGTTTGGAACGGATGTCTCATTCGGCCGCGCACTGGGGTCTGTAGGATTGCCCATTGGTCGAACAGGTTGCCGTGATTGTGTTGAGGTCATTTCAGGACCATCTGTGCGAGAACTGCCTCCTCCATCTATGCGATCGAGTAGCTTTCGTATGGCCACGATACATGCTTCGGGCCATTTGGTATTTCGGAGAGCAAGATGCTGTAGGATCGAAATGCTTCGGGTAGCAAGGCTAAACTTTGGTTAGAGATCAACTGACAAAAAGATCTGAATGGGTGCAATACCTCTTAGCTACAGTTCGAGGCACTTCGTCTTCTGTAGCTGCGAATATAATGATAAACGTACTCATCCAGACTGCCCAGGTGAATGAAGGCCACAATAGCGGCGTAGTTTGATAGCCATGTCGTCCTGGCGATCCATCAAAAGCTCCAAATCCCTGAAGAGCTTTGTATAAGGTGTTGATGATAGACCGTGAGGCAGATATACACCTCTGCAAAGCTGCATCATATGCCGGCCCTTGATTCGGCGTTGCAAGCACTGAGCGCCAGAGGGCTAATATTGATTCAAATCGGAGCACGATCAAAGTCACTTGATGAGCCTTTGTGATCGCGGGTGCTTGTGTCAACTCAACGTTTGACAGGTATTCGTCCACTGTGTTCCACCATTTGCTGTGCTCAATTTCGATATTGAGCGTTTGGTTCGATCCTGCCACATGTCTATTTAATGATGAGCTATTGCGCAACTCCATGATCGAGCCTCGTATGCTCGCATGACGTGCCAGGAAGTCTAGAAAGTCCAAACGGCTATCATGTTCTGTGGAGATGTCAGCGGCGAATTTATCTCTAGATATACCAAACAAACCAGTATTCTTGTGACCTTGAGCCAAATGGAGCTCGTCATGAAGATGGCAAACATCAACATCCTCGCTACGGATTCCGACCGGAGTACCAAGACGAATGCAGACGTATCTATCCAAGCAGAACATGGACCAGAATAGACGTTTTCTAAGGTTCGCCTCGGCCCTTGCGCTTCCAGTCATTTTGAATGGACATTTGTGTAAATTCAATTGAAATAACAGGCGAACTGCCAGGCTTTCCAGTCGAGATGCTGCATTGTACCTTTGCATTGTGATTAGGAATATCACAACACTCACCAAGGCTTGCAATGAATGAATGGAACTTTCAAGTGTGAGAACTTTGTGGACACTTTCGATGGCGTCATTAAAAGAATGAAACACCAAATGCGATGGCAATGGCGAGGCTGGCGTCAAGTTCATGTGTCTTCGATCCATTGTGGCAATTGATATAATAGAACGCGTGATGACACCTTGGAAGACTTCGATTTCGGTGGCTGCAGGTAACAAAGGTTTTCGTTCAATCTTGTGGAAGTATTCTATCATTGAAGGTGCGTGGATGAACGGGAAGGCTGGATGCCAGAGATCGAAATAGCACTGACTCCAGTCCAGAAGATCTTCGAAAGAGAAGGCAGCAGCTGTAGGTGGAGTCATTGTAAATTCCACTTCTTGAGATTTCCACAGCCACTCAGACGAGCTTTTCCCAGTGCCAGAAGGAAGTTGGTCATCTTCACCGATGGACTCCTCACGTCCAGATCCGGCACGGTCCTCAGAACAGGTCTCGCCCTGTGTGTTTGTGTTAAGGGTAGATTGGCCCATCGGACTAGTTCCAAAGGTGGCTCTACTCCTATCTTGTGGACTCGTCCCATCAGTTCCTAATTCGCGAAGCTGGCGGCCCATGGTATGTAGAAATGTGCGTCGTCTGCGTGCAGGTGGCGGCGCCCCCTCTTCTCCAGCCGAAAATTGTTCCTCATCTTGTCGCTGCCGGCGCTTGTTTGCGTTCAGTGCTGTTTCAGGCATATTTTTAAGACTACATAATTCCCTGATATATTAAACAGCTGTCGAGAGCGATAGGAAGGTTGGTGTCGAAAGGATGGAAGTGGAGTTGATCAGGACGGAAGATGAGGTTGTCCACTAGACTTGGCCCTAAAGGGGTTAGCACGTCGAATATGGCAGGGCCGACTCCACGTACGCCGACTTCCAATCAGGTCGAGCACAACTCGAGATCAAGTAACCGAGAATGCTATGACTGAACTTCTGAAGTCCACAATGTGTGGTAGAAACACACTTGTTGAGTTGGATTGGTTTCTTCAGAAATACTTACGCCAGCGATCATTGGTGAGCCCGTGTGGCGCTTCCACAGTACCTTCATGTACTTCGGGCTGCTCTCCGACCTCCAATATCGGCGCAATGTATGAGGGCGAGGTATTCGATATTGTGTTATCGTACAGGGGCTCCATATCAAGTAGTGCCTGGTCATTCGACGACATTGATGGCACAATTTGATTATTTGGGTCTACTGCTCTAGGCTCAAGGTGATTGGCGATTTCGCCGCGAAATGGTTCCAAATCTGAAGGTTTTGAAAGATCAGACGTAGGGTAGTTTTGCCCTGATACGTTTGCCTCCAGGGGAGCTTGCTGGATACTGTAATCCTGCGAAACAAGCTCTTGTGCTGGTACGTCCTGTCCGTGTAGTAATCGTCGCCTATATTCGAACCACTTTAGGCGTTCAAGTTCCGTATGCAATGGAAAACGTCTCCATTCTTCCAGTTTTTCCTGTTTAGATTGCTTTGCACTAAGTTCTGCTATCGCCTTATCGTCACCGGGCGCTGTCGGAGGAATCGAATTCTGATGTCCGTCATAAATTGCGGATAGCAGATCAAGCACGACTATCTCGGTTTCAAGAAGACGCTGCTCAATGAATGTTATATAGCCCGATGGCAGTCCCCTTGGAAAATTAGATTGTAACTCTGCATTTCGGGGCTTATGTACCTTTTGTTGACTGGCGGATATTGACAGTTAGTTCGAGTAGAGATGCATTGTGTGCACCGAGGACTTGCATCGAGTGAGCAATGTGAGGGCAAGCAGATGCTACTGCGGACCTACAGATCACGGTCGCACTTCTAATCTCAGTGGACATTCAACATAGGATGTATCGAAGCACACACCTTGGTTTTCTTATTTCTACACGACTCGCAAGCAATAGGGTGTACGTTTGCCTGATCATCCATTGCTTATTGCGAAGCACAGATGGACTGTTTCAATCAATTGCCATAATCTCGCAATTCCAGCCCATACATAACATAGAAATGTCAACACGTACTATTTTCACTGGAGAGTGTAGCGACATCAGATCTGTGATGTCGGATTTGAATTTTACCGGCTCATCATCCAATCAGACGAGTCGGAGACTAGTCGGACTTGCCTTTGTCCGGTGGCATCCGTGCTAATGCAAAAGAACCTCCTTGTGGCGCACCCCTAACACTGTATACCAGTAATGGGTGGCTCAGGGTCTAATACGATCATCAGGAAGGAAGCTTTTCCTTGTGATAATCACGGCTTCAAGATCGACCTTGGCGAAATCAAATTGCCTTGTTCTCCTACTGATTTACCCCATGTCTCTCAGACCTTTCACAAAAAATAAATCACTTCCAAATGTAGCTATTTCAATCCCTTGCTAAGGCCTCACGCTGTTTTGATGTGAATATGCAAAAAAAAGTTTTATCAGTCTTTTAATAATACAGTTGAGGAGTACGCTCATGCATAGAAACCTTTTTTGGGTTTCAATTACACAGTTGAGAGGTGTGCTCATAAATTTAGGAGGGCCATGTGGGCAATTACAAGATCGAAAGCTGTCATCTAGTCTGAGATTACTCTGAATTATTCTGAATTATGTAGCAATAACACAAGTAGTGGAAGTCGGGAGGTCAAGAATCATGGAAGTCTACGAGCACTCAAGCCCAAGGCAATATTGATGATTTGTAAATTTTTTGTCATTCGAAGCATAACTAGTTCTAATCATAAATGTACCGATCTATGTTCCGTTCCCATGAGAGTCCAAAAGGTGCAGGAACCTTTCACTTCTTCAATGAGACGTTGCCCAATTGTGCAGACTTGAAAGCAGCATGGATCTCCTGCTCAGCACCATCAGGCAATGGCAACAGTGCGCTGCGAACTGTCGCATGCTCCAATATTCCTCGGGCCACAAGTCCATGCTTCAAAGCGACTGTTCCCTCCATGTGGGATCCTCGGTGGTAGACATTCTTGGTCACTGGGAGAAGCCTGTCGTGGACGGCCCTGGCCCTTGGGTAGTCACGAGCCTTGCCCGCCTCGATCATCTCGAGCAATGGCTCAGGAGCAATGTTTCCATAGCCGACAAGCATTCCGTCGACGTCGAAGCAAGTATGAAGAAGGTACTCGTCGTGGCATGTCAAGATGGTGAGGTCTGGGTTCTTTGCCTTGATGACGGGGATCTCGGTGTCCCACCTGCGCATGTTGCGCACACCGTTCTTCATGGCGATGACACCGGGCTGAGCAGCAATCTCTAGAAGGGTGTCGAGGGAGTATGTAGCCTTGGTGTTGTCTGGGTACTGGAACAAGATCAAGGGGAGTCCGGACTTCTCATAGACCACCTTGTACCGATCCTGCGGCGCACCAGGCTGGTAACCGAATCGAAGCCATCCGTGCGAAGGGTACAGCAGACCAGCGGCAGCACCTGCTGCCTTTGCACGCTGTGCCTCCAAGGCAGCTACTTCGGTTCCTTCTGTGGTGATGCCTGCGATGATGGGAATCTTGTTGTCAACGGACTTGACAAATGCCTTGATGACATCAACTTGTTCTTCTTGGGTAAGGAAGGTTCCCTCGCCAGCGTGTCCGAGAACGACGAGTCCCTTCACTCCTGGGATGCTGCCGAGCCAGGACCCCAGACGTTGAATAGCGGCATAGTCGATCGAGCCATCACGGTTGAAGGGTGTGACGGGTGCGGGGACGAGCCCAGCAAGGTCGATCTGGGCTGCTGGCTGAACTTGTGGAGCGGAACCCATTTTGAAGATGTTGGAATGATTGTATAATGAAGATTGAAAGACTTATTCAACTGTTTTGACACTTGATGTGTTTGTTTGGTTGATTGATTGAATGGTTGATGAGGGCGATAGAAGGGAGATCCATCTCTCTTTATCCTTTCTCGTAGACATCTCTTGACGATTTGAAGATGCACCAGATCGTCTATGGACCCTTCTCCTAATGTGGAGAGATCGTCTCCAGTCTCCAGTCTGAACGTGTGGGGACTCCTCATCCGGACTTGTGAAAATCCGACCTGATCGATGTTGTGTGGTTAGTACCACCGCTCCGCCAATTGTCTTCTAGCCGGACAAGACATACTCCGACTACCCCAGTGGGCACCAAAGACATCCACAAAACACCAGTCGGACTTGGACTCCCCCGTTTTAGGACTTTGGTAATTTTCGTCATTTGCGGGGAAGAAGAAATAACGAAGGAAAGGTTTTATGTAACTGTTCCTAATCCTCATTACCCCATACCTGGGGAAAGTCCGGGGCAGTGGAGTTTCTGGAGTTTCTGGGGAACATTCTTCCAGGGAAGAGCTATAAGAGATATTTAATGGTGATCCTTCCAAGATCAACTTACCTTCAAGTTGCTGCTCAACTCATACGCGCAGTCTACTGTCTCAAGGCAACGAAATAGTATTCTCTTCTGCAATCCCAGCCTTCCAAGCCCGCACAAAGATGGCTCGCGACAATCACGATCTGGAGAAAGACTCTCAATGCAGAGTCGACGACGTCGCAACGTTGGAAAAGGATGAGAAAGCAGAAGGTGTGATGAATGGAGATTACTCGGGCGCCGTCGCGAAGACGGATCCCAAAGAAATCGCCTTGGTGAAGAAGCTGGATCTCAGAATCATGCCTACGCTATTTTGCATGTATTTCCTGTACGCTCTTGATCTACTTGGGGTCTCCAACGCCTTTGCTGAACTTGATCAGGAACAAATTGGATCAAAACGCCATTGCAAATGCCAGACTGAACAATCTCGAGGCTGACCTTAAACTTGTCGGCTCTGAGTACAACACCTGCATCTCAATCCTTTATGTTGGCTACCTCTTCGCCCAGATCCCATCGAACATGCTCATGTCTTCGAACAAGGTTCGGCCATCTCTCTATATGGCTGGTTGTATGATGGCTTGGGCTATCGTTGCTACCCTAACCGCGCTTGTCAAAAACTACACAGATCTGGTAGTAGTGCGCTTCTTCTTAGGAATTGTAGAGGCACCTTTCTACCCAGGCGCTTTGTACATTCTCTCCCTGTTCTACACCCGTAAGGAGATTGCCACCCGAGTATCCATCCTCTATGCCGGCAATATCTTCGCAACATCATTTTCGGGTCTCATCGCAGCTGCAACATTCGCGACACTAGATAACAAACACGGCATGCATGGGTGGCAGTGGCTCTTCATTATCGAAGGCGTAGTCACATTCGGTGTTGCAGTCGTTGCGGTCTTCCTTCTCCCTGATCATCCTCTCACAACACGCTGGTTGACTGAGGAGCAGAGGCAGCTTGCTCATGATCGCATCCAGAGGGATACAGTCGGCCTGGAAGCAAGCAAGGGCGCCAGAGCAGGATTTATGCAGGCTATTCGGGATCCAAGGCTTTACGTGCTATTGTTCATGCAGAACATGCACTTGAGTGCTACGAGCTTCAACCAGGTAAGCAGAAATCATTTGTTATCAAGTTTCCTGACAGGGGCTAATCATGCACAGTTTTTCCCCACCGTTGTTTCATCGCTCGGATTCAACAAGACAATTACACTCGTATTGACCTGCCCTCCTACTCTCGTGGCTGGCGCAGTTGGTATCGGCATCGGTATCTCCTCCGGAAAGTTCAATGAAAGGACATGGCACATCACGATCATGATGGGTATTGCTCTAGTTGGTTTCGTCATCAGTGCAGTAACACTCAACGTCGCGGCCCGCTATGTCTCTTGTTTCCTCTTCGCATCCGGTAAGTTTTCTCTTGTACCCTCGCCATTTCGCGCCACTAATATATGGATTTGCAGGAGTATATGCGGTCAATTCCGTTATTCTCGGTTGGGTCAGCGCGACTCTCGGCCAGACGTCTGAAAAGAAAGCATCGTCCCTCTCGATCATTAACATGTTGAGCATGGCTTCTTTCATATACACACCGTACCTCTATCCGAAGTCCGACGGTCCCAAGTACGTTATCGCTATGAGCAGCAACGCTAGCTTTGCGTTTGCCACTATTGCCAGTGCATGGGCTCTCCGCGTATGGTTGACGGTGCAGAATAAGCGTCTGGCGTCGGAGGGCAAGAGCGTCTTCTATGCCTACTGAGACCTGAAAAAGGAATCAGGGCAATGCTGGAGGATGGAAGGGCCGGAGACTGGGGGAGGAATGGAGGGTGTGATCGAGAAAAATAATTATATGAATGTTTACAAGACAACTGGAGAGCTCGTGATACTACTCGCAATGTGACTACAGAAATGACAGTGCAAATTAAGCAATAAGATTAAGCAATGATGATCAAACTAACGAAGCTTATGCATACGAGATAACACTAAGCCCTGTCGTTATGAAATAATATTGACGAGCGAGCAGAGATGGTGACGTAGTATCCATCGTCTTCCGGGATTGTTGGTCTACATACATCTTCGGATCAGCCAATCAGAAGTACCAAAACAAAGAAGCTGAACTATCGAACGCTCCAAACATACTGTCGAAAGCATACATAACATTAACAGTAGCTGTCCCAATACCAAAGAATTGTTATTCCACCTTTTTAAAAGACTCTATAGGTCTAAAAGGATGACTTTGGCTTATTTTGCGGGCAGCGCTTTGTCACTTCCGAGACATCCGGATTGAGGTATTTCCATTCCGGAGCATGCCACGAGTGTTCTTGTTCAACATCGACATTACTTTACTTTCATTTAGCTGCTATACTGTGTTAAGATTCGAAATTTTTCACCGTGTATACAATCTCAGGTCATCACCATGGCGGTTGACGTACAAAGAGGACTAGTCTCTCGCATTGGCAGAAAGTTAAAGCTCAACAAAGCCCCTAAGCAAAGCAACGATCCGCAGCCAAAACCACAAAAGCTGCAAAAGAGGATCTCAAGGGAATCTGGAGGCCGACAGGAGGGAGTCAATGAGCTTGGCGAGCGCGAATGCTCTATCTTCAGCGATGCGACGACCCTAGTCGGCTCCAGGGATCATACTGAAATGTTCCATGGACTGGCTCATCATGGCAGTTTTGATAGCTTGGTGGAGGGTGCACGAGACGGTTATCGCTCGTCTGTTGACACGGCGGTCGACGAGAAGGATGTTTTGAGGATGAAGCAGATCAGCAAGAGATATCAAGAAGTATTAAGAAAGCTACCGGCGGATGTGTGGGATAGGATAGCCAGCTTCCTTGATCCTCTGGACACTGCACGATTGGTCATGTCAAGTCCAGTGCTCCTCGAGAAGTTGGGCCATGAGCCACTCCGTCGTCTTTCGCTCTCTCAGAATCATCACCACAGAGTCCGATTACTCAATGATATGGACGGGGACATGCCTGGTCACCTTCTATGTTTCCCCTGTGGGAAGTACCATGCCCGGGAGAAATGGGGTGAAGAAAGTCTAAAAGCAGACTTCGTGAACAATCCACTCTACAATTGCCCCAACGTTCGAGCCTCCGTATTGCCCAGGATGCGTTTGACGGGAGACCGAGAGTTGCCATATTCATTCATCCAACTTGCCACCAGACACGCCAGACATTCGGACGATCACGGAATAGCTGCGAGGTCACTTGAGCGACGATGGAGATCAAAATGCACGGGTTGGTCACATCAGACACGCTACATGGTCCATGACGGCCGGCTGTTAATGCGCATACGCAGTCAGGTCTTCGCAGATGCAAAGCTTACTCCTACTGCAGAGCGCATGCTCCTGTACGACCGGGAGGAGTACACACCATTCTTCTCTGTCTGTGCACATTGGATGGACGGCGAGCTTATGAGAATCTGCAAATGCGCACTCTCGCATATCCCTGCTCAGAGAGAGAGCCTTCGCACAACAATCAAGAAACCTCACGAGTTAAAGGAATGGATCCACAAGCCCTCCATGATGCCTCGACTCTGTGATGAGTGTCGACCCGCACGACGCTGTCCAGAATGTCCGACGGAGTATTTGATCGAGTTGAGGTTGGAAGAAGACAAACGCGACCCGGTGAATCGCTTTAAGCACGCTCTAATAGTTACGAGATGGAGCGACCTAGGAGACGGATCATCTCCTACAGCCAGCCCGGAATACTGCGCTGTTACTGGTACGAAAGCAGATTACGATAGCTTTCAATCGGTTGGGAGGAGAGCAGTTGGTGGCATATTTGAGTCCCATATGACTGGCTCTATACCTGGTCAAAGGCTTATCAGTCTCAATCCTGAAATGCAAAAACTTGGAGAGGCTGGCCACGGCTGGTATTGATCTGTTATCGCGGGTGTAAAGGAGTGTATTTGTATATTTCCTATGTCTCGTACGATATGTCTTAGAATTAAGAATAATTTTAATCTTCATGGTGAGAATCCTTACCTGTTCTGTACTCTTTCTTGCATATGGGTGGCTTCTCGTTGGTGTCCCGATGTGGGGTAAAGAATGTCTCTGTGGGGTCCCCGCCAATTGCCTTTCTTGTATTGTATGTACACACATATCTCGTACGGTCGTACTTCGTACATACTCGCATATACCGAACCGACCCGACCCGAACCAATGAATTCTCCACGAAATAGAACCTTTCCCCACGTCTTTATCAAAATGAAGTACCATCATCGTTGCTCAGTTCCCCAACTTGGGTGACTTCAAACCCTGCGATGCAATCACTCGTACGAAAAAGTATAGCAACATGGATATATTCGAGGGATTTCTAGCATCATCTGATGCAGTTTGAGACATTGTGCATGTATTGTGTGACTGTAACTATATTGCCGTGGCTTATCATGTAGTCCATCAATACAAAGAGGAGAGCGGCTCGACTCCACATCCCGAGTTTTTGAACAGATGCTAAGGAAATTAAGACCATCGTAATTGAATAAAACCTAACGATTGCATCGAATCCTGCTATCTGTACCACACGACATGCCTTCCAATCTACTTCTTCCGGCCATTGTTCTGGCAGCTGTTGCGTACTTGATAAAAGTTCGTCCACGTCTCTGAACCCTTGATATAAACATATTGACGAAACATCTAGGCTTTCTACTCAGCCAACACCTCAGCTCTCTCGACACTTCCAGGACCTTGGTACTCCAAATACACCAACATAGTGCTCCGTTACCACATCCTCACCGGCCGTCGAATCTTCTACGTCGATGCTCTCCACCAACGCTATGGCGGCGTTGTCCGCATCGCGCCCCGCGAGGTCGCCGTTTCAGACATATCGGGCATTGCCAAAATCCACAAGATCGGCTCTGGATTCCTCAAGTCGGAGTTCTATCAGAATCTTACGCCGACGAGAGAGCCGGGCATCTTCGCTATGCAGGATCCACATGCGCACGCGGCGAGACGTAGGCTTTTCGCCAGGGCGTTCAGCAACTCGAATTTGAAGACGAATTGGGAGAGTGAGGTTAGGTCGAAGGCTGAGCTTGCAGTGCAGAAGATTAAACAGGATGCCGTTGGATCGGCGAAGGGGGCCGATGTCTTGAAGTGGTGGACACGTAAGATTTTGAAGAGCGCAACCGACGTGAATGCACTAACCGGGTCATGCAGTAATGGCTACAGATGTGATTGCCCATCTGAGCTTTGGAGAGAGTTTCCATATGTTGGAACTTGGAAAGGTTAGATGAATACGTCCTCCTGAGTTGACCAGTAATAACAGAATCTACAGCAAACCGGATACATTGACGCGCTTCAAGCAGCATTGTTATCAGGCGTGCTTCGCGCCGAGTTGCCTCTTGTCCATACACTCCTTCGCTACATTCCAACAGAGCGGATACAGAAGATTGTCACTGCAGACGACGTTGTCTTTGAGTACGGAGCACTAGCCATTCGCAACATGCGCCAGGGTGTGGGCAATGCTATGAACTTGTTTGGACAAATGGTGGCTGCTAGCGATAGTCAAGAGAAGGCGTCTCTGAGAGACGAAGACGTCAGGACTGAGGCCGGTAATCTGATCATTGCAGGCTCGGATACTACTGCTGTCACTTTAACATACTTGGTCTGGGCCGTACTGAATCAGCCACAACTACAAGCTGATTTGGAGCGCGAAATCGCATCACTCAGCGCCGACCTGACACTGTCTGAACTAGAGGATGCTCCGCTTTTGAATAGCATTCTTGATGAAGTTCTCAGGCTGTATGGAGCTGCACCAGGAGCGTTGCCGCGGATAGTACCCAGTCAAGGCCTGAGTGTCAACGGATTTCATATTCCAGAGGGTGTTGAAGTCAGCACGCAAGCATATACGAATCACAGAGATTCCTCAATCTTTCCAAATGCCCTTCAGTAAGTTACGATGAAAGTCCCCCAACTTGGGCAAATAATTGATCAGATGCAGATTCGACGGCCGCCGATTCTTGGACAAGACAACAATGACCTCTCAACAGAAGGCAGCATTCATGCCATTTGGAGGAGGTTCGCGAGTATGCATCGGTCTACATCTTGCATGGATGGAATTGCGTTTAGGGGCCGCATTGTTCTTCAGACATTGCCGAGGCGCTACGTTGAGTTCCTGCATGAGCGATGACATGATGGAGATGGACAATCGGTTTTTGATATCTCCCAAGGGTCATTGTTGTTACATTAGAGTGGAAAAGGGAGGCCAGGAAGAGGCATAGAGACATAAAGGATAATAATATATCTCCTGAGATTTGTTGTCTTTCTCTTAACTAATGCATGCAGATTAACAAAGTATAAGTAATTCTCGTCATGCGGTGTGATCTAGTGAATAGGGTTTTATATTGCTCTTTTCCGTAATGGGTTAGCGTTTAAGTGTTGGAATAGCTGGATTGGCCTAGACCGACGTCACCGAATCCTCCGGCTGTAAATCTACTCGCACTACAGTCCACTACCACGACCTTATTCACCAACAATTACCACTACTACTCGTATCCAGTTCAGTCACCTGCAATATTGAATCACATCGATACCCTTCACAAGCTCAATAACTCCTCTTGTGTCCTGAGTCTCGAGTCTTGACGCCAAAACAAAACAAGCACACCAAGCGACTACTAATAGTGACCACCCTCTCCACATTGTCCCACACACGCCACCACTCACACCTCTTACATTCTTAAACCTCGTCTTCGCCTGTGTCTCACCCTACACACACCATAATTCCGAGTCCCCCGCCTCGCGGTGGCATGGACAACACCAACCTCACCGCCCAACGTGCTGCTCGACGTTTCCTCATGGAACGGGTTCGTAACGACTGGTCGTGGCCGGACGTTCCCGAGAGCTGGTCTGCCTCGGACGAAGAGGTGAGGGGTGTCACAGAGTTTCGAGAGCGCTTCTACGGGGATTCGGCCACAGAATCTGACCACGAGGCTGCGAAAGATTCCACCAGTCCCTACCAGTTCGACTCCCCCGACGACGTTGGCGATGCGCTCGAGTTGAAAGACAGGGATCGGAAGAGGAGAAGGAGGGCGGCATTGGAACAGGAAATGACATGGAACCCTGGGCTTGCTCAATTCGTGGAGCGTCGCGACGCATGGACGGGTGCTGCTTCTGTGAAAAAGTACGGCACACACAGACCTGCAAAGAAGTCGACGATAGGCGGATCACTAGATCCTCAGGATATTATGTCGAACACCCCCACGAGTTCCCTACATGACAGTCTTCGAGAACAGAGCGACAACCCTCAACCCATACTCCCCTCGCCCGATGCACATCCTGCCGTTCCTTCCTCGAACAACGAACCATTCGAGCCGCTCATCCCAGTCGCGCCACGCATGCTGGCCGACAATCACATCCGCGCCGCCATAACACCAAAGTCCTATCCAGATATCTACAACAAGATCGTGGTGACGAGCCGCACACCGGCCGTTCCAGTGAACCTGGCAGACATGACGAAAGCGCTGGTGGTGGGCTGGAAAGAGGCTGGTGAGTGGCCGCCAAAGGCGACACCTTTGGATCCACTCGTTGGTCGGAAGAAGGCTGTGGACGCCGCCGCAGAAGGACCTTTCCTTTCCCATCATCCCCATATGAAGAAAGGCATGGAGTCCGTGAAGCGGATCTTCCATCTCAACGGCCACCACAATAACCATGATGCCTTGAGCAACCACGGGTGAAACGAGCGGGTCCAAAGCTAACACTCCAAATTCGTAGGGCCCAACCAGCGTGCTCCCACATCTTTGATGCACGACGTTAACTTACGCCGTGCCGTCCACCTCTTGTTTCCGGAAGGATCCCGGTCGAAGAATGGCCGCGAACAAGGCCCAAAGCGCGCGTGCGATTGTACGGTCCTTTGAGCCTCGGTTGTGGATGTATGCCAGTATGATAGTCGCACAAGGTTACGCCGCAAGAGAGACCGGGGCAGCGAGGATGGTTTGGTTTAATCACATCCTATAACAGTTGAGACGAAGTGTCATCAGCTGCAACACAGTGGGCAGAGACAGAGTTGGATATCAGGCGTCTTTGTTTCCAGTTGTCGTTCGGAACTTCATGACTACTTTATGTCCCCATTCATTTCGGATCGTTTGCTGTTTTTTTGCGAGATATACCCATCATATTGTTACTTTAGTAATTGCTAATGGATCTCACGCGACCCAAGTTGGATATGATTAATGAAAATCAGTTCATGCAAATTTCAATTGGACCAGTACTCTCACATGATTCAGTCTCGCATGCTCAGGCTATATTGTTTTATTTCATTTCCAGGAAATAGTACCATCAACCAACGCCACGAAAAGATATCAAGAAAATTGTACAAATCGTCGGAACATTACCCAACTACGTCGGCACCGGCGCCCCAGTAGCCTTCACAGATTCCTTCGGAATATTAACCTTCATCGGCACATCCCACACCTTATTCGCGCCTCCCTTACCCTGCTGTCCGAGTCCCTTGCCCTTGGGCTCAGGTCTCGTCTTGCCGGCCCACGCTCCAGGACCGTGTATCTTCTTCTTCTTCCCCGGGTAGTCACAGCGGCCATACATATTACAGTACCCCGTCTTACACTTATTCGAGCTCTTACACTTCATCCCCAAACACCCTTCTTTACACGGCTTACACAGGCCCCAGTCGCAGAACTCATTAGCATCGCAGTGCATCGCATTCGCGCAGGGATTCCCTCTCCGCAACGACGACCCGAAAGGCTGCGGCTTGAGGCAGATATTGCGCATGAGGAACGGGTCGTGCGTATCCGGGAAGCAGTAGCTGAAGTCGTCGTGGACGTTGGCGGTCTTCCGCATGTCGTCGGGCTGCTTGACGACGCGGGAGATGCAGGGCTGGCAGAGGCCGTCTTCGCAGCGGAGGTGCTCCTGGCAGACGGCTTTGCTGTTGCAGGTGGCGCCAGCATTGCCGGGTTGCGAGTCGGCGGGCTTGGTGCAGATGGAGTTTTTGCAAAGGAGGTCCGGCTCGCAGCCGTCGGCTGAGTCGCAGAGCCAGCCTAGGCAGCCGAAGGTGCAGGCGGATTGCTCGGGGACGTACGGGTTCAGGGGGAGTAAGGTGTTATTAGTGAGTCCTTGGAGTGGGGGAGAGATGTAGGTCGACCAGTCTGAGTTTGAACGGGATGTGTAGGCGCGTTTGAGGATGTCTTGAAGAGCACCCAGAGCGGATATCTTGGGATCACGGAGGATGTCTACCCGTGAGGTGGTTCCCTCACCTTTCTCAGGCATGGAGAGATGGGAGTATAGCTATGAACATCGTTAGGCAGTGGTTAGCAGAAAGGAAGCATCTAAACGTACCCAAGGAATTCCACGAAGATTCAGTGCAGCACCTTGATCCCAGATAGCTTGCTTCTTATAATGCAGACCCAACTTGGTGTTAGTGAAAGCCATTTCCTCGACGAAGAGCAACTTGTTCTCCTTCTCCGCACGTGCAGTAAGAGTGTTTCCGGGGAGGAAGAGGTTCGCCCATGGAGTACCGGCAGTGGCATCCTCTTCCTGTTGGAAGTAGCCGTGTATTCCAATGGCATCGATAGCATTGCAATCGAAGACTGTATCGGGGAAGTTCTGGTCCTCATCAATGGTTTGTGGACCAGAGACACCAGCCGCAATGACGGCGATGTTGTTCTGACCGAGTTCTAGGTCATCCTTCAGATGCGTGGCAACGTCACAGAGCCACGACTCGCCAGACACGATGGGATAGATCCCTGACCATGGCTGGTTCTGCACATCAACTCCCTATAGCCAGTCAGAAGAGTATCTAGGATTGAAGTCAAGACGATCGCGTACAAGAATGACTTCGTTCAATGTGCTCCACGGCCGTTCATCGAAATTCTTCGATGGATACTGCTTGAAAAGTACTTCAAGCCTTGTCTTGTACTGATCTCGATCTGAAAGAAACTATTGGTCAATATGTCAAAAAACCTTGGATTTTTTGACTTACATTCTACGTTACTGTAGAAATCTAGGAACGCGCCATCGAGCTTCTCGCAATACGAGTCGCACGGAACGTCGTTCGTCTTCCTCAGGGCGTGAGCATCGTGAGGTGAAATGATGACCTTGACTTGTCCTACAACGCAGATTGGTATTGATAACAATGGATAGGGTTCCATACTTACCCTTTGAAATCCGGTGAATAGCAGCAAGTGTGTCATCATACACATCAAGCATCCCGCGAGCAAAAGTTCCGGGTTCAAGCTCGGGCTAAATTGATGATCAGCCACCCGTTCTTTAACCAGAAAAATATCAAAGCAATACCTACATCAGGATAGAAGGGTTTATCATATGGTCGAACTGATTCCCATTAGACTTCCGATCACGCCAAAAATTGGAGGAGATCAAAACATACTATGCAGTCGAATCACCCTAGCATTGCTCTTCACGATTTGCCGAATAACCTCATCTCTCTTCTTCGGGGGCAGGAATTGCAACCCGGGAAAATTGACTCCACCCCAAGAATGTAGATCTTTTGTGATTCTCAAGTCGGCTGCCACATGGTCTGCCCACGACGCAGCTCCCAGAATGGCCGCGAGCAATGTTCGAAGATACATGGCGATCTGGAGTTAGCAAACGCAACGGTCGACTGAGAGGAAAACCTCTCAGAAACCTTATGCTACCTATAAAGCAACAACGATGTCATCTGGCCACGTGTAGATGGGTGAGCTATAGACAGATCGTCCCTTAGCATTGTTTTGAAGTTCTGCTTGTTATGTGCCCTCGATATTGAGGTTGTTCATATATATTAATTGCTCTGTCGATCTGGCCAATCATGGCGAACGACGAGTCCTGCGCGACCCTGTATTATTTCATGGTTCGCGCACGCTACTAGCAATGTCAATGTGTTCTCTTGACTGGTATATGTGATCTTGGGATTATGTAGTATTTGGATCTTTTGTATGCACTAATGATGGAGGCAGATGTGTAGAGATCTAGGGCTCGTTCCAGATGGTTAAATTGACCGTTATACCGGCCCGGCCATAAGCTATCGGCCCAGGACTCCGAAAACCCCTCCCAGGCCTAGGAAATTATTGGTCTCCTATTGAGTAGTCAGTATGACTGACTGTGCATGCGCCGACCCAGGTTTTGCATCGACTATGATCGTCTCTGTAGCTCAATCCCCTCCTTAGGCTCCGCAATTGAGTATCCTGCGATCACAGCTTATTGGACCTCTAGTCGCACATTTCATCATAGTCCTGGAGGTCATCTCGCGGCCTGGATATTCTACGCGGAGCAAGCCAGGTGATGCTCACTCTCGATTCCAACACGCATAGACCAGTGCAGCAGCAGTTGTTCCTCCTGATATTGGCCGAATGGTATATCACTTGTTGTTCGGCTTCTCTTCACCTTCCAGCCCAAACTCCATCACCTCTTCCAAAACCAGCCAGACTGAGACCGCCTTTATTCTCATTGACTGGCCTCTTTGCAACCTTTCCTTGAGCCTTAACTCCTTCCACCACTTTGTCAAGCTGGGTTTCAACCACTACTCCCCCTACTATTATCTCCCCTAGTGTGGCATGGAGTGTCTCGAAATTGAAGATCAGATCCAGCTCACAAACATTCTCGAAGAGCCCGTCCAATGCCTGTACGAACACCTGGATGAGGTCGAGCAGCGCAAGAGGTGATTCGGTAGATGTTGAGATGACGATGAAGTAGAGAGTGGCATAGTGACGGTATGTGACTAGGGACGGCGTATCGTTGTGCGGTGTGGTAGGTGTAGAGGATTTACTGCTGTTGGCAAGGAGAGGAGGGAGACTGAGAAAGAGTCAGTCATGCTCGGCTTTGGTATGTAAAGAAGAAACTCACGGAAGGAAATTGCATGCTGTTGCAGGACGGTTCGCGACGAGGGTAAATATCTCTGAGATCAATCGTTGTTGAACGCTCGTTTCCTGTGATTCACGGGTCAACACGTCATCAAGGGCTCTGAGAACGGTGGTTCAGCATACTAGTTGAGTGTAGAACTTGGTGAGGCGTGGTTGGCCAGCATTATTGAAGACGAGGACAGCGTTGATCATGGTTAAAGGACCGATGTTGAGGATGATGACAATGATGGCGTAACGAGTGGAAGGCTGGGTTGACGCATGGCATGGGATGAATCTCCACAGATATTGCGGGCAGGTGGGGTCTCTCTCGTAATTGGCCCTAGCTCCTCCTGCATGTTACTCAAGCTCTCCTCCATCTACTCCTCTCCTCTTCCTTGTTAACACGACAATAAACACGACTCTCTTGCTTTCAATCTCAGCTTTCCAATTCCATCGAAGCGAATTCATTGCCCGTATCATGGCGTCGCAATCCATCTACAAGCTCGGCGGTAGTGCCCTTCGCCGTTCAATGCGAGCCTCCATTCGACCACAAACGTCATTCAACGGCCTCCGGAGCAGAATCCCAGCCACCCCAATCCTGCAGAACCTCCCCAGGGCATCTGCTACCACCTCAGTGCGATACTTCAATTCCTCGAAATCATTCCGCGCGATTACACCTGAGTCTGAGAATCCACCTCCCAAGGAGAGCGAGCCTTCAGAGCTACCGACGGTTCCGACCGACATCCCTACTGCGGAATACCATGAATTGGCGGATGCTTATTTGGAGGAGCTTGTTAACCAGTTGGAGCTTAACCAGGAAAAGCGGCCGGATCTGGACGTTGAGTATGCTGTATGTAACATCGTCTCATAATACACTCAGTGGAAACTAACTCGTTGACAAAGGCTGGTGTGCTCGAGGTCTCAATTCTAAGTAAAGGAACTTATGTCCTGAACAAACAGCCACCGAACAAGCAGATATGGCTCAGCTCTCCCATAACTGGACCAAAAAGATTCGACTGGGTCGTGACCGGCGAAGGCCAGCACCAGAAGGAAGGCGCTGGCGGAGGGGATTGGATCTACCTGAGAGATGGTACCTCCTTGACGAATTTGCTGCAAAGGGAACTAGACGTACAGCTCGGTGTTGATAGAGATGCTCCACAGTAGTGGGAGGCTCAGATGTAGTGATGCACATCGGACCGTAGTAGGCTTGGGAACAAATCAATGTACGGGTATGAATATATATGTAATATCAATAACTTTCAAAAATGGCACAGGTACCCACGATTCGGGGTCGAATATGATCGAATAGCTCTCTAACCACGCGTAAATGTGACATTCTTTATTCTTCGTTGAATCCTCGATATATATCGAAATAGTACGAGTAGGCCGCGGCCGCACTTGTCTCCATATTTCCCCCAAACGCCAGTGATCCATGCTTTCCCAACTATGCAAATATATAAATCTTTCAACAAACTTTCGAAGCCAACCCAACTGCCTTTCTTCCAGGCCGGCCCAAGCGCTTTGATAATGGAAATTTTGACAACATTCGATACGTTTGAAATAATGCGCACGAATCTATGCGATAATCGCGACGGGTTGGGAGGCATCTGTCGGTTCTGGAGGGAGATCGGACTGTAGGCAACCGTTGTTAGTATCATTATCCACAGGGTTAAGGTGAACACAAATCCGGCCTAGGGCCAGAGAAAACATACTGGATCGAATATTATCCGTATCGTCAGACTGCAACTGGGGCATCGTGCGATTTCCTCGCCGTCGCGCATGTCTGCGACGCAAACCTCGAATCTGTCGCCACATGGACACGGGTAGTGGTAGATCTGCATGGCTTCGTCGTATGTGCAATCCTCGATTTCGATCTCGTCGTAAACTGCTTCGGAGTCGTCCATTTTCGGATTTTGCGACTTGCGCTGGGCGTGTAGATAGAGGAATATGGGATTTGGTTGTGTCGGAGTCAGTGTAAATCTTGGGAGAAAAAAAGGTGGCGGCGGAGGTTTGCGGGGAAACTTTCTGGATCGTTAGCGGCGGGAGCGGGAGTGACTAAGGGACAGCTCAGACACTCGAGGCAACCTAACATCGACATCCACCACCGACCGTCCACATTTGCCCACCCTGACACCTACCACACGAACCCGAACCTTTATAACAATGGACCTTTTCACGCCGAACTGATTCGACCTCCACAGACTCACACAATATGGCAGACATCGACGCCGCTGTTGTAAAGCTCTCCGAGCTGCTGCGGCACCCGGAGGACCTCGACAAGATCCCCGCGCTCAAGGCAGAGTTCATGCGCAAGAAGGCAGCCATCGATGGGCAATTACGGCATGGGCTGCGCGAGCAGCTGGAGATCACACAGGCTGGCATGTACAGCATCACAGAGGGACAACGCACCGTCAATCTCATCAAGGAAGAGATGATGAAGATTGACAAGTTATGCACCGAGTCACAGAACATGTTGCGCGATTTCCCACACATAGGACTCGTCGCGCAGACCCACAGAAATTTCGAACAGGTGGAGAAGATGAAGAGGGATATCGACACGTTTCCTGAGAGACTGGAGAATCTGGAATACCTGCTTGGCCAGGACGACGAAGACCCAGCCAACCAGCCAAATCTCCTCGAGATTCACTACGGACTCACACAATTACGAGACATTCGGGATGAGGCAATGGAACAGATCAAGAACTCTGAAGACAGTTCCACGGAATTGATTGACAATCTGCAACTGGATTCGGGTGCTACAGTACAGGACTACTTCACGCGGTTAGATGATGTCGTCGAATGGTTCGATAAGCACATCGGAGAAGCATGCATCAATCTGATCGAGCTGGTCCAGGCGGGCAATGACGGAATGGTGGTCAGGCTTGCTCTGATTATTGAAGAGGAGGAAAAGACGGATAAGAAGGCAAAGGCATTGCAGGACGCCCAACGAGAATACAAAGATCTTGCATCCCGGTTCAAGTCGATAGCAAGCGGATCGAAAGAGTTGCGCGGATACAAAGAGAAGTTCATCAAGTCAATCGAGTATGTCTGTCAGGCAAATATTGAGGCCTCTAACGACGCATTCATGGACGATCCGGATCGACTAGGGAAGAGCCTCAAGTGGTACTTCGACAACCTGAATACTGTGAAACTCGGCATGGTGACACTGATGCCGAAGAAATGGAAAATTTTCAAGACCTACAGCGACATCTACCATCGACAAATGCACGACTGGTTCCTGTCGATAGTAGATGACCAGGACACGACTCCCCAACATCTGCTCGCCATCATCAACTGGATCGATAAATACTACGCCAAGATGAAGAAGTTGGGCCTTCCAGAAGATCAGCTGACGCCTCATCTGATCGATAACCGTGGAGCCGAACTCGTGCGTGAATACAGACAGGTCATCATCAAGGCCGTTGAAGAATGGATGGACCGAATGGCTGCTACAGACAAAAAGAACTTCGTTGCGCGAGACGAATCCGCGCTTGATACGGACGAGAATGGATATTTCCGTACGAAGACGCTTGGAGACATGTGGCGCATGCTTGCTGAGCAGCTTAGTGTGGCCGCACAGAGTGACCGGACAGACGTTGCGGAGGGCGTTATTGATGCCATGTTCCGATCGCTCTCCTCGCGCCAGCGCATGTGGCAAACGCTGGCGGAAGAGGAGCAAACCAAGTATGCACTGGCGTCTGCAGACCAAGACGGCCTCCAGGCTTTACAGGACTGGCTCGTCGCAATTGCCAACGACCAGATCGCGTGTATCGCTGAAGAAACAGAGGATCGCCCTTCATACGTCACCGTCTTCGAACGAGACATCACGCCGCTAGCTTCTCCAGCTTATGTCTCGACAATTACCACTCAGATCGAAACATTGCGCAACGGATACGTGGATCTGGGCACCGCATGCATCACCATCTTTGCCAACCTCATCTTCCTGGTGGACTTCCGTGCCATCGTACCAGAGTTCTTCACACCGGCCTGGTACTCGCAGAAGCGGATTGGCGCGATCGTTAGCACGTTCCAGGACTACCTTGCAGACTACACCAGTGTGCTCCATCCTTCATTACAAGACATTCTGATCGAAGAACTCTCTGACCAATTGCTGGTCGCGTACCTGTCTTCGGTGCGAAATAAGGGCGCCAAGTTCCGCCGCGCGGACCCATTTTCCGATAAGATTAGGGACGACGTGCTTACCGCGTTCCAATTCTTTGAGCAGCATCCGAACTACCAAGAGATCAAGGGCCGTTGGCGCGTGGTCAGTGAGTTCGTGAAACTTCTGGAGGCGGAGAAGAGCCAGGTGCCTTTCGTCTACCAAGATTTCAAGATGCAATACTGGGACGTGCAGATAGGTTGGATAGAGGCCGTGCTGAGAAGTCGGGACGATTTTGAGAGGAGCATGTTGAACGCAGTTAAATCAAAAGCAGCAGAGGTCGAGGTGGAACGAGGGCCAGACACGATCATGAGTAAAGTCAAATAAAGCAATTGTCGTCGGGAAACGAGTTGGTAGGCGTCATTGTCATTTTTGGAATTTCATTTGGGAGCGACGCAGCGTCTGCTATGCGCTTTGCCTACATGCATTCAGGTCATTGCGTTGAATGCTCTCAGACCATGTACTTATACCCTGATTGCAATGGCGTTTGGATTGGGGCAAGAGATCGACATCAATGATATCTTCTACAAGCAACCAACGCCGCGTCCTTGATTTTGTGGCTGACAATGGCAAGTTCGAGATTAGGGGGCGATAAGGGGAGAATGGGAGAACTCACCACATGGTAATAATGTACTCCGTACCTGCGTGCAGGCTATGTGCACGCGATTCAACCGCGCCTGATGCTGGAGATTCGCAATCTCGCTGGCTCTCGTGTGCATGTATTTCCCTCCACAACCAACCTTCAATGTTTCGAAACACACGTACGAGTATTTGCTCCCCACTGTTAACTACACACAAGTAAACTACTACAATGCTCTAGCGCATAGCTACAATCATCTGGACCACAATCGTTACGCGTCGCTCTCCACAGCGGAGAATAGCCCTGCATGACCACGCGCACCAATCACCGATGCCCATTGGCGATTTCACGTGAGATAATTTCCTATCCTGGCTAGCGTCAGGGGAAATTGACGAAAGCGGATCAGACTCCTATCGCTGCATCGACTTCCCATTCGCAACCTTAATCTCCCTATTCTGCGGCTCTGCCGTTCGTTTGTCTGTATTACAACGGCTAGGCTCTCCGTTTCCCATGCTCGTTCCCTTGCATACCACTGCCATATCAATTCAGCATTGAGCGGTCAAGAACCTGGTTGGCTGTTATTGATTTCTCGGCAGGGCGCCTGCACGACAACGCAGTAGGTAAACGATGAGGTGTGCACAATTCCCCTTTTCTTTTTTTAAGCAAAGAAATAGTTGGTGGCAAAGGGAGTATGCGGTCAGAGTGGTCAGATAGGTCAGATAGCAGATTACCTACACGATCTACCTTAGCTACGACGATGTCGGATTCAAGAATAGCAGTAAGCTCTCTGCCAATCCTCTTGTCCAACGCCGGGCAAAGGAGATCAGCAAGATTCCTAACCAAGCTCCACAGTCATTTTTATTCTGGAGCATAATCTCTTTGTGGGATCAGCAAATCTCCGCGGTTCAGTCCAGTCGAGTTGAGCTTTGTTTGCTCTGCGCTGTGCTAATCACGGCCCAGATAGTGCGGCGACCGCTCTGCGGATCCTTTCTGGGCAATCATATTTCTGTGCTGCTGTTTGTGGGCGTCTCCGTGCTTAAAACGATATTACCTTGAGTCCATCGCTTGCTCCGTGCGTCATAGTATATTCATTGACTGTGGGTTGGCATGATAGGTCCCTCTTACTGTGCAGAGTGCACGGGGGTGGGCCCACAAATAATGATCAATTCACTCTCAGTACAGCAAACAATGGTATATAACAGCCTCGCGCTTCATCTGCCATTGTCTTTCTTTTCTTCATCCCACAAGGTCAAAAATAATCCACAGTTATCACTGTAGTCACTCATTTACCAATTCAGCTACTTAGCTACCACACTCTTTGAATCTTCTTTTCCATTCTCAACTTCAACTTCAACCTCACCCTCTCACCACAATAAACACTTCCAAACCTCTCAACAACCACCACCCTCAAAATGAAGTTCTTCGCCGTCACCATTGCCGCGCTCGTCGCCACCGTCGCTGCCAACAGCTACGAGACCTGCAAGGTCGTGACCGTCACCCAGACCATCACCACCGGCGGCTACCCAGCCCACACTCCCTCCGGCCCAGGACCCGTTGGCCCAACCGCCCCAGCTCCCTACCCCGTCACCTCTGGAGCTCCCTACCCATCTGCTCCCTACCCATCCGCTCCCTACCCATCCGCTCCCGCCCCAGTCCCCTCTGGCACCGGCTACCCCGTCGTGCCCGGCGTCCCCGGCACCGGCTACCCCATCGTCCCCGTCGTCCCTGGCACCGGCTACCCAGCACCTCCCCCCGCCGGCACCGGATACCCTCACGTCCCTCCCCCCGCCGCCGGAACCGGCTACCCAGCTCCCTCCGGCACCGGATACCCCGTCAAGCCCTCGCAGCCCGCTGAGTTCACCGGCGCCGCCGCTGGCCTCAAGGTCGGCGGCGCTCTCGCTGGTGTCGGCGCCTTCGCTGCTTTCTTCTTGTAAATCAACATCGGATTTCGATCGTGAGTGAGTGAGTTGACGTCACGGGGTGACTGCTGCTCGCTCGCTCGTGCTTCTTTTCTTTTCTTGAAATGAAATCGGACGATTCCTCTGTTTTGTTTTGCAAGCGAGATACCAGATACCACTTTACATACATTCACCGGCGTACCATACGTCCATCATCAATCATGGGGTTTCGACGGGGGAGGCGGGCTTTTCAAGGGGCAGGTTCTTTGGAGATGGAATATCGAACTATTGTTCTTAATTTGTAATGGATGAACGGAAGGCCCCCTCCCACAGTTGAAGTTCAGTGATAGTGATGGAAAAGGAAAGGAACACTTTATACCCCCCCCGGATCTGCTGGAGATGGGTTCCTTTCGTGTGCGATGATTAACAATCAAAACTACTTTTAACTTTCAAGTTCCTCTGTGCTCATGATTTGTGATGTGAAGTCAAGTGCATGTTTATGATGGGTGAGGTATCCACACTGATGGGGAAGTCGAAAAACTGCTTTCAGACCAAGGTAGCTGAATCAGTGAACAAAGCAACGGCCTGGGGTTCTTCAGTGCGTTAAACAGCCGATGTCAGGGGGACCAAGCGTGCCATATTGTCAATCTAAGCGTTACTGGGCGTGCGCAGGGGGCGGGCTTGGTTAGTTGTTGGGTTCCAGACCCCCAGATAGAGATAGAGAGAGCTTGGACTGAGATTATGCAGCCAAGGAGTTCGTATTTTGTGAAAGGTTGTACGGAGTATTAGGACATAAAACTGAAGAAGAGTTACAATGAAAGATTGCATATTTGTTTGTTTGACAATCAGATAGATGGCCAATTTGACCCGTCACCATGAAAGTATTAGTTATTGATGATTCCTTTAGTGGAATTCCCAAGTATGCAGGAACGGAAAATGTATAATTTGTCTCTCAGATCGACGGTTTGTAGTAGTAGATGAAAATGTACTCCGACATGCAAAATGACTCAAAGTCCTGTCTGTAGCAATGTACATATATATATATAAGTACAAATATGCGATAACCTCCTCCAAAACGCCGCGTTTGATATTTCGATTTGAAAACGCTTCAAAAATACAAAGTGAGTTGGATTGAAATTCTAGAAGCCCACGGCGAGCATGAGTCCGTAGCCGACGGTGACGATGACGACGAAAGCCATGATGGAAGCGGGGACGCCGCGGGTGAGGAAGTGCTTGACTTCGAGGTAACGTTGGCCTGTTCGTTGGTCTTCCATCATGATGGCGGCTAGGAAAGATATTAGCTGGAAATGTTGCAGGAAGATAGGGGGGATGCGACTTACTCATGTTGGGGAAACCGGAGGTGGGAAGGCCCATGGCGGCGCTGGCCATCAACACGCTTCCCATGACGAGGAGGTTGGGATGAGGCTCTGCCATGGCTTGGCCGACTTCCTTGACGAGTGGGAGGACGATGAGCGCGGCGACTGTGTGGCTGATGAATGTAGCGACGACCATGATTAAAGCGGTGAAGACGAGGAGAACTCCGTACAAAGACATGCCCTCGACGGAGCTGGTGATGGATTGAGCGATCGTGTGGAGGAGTCCGGATGAGTTGACAGATTTGCCCAGAGACAGACCTCCTGCGGCGAGGATGATGATCGTCCATAGGAAATTGTTGAAGTCCTCCTTAGTGAGAATACCGGTACCGAAGAAGAGGACGAGAGGAATGATGGCAACGACACCCATATCGCCGAAGATGGGCTCGAGTTGATGGGACACGCACCAAAGTACGATGGTGAGGATCGTAACGAAACTAATGAACCATTGCGTGCCGGTGAAACGATCCTTCAGTGGCCGGATGGGAACGATGGTGGTGTTGCGTCCGGGCTTGAATGTGACCAGCAAGAGTACCCAGATCAAAAGAATAGAAATGATGCACACAGGAAGGGCAATGAAGAACCATATTCCCCAAGACGGCTCAGGGGACATGTTTTCGAGGGCAATGAGATTCTGAGGCGATGCAATGGGGGAAGCTGCACCGCCAATATTAGACGAAAGAGCAATTCCCAAGAGAAGAGCCTTGGTCATGTCGGAATCCGAGGGCAGATTGCGGAGAATGGGTTGAATGATAGAGAAACACAAGACGGGCGCGGCAACGTTACTGATCCACATACTTGCGAACATGGCAACAAACATGTTGGTGACAAGGACCGTCCTGGGCTTCGTTCCTGCTTTGCTGAGGACAAAGGTGGCCATCATTTTAGCGATGTTGTACTTGGACAAGGCTGCAGCAATAGTGAAGCCTCCAAGGAGCAGCATGATCACAGGCGTCCACATAGCGGCGAAGACATAACTGGCGGCTTGCTTTGTTTCGAGGCGTTTGTGCGTGGAGTCATCGCGAACAACTCGGAGAGTGACTGCCAGGAATGGCACCAATAGAGAGGTGACGAAAAGAGGGATCGCCTGTTTCTGTTAGCTAAGGTAGACAGAATAATAGAAAATCGATGACTTACCTCCGTGGCCCATAATAAACTGACGAGAATAACTAATGCCAAGCAGTTCTGCTGCTCCGGCTTCTTCATTATAGGAAGGAACAAGAGGACGAAGAATATGGCCAGAATCACCAACAACATGTAGAAGGTTCGATTCACCAGCCATCGAGGACATTGGTACCTGCCAATAGGCGTCACCACCTCTTTCACCTTTGATTCCGGCTCATCGCCTTGCAGGCGAACATTTCGTCCATCGGATGGTCCTCCCAACAGCTGCCCGATACCAAGATTGGCCGCCTGGGCTTTGCGCTCAATACCAATCATCTCTCGCCAGACGGTATTTCGCTCCCACACCACGTGCTCTCGTAGATGCAGTCGCAGCTCTCGCTTGGCCTCGTTGACATCTCCTTTTGTGCAAATGCGCGAGTAGGCGTCTTCAACCTTTGCGATGTTAGCGGCAAGGTGGTCCATCGTGTTCTGTTGGAAGGCGTATGCGGGCTCCACGTATTTTGAAATGTAGAAACCCTTCAGTTTGCGATCCAGGATCTTGTCGTATTTCTTCAACACTTTGCCGAAACCAGTCTTGTTCAATTGAATGAATGAACGCAGCTCGCAGAGCGTTACGTATAGGCTCGCAGTTCGCTTCTTTAGCGACACACCTTCGTCGTAGAGGGCGGAGAAGGCCATGTCGTTGTAGTCGTCAAAAGCAGCGCTTGTTCTCCTCTTGGACGACGCAAAGTCGCCAGACGGGGCCGCATCATCATCGCGACCATCCAACAGATGCCTTCTGCGTCCGTCTGAGCTTTTCCGTCGAAGCCTCGAAGTCTCGTCTGGCTCTTCGTCGGAGTCTTCCTCATCGATCGATTGCCGGCTTAACGTGCTTGAGCCTCGTCTTTTATTGTAGCCAATGGTCTTGAATATGCTTGCGGAGCGCACGCGCTTCCCCGCGGGAACATTCTCTTGTTCGTGCTCAAATTCGTCCTGTTCCTCTTCATAACTCTCCTCGTCTTTTATGAGCGAGTCGAGCTCGCCGTAGACCTCGAGTTCCTTCAGCTGGTAGAAGGAGCACACCTTCTCCAGTTCCACGTCGAGCGCATGGGTAAAGACCTTATCGGGATCTTCCGACTGTCCGTTCAACAGGGGCGAGGATTCGGCATCGGTAGTCGCGTGCGCTTGCTGGTTCACACGTTGCTCGAGGGTATAAATTCTGTGCAGGGTAACACCCGTCAGCGCTCAATCCACTTCCAGACTCTGGAGGGCACACGTACAATTTCTTGAGATTTGAATATGCGATATAATGGCTGCTCCAATCGGGCACCGAATTGAACTGCAGACTGTGGGAGAACTTCATCTCGTCAGCCTCGCGAAGCCGTTCGAGCTTCTCCTGACGTTTCCTGTCGCGCTTTGTTGTCCGCCCGTCTGCCTTCTCCCTGGGTGAATCGGTGAATTTGGGTAGCTCCTGGAGCTCGAATGTGCCGTCGCTAGTGGAAGTACGAAAGACGGCGATGCGGTCCAGGGTTTCCGGGCTGCTTCGTGGCAGCGAGGACGCAACGAGTGCTACGGGTTATAAGGAGGGGAACCCAAAGGTGGTGGCAGTAGAGGGATGGCAGCGTGCGATTTCGGGAGCGCACGGTTTGATGTAGTGACACGCTTCGAATGGGGGGTAGGTGAGGGTCATGCGGGAGCTTGCAGGAGTAGTGAGCGATCAATTGGAGAGACTGTGGGTGTAGTAGTGGCAATGGGAATCGAGGCTTGGGGGTAGTGTGGTGGTGGTGCAAATAATGGTCGATGAGGCTGCTCAAGGTTCAAACCCAAAGTGACGTTGGCCCCAAGGAAACCAAGAACAGGCCGCGTTTTTCCCACGTTGGCAATTCCATTGGCTGGGAACTTTCCCGCACCATTACGCCCCAACACCCGTTCCCACATGTCTCGTGCTACAACAACGATAACTATAAGATAGTGTATGTAGACATAGACGCACGCTTCGTTCTTGTCACGAAGTCATGTGTCTCACTGCTGCATTTGGTATAGGCAACATCAACCAAGATAATGATTAGTCGTTTCGAACGTTGGCTGCATCCAGAGCTGTATAGGCACGGCAAAGATGTTTCTTCAAACGATAGAAAGATCACATAGTGCTAGACTTGCTATTCATTTTCAACTGCAGAATGAATCACAGATCAAATCATGCGACAAGGGGGGCAATATGGGTGATCTGAAAGAGCATTGCTCTTGCTTGGAAGCTAGCTGATTGGCTTAGATTTGCTATGTGCTGCAACACCCACCCTGAGACCTAGAGAAGATTGGTCGCGTGTCCAGGTTCAGTAGATCAGCCTGGAGACATTATCGATAGAGACGTTGTTTAGACTAAATCCAAGTGTTAGTAAGATGCGTACGAGACACATTTTCTCATGGAGATGTGGAATACTTACATCTCAAATCCCAGTTGATCTTGGGGCCCAACTTGGGAAGCTCGTCGGCAACGCTCTGCACATCCTTGTCTCCACGACCAGACACACAGATGACAACATCTTGATCCTTGTTCATGGTCTTTGCCAGCTCGATAGCACCATAGATGGCGTGGGCAGTCTCGAGAGCAGGGATGATACCCTCCAACTGAGAGAGCAGACGGAAGCCAATAAAGGCTTCGGCATCAGTTGCGGCAATGAACTTGGCTCGGTCGTTGTCCTTCCAGCTGGAGAGCTCTGGTCCTACACCAGGATAATCCAGACCGGCAGACACAGAGTGAGTGTCGCTAATCTGTCCATGCTTGTCTTGCAAAACGTACGTACGAACGCCGTGCAAGACACCCTTGGAACCGCCAGTCAAAGTAGCACTGTGGCGATCGGTATCAACACCGTCGCCACCAGCCTCGACGCCGAGGAGTTTGACCGATGGATCATTAGAGAAGGGGTAGAACATGCCCACTGCATTGCTGCCACCGCCGACGCAAGCAACAACTGCATCGGGGAGCTTTCCGCGCAGCTTCTGCATCTGCTCTTTGGTCTCGTTACCTATGATCGACTGGAAGGTACGAACAATGGTAGGGAATGGGTGGGGACCAATGGCCGAGCCGATAATGTAGTGAGTGGTGGAGAGATTGACGACCCATGCACGAAGGGCTTCGTTGACCGCATCACGGAGAGTCTGAGAACCAGCCTCGACCGCTACGACCTGAGCGCCCAGGAGCTTGATGCGGAAAACGTTCAAGGCCTGACGTCTCACGTCCTCGGCACCCATATAGATGGTACACTTCATGCCGAACTTAGCACAGACCGTGGCAGTAGCGACACCGTGTTGGCCAGCTCCAGTCTCGGCGATAATCTCAGTCTTGCCCAACTTGCGAGCGATGAGAATCTGACCAAGTGCGTTGTTGATCTTGTGGCTTCCGGTGTGATTCAGATCCTCTCGCTTCAACCAGATGTTGGCACCCCCGGCATGTTCCGTAAGCCGTTCTGCCAGATGCAAATGGCCAGGTCTGCCCATGTATTCGTAGTACGATCTGTACTCCTCCCAGAATTTGGGATCATTGGTCGCGTCGTGGAAACCCTTCTCCAATTCTCCGAGACAGTCCATGAGCGATTCGGGCACATATTGACCACCGAATTCTCCAAATCGTGGCGGCAGTGCGTTCTCGTTCAAGAAACCGTTGGAATCAGTGTTCAGGGCCTCGATCTGATCGGCCAATCCGGGTCCACTCGGGGTGTCTGCGTCAGTAATGACCTTGTCGACCGACACGCCAGTTGGCTCCTTGGCCTCGGACAAGGCCTCGATGATTCCGACTTCTCGTGTGGTGGACCAGGTGCTCTTTCCAGAGATCTGGTCACAGTACTTCTCAACCTCCTTTGCGCCCGAGCCTGGGGCTGCACCAGCAATGACATTGACGATCTGGCTGCCAATCACAACACCCTCTGCAATCTTTCCGACGCTTACGAAATGATCGCGGGTACTAACGCCAAAACCGACAGCAGCCGGAATGTTTCCAGAGTATTTGTGAACGCGCTCGAGCAACTGGGGAAGAGCAGCATTCATGGTACCAGAGGCACCAGTGACACCCATGCGGGATACGACGTAGATAAAGGAGTCTGCAATCTTGCAGAGAACACGCATGCGGTGATCGGATGTAGCAGGTGCAATGAGGGGGATGTAGGAAAGACTGTGAAATTCGTCAGTATCTTGATGACCATATCACTACCATAGTACTCACCCATAGCTGGCGCAGAAATCCCTGAAGCGTACGGCTTCCTCAGGGGGCAGATCAACAATGATGAAGCCATTGACACCGGCCGCCTTTGCGTCCTGCAGCATGCGCTCCTCGCCGTAGCTGAGGAGGGGGTTGTAGTATCCCATGAGAAGAACCGGGGCCTTGAGACCGCGGTCCCTAGAATCTCGAACCATCTGGAGGCATTGCTCCGTGTTTACACCATTCTTGAGTGCTTGCTGTGGCAGTCGATATTAGAGGAGGTCTTGCTATCAAGGTGGCAAATGAGTCAACATACAGTGTTCGACTTCTGGATCGTGGGACCGTCGGCAATGGGATCAGTAAAGGGCATACCGAGCTCAATGAGATCTGTACGTGTCAATTGGTCGTCTATTCAACTCCTTTGTTCGCAATTGCATCTCACATACCGGCACCACCTGCCTCCATACCCAGCAGGATGTCGGGAGTCTCTTGAGGGGTAGGGTAACCTGCAGTCACATAGGTGATGAGAGCAGACTGGGTAATAAAGTTAGTTCAATTGGGCAGACTACGAGCAGAGAGACTTACTCGACCCTCCTTCTTGCATTGCGCAAACGTCTTCTTGATGTGATCCATGGCGGGGTCTCGAAGTAGCAGTGAGTTTTGTTGTTCAGAACAAAGTTGAGGGAAGAAGATGGTTGCACGATGGCTAGAATAAATAGTTCTTTAATAGTACTCCAGATTTCAGTTGAGTCACAGGCGGACTTTTGCCGGCTTTCGGTTTGTGGAGGAAAGGGAGGATTGCGGTTTATGAGTCTTAAAAGAATGCCACCAGATGCTAAAATGCGGGTAATGTTCTCGCCGCCGCGGTCGGAGTCTCTCGCCCACACTAACGTGTTAAAGGATAGCGTTTCACGATGGGCATATCCCCCCGACCTTCCGACGTCGTCTTTAAAGATCTGAGGCACTACGTCACCACTTTTAACAATTTTTCATCGCAAGCATTGCTAAAGATCGATACAGCTCTTATCTTGCACCAATGATTCTCGGTATCAGAACGAATACTAGAAGAGGGTAAGCTGTTTTCGCCACATGTCACCAAGGCATAAGAAGGAAATCTCGGAAATATTGTAAATGTTAAGATAAGTACATAATCATTCGATAAAAGAAAGTGAAGTAGAGTAAATCACCCATTTTCGCCAATATAGTCTTCTGAGTCTACCTGGGGAGTTAATCGTACAAAAACAAATTACATCCTAAAGTTGTGTGAGATCTGATATATGAAATGCGTAAGGAAATCCGCCCAGTTGCTCCAATAATGATATTCCAAAAAAGATGAACCAAACATAAAGAAAGTGAAATGAAATGTATTTAGTGACTCTGGCACTTAATACTGGGGATGTGAATGTGCTAGACGCCAGATAATTTGTGTGTAACGACCTAACCCAGATTATGTATCAGTGATGACTGGATGCTCATGTGAGAATTCCAGCAGGACATAGCAGCTGCCCAGGTGCCACCTAGTTCGGAGGCGACGCCCATTGTGTTGTTGTCGGCATGTACTGTCTTCAAGGGTGCAGGGTCGTTAGAGTTCTGGTCTTTCAAAATATGCGTCGCTCTCCAGGACACTCAGAGAAAGATTTCAATCGTGTTGGCCGCACTGTCGTTCTCCATAAAGGCGATACATCCATTGCAAACATAATGGTAAGGCTCCGTCAAGAAAATTTTACACGGATATTTCTTGCTTACATCCCAATTCCTAAACCTGGCCTGCGAGAGAGAGTGCCTCCAGCTCTGTTGAAAATAAGTTTTATCTTGGGTCGGGCAGAGAGATTTGGCATCTGGTACATCTTTACAAAAGTTTTCCTTCCTCAACTGAAAAACGTGTTGTGCCTTCTTGAGGAGATCTTTGCTCAAATATTCTTCGAATTTCTTGACATAATCAAACGTGTTTTTGCTGATTGGTTTGTGCCCATTTCTCTCGCGGTCGGCTTTCAATTGTTCGGTTACGATCTTCTCTAAAACATCCGGATGGGTGTGATCCCGGCAATTTTTGCAGATGCCGCCTTCATCCCTGAACTTCGCTGTATTTTGGCATGGCTGTGTCCTTTCGACCGGTTCGCCTGGGCGCCTTTCGAAGTTGTCATTGCGAAATATGCACTGTGTGTCCGCTCTGACCTGAAAGTCCTCGTTGAAATACTTGTATACTTCGCTATGGAGGCCATGGGAGAAATTTGCTGCATTTATCAAATTGTCTTTGCATTGTTGACATGTGTCGCCGAGCCTTTGGACCTCTTCGCACGGGTCGAATGTTTTCTTTCCGCCATGGAAGCTCTCTTCGCGAAAACGGAAGTATTTGTCGTCCTTATAATATTCATGTTCAAACGCGCATTTGACCATACTGAAAAGATCGAATGGATCCCAAATTTCAGGTTGTTGAAGAGGTTGAACGAGAGAATGAGAGTGCCGATAAGATGCGGCGGCCAGCAGAGGAAAAGTTCGATTTTCGAGATAAGAAATAGAGATAGTATTTGTTTGTTGATACTGATAGTATCGGTAGATTTTTAAAGCTTCTGGATTGTGTGAGATTGGTTTAAATAAAAGGTGTATGATGCTGTAGACAAGCTGTCTTTTATGCTGGCAAACTACAGCATTTATACACACAGGAAAGAGCACAGGGCCATCACACGAGTATCCCCAATCAGTGACTCCGTACTTCTCGAGTCACTCACTTGTTGAGTGCAAGGGCTATATAGTCATAGAAGCTTGTTACAGCATCACATCTTGTCCATGGCATAAGTGTCATGCCAAAGAGGTCTGTCTCATCAAGCCATCTACGGATCTGCACTTGGGCGACTTGTCATTTAACTAGAATGACGAAGATCGCATATGCCAAATAATCAAAATCACTTGTCCTCGCCCCTTGCCAATCATGTAGTCAAGTTTAAATGATTCTTTCTTTGACACCGTTACACTGAGAATCATGTGTCACCTCTAAGATGACTCCGATGTCGAAATTGAAGTTGAATGCTTCATGCTGGAAACATATGAAATATGGTTCAATGAAGTTATTTTTATTCCTGAAAAGGAGGTGCTACAGACATACCGTTCTACATCAGCGATTGCATTCTGACAACCCGATGAGTATCCCTCACCGGTCATCATAGACCCATGTGTGGTACAAAGTCGAGCAAGAAAAACATGATATGTGAAGAGAGCGGACAACTTGCTGGACGGATCATATTGCGTATTTCCTTAAGTTTGCCAACACATAACCAATCACAAAGTAAAGATACGTCGTTCATTAACCCCAAATTGTATGAGCATCGGTATGTCCTAGCGTTGCCACGTGCTCCACGTGGGATAGATGAACTTTCGATGCCTTAGCGTGCCTTACGATGACGACGAACCATAGTCTTGTAGTTAATTTCCAGCATTTTGGCATATAAAATTTCACAGAGTCGTATCACGGAAGCTGATTATTGTTTGTGGCGTTGTATCTCTGGAATCTGTGGGCAATTTCGACTATATTAATCATTTGAGCAAGAAATAAAGTGAAAATTCGTAAATTAATGATGCATGAATAATGATACAATAAGCCAGTCGCAGACTTGACAAGATAAACATGTGTAATATAAGCCGCCATATCCGTCTCCGTCGCAGTATTCCACTCGGGCTTTCCCGCTCGCTGATCAGTGCTACTGTTGGTAGTCCTAGAACTTAATGCTGAACGAAATTGGAAGTGCTCGGATTTCGTGGCATTCAGGGCAGAACAATGTTATATCCAAGGTCATCGTCTTCCGTTTCGACACTCGGTACTACATCTTGATCATCGCCCACGGTGATCTCGGCTCCTTGCGCTGCAGTGCCGATTTGTTCGTCCTCCACACTATCGTCACTCTCGGAGTCATCATCTCTGAGAATCCCTGAAGCGTCGAAGTAATCCGTGATGTTAAAGGTTGTTCCGACGGTTTCCATCCACCGGGGCCAACAATAATTACAAGCCTTGCCCTTGACTGCGACGAGCGTACATTCTCCTCCCTTCCTCATAAGCTTTAGATTGAAGTCTTCGTCCCTCCATTTGCAACCATCAAAGTCCGGATCTTCAAATGCGCAGAGGAACTTATTGTGCTTGTTTTCGACGGTCTCTTTCATTTTTTGCGCAGCGTCTCGTTTCTTCGTGATGATTTCCATTACTGACTGGTCGGGATCGTGGTTGATAACATATCGTTCAAGCTGAACCGAATCGTAGAATGCAAGACAAGGCTGACATATTTCGGAGGGGGAGAATTCCAGTGCGAATCGGCTTCTGCATCTTGCCTCATTGACCAAAGCACAAAGCGTCGCGTTAGGAGGTGGGCAGAACGGGTCGTGTTGTGAGGCCTCGCCGCTCGATGCCATGTGTTGGAAATGGTTGAAATAGTCGATCGGTTTCGTATATGAAGAAAGTTGTAGATGATTCTCCTTTAGGTAGCTGCAAATGTGTAGTGAAGGGTTGATCGCTCAAAGTCGAAGAAAGGCATTTTATATACTGCCAATGGCTAAAATGAGTCGCTGTTGACTCTGGCAATGACCGGTGGAAGTGACTCTGGAGATTGATGAAGATTAGAGACAGTCAGCCGTGACGCTTGATCTGACTTGAACGAGTCACTGTTGACATTGATAATGAGAAGACAAACAAAAGAGATTGGGAGCCGGGGTGTTGCGAGAGTCTGCTTGGAAATTTGGCTACTGAGAATGACGATAGCCGTAAGAAGTCGCTTTCTAAGCTGGAAATGACTTGAAGAAGCTGCTGTTGATGTCGATGACGACTGAACAAGTCACTGTTGGCTGTGATGGAGGAGGAGAGATGTCTAGCCAACTGTGGTGCGAGGGTTTGCTGAAATTATGAAATATGCTTAGTATGGTTTGCTCTTGGCTCCCAGATTGAGGCCCAAGGATCTCCTCTTGTATTTCCGTCGATCGCCGTGGCACAAAAAGCGAGCGTAATGTGACATCAAAGAAGGAAGTGAGGACATAGAAGGGAGCGGTGTATGAAATCCTGTCAGCACGATCACTTACCTTACCAACGCATGACCGGCACGTCCACTCGCCCGTGTAACGCACAAGAGAATCTTGCAGAGAACCCGCCATTGTTCCGGTACGTTGGGTTTCGAGATGATGATGTCCCATGCTCGGAGCTATGGCCACCTTGAGGCGAAACGCTGATTCAATCCGCGAACTGGCCGAGCCAATGGGTCGTTCTTCTTTATCCACACGGCGAATGGGAGCGATCGAATGAGATTCTAGAGTTGCATTCCGAAGCTGAGGTGCCATTTCTTCAGAGGGCAACTTGAGATCCCTCCGTCGCGTGATTTCTTCGAACCCAACGCCACCCAGGTTTCCTAAGGCGGAGACCGGTTAGTCGCGGGGAGACGTCAGAGCTGTCGTCAGGTCGTAGGGATGTGATTGGATTGCATTGGTAGCTCAGCAGATGAGACGTAGATTGAATTGTCGTTGGGAACTTGCATGGGCCAATGCAGTGTGCATATTTGCATAACGCGCAAGACTTCTTTTGCTGATAATTGACAGAAACACCGCATGCTGTTCATATGAATGTTTTAGATGAGTTTTCGGTGCAATGATAGTGATAGGTCATGCGAAAGCCGTTCCGGTCATATCTAATGCGATTTCCCGTGTAGTGATCTGTCACCGCCAATCCATTATTTTGTGCAACATCTGACGCTAGGCCTGTAAACCTTTCCCGATGGTCCGGATGCGACACCAAGCGATCAAGGAACCGTGTGCTCGGTAAACTTGTTTAAAAATGGTTAATTAATTGTGTGTTTTTAACACTGTCTTAAACAGATTGAACAGCCCTAGCAGCCTACTCTTACACGTCTTCCATTTCCTCATCATCGTCGTAGTCATTCTCATTATCGTCGCTACTCTGTCCAGAGGACATCACCAAATTGCAGATGATCTTCCTGAGCGATGCTCCGACTAGACCTTCTCCGAATTTTAGTTCCCCAAGCTCGAGAGTCGTATTATTATTATCTTTCAGCGATATCCCAGCCGGGTGGACTCCGAAGATCGCCGCTAGGTCGTTCTTCAGCAAGGATACGCTCATATCCGCCGAGATGGTGTAGAATATGCGATGTCGAGTACCTCCAATCGTAGCATCAATCTCAATGTCTTTAGCAGTCGGAACGCGTAGCGGGCTTTCCAGAGTGATCCCATTGTCGTGCGCCCTCTGCCAAAAACCTATTCATGATCATAAGCCGCTGTCACTGCATGCACACGACTGTCTTCGACGTTACCTTTGCAACCCGGGCAATAGTTTCTCCATCGACGGGTGCTCAGTGACTGGCCCGCGCCGTCGGCATAGACTGGGTAGTACGACGCTGTGGGACGCAAATCGATGCAGGCACAGCATTCCCATCTCGAAAGACTGCAGATGGTACTCCTCTTGTGTATACAACGTTGATCGATCTCCACCTTGCCGTGGCGCGCTGTGCCTTCCTCCGTCATATCCATCCGAACGTCGGAGTTGCGCGCAATGGTGGTTACACGGGATGAAGGGGAGACAACGGTTTTCTTTGGTCGCGGACCTTGTTCCCACGTCGAGGAACTGTCGCACGTCCAGCGTCGTTTGAGCGAGGCCATTTTGCTGATTAGAGGGTGATATTCGAATTGCAGGGAATTGCTGAAGATTGATTTGTATTGAATTGATCCCGGTATAGACAGAATTAATGAAGAATAACTAATTCGTATCGAATTGTCCACAGCAGGGCAACGTAACACGAATTGATCGAAAGAACAGAAGCAATCTCAGCAACTTCGATTGCCTGCGATTGTCGAATATGAAGACATGCGACAACGTCACCAGTACTTGTACTGTTGTGTCGCGCCTTCATCCTCACGATACTGCATTGCGCGCTAACTCCTTCTGGCTGCTGTGATCCTCGAGCTGAGGCAACGACTCCACTGTGGGGATGTTGCCCCAATGGCATTCGCTTCCTTCGATCTTTGGCGAGCCAAATGTCTCGGCCGACTCAATGTTGTCTTTGGCAGCCTGGAAGGACCAGCACTTGAACAAACTAATTGAAAGGGACGACGTAGGGTGGTAGGCAATGCAATCGCAAAGTCGATTGTGATTGGAGCGTGGGCCTAGTCTAGCCCGAAAGGGAAGGCATCCGCCGCTTCGTTGTGAATCAGATCCAGTCTGTGGTGCAGATGTTCGTTTCTTGGAAGTTATAGCTGGTGCATATCAAAGACAGTCAATACATCGCATCGGGCCTTTCTATCAGTTGATTGAAAGGGGAGATATATCGCAAAATGGTCAAGTAGGGTGGACACAATACTGCAGTTCGATAACCACGTGATAAGAGGGTGAGTGCTATTGGGTTTGCCCGAAGTCGACCACACATTTGATTGATTGAAACAAGAATAAACAAGAAGACTGTGGCGTAGTAGACTTGAATGAAACTACCCAGGGGTCACGTGTGCTAAGAGTCGAGCATATAGTATCGAGGACCCCACAGAGCTGCTGCATCCTCCACCCTCTCCCCACAAATTGCAGACCGTGCCAGAATGATCGCGTAAGCATGAACCGATCAATGCAAGGACATCAATTGAACGTGAGGAGAGCGTTTCCACGGACGTAGAGGAGCTATTATTGGGTGGTATCGCAGTGATTTCATTGCCATATCGGAGCTATTGAGTACCGGCGAAAAACATTACATATTAATGGATTATGTACTAAAAACCCATCCAGTCACAACAACACAACTCCTCTCCTTTCTATTACGATCAAATCTACTCCCAAACGTCCTCAAACTCCAAAGGCGTCGCAGGCAGCGTCTCGACCTCGCTGGCCTTAATCTTGCCAGTGCCCTTGGCAAACGCAACCGAGACGTTCGCGTCATTCGGCCTGCGGTCGAAGCACTTGCTCGTGGCCTTGTTGAGCTGCTCGCCGGCGTAGATGCCGACCTGCTCGAGCTGATGGCCCATGCAGCTGAAGTCGCCGACGTAGCTGCGGAGTTTGGTGGAGGGGTTGGTGTCGTACTGGATCCAGACGCCGAGCTGGGCGAAGTCTTCGGCGGGGCTGGCGTTGGCGTAGTCGTCGGGGACGCAGGAGTCTTGGTTGTCTATGGGAAAAGAGTTAAAATCAGAGATTCATGAGGAAAGAGTTATTGAGGAAATGTTTGAACGTACAGGCGTTGGTGAACGTGGTGCTACGAGAGAAGCCCTGGTCGACACTGTGCATAGCCTCGTGGACATGGACGGCAGGCTTGACATTTCCACGGAACAAGATACGGTCGTTACCCGATCCCGCACTGGTTCCGCTGTCCTGAACGCTCAAGGCATGGACGACACGGCTACGAATGCCCGGTGGCACGCGGCCAAAGTCCTCCGCGTACTTCTGACGACTAAGATTCGAGTCGGAGCAACGGCACAGCGTCCATGGCCTCGTGGGGCAGTCATTGTAGGTCACGGTGTAGACCTCGAGGTTTCCAATCGCGCAGTTGACCTGTCCGTTTCCGCGGAGCGTACGCGCCTGGTCGTAGCAGAATTGCGGGTACGATCCCTTGGCCCAGGTGCTGATGGAGAAGCCGACAGTGGGTGGGATGCGGTCGGACGATGCATCGAGGGCGTCGAGGTTGGAGAGGAATGCTCGCTTTTGAGCGTCGATGCCCGTGGCGAAGATCGCGAGGGCGGTTAGGGATTTGATTATGGAAGGCATGTTGTATGTTATATATGAAAATGAAACTGTAATGAATGACTATCCAAGAAGAATGGAGGACTGCCTGGATCAGAAGTGACTCTGGATGCCTTCCAAACAACAGCATTCGACCCGCCTTTTATATCCCCAATCGCCCTACCTTTTCAATCCCACCGTGAGAAATTTCATTCAGCTGAAAAGCATGCAACTAGACACCATCCCTCAACACATCTGTCTGTCTGCCTGCCAGTCAGTCTCGCTCTAGTCTCAAACAAACCCATATACAGGGTATCCAGACATACACAGCGCGGTCTACAAATTAACCCATCAGCACTAACACCAACAAACCCATAACATGTTCCCATATACCCAGCGACCAGATCCACAGAGGGACAATGGTCGGCCGGCCTCTTCGCCCATTCCGGGACCCCCAGGTGACCATTGGAAATTCTCATGAGAGGTGGGGACTGGGATGGGGAAGTATAGGAAGAGGTCGTTTTTGGCCCCATGATGGTTGACCGACAAGGTAGGTAGGTTGGGGAATCGATAGCCTGGGGAGAGGATGGCATCAGCGTGGTGACAGGTGGTATGGTGTATTTATTGGTGGTTTCTATAACCAGATGTATTCTGCGCTGGAATATTGGAAATCGAAAAGCTTAACGCCGGTCTGCGTGATCAGCATCATTATGCGAACATTCACCTCTCAAACATTTCTTCTTTACCCATCAAAAAAAAGGTACAAAGACTTCCATCCCCTTAGCAGAGATCTTAAAAAGTCAGACAAACCCCTGGTTCAGCAAATCGTAAGGCCACCACCTCGTGGCCGGAACAATACCATAGTAGGCAGGCAATTCGTCCTAATTCCCCATCCCCTTTCCCCTCCCCCTGCTGCAATCATAAAAACTGTTAGCAACGCTGGTCAGTAGACCCACGAACCAGTAATGCAATAGAACAAGAACGTGCAAAAGGCATGTCAAAGTAAGCTTAATTGATCCTTCTCATGCAGGGTCAGCGTTGAAAAATATGATGCATTATCGATTCGGCAGGCAGGCAGCTTATGGTGCATCTAGTTCGCTATTGTATGGGATGGTTGTTTAGCGAGATTGGGCGTCATGGGGGAACGGGGGGAGGGAGCGCCACACATAATCTTAAAAATGTAAGCAGGTCGGATTCGCATGGCCTTTTCCAACGTTCTGGATTGTTTCTATTAATCTAAAGAGGAGAGAAAGGATGCTGTTGCCTTATCCCACGGACGACGGGCTTTCTATGGTTCGTTGCATATTGGAATAGAACAAGGCGATATGTGAGGTTTGTGGTAATACAAAAATTGGAAGAGAACCGGGAAGAGTAATTCTTGCGCTGCGTGGGACGATAAAAGGCAAAGCAATCTATCTCTGCCTTACAATTACTCCGTAAGTTATCAACTATGATCCAAGAGCATCATCAACCATTGTCAATACATATCACGCTGTAGAAACGAACATGTGCGCTTTCTCCCCATCTCACCCATCCCCCTCCCTCCTCTCTCTTCTCCACTAAAGGAGCCAGTTCAATTTTATTCCAACCTCATCTGTGACTAGAGCTGAATTATCGATATTAAATAACCTGACCTGCAGTTCAAAAGGCGAACTAGTTCAACGTTAGGATTTCGGCTTCGGCCCGCTGCCCCAGGGTACTAGCCACAGTACTAACTACGACTTCCCACAACACCCACTTACGGGTAGTAGTGGGGAAGGCTTCAATGTATGGTCTACATCTCATAACAGCAGATGTAACCGCAAAGAATGACGGCCCATTCGAATTCCATCCTCCACATATAGAATTTCCAATATGTCTAATGCTTCATACTCTGTCAAACACGCGCATCTAAACCATTCGACCCAAGAGCTTCAATTCCTCAATCACCACCACTCACGAAGCAGTTCTTAGCATACTGTCTACTTTATCAGCGATGCTCCTCTACATCCATATTCTGCGCTCGCTGGACGCAATGATCTATGATGGCGTAGTAGGATAATATACACGAGGCTATTCAGTGATCACGTTGTAGGCGGTCTCGCAAGGCTCAGCCTTGCTTATACGCACGGCTTTGCTCTCATGCCCTTCGTGATGACTTTTATTAGCACGTGATTTGACACGGTGTATAGGAATTTATTGTTGTTCGAGTTATCCAGGTCGATTATTGTGTATGCGATGAGTAATAACACTCTATATCCTATAAGTACTGTTGTGTACAATAATAAGCTCTCTCATGAAGCTCCAAGCTTTTTCGTAACCACGTGAACATATAAATCCAGCCTTGTTATAAATGCGTCAGGCTGTAGCTTTTACGTATCCTTTTTACATCGAATTCTCTATACTCTTTTTTGCGTTCCTGAAAGCAAGTCATCTGAGTAGTAGTCGAACCTTTACTTTTTAAGTTGGCATCATGAGTACCCAGGTGACCGGTACTTGGAACATCGATCGTTCAGCCGCGAGCTTAGTCTCTATCGCAAAAGGTGCTTTGGTAGCAGCAGCGACCGATAATGTACAAGCAATCGCTATAATCGCGTGCGAGAAATTCGGAAATACGTTAGCGATGTGTGATAGCACGATCAACATCATCCAGGCCAATGTCGTCCCACCTCCCACGGCCCCGATGCTCCGATTCTTGAAATCCTATGTTGGATTTCCAGAACACGATTCCGCGTCACAACTAAGCCAGTCTCATGCGGGACTGCGGTTTTTGTGCCTTGCTGCGGCTCTAATAACGTCCATGGAAATACATGTCGCTAAAGAGGCGCTGCATGCGATGTTGAAAAGCACCACTAAAGACTCCGATTTCCTTCCATCGCCCAGACTTCTCAGGGACCTTCTTAGAGCATTGGAGCCAAGATGTGCGGCTTCCGGATTCACAGACCTCACCCTTCGTTGGTATTCGAGGTTGTGCTCCCAGGTGGGAATGATCCCGGCCGTACAACCTGGTGATCCGAGTTTAGCTGGTGCTTTCCCTGATCCAGATGGAATCAGGGATCTGATAGATGCCTTTCGCCAGCTTGAACGCATTGGAGAAGCTACTGTGACCAGAATAATTATCAAAAGTAGAGGATGTACAGCCTGGGTAGCCTCCTTCACCGAATGGTGTCTCGGTAGGCCTCCTGCTGTTTTCACTCACGATGGACGGAAAATACTGGACCAAGATCATCATGACGTTTGCATCATTCACTATCCGCCTGGAGATTTACGCGATCGTTCCGCAGCTTTCAAGGTTGAGGTTGACCACTCGGTCCGGGCTTTTGAAGAGATGGTGATTGAGAACACTATCACATCCAACCACACCGTCAGTATGCGATGGAGAGGTATGCCTTCGATCGATCAATACGGTAAATGGCTACTCCAGCATAATGGGCTAGACGTGGGCAACAGCCGAAGAGCATTCGAACAGTTAATTCCATACGCTCTTGACCAAGTTATTTCCAAGTTGAGATTTTCGAGTTATTGCCCATTTGATCGTGACAGAGAACTCGCGCCCTGGTATTGGGAGGAGTTTGAAAGGGACTCGATCGCAAACCAGCCGGAGCCGGAATGCATCAACGATCTCCGTACCCACCCTATTCCTACGACTGAGGAAATTCTACCACTGCTTCGGCGCTTGACTGGGATGACCAATGTACAGACCAATGTACAACAAAAGCCACTGAGAGAAGTGCGTCTTATTGATGAATTGCCGCTTGTGGTGCATCATCTTAGGGAGTTGCAAAAGAGTTGCGGTTGTTCTACGTGTCCAAATGTGCTGTCTTCCGAAGATCCTGTGCTTCAGTATTGCAAACGCGAAGCATTTCTCAACAAAATAGTAGTTGTCCTTGCTGATATTCTAGCTCTTTCTCTGTTTGTTTTCCCTGATGACCTTCGTATTCGAATCCCCGTACGCCATCACCAGAACGAACGTCATCCATTTGCAGAGGCTATATTCAGCATTCTTAAATCGGGCCAGCGTTTGATCGTCAAACATCACGACTTGCTAGATTGGGCATTGGCGTTAGTCGGCCATGACGTTAGCAACGAGCTCAAGGCTGATAAATGGGCTGCGTCATCTGGCATGGGCCAGGCGGTGTGGCCTGCTATCTTTGACACGCTCTGTCCGACGAAATCCTGGTTCTTATCCCTCAAATTCTGCCGCGGCGTCTTCCAGCATAAAGGGGAACTGTACACCATGGTCGAGGCGCTTGCAAATGATGGGGAGGTGGACATTGAGGAAAGCCAGAATCCTGTAATTGAATTCCAGAACCGTTTCCCCAACTTGAGAGCGGAATGGAGAGTTCAAGTCAGTGATGACATTCTGAAAGTTGGTCTAGGATTGTCTAGTTCTCGTGGCCAATTGAAGTATGCAACGGTCTCACCAGCCCGAGCTTTGGCCAACCTGTCGAGCGCATTGATGGCTGAGAGCTGTTCTCATAGTTCTGACGAAGCTCTCGAGCGTCCTAACCCGTTCGTCACTTACGGACACCCAATCGATCCAGGGAAACTCATTCGTTGTGAGAGTTATAGGGTAGGCTATGTAGGTGTTGTTGCGGTCAGTGATATGGACGATCTTCGGTTTCTCTCTCTTGCCTGTGGCGATAGGTACTCCTCTGTCGTGATACGGAAACATGCGTGTTTTTCATGCTGTTTGCGGATTTGTAGGAACACCTCATATCCCATTCTTATTCTTTAGCAGTTTCTATCTATCATATGGTTTAAGTGTGGCTTTTTCTTCACATCCGTACCGATTACGTATACATTGGAACTTGTAACATACGGAGCAAAGAACAACGCGTGATTGCATGGAGGATCTTTGCAACTATGTATATAAATTAGGCACCTACCTGTTGTTCTGTTCGCTCCATTGTGATGCCCGCTACATAGTGAGGTATAGTTCTTATCCTACGATATGTATAATTCCACACAAGTGAACGCCCTCAGCAAGTCCTTCTATCGCCCAGACACAGACAGACAGACAGACAGACAACGCAAGGAACCTCACATCGCATACCACGAGCCTTCCTACGCCGTCGCTCGATGTGCCATGCGCCCCATCTGATATACCCCTCTTATCGTGGCACTCTACGATAAAATAGTTTGTAACTCGTAAACGGCCTTAAAAGGACCTACCTACAACCTTACACTATAGTTAGTAGTCACTAATCGATTCAATTTCCACCTACAGTATCGATCAATATCAATTGAATTCCCACCCTACCTCCTCAATCAACCTCCTCAACCAACAACCCACCCACCCTACACCCCATTTATAACATCACAATCTCCGATCCAAAGTACTCCGTAGGCTCAAGACCTATTCCAGCCACCCAGTATCGATTCTCTCAACTCTTCCACGTGGTGGTGCGCTTTTTCTACATCTTCCTACCGCTATATAGTGACTGACCATAATTTAGGTACCTAGCTTGCTGCGCAAGCAATGAAACTCTAAATGAACTCCAGACAGGAAAGAACGATGGTACTTTTAACCTCGTAATCTTCCTACCTGCGGAAGGTGCCATGGACGTTCGAAAGTGTGAGTCGTTGGACTTTATGTACGAACGGCGTTGGAAGCGTGTATGTGTTAGGTACCTACCTAATGTATGTGCAGATACGGGACGCGCGTTGTTTTATATTGTAAGCACATGTAAGTAAGGCGCAATCCCTCGTGTCGACTGCGACATTGCGGCGCGGAGGCGGAGATTTTTAATCGCTACGCCGCAATGTGATCGTCATTCGCGATAGGCGGGCGGGCGGGTGGCCAGCATGACGGCCGCCGCCCGCCCACGAGGCTGGCAAGGAAGCTGGGGGCAGGGGCGGGCGGGGCGAACCGAGAATACGAGCGGCGCCCGTAAAGTCCCTCCGTACGTACATACATATGCAACGTCAGTCAGCATCCACAATTCGCAATAGATATATTTATTCACGAGGAAGACGGGACTCATGTTTTGATTAATTGATTCGTGTTTGATTGCTATCTACTGGGTGATAACCCGGGTATTTACCAGGTTCCATTTGAGGTACTCGTAATTCATCCCGCGGCAAAGAGGGGGTATCAAGACGCTGCTTGTCCATGAAGCACGCGCATGCACGTCCGAAAAAGGGTAAAACACGCATCGACCTAGGAAGGAGAGGTATTAGGCACATCGTTACAGTCATGCCGAATTGTCGTAAACATTAATTTCCATCTGGTCGTCCGCGTGGAAGTGAGAAAATTGGGAAGAGGAACAGCCGTGAAGAAAAGAAAGATATACACCGATAAAAGCATATACAATCCGTTTTCCCATGACGAAACCAAGACCGTGAAAGATTTTTTTGTTCCAAAGGGTCACCTGCTCGGATCGCTCACTCGCTCGGCACGTCCCCACAATACATTATATCATTACATCGTTCGACCGAGAGACCTTTGGATTTGGGGTCGTAGGCTTGGCGCCTACAAGAGAAGCCAGGCAGCGACACCACCGACGACACCGGCAACGGGCATGCCAGTCATCATGGGGGCGGCACCAGGGACCGAAGAGGAGGCGGCGGTGCCAGTGGACTCAGCAAGGCTCTGGGTAGCGGAGGAAACCTCGCTGAGGAAGGAGGAGAGGGCGCTGCCGAGGGAGGAACTGTTGGCTGTTAGTGATGTTTCTACTATGTAAAGAGATGTTCAACTTACGCGACCGAGGAGGCAGCCGAGGAGGCGCCACTCTGAAGAGAGCTGGCGGCAGAACTGGCACCGCTGGCAAGAGAGGAAGCAACGGAAGAAGCGTCGCTGGCGATGGAGCCGGTGGCCGAGCTCAAAGCGCTACCGGCAGAGCCAGTGACAGAGCTCAAAGCGCTACCAGCAGAGCCAGTAGCTGAGGCAATGGCACTGCCAGCGGAATCGGTAGCAGATGCGATGACACTACCAGCGGAGTCGGTCACGGACGCGAGGGCAGAGGAGAGGATGGGGAGAGCGCCAGTGGAAGCAGGAGCCTGGGTAGCGGAACCGCCGGACTGGGAAGCGCCAACGTCTTTGATGAAGGTTAGTATTCGACCTTCTAGAGGAGTCAAGCTGTTGAACTTACTAGCGCAGTAGTTGAGGCCATAGGCGATCACACGGTTAGCATCATCGCCGGAGGGGCAAGCCTGGTTGGAGCAGTCGCGAACGCCGTATCCGAAGCGGGCCTCGTTGCAGTAGCAGCTAACGTCGCCGACAGCGCAACCGAACTGGGAGGTAGCAATGCCGACCATGTTGTTGATGCAGGTTTGCTGAAGAGGACATGTTAGTCAGGCATAAAGAGAAGATGAAGAATTCGTGGACAGAGTGGCATGGAGCTTCAATTGGGAAGGGAAGGAGCGCGAGATTCGCGCAGGCAGAGGGTAACTTACACCGCAGGGAGGGAGATCACTGAGGCTCTGGGCGGCAGCGATGCCAGCAACAGCGAGGATGGCGAAGGTCTTCATGGTGACGGTTGGGATTGAGGGTCGAGGGAGAAGATGAAGATGTTGAGAGGTAAGTTGATGTGGGTGTGGATGTGGATGAGGTTTGTGAGTGAGGTTGTGGATGAGAGAGAGGAAGTTGGAGAATGGGGGGGAAGGGCAATATTTATTTAGTGGGCACGGGAGGCGGGTGGAAGGGTCTTGGTTGGACAGTGATGGTGATGGTGACGAGAGAGAGACAGAGAAGCAAGTGAAGGTAAGTGAGGTGGGTGAATTAATGACGAGGCTGCAAACACCCACGCCCACACCTACACACTACAGTGACCACACATGCACTAACTAGCTACCTAGTAAAGTGTCTAGTTGATTACTGGAAGTAGAATTGAACTAACAATTGATGATGGAGGGAAACGAGTAAGGCGATCAGGAAGGCAGGGCTGGTGTGGCTTGTTGATGTTGAGATTCTGGTAACCTTCCATAGTCTTAGTCTGGCATGAAGCTGGTAGTGACGGGGTAACGGGGAGGTTGGATTCGACTTCAATTGGTCTAGTTGGATGCGATTGACAGAATATCCTGTATTGTTTCAAGGTTGTCTTTTCTTGGAATTTGTGTTCACAGCTGCCTCTTGTCTACAGTGGGTACGGGGGAATAACCTGATTTCCCCCATCATCGTTCCCATCATCGCATCTCCCGTCTCCCTCCCATGAACGAATGAATCATTTCAATTTCATTTTTTGTTGTTTCGTTCGCCAAAACAACAAAACCTGCCAACGACATCATAATCACATACCGACTAACCCCATCCATACTAGCCGTATCCACTAGTGTCGTGCACTAGCCACCACCCTCTTTATCGATCCTCAACCACCCCGTCAGTGCCCGTCCATCCCCAACCACAATCAAACACTTCAATCAATCAATCGATCAGCCATCTCATTATCATTCCAGCCCATCATCCCATCAATCTACCATCCTAATCGAAGCCATCGTATGGAGCCACTTAGATCGTCCACATCGATCTATCTCCTTCTGCCCCCCAGTCGCCGGTGCCACCACATCACCCTGCCCAGACATCAACCCATCATTGAACACTGACACAGGGTGCACAAGCTACACCACTGGGCACAGGTACAAACAGGCACACTCTGCATAACACATGGATGCACAAACCGGGAACTCAGGCACCACAAATCCGTCTGCCTGTAGCTTGACGCACCGCGTCTGGGCAACTCGGCAAACGCCCACCCTTTCATTGGTCCTCACAACCTCCTCTCATCATATCGTTAACCTCTTCTCTCCGTCTCGCGACCTCCTTTTCCTGCCTCATCCATTGTAACGTATCGTTCAATGTGCGACTAAATAATCCAGAGCTGCGTCACCGACCGAGCAGGGCATCAGTCCCAGCCTGGTCCAGCACTATCAGGCCGCCCCGTCAGAGCGACCGAACATCAAAGCTCGAAGCGCATCAATGCGGAGTATCTCCCTAGTGTGCTCGCATAGCTATTGGATCCACAGTATGGACAAGGGTCGGATCAGGCTTTTGTGGCTGAACAACACTTCCACGCTACGTCGCTACCCACCACGCTATCGGCCTTGACTTCCCCGCCAACTGTTTGTTGGTCTCGACAGCTCTGATATCACTTCCGACTAACAACTTGAAAAAAACGAAGGAAAATCAAGTTCCTCCACTCCAGATGGGCCAACGCACCACTGATTTGCCTCGTTCGTCCTCGCTTCCAGTGACAATTCCCCGATCATCGTGATTCGATATCCACCCGATAGTTGCGCCGAGCCCCGTACCACTGCTACTTGCGCATACCGCCCTCGCCAGACACATGCGTACAACACAACACACACCAGCCCTTCCTTACCTCACCATGCTGTACATGAACAGATACCTGCAGCTGGGTAGTTTCTGATAGCAGAATGCTACAGCTTCTTTTTTCCCCCTCTCTTCTCAGTGCATGACCATGCATCGCGAAAGGAAATGGCGGGAACACGCTCTCGTACCTGCGCTGAAACCTCGTTGTCCCTAGCCACGAGGATTCAATTGCACGACCCCAGCCTTTCCTTCATCTTTTCCAAACACCAAATACTCTATTCCATACAATGAGTTTGTGCTATGTTGGACGAACTAACCGCCCAACATCTCGTTTGCATCGTGCGCTCAAAACTTTATCCTGCCCCTTTTACCAGATGTCACAGGACTTTGCCGGCTGGATCAACTGATTCGTTTGTGTAAACAATCTCCGCGCTTGATTGAATCTCCCGCAATGTTCGATTCCAAACAATCGCATGCGCGGCAGTTAGTGGACACTTTCGATGCGACATGGCCAAAGTGAACTGTCGAACAAGTGGCATTGCAACTATGTCTATGCTACCCGTGAGGAGTACGGAGTACAGAATCAATTCGCAATTATCTGACAATGTCCCTCAGCAACTAACAATGCGACTAACAAATCCGAACGATGATCATTTCCGCGCCAACTCCGAGTAAACTATTGTTTATGGCGAGAAGATATTCTACAGCTAGATACGTCCTCGCGCGCATTCGATGTGAATGAACACAGACCGCTCATCGACTCCCTCCTGCACGTACATTTGTGTTCGTCTGCACAATAGTCGTATCCACAAACCATCTTCGAAACTTCGACTCGGACCCGGTCCTCGACCTCGACCTCTCCCTCTCACCATACACCTGCCTCCTCCGTAGCAGGAACCAACCCACGCCGAAAAGGCCAAACACCGCGAACACAATACCAACCACGAGCCCAACCATCGCTGCAGTTCGTGAACCTTTAGGAGGCGGCACGCCGATCGAAGGTGCCGATTCAGAAGGATACAGCGACGATGCCGTTTCGGGTAACATGGAGATCGCCCTGTCGATCACAGTAGCGCATATCTGAGTTATGTTCGCCGACTACGATCAGGATAACGCGACGATCATCAGCCATATTCTTTAAACAGAGACCCAATCGCAGGGAAGGAAGGAAGAAAAATCATAAATCTCCAATGCCACTAACGCAAAACAGCAATACCCATATCTTGACCAGAGAGAAGCATAAAGCGAAAGCAGATACCAATATCAATATGAATTTGTACTTACAATACTGTTCTCCGATGTGCAGAGTGCCAGCAGCGTCAACTGGTTCGCCATCTCCGCCTGCGCCATGGCCTTGTCTGCCAGGCCTGCGGCAGCATTCGCATACGCGTTCGCCCGGTTGCCCACCTGTACAGACTTGACAGCGAAGACACCGAATGCGATAGCAGCTGCGAAGGCGGCGAGCTGCAAGAGCACATTGATGGCGAACTGGGCGATCGGCGGCTCCAGGCGAGATACCGTCTCCGTTTGCGTCTGTGTCGGTGAGGATGTTGATGTGTTGCTTCCTCGCCTGTCGTTGTATGGCGACTTTTCTCGAGGAACGGTTCGTGAGGATGTGCTTCTTGTTGACGACGGTGGCTGAGATGTGCTTCTGCTGCTGCTGCCACTACTGCTCCTGTATTCAGGCGTGTACGTGGTTGACAGGTACTGGTTTGGCAAAAGTCTTGCAGTGCTGCTGCCACTCTGCTGCCGTCCGTTTCCATGTGAAGCCATCGTGAATATCAATTCTCCGCAAACTCAAAGATTATCTTACTGATGTTCTGATTTCGCACAATCAAGTCTTGCACAATAGCTATATTCAAGACCTCAAACCCGGGGAAAGCTGGTCAGATAAATACATCTTCCACCACTGCTACAATCCTTCTCCGTACACCTCAGGCTGCCATCCCATCCCATCCCCTCAACCCCCCAAACCACCACCCCTCGAGGCGCAGCAGCATCCAAACTAGCCCGCCCATACCGGCGGCGCGCTCAGAGTTTTCCCAACCTGCATCCTCACTGCCCCCCCCCCCCCCCCCCCCCCGAAACAAATCACCGAAATCTCTTCTTCATCTCCTGCCACGGTCCGGCACTTTTTTCAGGCACGCGCGTGGTTCACCATACGGTTGACACATATGTTCATAGCGCTCGCCGGCTCGCTGGTGCTGCGAGGTTGCTCGCGAGGCGGAGTGCGTGAGGGTTTAGCTCCATGCGCAACGATTGGGCCCCGAACGAATGTTTCTAATCGATAAGAGCCCCCCGCGTGCGTGCGCGCGTGGTGCCTGACAGCCATGGCATGTTCGACGGATCTGAAAGACTTTTTCTTAAGAGTTTTCGGGGTGCGTTACCGGGTATGTGGTTGGTTGGTTGGTTGGTTGTTTGGTGGGTGATTGGCTGCTTTGGTTGTCTGGCTGTGTGCCTGGTCTAAAGTAGTAGTCTGTGAGAGAGGCAGGTTTCGGCTTGTGTGGGGTATGGGGTAGTCATGGCTGGACAGGAGGTATGGAAGAGTTTTTCTGTCTGCGTTGGTTAGTGGGACGGACCGGTGCATGTTTCATGGAGGAGTTTTTTTCTGGCGACGTGGTTGTGGTGTGTTGGAGTGTTCTTCTTGACAGGAGGAGTACTTTGGTTGCTTAGTCGCATTGATATCGGGAACCTGTGAACTTCATGTCTACGCACCAATCTCTCACAGAGAAGCGCGTGGAAAGACAGTATCCACATCTCATACCTCACTCTAGAGTCTAGGCGCTCAAATCCACCATCATGAAAACCGCTATTTCAGTTCTAGAAAATTTGATTTTTGGTCCTGCGATGCGGTGCAACAACGTCTCTACTCATTATCGCTAGCAACCTCCCATCTATCTAGCTGGCGTCCATGAGCCACGATACAACATCCAGCCATGACATGCGACGATAATCCCCCCATCCCATCTCATCCCTCACTTCACCTCCACGCACAGACGTCGTTTCCATGGTCCCATAGTCGTCCTTCCATAGCAACCCACACGCAGACGCAAGGGACACCCACCCACCTCCACCTCTCCACCTCACAATCACACAACTCACTCCTCCGCATGCTCCCCCTGCTCCTGCTCCGCAAGGTGCTTCTCCTCGGCGGACGTTATGCAGTGCATATTCGCTCCTTTTCCTTTACGTTAGCTACCTGTACGTATCTTTGGATTATAGGGGGTGATAGTACCTAGTTTGTTGATGGTTTCCATCCACTCGTCGTAGGGGTCTGAATCGAATACTATGCCTATGGGGGAGGGAGCGTGTTAGATTTTGAGGTGGTGGTGGTTTTAGAGGGGGGACTGGGAGGGAGGGTGAGAGGGGGATAGGGGGATAACGTACCGCCGCCGGCTTGTAGGTACGCGACGCCGTCTTTTACGACCATTGTTCGGAGGGCGATGCATGTCTATAGTTCACATTAACCACAATTCATCTCCTGGACGAGAAAGAAAGTTTGAAGTGTTCACGTGAATGAACCGGGGGGGAAGGGGGGGTAACGACTCACATCCATCGCGCCCTCGATCTCCCTCTCGCCGTCGACCGCGTTGTAGCCGAAGTAACCCACAGCACCGGCATACACGCCGCGCTTCTCGCGCTCCAGCTCGGCGATGAGCTCCATGGCGCGGACCTTGGGCGCGCCGGACACGGTGCCTGCGGGGAAGATGGACCGGAAGGCGTCGAAGCGGGTTTTCCCTGGGCGGAGCACGCCGGAGACTTCGGAGACGAGGTGTTGGACGTGGGAGAACTGTGGTTAGGAGGGTGGTGTTAGTTGGCTGGTGGGATGGGGGAGAGGAATGGAGGGGAGGGGAGGGGCTTACTTTTTGGACGACCATCAGGCGGTCGACTCTTGTGGATAGCGGGTCGCAGACGCGGTTGATGTCGTTGCGGGCGAGATCGACGAGCATGACCTACATATTAAGGTAAGCCTCCTTATACTTTGAAGATTCATGGGTACGTACGTGTTCGGCGCGGTCCTTAATCGAGTTGAGCAGTTCCGACGCGAGCGCCTCGTCCTCTGCGGTCGTCTTGCCTCGCTTCACTGTGCCTGCGATAGGATGCGTGATGATCCTTCCAGCTTCCTCCTTGACGAGCAGTTCCGGGCTTGCGCCGACAATCTGAAAGTCCTCGCAATCGAGGTAGAAGAGGTAGGGGGAGGGATTCACGTTTCGTAGATGTCGGTAGACGTTGAAGGGATGTAACGAGGTTGGTCGGGCGAATCGCTGCGAGGGGACTGCTTGGATGATGTCGCCGACGTCGATGTGCTCTTTCAGCTTGTGCACGTGGCCTTCGTAGCCTTCGCGTCCGATGTTCGACTTGTATTCCTGGCCTGTCTTGATGGGACCTTGCTCCGGTATGGGAATGTCCTTTCCTTTGAGAATCGAAACGTAGCGCTTCAGGGTGGCTGTGGCTTCGTTGTAGGCGGCTTCCAGGTCGTCCAAGTTCTCCGGAACCTTGATATATGTGACGACCTTAACGACCTGGAAGAAGTGATCAAACGCCACGACGGTGTCGTAAAGCATGAACAGACTCTCCGGCACCTCAAGCACATCCTTCATATCATCTCTCCTTGTCTTCGGCTCAAAGTACTTCACACAGTCGTATCCCACATATCCAACGGCACCGCCCATCAACGGAGGAAAACTGATCGAGGGTATTGTGGCAACGCGGCTCTTCGCAAGCTCCTTCTCGAGCGCTGGCAATGGGTCCTTCTCTTCGCCATGGCCGGGGCCGGTCTTGGTGACTTTGCGGGGGTCCGCGCCGACGAAACTATATCGTCCGATGGTCTCTGTGGTGGCTGCGCTCTCGAAAAGGAAGGACAGTTTTGATTTTGACCTGTCGAGAATCAATTACGGTCCTTGCGGTTCTCCAATGCATGTGATTGCAGCCCACACGACCACAAAGCTTTGCCCACGACAAAGCAGAAGTGACATAATTCATTCCTTTATATACATCTTCCTTGAAATTGTATTGCAGCATGTGTACTGGTTGTGTGGGCTGACAATGCGAACTCGCGTGCTCTCGAATGAGTCATTACTCACTTTGCGGCGACCTTCAGGTATATCGATGATGGGGTCAGGAAGTCGGCGGATATGGAGGAGAATATGGGAACGAGGTTTGGAGGATTCGGCGACGCAGCAGAGGCGGCTAGGACCTCTCGTACAATGTCGAGCGAAGGCTGAACGCCCAGCTACATGCAGTCAATAGGCGGGGTCTTGGAATTGAAGGTATTAGGAAGTGGGAGCGAGCAACTTGCCTGTGACGCCATTTTGTGTGAGTAAGAGGTGTGAATGGGCCAATTGAGAAGTCTAAGCGAGATAGCAATGCGACGAGAATAGGTGAATTGTTGCTTTGGACAGGTATGGGGAGAAGTTGAGTCTGATAAATGTATAAAAAAAGTTATCTACAGAATGCGACTCACACAAACTGTCCCGCCTTATTATTAGGTTCGTAACCGTAATCCGTAGACGTCGATTGATTAAATTAGCCAAAAATGTTCACCCTCCGTGTCCGAGCTTCGGCGCCCGGGTGGTCCGTGCTGCTGCATATCCTATGGAAGATCAAAGGGAAAAGCGGGGCCGCTGATTCGCTACGAGGATGGAGGATGAACGTCTCGTACTTGTATACATACTTGTAGTTCCCTCAACTCCGTTCCGTATAACATCCATGTACTGTCATAGGTTGACAGGGACTACCGCTAATCAACGACATCCCCATTGGTAGTCTTCCATCCAAACCGTTCGGAATAATCAACCTTACTGTCATCCTTCTTAAGACTTCCGTCCTTCCCTAATTTTTCCAACAGCTTCCGCAACGCCGCTTCGTCCTCGTCTCTACACTGAGGGGGCGGGTCTACCCGAGCTCGTTCCTCATCATCAAGATCCTCGAGGTCAAACTCGCTGCAAGATTCGTAAATGTCGTCCCAGCCCATGTAAGCTATATAAGCTCCATTGAATATCTGGTTCTCGATGGCTCTTTCAGCTTCCCAAGGCATTCTCGGAACGCTCTGCCAGCCTCCCCCAACCCGTACAGATTCGTCGGATCGCCAGCCATCTGAAATGCCGAACCTGAATTCTCGCAAAAGTCCAAGTTCATCCGCAAATCTCTGGAAAACCTCATACCAGCGGGTTTGATAGGGAGGGCTGCGATTAAACTCGGCGACATGCTCGCCGGGGTCTACATCGCCCCTGGGGAATCCATCTTCATCTAGCCAGTTTACGGTTGTATAGTACACCTGAAACAGAATAGAGCAACTGTCGAGATTGATCTCAACGAGTGTGTCTGCGTGACTTAGGATCCAGTCAAACTGCCAATCTCTGCAAAAAGCGAAAAAGCCCAGCGTCAATGACTTGAGATGTGGAAAGTGGGCAGATCGGAAGTCGACTTTAGGGGAGAAGCCAATTCTCAGGCTAGAATACAAAAGAAGCCGTTTCAGGTTGTTTTGCATCGGCTCTAGGAAGAGTTTTGGGAAGTCGGTCCAGAAATCTTGGGGATGGCCATCCTGCAGATTGATCAGCATCTTTCGGTGAAGAAATCACAGAACATACCTTCCATCGATCAGCGTCACCTTCTTCATGAACAACACTCATACGAAACGATTTCAGGGTTCCTAGAGTTTCCCAAAGTTGTTCCACCCTCTCAGTCAAAGTTTTGTGTTCTTCAGTTCCCTCGTTGGTTCTAGGAAGCAAATGCAACCCGTTTTCATAGTGCCGCAGCGAAAGTCCAGTCAAGCGGCCACTCAATTGTGAAAACACCTTCTCAATGACTTCGCGCCTTTCTCCGGCAACCTGGAAAAGATAAAGGTAGTGATCAACCCCGTCACCACATACACGGCGTTCAAAGTCAATTCTAACCGAATTGACGTGTGGAAAGCCGTCCAGATGATTTATGCATTCTTCCCACTGAGGGTCGTTCCGAATGCCAGCGCTTTCGTAATGTGGATATGTGTCATGATGCTTCTCAAATCAGAACTTCATGTGCAACATATAGACGTGTTTAGACAGAAGAGGGCTTACACAGTCTGGCTCTACAGTGTGTAAAATGACCTTTTTAACGAGCTTGCTCAGAAATGGATGCTCAATAATGTTCTTGAATACTGTTGCATCATATTTGAGTGAACTAGGAGCAGAGCCAGCTTGGAGTCCACCAGGAGCAGAGCCTTTTTTGCGTCGAACACGAGCAGAGCCCTTTTTGGGTTGACTAGGAGCAGAGCCTTTTTTGAGTTGACGATCGTCGTAGAACCATTGTGGGTAAAGTGTGGCAGTCTCGAAGAGCACTTGGGCTGCAATTGCGTCGAGGCGCTTGTTGACCAGCCGCAAACTGGCGATATCCGGCTTCTCATCTAAGCATTTAACGATTTGTAATAATAGTTCAGTGGGGAGAGTGACAAGTCTAGGTGCAGCCATGTTGAAAGTAGCCCTGATGAACGTCACGTTTTGTGTGATGATGGATGTTGGAGACTATGAGGTTGTGATATGTTCTGAGATGTATCATATATATTTATGTTAGGCAAACACCAGATGCAGGCTTGAGGCGAAGCATCCGTATCTATGGATTCGCTTCCAGCTCTGGCTCTTCCTCGACCAAGCATGAGATTGGATGGACAGAAGCACGATATCTTGGCGGTGAGTGTCCAGCATCGACTCCGGAGTATGTAGGGAGATTGAATCCGCTGGTTTCCCGCCTGTCACCATTACCATATGGCATACATGGCACGAGTTAGCAAATGTACATTCTATGTCACCGCAAAGAGTATTATTCCAGATGTAGATGGAGATTGAGAGGGAAACGGTCATGGATTGTGACCGGGGAGGTTGAAGAACAACCTAGGTATAACCCCAAAAGAGGACTAGCGCCGGCAACACCCCCCAGCCCCCAACCACTTTCTTTACACTTACAGCTCATCGAGTCTCCACCTGCGAACTTCAAAACCGCCAACCAACCAACGAACATACATAAATCTTCGCATAATTAATCGCCAACATCACTACCTTCTCACCGCTGCTCTCCCCTTAATTCTTCACGATCCCTCCTATCTCCCTCCCGCAAACGGTCGCATCCCTCCCTCTCTGACCGGCGCATGCTTTGTCCTCTCCCTCGTGCGCTTCTCCGCATTCCAGCCATCGTCATCTCCACGTTAGCCCGAGGATAGCTTATGCTGCATGCGCCCTCCACCCATGCCATGTCGTCTCCCCAATACACCAACCCAGTGAGCCAGCGACCGTTGACACCTCCTGAATCCGAAGACGATATGAGTAGTCAACCTGGATCCAAGGCTTCCAAAGCCTCACCGCCGCCGTCGTCGTCTGCGATCGACTTCAACAAGGCTTCGCAGTTCGACTCTGGATACTTCGGCGAAGCTGTACACGCTCCTGGAGAGAGCCCGGCGAATACTTCAGATGAAGAAAAAGATGCGCAAAAGTCAGATTCACCAAAAGGTTCTGCCAGCACGCCCAAGGCCCAATCCAAATCTTCGTCCCATCTCCCAATCACCCCATCTCCGACACCCGCCCGACATCGAACCTCCACGCCACAACCCATCGATATAGAACGCCCATATACACCCACGCCGCTCTTCCCCAAGACTCTCAATGGTCAGCAATCGAATATCGGAGTGCCTCAATATCCCTATACCCCCGATAGCGCCCGCTCAGCACACGGTCGCTCCCATGTGTTTCCCACTGTAACACCTCTGCCTTCTATGCCATGGACCGATCCTGTATCTCCCTCAGGGTCTCCCGTGCAATCTGCGCTTTCCTCCTGTATCTCTAAGTTGGAAAATCTCATCCAATCCTCCCAGCCTAACGATGTGCAAATGGAGCATATTGTTGCGCAGTTCGAATCCATATCTTCTTTCCTATCCGCGCCAGAATCCCAAACGAGGCAGACAGACGATGTTCTGTTCACGGAATTGGAAAACACTCTGAACGAGGAAGGCGACAATGTCCACGCAGATGGAAAGACGACGCAGCACGATGGTGAAGGTCTCAATCTTGCGGAAGTCCCTGATCACCTAGTTGCAAAGGAGTACGTGGGCAAGGTTGGCCGCTACATCCTGGGCGTAAAGAAGCATGTCGACGATCTAAAGTTGAGGATGGAGGAAGTCAAGCTTTTGAACTCGATTCAGGTCGACATCATCCAGGATCTGAGAACCGAATTGCGAACAAGAATCCACGAGACCGGCGGGACGGGCAATCTTTCCGCAACACCGAGCGAAGATGAAGCCACTTCATCAGGTGGATCGACTCCTCGCCGATTCGTACCACCATACCAGGCAAGCTTCTGGGGTTCGGTACGCGAAGCTCTCGACCAAGTCGGAGACATATGGCTCGACTGGTAACCATATCATATTTGCCCCTCTTACCTGGCCAGGGCCTTTCGATTCTTGACATGTTTTGTTTCTGCATACCATTTCTGTCCTATACCTTTCTCCCTTGCTTATGTTTTGGCTGGTTTCCGTCTAATTGGCAATTTTCTCACAACGACGATAACGACAAAGGGGAATCCCCCCGCGGAAAAATGTTTGCATTTGCATATAAAGGCGTCTGTTTGTTCTACCCCACTCTATCATCCTTCCCAGCATACCTACCAACCTACCATTCTTTCTTCCTTCTCACCAACCAACCCGCGCAATCCCCCGCTTCAGGACCTGTTTTGTTGTGTGCCTCTTTCCCCGTCTGTTATCCTTCACAGCACGTACATATATATCACCCAGGCTCCTTTCTGCATCTTACGATACACGCCGATATTAGTCGGCGATTCCATCCGTTGACGGCCTGTTTCCCACAATAATAACAATCATGATACCCCACCCCCACCCTTTCCCCCTTGTTTTCTTGAAGATGATTCTTTACTTTACACCACGAGGATGAAATTGGAATAACGAACGAAACATTGTGGGGAGGATAGCTATTTGTTTCTCTTCGTACGGAAGGGGAGAGAGATAAAGATAGTAATAGATGTTTAAGATTTTTCAGTGAAGGGATGGCGTGTGATGGTGATTGTGATTGCTTTTTTTCTCGTGATGTGCTTCACTTATTCTCACTCTTTTTCATACATCTTACGGTCTTGTGATGGTGTTGTTCCCAAGGCATAATTTTTCCCTGCGATCCGTCCGTCATTGGAAAAAGAAGAATTATCCCTAGAGGTCGAGCTTCGCGAGTTTGAACAAGATCGCGCGCACGTGAATTCAATTATCTATCCAGATTCAAGATCAAACGACTGGATGCAATAATTTCTTGAACGAGGCAGGAACCAGGTATACTCACCGATAGCGATTGGGCATGCATGTTTGTCCATAACGGAAGACACTAGTAAATTGATTATTCAATGTCTACCGCACCGCCAACAGGATGTTTAGATAGCGGCAGTGATATGCATATGAGGACTTTAAAGCTTTTACGGGTAAGATGACAGGAATATTCGGCCGAGTAATGGAAAAGAAAGAAACAACTATACGAAGTATTGTCACAAAGGGGTGCGGTTTGATTCTTCTGTTAGCAAGTGCATAGCACAACGCCCAGTGCTCATAGCAAAGCGCACAGAAACCAAGGGATCACATGTCAGTTCTATGTGCGCTCCAGCAAAAGAAACTACGAGTACCATCTCTAGTCCGCTGCAGAGGATAGAGGGTAATTTTCAACCATCTGAATGGAATGATTGAGATGTCGAGGATCACACGTGATGGGGAAAGTCGTTACGTACGGGGATCCATCATGCATGTCCGAGTATAGCCGGGAGCGAAGGAAGAGCTCTTGGTGAACTGACTGAGCAGATTATGGCCGGAAAGATCAGTTTATTCCGAACAAAGGGGGCACTTGAACGGAATTCGGCTCCAACGCTTTCATTCCGTCATGCCTCAATAATGATGATGATCTGAGTTGATGGCAAGATGAGGTTGTGTGACATCAACTCCTCCTTACCGGCTGTTCTATTTCTCCGCTGCACAAATGTGTAGCAATATCAGATGCGCTCATTTTCACGAATGAGAAAGTCCCGACAGAGTTGAGTCGTCCATTTTGAGCGCGATCGTCTGAGCAGATGTTGCCAAACCACTCCTGGCAAGCCCAGCCGCCGAGGACAAGCCCGTTCCCCAGCCTGCGCCGTGGATTGGGTCATACCGAGTACGGTTTCAGCCACTCTGAGACTTGCCACAAAGCCTTAGCCCTCGAGGACTCGGCACGTGACTGAGCTCCGCCCGTCCACACTCCAAGTGTCTGGACTTCCGGGCCGTGGGCTCATGCGATGCCTTCTCCTCTTCCCCAAGAGAAATTATAGATTACACCAGATGTCGCACGCTGCACGCTAACAAGTGCTGCCATGTGCCTGAGCGGTATCTCGAGAAGGTCCTTCGCAAAAGACATGTTGTGCTAAGGACCTTGGAAGTATCGAAACAATGATGATCAGGCGCTTGCGAGTTCAGCGGACCATCCGTGGTACAAATAAGTCCGTGATGCCACAAAGCCAATATCTGGGCGGTCGCCCGTCGATCCCATTGTTTGGGTGCAGTGCGCAGCGGAAGCCTGGGCGGACCTTCAGAGCCATCAGCCTCTGTAAGTGCACGGCTGGGCGCATCTCACGAAGGGGCCGAGTGCATCAGGCGGAGGACTTGGTATCGTCTGCATCATTCGTCGTTGTTCGATCATGAAAATCCCACCGCCAGCAACGATGGGACAAGGAAAAGCCAAGCGGACGATGACCCTGAGAAAAGGTGATGCCAGGTGGAGGAGCAAAATCGTCAACACAGGGCGTGCGCTGCCGGATCAACGCCTTATGACAGGTTCGGAGAGAGAAGAGAGGACCTTAGATCCAGTGGAGGTGCCGCGAATTCCGTCTTGAGTGGATTCGCAGAGACTGGCAGAGACTCCCAAGACTGAGGACGAGAGTCGAACGGAGGCGAGGGTGAATCGCAGTGATTGGCCCCTTTGGAAGCGTTGTATATGCCCAGAGATGTGCCAAGGGTTGGCATCGTCTTTCGAGTGTGAAAAGGACAGGAAAGGCCAAGCCCAAGACGTCTCCCAAGTCCTTGAGAAGCCCGTAAGTTAGATGTAACCATTTGTCGTGCCTCTGCCTCTGCCTCTGCCACGGCCAGCCAACTGCCTCTTTCTCCTGAGGGGAAGACTCTTCTATGTATATCATGACCTCCCTCTCGTGGCCATCAATCCTCCATCGTGCCCTGCACCAGCCATTGATGTTCGTCGCAACCGAGTAGTCTACACCTACCTCCATCCGCCCGCCGGCCATGGAACCCCAGGCTCCGCCGAACGCCGCCGCAGCCATTCCACCTGCCACTTCCACTCCCTCACCTCCCATTGCTGCTGCCACCGTACACAGCTCCAGTCCACGAAACTCGCAGAATTATCAGCAGAATTATCAGCAGCAGTTGCAGCAGCAACAGCGCCAACAGTATCAGCGAACTTCGCAGCCCACACCTCCCAGCGATTACGAATACACATATACCGACAAAGATGCATACTATGCCCGTCAAGCCAATCCTCGCTCACAGCGAGGCTCCAAGAGCAGCAGTGCCCGCGCTCACGACTCTGTCATATCACACCCGTTTTCCCCAAAGGTCTCAGCACCTCCCAGTCCGGGCAGCAGTATCTCCTCCGTAGGCAGGAAGCACCGCTCGATAGAGCAGATTCAACCAGTTCAGCGACCAACCAGCGTCACCTACCCACCTCGCGCCTACATCGATCCAGAGAAGGCCGCTGCAGCGTCTTACGGCCATCGCTCCTCTCATCGGAATTCGTCAAATCCAGATGGAGCAAATGCCATCTACGACTCTGGTGAATACCACGAAAAGGGTCCCGAAGAGAAGGCCTGGCAGTTATTGGTATGTCACTTACCCCACAGAATCGATCAACCCCATGTTTCAGCCTCTAACATCACGATTATAGCTCTTTCTCTCTGCGCCATGCATGCTCCTCTCGTTCGGCATCACCCTCTGGACTATCTTCGCCCTTTTCGCTGCGCTTCTTCTCCAGCCCCTTCGTCTCTTCTCCACCCGCCCACCTCTTCCCGCGCAACTCATCTCCTTCCTCGCGCCGCCACTCAACCTCCAACTCCACCTAATATATTCCTTCTCCTCATCGACGGAATATAGTCCAGCCATGCTCGTCGTTGTGCACCTCTTCTCCCCCGTCGTAGCCGCAGGCGTCGCAGTCGCTGCATGGACAGCCGCCTGCTTCTGGTTCTTCTCCGCGATCCTCGGCGACCCATCCGGCCAGGACAGCCACAACGACGGCAAAGAGAGCATCCTAGGCGTGCGAAACTGGTGGGACCGATGGCTCTCGCGAGCGCTCCGGTAGCGACAGAATCTCGTCCAAGTTCAGCAGTTGCGCGGTGGTGGGTTTTGGTACGAATAAGAAAAAGAGTAGTTCGCTTCGTGTTGTTTTGTGTTCATTGAACAGGTGTTTTTCAGCAACGATTGTCATGATATTATACCTTTTTTATTAGCTTTTTCTTTTTTTCACCGCGGCTCATTTGGGTAGTCCTAGTTTTTTTGGTCTTTTGTCTTTTTCTCATGGACGCTCGACAAAGCGGCATCGGTATGGCGTATTTGGGCTATTATGGATCGGAACCGGTTTGGGCATGATATCAATCGTTTGCAAGATGCAGCGATGCTTCGATGAAAAGACTTCTCGAGGTTTTGGTTTTCTGTGCCGTTGATGTTGCGGGCAGGGTGGTTGAAGACGTGGAGTCGAAATAAAGGTGAAGGGACGGGGGAAGGCACCTCTGGATGGGGAAAGAGGTAAACAATGAACCTCAAATGTACGAGTTGGCATAGGAAGATACAGCTTTCGAAGTGGAATATGATATCTTGAATCACTCAACTTTTCATGTATTGTTGCATTCTGTGATGTTCTGGATAAATTGCCAGCATAGGCTCCTCCCCAAGAACAGTGAGCCCTTACCGTAGAAACTCCCCAGACTCACCCTCATCAGTCCATCTACAAGTCTGTCCATCTCTCAACCTCTCTAGGTCTTCTCCACAGTATGAATACCTCCTCTTCCATCCTTCCCGTTCACCGCCTCAACACAACGTGACTCCTCCTCCACGCCAACACTGCCGCCAATTCCCTCACCCCGCCCAGCCCTCAACTCGGCCGAACTCATCCCATGCGGGAGCATACATCTCGCTAGTCCCACTTCATCATTCGCTCCAAAGCAGCCAAGGCTGGCCCAGCATGAGAGAGTAACACAAGAACAGTCGTCACGGCGCAGAGGCTGGGGATGGGACTAGACAAGACGGGGAGAAGGGATCAGAGAGGTGATGGGATCATGGATCAAGTAGAAATTCTATCTGAGGTCGGCGGGGAGGTATTGAAGGGAGCGATTTCGGTGGGTTTGTCCGGAAGGATTTCGGGGAGGTTGTGGGTGTTGGACTTATGGTACTCGGTACGACTTGAGCATATTGGACACCGACAGCTCATGCGTAGAACCACAGTGTATTAGAGAAACATTAGTAGCATCGGCAGGTCTCTCATGCTTACCATTACTGATAGGACATCCAATCCATCAAAGAGTCAGCTATTCGATGTGAATTGTACAACAACCATTTTGGATTCTACACTATAAGCTACTCCGCACTTAGAACTACTGCTAAATGACAAGCCTACAACGCCTCTCGCTAAACCTACCGTGCAGGCTATCTAGATGAACATTAAAGTATGCATGGACATATTGGTGGAATCTGTAAGCACGTAGATACGGGGATGGTATCCGGCCACTCCAGCAAGTATACGGAGTCAAATTGATCGGGGAATGGTGCGAAGGACTGTATCATTCACGCGTGATGACCATGAGGCTGTTATTTATAGACGGGATTACATTTTATACTAATCCGGATGCACTTGTGTAATATCTGAGTGTGTTTCTCATTCACGCCTAGGTAATCATAGGATATTATAAATTTTAATCTTAGTAAAGGTAACAATATCTCTAACAAAAAAAGGCGAACTATGAGTCAATCAAGGGAGTGTTTTATTATTAAAAAAGAAGATTTATATTACTATCTTAGATTACGATCAATTGCGAAATGGCCGCATTTCCATCCACCTTTCATCCTGATGATCCGCTTCCTACCGACGGTCAAACGGCACGATCGACATACCCTGACTTATTAAGCTTCGGTGATGACCATCAAGTATTTGCTTTTAATTCTCAGGATAATGATTGGGTGTGCAATATAGAAGAAAGATGCATTATAATAATATCATTAAAGTGAGAGGAAACAATATTGATTTCTTCCATCGTTTTGGATCCAGACAGAAAAAGATTAAGGATATTACCAAGATCTAACAACATTACACATATATATATACAAATCTACCACTATACAATTGTTGTTAAAAAGGTATCTCAAAATCATACTTCGTAAACATTGGAAGAAAAAGCATTACGTGATGTGTAAAAGACACCCTGAGAAACGAGATTGTTTCTCGCGGCAAGAATGAAATGAATATCATTCTGCAGGCCACACATGTAGCGCAATGAACGGCGAGAAAGAATACAAAGTAGACGCTCCAGGGGTATATATGTAAGGGAAGGAAGGAAACTCCTGGACGATTCGCGAAAGGGGGTATTGCTGCTGGGCTAAGGATATAAAGGACATGACCGAAATGTAAAAGCGTAAAAAGTCGAATGGAATGCCTAGGAATGAGGCTCCCTTTGGTGACAAATGGAAAAGGAAAGAAGCTGAAGTATAGGGTCGTGAGAGGAGTGTTCGTAGCATCATGCGATTGCTGTATTCGACATGATGGAGTCTCGCTTGATGTCGCGCTTGACGACCGGGTTCTCGAGCTCCTTGGTTCTCTGCAGAATCGTTCGCTGCCTTGCCAATTCTCGTCGCAAACAGCTGCGTAGGCATCGCTCGACCACGGCGGGGTCACTATCGGTCGATCCGGACTTGATGCTGAATGCCGAGCTATCACGGCTAAAGGTTTGTCGCATCTGGCAGCTCTTGTCGCTGCCAATCTCCTTCTGGTAGACGTGATCTAGGAAGCCGAAGGAGTCGTCGAAGGTCTTGTAGCAGCTGGTGCAAGCGAATGTAGTGCCGGCCTCGGAAGAATTGGTGTTCGGTGCGAGGTGAGATTTGAAGAGGATTTGTCGGTACTGGGAAAGGCCGCTGTGTTTGGAAACCGAAATGACAGCAGCGCAGCAGGGACAAACCTCGCGTTCATCGTGTCGGTCATACGGTTGGGCTTTCTTGGTAGAGAACGAGGACAAGCGGTCCCTTTGGATCTGCGATGCAAAAGGGCAGAAATCCATGTTGAATCGTGGAAGAGGGAGCATGGCTGCGGTCTTAGGAGGCGATTGCAGGCGCGTGAATTGGTCGCGCAATGCCTGTAGACATGTTCGGCGAACGGCTTTCGCGGCTGTCAGTATGTCGTCGAAAGGCATCATCCCGGCAGGTGTGCGGGATAGTGAATGGTTGAGAAGCGCAGCGTGGATTTCATGTTGCGCGCGCGTTAGCTGTGCAGAGACGATGGCATTGCATTTTGCTGTGACGCATCAGTATTAATTTCGAAAATGTAGGAACATATTTTAAAATGTCAAAAACTTACAATCGCCTTTCTCGAAGCGTGTGCCGAATGCCTCGATTCCCTTCTCCATGAATTCCTTGACGCGACGGCCAAGACATAGCGCTCGTTGTAATTCGTCTTCATCGTTATTTCCACTGATTCCAAAACAATCCCATTTCGAGGATCTGCGGCGACGTTGTGTACTCAGCCAATCTTCATAAGCTTCATTGGCCTTTTGGAATTGAAGGTCAATATCCCAGAGCGTGAGGGATAGATAATGTGATTTTTCCCAAGCTTCCAGGACGCCAGACATGACGAAGCCGCCAGAACCCATGAAGGACCGCATGGGAGCGAATGTGCGGAGAATGTTGCGCGGGTCGGGATTTGTATGTTGGGGGGAAGTTGGTCCAAGCATGATTGACGAGCGTTGCCGGGTGAATTGGTGTGGAGTTTGAATGTCGATGAATCGCTTGAGTACCGATCGCTCGATGAAGCTGCATAAACTTGGTCAAACTCTACCTAGAAGGAACCTAAGGACTACAACGACGACGTAAGGTGTGCCGGGGATGTACTGGTATGGTAGGGGTTGGCGACATTTGGCGAGGACCACCAGTTCTTATGGAATTCCGTCATGGTGACTGGGAAACCTGGTGCTGAGCTGTCTTCATGCAGAGGAAATGAAAACAACAAAGTAGCATTAATACGAGAACGTGTGGCGCCGTGTAGAATCGGGAGTCCATCCCAAGGTAGCAGCGACAGATGGTGATAATCTCTCGTAGGAGATCAAAACAGTCGACGAGCCGGGAAGAATGGGGTGCTGGACCAATGGAAAGGGAAGACGAACCCCACGATAGGACAAGTAGATTTCTGTTGACCGACTGATGGTTACGCGGTGAGTTATCTCGACGACGGGACAGGAGGAAGAATCGATGCGAGGCTTACGGTGAATCATGAGCCAGCACATTCAATCTATCCCAACTAATAAACCAGCCTACATCCTCCCGCAAGCCCCGTCCATTGACAGTCTATCATTTCCCTCCATTTCAGGGTTTGGCTCGCCGTTGTCTGGTGGGTCCAAGCGTAGTGTTCGAGTTGTCGTCTAAGTTGGCTGATTCGTGCCACCACATCAAACAACAAAACCTGCACGTCCACCGCAATTCTCTCGCTTCCCACCTCCGTTCCTGCAGCCACGCGATCCCACACCCTCCCTGTCTGCTCATATTGTCATTTCTATGGTAGCAAATTCATTTCTTGTCATTATTGATGATTTTATTTAGATGGTGGTGCATATCCTCATTGCACAAACCAAATTGTTGCATTAATCTGACACCCATCTTCTCGTTAACTAATGTGCCAAACACAATGAAGGGGCCGCGACGTTGCACAACTATCGCCCTTCTCGTTCCGATTAGCACCTCTTTGTGCAAATGCTCATTGATTTGACCTCATCTCATTATTGCCTGGTTACGTGTTATCTGGGTAACGACCTGGAGGCTACGCTGCTTCATTCTTCGACAGCCTTGTGATGTCCTGGAATCTACTTGATCTTTGAACCAGCTTTGTTGTCATGTATTCTGAATGATTTCTATCTTTATCTGCCTTGCACGCGGTCTATCGTATAATGGCTGCAAGGGCTCTTAAACGACCCTACCGGAGTGTGCTGCTCCCGCTCTTACGATTTCAAAGGGGTTGAAAGATGAGCAGGTCACGATAAGAGCACCTACAACGACACAAAGCAGTGCATCGGCGGAATGTAACGGCATTTTTGTTGCATTATTTGTGATAGAAGTACAAGCGAAGGTAGATCTAGCCATGATTCCATACGTACCACTTTCACTTGTCATTCCGTGTTGTAGTGACACGCGAAGGCGGCATGTCAGGTTTGACCATAAAGTCGAACTTGTCCAATGTCGCCCCAAGAAAGCTTGCGACAAATGTCAGACTGTAAAATTCCGCTGCGACGGTGGCATTCCGTGCACTAGATGTCAACTAAATAAGGTTCATTCTTCTTTGCACAGTCGAACTTCTGAAGGTCGAACACAAAAAAACTGTTTCATCTCCCAGAAGATATGGTACCAATCCTCCAGAGCCACAAAATGGTCGGTACAAATGCAGAAAGTTTAGCCTCAAACACCCTTTCAGAGAAGGTAAAGTCATACATCAATCTCTAATTCGAAAAAATTCCACCCCATTGGCACATTATGCATAGAGGCAGCTTTCCTGTAAACCTTATAGTGGATTTTCTGGTGTACTCAATGATCATTGTAGGCCTTCGGGTAAGCGAGCGAAAAGGCAGAGATGAAATCAGCGGCAATTCTTCTTTATGAGAAAATTCTGCTGGACCTGATCTTCGAAGCTCTCTATAAAGCATACGGTCTACCTCTCTAGATTTTTTAGAATGGTGAAGAGCTCGAAGCAAACTGATGCAACGCAAACCATTGATTCTATGATCCCTAGCCATTTTGGATTTCCCCTTTACGGAAGATGAGCCTTAGGATTGGATCTCGAATGCTAGCGATATTTCTCGACTACTTGTTCTACCAGAGCATGGGCTATAGTATGGTAAGATAGAATTCGAAGGTCTGGTGATGTATAGAAATATTCATAAAATGCTTCAAGAGAAGATCGTGCTGCGGTCCCTTGGATGTTCTGCTGTAGATGGACGTACAGTAGTTACTTTATTTCATCGATACGCGCCCCGAACACAATCTTACTAGAGAAGTAGCGTTCCAACGTAAATAGTCGTGTAAATCAAAGGCTATTCTATCATACTCAAGTATCGAATGGACAGCCTGCCCTTACTCCTATGGAAATTATTAATAATCACTTTTTGCACATTCGATCAGATCTTATGGGCTAACAAAATCTTCTTCAGATATCAATTTACACAAGCTTTCAAGCAAGAAGTTATTTCAAAGCATGTGGATCTCTTGCGTTTTACTATTCCTCGTTGACTACAGATCCACGCGAAATTGTTGGTAGTTAGTGCACTCAATTAACAAATAGTGGGAAAGCTGCGTGAGCGGGCTTTACTACCCGCCTTCATCATCAATATGCGCACTTGACTTGAGAACGAAACCTGGCAGGTATCAACAATGAAAGCATGCCCGTTACCCTGTTGTACTACAAATGATGATTAGTATTCAAATCTTTAGTGACATGAAAGTAAGTTAATCTCTTTGACTTGACTGCCACCATGACCTTTGGTTGATAAGCATATTTCTGCACAATGGATCTTTCTTGCGTAACTTTTACCTACTCTCTACGCTGCTAAATGGTTCACTACGCTTTCAAACATACCCACTCGGCTTTCGACGATTGTTCCTGATCGGACATGTGCAATTAGTAGGAGTCATGACGAAATCTTGCATCTCTCTAGCTTAAACTTGGTACAAATTGTGGACTAAATACTTAAGTATCCGCGACTAACCCATATAGTTGGGACCTGATATCCTATAAAGAGGCCTGTCGCAATTTGATATGTTACTGCAAAAATAAACTCTTTCATTTCAGGTTATTATGGCCAACGTTTCAACATACTCCGCCTGGCGCCGAAGCGGGAAGAAAGGATCCAAGGACCACCCTCTCTCCATATATCGCACTTACGACGAAATCCTCCCAAAGAACCTTGATCCTACAGATGTCGTTATCAAAATCCACGCTGTTTCACTGAACTATCGCGAGATTGCCATGCTCATTGGTACATATCCTGTCGAGATTGAAGATCGCGGTGTTCCTTGTTCAGATGCTGCGGCGGAGGTGGTTGCCACTGGATCTGCGGTTTCCCGCTTTGCAGTGGGAGACCGCGTCTGCCCCATTACGGGTATTGGAAAACTTGAACCTTTCGATGATGGAATGTCGCAAGCTATTGGGTCAAATTGTCCTGGTGTTTTGCGTGAATACGCCGTATTTGATCAGAAGCATTTGGTAGCGATACCTGCACACTTATCGTGGGAGGAAGTAAGTCCAAGCAAAGCCCTACCAACCCCAACTTACTCTCATGGCCTTATTCTAATTTGTATCCAGGCATCTACACTTCCATGCGCTGGTCTTACAGCTTGGAATTCTCTCGATGGACTTAAAAATGTCCCGAAAGGTGCAAGTGCCTTGCTGCAGGGTAAAGTGTTTCTGAATGAAGTAATAACTATATACTTATGTTGCATGTAGGTACTGGAGGCGTAAGCATGTTTGCACTTATTCTATGTTTATCCGCGGGTATCCGTCCTATCATCACGTCTTCATCCGACGAGAAGTTAGCTGCTATCAAGAAATTGAGCCCCGAAATCCAAGGCCTTAACTACAAGACTGTATCTGATCACAAGACTGAGATTTTGCGTCTTACTGGCGGAAAAGGAGTACACTTGTCGTCAATAATACTGGACCCAAGTCCCTCATGGACGACATCAGCTTTCTTTGCGAAAGAGGTGGTACTGTCTCAATGGTCGGGTTTTTGAATGGCTTTGACGCCGATTGGGCACCGGGAGATATTATGAGACTAATGGGAAAGGCAGCTAAGTTGAAGTAAATGACGCATTTCCCCTGATCTGTACATGCTGCTCAACTAACTACAATAGGGGCATTGCTGTTGGTAGCAGGCTTGAGTTTGAAGACATGAATCGCTATCTTGAGGAAAATGAAGTACACCTCAGTCCTTTATTGGTGGATCAGCCGTTCACCTTCGCAAAAGCGCAGGATGCTTACGACCGCCTGGAATCAGGGAAATTCCACGGGAAGATCATCATCAAATTGGACTCGTAAATTAAGAGGCATTCAACAAGAAGTGCGCCCTATGCGCGAGCTGGCCCCTGTACCGACGAGTCCAGTGTCCTACATGATATGGCATGCCTTTGCATCTCTGTTGAAATGTCAGATTTCTAGTCCAAAGCAAAATTAGAAAATTGGAATCAGCATAACGATAATAATAATAATAATTCGTACTCTGTGGAAGTATATCATCAAACACAAAAGCACGAGCATCTAAATCCACATATGTCTCCTCCAGCTCGTCCTCTGCGTCCTGAGACTGAGTACTGGCGGTCTTAAAAGGGTCGGAAAGCGCCCGCGTGAACCTATTATCAATCATGTTATCTACAGCAATGATGACATGGTCACTAGGAAACGCAGGCATCTTTCGGCGAAGCGTCGAAACGACAGGCGAGGTCGTTGCTTTTATTACCCTGGCAGTTTTCTTCAATGGAATTGAAATCTTTGAGGAGATGGAGGAAGCTGCCCGTGAGGCCAAGGACGAGCTTCCTTTGCTTTGGACCGAGTGAGTATCGTCACCACCCTCATCTCCCTCAGAGGCATCGACAATCGGCCTTGGCTTTGGCACTGGCCGCTGATTCTTTGAACGTGGCCTGAATTTTATTTCCTTCATAAACGATCTTCCCGCCAGCATTGGGGCGGTCGCATGCGGAGAAGCATCTACAGGGCTATTAGTTCTAGTCCTTACCTGGGTTTGGAAACAAGTTGGTCCTCCTTGAGAAGCCGCTGTTTCGTCAATGGTAGACTTTATTCGTTTTAGCTTTCGCTTCTGCAATGCTTTGATAAGACTCTGACGAATTAGCAAGCAAGCCACGTCTGGGCTTTTCTTCAGATATTTCGAGCTGCGATAAGTTGTGATATTTGCATTCAGAGTCAGTACCGGAGGAGCGACTTCCCGACCTGGTTTTACTGTAATTATTTTCGGAGCTGCCAGCATCTCCTCCAAATTTTAAACATGACCTCTACCAGCAGATTACGAAGTAATCTCATTCTGTATAGTGAAAGGCAAGGGCTATATGGCAAGGGTTATATATCGAAATGCATGCATTGTACAGATAGCGCATTTCACAATGCGGAGTCGGATTGGATGAACTATGTACGAACATTGTGTGCATTTCGGCCATTAGAGCTGGTTTACAATTCGGGCCCTCTGAAAGTCATTGTTCAATATATACTTCATGCTTCTCAATTTGTGTCTCAGAGCACCGAGATATGCACGAGGGTGTTTAGGACTTCGCATCTAACCCTCTGTTGTTCCACCGAAGATGTTTCAGTCTTGAGAACGTGCTATGTAGTGATAGCAATGGAAGGGGAGGATTAGCATTGAAAGTGATAGTCGGACATTGATCAGCTAGGAGGCATAATTGAAGAGCTTGAACAGAGATGGGAAAGACAGTTTCTGTGAAGTACTTCAGCCGGGAAGTGTCTAGCTGTGTGCCCTGTGGCACGAGTAGAAAACTATTCAAGAGCAGACAATTTGTTACAAGTCCTACTATACCAAAGGTGTCAGCTCAGATAGTGAAGGTGGCGTGCGTGCGCACGCAAGGCAGAAGGTAGGCGAAAGTGTTCTTCGGCACCGCCCACGCACAATCACTTATACACCCAAGTTTATTTTCGACTATATATAGGCCCTAATTTGCAGATACTTTCAAGAATTCCGAGGCTACCACCGAAGTAGGGAAATCAGCCTCTACCAAGAATAGCTTTTCTACGACCTGTGTGGCCGGAGTGGAATCCTAGATTTCACAAAACCTGCACAGTGTTAAAGAGTCATACATCGGATACTGTGCAATAGCGTTGCTTTCTGTTCTGTCTTTTCGGGAACAGCTCGGGTTCAAATCCGGGTTGTTTCTACTTTTTTTTTTTTGCTTTTTTTTCTCTTTTTCATCTTTTTGCTAGAGTAGGTGGAGTCAATCTTGTGCTGTAGTGACTGGAAGGAACTGAACGGCAGAAGCATCATCTTGAACTGTAAGAGCAGACGTTATGGCAAAGCTTGTATGGCCTGTATGGTAGTAGACTCCAAGAGCTGAGTGAAGGCCAACTTTGTAGATATTGTATGTGTGGGGTTTTAACTTACTTCTCATTGTATCCATAGAGTTGCAGTAGAGTAACCACTCAAAGGGAACAACACTGATACACACAAAATTGACACATCAACACTACGTCCAACTACCTAGTACGCACTGCTCTGATATCAACACAACAGGATAGCGACAACATTGCACCAGATATTATGCATCAGCGAGACAAACAACTTAGTTTTGGAGGGTTTCATTCCGATCACTATCTGACTATCAATTACATATACCATGTAAACATCCATACCCATTGTCCAACTATATCCATTGTCCATCCAAGATTGTCCATCAACACATTCATTTCCCATCATTCGCCCATGCCTATACCCAAACACCATGATGCCGAAAAGAACACAACGCCAATATGGCCGGTAGCTCTAAAGCCACCGGTAAATGATGATCTAAGGTATATCCATCGCAAAATAATCGCCAACATGCCGTACCCCAGGAGGGTACACAGAAATAGGAAATAAAGACCAACACATTAAATAGGTCTGAAGAACGTGAAACATAATCGTGGGAATACAGTAATCGTAATACAGTACCGCGAGACGAGGAAGCTAGCTCATCATGCGGCGAGGAGGAGCGGCACGAGGAAGGCGAGCCACCATACGCGCTCTTTGTTGCGGGTGGAGGTCAGGCCTGTGGCTGCGCCGGGGGCGTTGGGGGCGGGTGGGACATCGGTTGAGGTTGGGGAGGTGGAGGCTGCGGTTGTGGTTGTCGTGAAAGATGGGGTTGCTGAGGTGCCGGAGGTGGATCCTGATGTGGCGGCCACGGTGACGCTGGTTGGCACTACCGATGATGAAGATGATACGACGGATGCAGGTGTCGACGCTGTAGAAGGAAGGTCTGTTGATGCGGTCTCGGAGGCTAGACTTGAGGCTTCGGAGAAGACGGAGGAGAGGCTCGATATGAGAGATGAGAGAGCGCTGGAGACGTCGGGTCTAGTAGCCGAAGACGATGCTGTGACGACGGCGGATGTGGGAGCAGATGTAGGGATAGGAGTCGTAGCCGTTCCTTGGGAGGATGGAATGACTGCTGATGATGCCGTTGATTCTGGAGGCGCTGGGAGAGACGAAGTTCCCGGTAGAGTAGATGTGGGGGCGGCGGCGGTATCAGTCGTTCCAGGGAGAGGAATCGATGCCAACGAAGAAGATGTAGGCACAGGAACAACAACTGTCTCTGAGTTTGATACGACGGGGTATGAGGCGGCAGTGGTGCTCGCGGGAGGAGGGACAACAGTCTGCGAGACAGGCGGTACTGAATCTGTGACTGGAGCTGAACTCGAAGGTACAGGGACGACCACTGTATCCGACCCCGACGGCACTGGGTAGCTGATTGGCAGTGACGTAGAAGGGAGAGGAGCAATGATAGTCTCCGAGGTAGGCAGTGTAGGATATGAGCCTGGAACAGAAGAAGCCGGCGGAGGGACAACGATCGTCACCGTGACTGAAGGATATAAGCTCGTTGTGAGTACCGGCGGAAATGGAATGACGACAGTTTCTGTTGACGAGGGGACTGGATCCGCGCTGGTCTCTGAGCTTGGAAGTGGAAAAGGGATGATGTAGGTAGCTGAGGATGATGGAGCAGGATAGGGCTCGGCGAGCGAGCTGGGCGGCAATGGATATGCTGCGCTTGAAGGAGTCGGAATGGGATTGGGCTGCGTAGATACCGAAGAGACCGGGTAAGGCTCAGCAGTCGATTTAGGCTCACAAGGTGTCTCTTCATATTGTGATGTTGTTGAAGTTGGCAGTGCTGAAGCAAGAGAGCTCAGACTGGTTGAGTTCGCAGGCTTGGGCCAAACGAAACTACTGGCGAATGGAATCTTTGTAGTTGTATCGTATGTTTCTCCGTAGATCTTCGTAATAACGGTAGGAGAGTTGACTGGCGTTTCTGTCTCGCATGGTGATTCGATCGGGGTGGAGGTTACGTCGGGATAGTATGGAGTGACGGTAGTTGTTGGAGATGCTGATCAAGTTAATCTTGGAATTCTCAGACAATGTAAAGTAATGGAAACTTACTGTTCACCGAATACTGGCCCAGCACGCCAGTAGGTGCTGCGGAGAGCATCATCATGGAAGCGGAACGTCTCATTCTGGCTGCGAATGTCCTAGCACGTTTGATACCGAGCTCCTATTGGTCGAGAACCTTGAGCACAACCACGTTGAAGCCACAAGTGAAGAAGCACGCGAGAAGGTTGGGAGGAATTCAGGTACCAAGAGAATTGAGCAACGAGGGAAATGCGTACGGAATGGGAGATTGTTTAAATCACATCGTGGGCGCGCGTGTTGTCACCAAAATGGGGTGGTTGAAAACACAAACAAAACGAGGCTGGGCAACCCCAACCTCCCACATAGGAACTTGTTTGTCGCACAGAAACGGGCGGAAGGCAGGGTACATGCATGGTATATGCATGGCCTGAGGAGAAGATACGGTAACACATCTTCCAGGTTTTCAAACTCTCGCTTCAAAATTCAATTGATAGCAAATCCTTTTGGACAAGAGCGAATGTTTGTGTGAATATGGGTGGGGAACGCTCGGGCCACACCACCAGTAACCACCAGACTGAGGTGTCACCACATGTCTTCCACACATTGGACCTGCAGCTGGACATCAACGTCGCATCGAAAGAGACTCACCGACAATATATTTGCGCTACCAGATTCTGTAAGGAGACTCATCGCGCTTAGCCCATCTACTGCGTAGCCAACGCCCATGACCAATCGGCGCGCAGCCTCGTTCCCAGACCAAGTGACGCAACGGCTACGGGTCGCGGCCAGAAGCATCGACTTGCTTTCAAGAGACGGATGCGTGGAAATTGCAAATCTGCTGTGTTGGATCATAAGCTGACCGCCTCGGCGCCGCCCTTTGACAGACCTTGTTGGCAGGTTGCGAAAATCTCACACGATGAGATCTCATCGATGATCATGCAACTCCGAAGTCATCTCTGCAGGTACAGCGTACAGTCGCTGGGAGGGATTGACATCCCCGTAGGAAATCCACTGCAATCCCTTGTCATTCACATCTGCAATCGACAGATCCTCGCTCGCAATCAGTGGAATGACATCACGAAGATCCAGTACATCACGCCTTGCCAAGTGCCACAATGTCTTGAACAGTTGAAGTATATGAGGTATTGAACAATAGATTAGAGTACTAATAAAACATCGTAGAAGGGGGAAGGGGGGTATCAAAATGCTGCAATGCCCAAAGAAGGCCGCCCAATTATGGCAATAGCGCCATCAATGCTCTCTCGTCATGCAGAACGCTTCATTCAGAAACAAAAGAAAAGTTGGAGTGAATGCTCGCCATCGAAATCGTCAAAAAGGAAAATCATAAACCGTGTCGCCGAATCCAGCGCGACAGATCGTCATACCATGATACCTGAGTTCAGGTTCTTCAACTTCAACTTCTTCTCACTGTCCTGTTTCCCGCATCCATTGTTCATGAACAGGCTCGCTACGAGCGCTAGAGAAGCCAGGATGGCCAAGAGGATCCAGAGCGGACTTAACGCATTCACATAAGCGTCGGTGATCTGTGACTTGAACGTCGCATTGTCAGCAGTCATTCCGCGAATGTCGTCCAGCAAGTTCAGAGCATTCTTGGTGACGTGCAAAGCGGAAAGGTCGAGCTTGCGATAGTTCTGGAACAATTCGTTCTGGAAGATGGTCCCGCCAAAAGCGATGCCGAGAGCCTGACCAAGTGTCTGGAAAAACACCAGATTGGTCGTCGCATGTTGCAAATCATCACTAACTCCATCGCCTTTCTCGATCGCTCGGACCGAGAGGGTGGAAGCTGCTGACAGGCTAGCATATAGAATGCCGATCCCGGATCCCGAAACAACGGCCAGGCACACCCACGTGGCCGTGGACGAGTCTCGCGCGAAGAGCAACATCAAGGCGATGGTAATCAGAAGGACAAACCAGGCGAACCAAATTTGTGGTATCAAGAATCTGGTCTTGCTCGCGACGACGAATGCGACGAAAGCCGCCAGAACGAGAGGCATGCTACAAGCGAAGAGGCTCACGGCGATCTCCACCTGGTTGTAATCGGAGTAGACGATGCTGAGGTACAGTGGCTGCGCAGTCCGTCAGAGCATGAACAATAAACTATTGTCTGCGATGCATTACTCACCATGAAGTACAGCAATGCGTACACGATGATGCCCAGCACCAAGCTCCCAAAGTAGGTCGCCAAGTTGGTGATGGTGAGAAATCGGCGCATGCTTACCACCGGCGGGAAAGGCGAAAACCAACTCCACACCAACGTAACCAAGAGCCCAGAAATGCCAAATAAGACTGGCAATGTGACTGGGAAACTCGACCAGGTGTACACCGTACCTGCCTGTCATATCAAAGTTAGCCTAGCTCCGGAATTCATGCGTTCGATGCACCGCTAACCACCGTTATTCTCCGCCGCGCCTCTACCACTCCAAAATTGGAAGCACGATTGCATGAGTTTACTTACCCACTCTAGTCCGATAAATAAGGACGCCAGCGAGCCGACGAATAGAACGTAGCCAAGCCAGTCGATGTTGCGAAGCTTCAGTAGGACGGAATCCGCGGTAGCAGGTTTGAGTTGCGCAAAGAGAGCCAGCAATATGGATACTAGCACGCAGAACGGAAGGTTGATCCAGTAGATCCAGCGCCACTGGCCAGTCTCTGCCAACGATCCAGCGATTGCTGGGCCGGTCACGATGCCAACAGCCCATCTAATGCAATAGTTAGTATCTGATCAGTTGACCTTTGAAACGAAACAGCATGCTCGAAGTAGAAGGTCGGAGAGTATACGTACGTGGCCCCAAGAATTGCGTTCCACTTCCACCTGTCGAAAGCGGAAACGAGATCGGTCAAGATGATCTTCGATAACGCATAGATACCGCCTGCGCCGATACCTTGCACGACTCGACCGACGTGCATTTCTGTGATATTCTCCGACGCTGCGCTGATTATGGACCCGATTGCGAAGATAGTCAATGCCGCGAGGACGACTGCCTTTCGGCCGAAGGCCTCGGAGAAATCCACAGAAAGTGGCACGCAGCAAGTGGCTACGAGAAAGAACTCAATACCGAGCCAAAGGCAGTTGAGAGTAGTGACTTGCAGTGCCTGCGCGATGGCCTGGCGATGAGTGCGTTAGCAGTGTATGGGACGCATGTGCATCAGACTGCACTTACAGGAAGAGCCATGGGGAGAGATGTGACGTCCCATGCCGCGAGAAGATTCAACATGCAGATACAACTTCCGGTAACGTAGAACCTCCAGTTCTCAGAGACGACATCTTCCACAGCTTTGATAATCTCCGTTCGGCTTGGAAAGCTGATATTGCTCGTCTTGCTCTTCGTACTATTCGAGCTCTTGGTAGTGCTGTTCGTGCTCTTTCCGCTGGCAGTCCTCGAATGTTTTGATCCTTCTTTTTCGGCAGCTTTTGCTTCCCTTTCCGCCTCTTCAATGTTTCTGGCGGTCAGTGCCGCGAGGTCGACGGTGAATCTATTCGCTATGGGAGTCGGCCTGGGGTTCTCGAGAAACTGCGAGTATCGTTGCGGTTGGTCGTTGCGAGGGATGGAGTATTGCAGATGCTGGAGTTGCTCCGGGGAGAGATTGGTGACGAACTGGGCAGCGCCAGCGTCGGTTGCGTCAGAGTCTGGATGGTGATTTGCGTAACTCATTTTGGAAACGAAGTCTATATAGAGACATCACCGTGCAGCATAATCCGGTCAATGGTAGTAAGAGATCGTCGTAAGTATTGGTTTGTTTGTTTTGTTTCCTGTTGTTTTGTTTGAGGTGAAGGGGAGGTGGGAAATGCGGACGATGAGAAAATCACAAGATGCCAGCATCGATATGAGGCACAGAGCGTGTCCAGACACATATGTATAGATAGAAGTACATCAGCATAGATGGCCGCCCCGTCTTACCACGCCATCCCTACAAACCCGCGTGCCCGCCTTAAGATCGATCCAACGCCGTGTCCACACCCTCTCCTCTGCGCAGAGGGTGTTCTCCACACCCTCGGCGGCATTCATGGATTTCCCAGCCCAGGTTATCCGGGCGCTCTACTAATCGGGGCTGAGATCTCGTCCACCACCCTGGTCTGACAGGCGATGCACCCCTGCAAACCCGTCGATGCGGGACTCCTGGACTCGATCACCTTAACTTCCGGGGCCTGTATACAGTTTCAGAAGGGAACGTTTTTGTCTGTTGGGGAATTCGTCTAGATTAGGTTCGATAATTATCTTCACGTATTCGGGCGTTGGTTTTGGTAGCAAGGAAAAGGGGAATGGGGTGGGCGTGCAATCGTCTGTAGAGCCGTTTGGCTGCAAGACACGGCATCGTTCGGGTTTGCCGGTCGCAGTCGCATGAACTTGGACTACACCATCCGGTCGTTGACGTGAACAATCTGGTAAGCAGCCCTTTTGATCACAGTACCGGTGTGGCGCTGCCAAAAGTGGACATTGTTTTCTCTCGGCCAGCGCCGTTCGCTGAGTACCCACAGCATAAGTCACCGCGGGTCATAATGGTAAGCTGCCTTATACAGCATGGATACAATTCATTCTGTTGGCTGACCATCACCACCAGGACCCTACGATCCCCCAAATCCCTACCCTCCTCATCCCACTCCTCCCCTCTCCCACGATATTCCTTCTAGATACAGTACAGATCATCCAGTCCGTACTACCTCACCCATACATAATCCATTTCCCATCCCACATATCTCAATAGAGCTATCTGCCCCTCAATCTGTATTCCTGCACCGCGAGCGTGGGATGCCCCTCCATCCCTCCCTCTCTCCCACAGACACAGCAACAGCACAGTACTCCGTACACATCGCACAATGTCCGCCAGCGCATCCCAAATCCTGATCTCATGACCGTCCATCTGTCGCCTGCCCGCCAAATCCAGCATGGCAAGTATCCATCCGCAACGTATATTTAGTCCCAGCGCGTACGCACTCCCCATCGAACCACAACCAAAACTTCCCCCCACCATCGCAGCCAGCGCTTCCAATAGCTACGGACGCAACGGCAAGGCGAGGTAGAGGTTCGGTCCGTTTGTCATCCGTCTGTGTGCGGCGCGCGCGCGGGCGGCAAGATGAGGCTCAGCGGTCGTTCCGTCGTGGAAACGCTACAAGATGCGATCTACAATACATGTTTACCTAGGTAACTGTTTACATAGCCCATCCGTGGAGTTCACGCCAGGGTCGTGTAGCCAATAGAGATTCGAAGCGCTCGCTAAAACGGGCGTGGGCAGCTGTGCCTGTCTATCTTTAAGCCCCAACTGTGCCACACCCGCAGCTAAGAGTAGGTTGCTGTGCTGTGCCGCGACGTTGCATTATTGATAACTACAGATCGATAGGATGTTCGTGTACTTTTGAGATGGAAGTGCAGGGGTGAGGCACGGGAGTGGCGCTTAGGGTGTTCGGTAATTGTTGACGTACTTCCTGGCACAGGAGGTGGAAACGATAGAGAATGAGTAGAGTGGGATGGAGGATGATGATCTTGTAGTTCTCTAGTCGTAATCGCGTGGACAATACATAAAGAGTAGGTGATGTGGATGTATTTCCTGTTTGGGCAGTTCGCATAGGTGGGAATGCGGGGCGGATGTTAATGCATAAAGGTCGATATTGTACGTCAGAGTCCGGAGTCACCGTGTGTATGTCGATCTTGGTGAACAGAGATAGAAAGGTAGTATCAGCAGTGTCGTAGCGGTGAGGTATCGTGCTTTTCGAGGCCAAGATAGCATCGTGTAAGTTTATCTTGTCTTACCCAAGATGGTGTCGTGACGCTCTTCGCATGTAAAGACAAGATGATAATGACGGGCTGCAACTAACTCGACTAGCTGAACGGAAGAGGCTCGTATGAATATTAACATGGAAGATCATTCATGCATGTTGTTTCGGTATAGCGTTGACCGGAATATTGACACCATTTGTCCATATCGAAGTTCTATAGGGTCAAAGACATAGAAAACCACCTACCCCCATATTTAGCTGAATATGGCTGCCTCAAGCTGAATATCACAGGGTTGTCCCAAAATACATTGTATCAGGCAATATGAAAGGTTTCGCATGCTTCTCTGTCATTGAGTAATGTGAAGCACCACACAGCTTCTTTTAATGCTATCAACTTGGTGGTCCGTATGTTGATCTATCATTCCCAATGACGGACCAAAACTCCTCTACAAATGTTTCTTGACCACTTACGGCAGGCCGCACAGCCAGGTATCTCCGGTTATCAATCGGTGGTCTCCAATTGCCAGGATGGCCATCAACCATCAGACCTCCCGCCTCAGCTAGAATGCACCACGCGGCGGCAACATCCCAAGCCCAACATCCACATTCCCAAAATGCTTCTTGTTGCCCAGCTGCAACTCTGCATATCGTGATAGCTGCCGAACCCGTACATCGCAGAGAGTTCACGAATCGTCCCCCAGTAGCCGCCGTGCGCGACAACGTAGTAAAGACCTTCAGGTTCAACTCGAAGTTGGGTCCCTCTCTGTCGCTGCCCCATTCAATGCCAATACAAGCTGGTCCGAGACCTTGTAGTGGTGTATTGTTGAGCGGCAACTGCTGTCTCGGATGGTTTGCCCGTTGTGTGAAGGCACCTTCGCCCTGCACTGCGCTCCATAGCTCTTCTTGAAACGGATTGTATACCACGCCGACGACAGGTCGACGATTGATTACTAGACCGATCGAGATGCATGATGCAGGGAAGCCATGTACGAAATTCGAGGTCCCGTCGATGGGATCTACGATGAAGGTTGGCTGGTCCGTGATCCTGACACCAGACTTGTACGACTCTTCGCCGACGAATGCGAATGTTGGGTACTTTCGTGATAGAGCTTCTTGTACGAACTTCTCGACTGCTTGGTCTGTCTCGGTTACAATATCTGCAGCTACATGTCCGTTAGAAGAGGGACGTCACGAGCATTGAAGATGTGCATACTGTTCTTCTTGGAGGTCGCCGTGTTCGTGGTCGGCCTGGCATCTAGGATTATATCTGCTGCCTCCTTTACCAGACCAATAAGGAAGTCAGAGACATCTCGAAGGCTAATCTCTTCGGCCATTGGAGGAACAGGTTCGAAGCGAGGGGGATGCGTGTACCAGGTACATGATTGAGGGAATCGAGAAGCTTTATGAGAACAAACAGATGCTGGACTTGGAAATCAGAGTAGAACCTACAATTTCTGAATCAAAGCGAGTTAAACTCCTGACTATGAGAGTTGCATTACTGACGAACATTAGTCATGTGTCGGAAAGAGACACAAGCCAAGTTGTCGGCGACGGTCGCTTCGAGCCATTGGCTCGTATCGATAGCCGATCGCGGACCGAACCTCTGACCTTCTCGACTGCACTCCACTCTTTCTTTCCCCAGACTTCAACCCCTCAATAAACAGGAACGGCTATGCAGGGAACAATAACGCTTGGATCGCGGATGCGTGAGACGCATGTTCCAGCCTATCGTGGGCGTGTACGTAGTGGGTGCTTGACATGCCGATCACGGAAAGTCAAATGCGACGAAGCGCGACCGAACTGTCACAATTGCACAAGGCTGGCCCGTGATTGTGTTTACAAGCCTCAGAGGTCCTTACGCCCAAATACGACTGTTCAGAGTCCTAGCACAAGCCCAGAGGATGCAGTTCAAGATGTACCAATAGTCGACCCAACATCTAATATCAGATCCAACGCAATTCCAAACCAAGGTTCCCCTCAAGAGGTTGAGGACTGCGTCCTTGCAGAAAAGTCGCGACTTCACAGTGCTCTGAAGGACGCTCTAGGACTGGTACAGGATTCGATACCTTCTCCCGACAGCTCATTCGACAACTATACATCTAATCTGGAAACCGTGCTACGGCATCACCAGGAGTATAATGTTGATTCGAACAATAGCGAAGATGACGTCGCCTCAACATCGACACTTATCTCGCGAGATATCAGGTTAACGACAACAATGGACAAGTTGACCGCGCGAGAAATGGGTCTACAGCCGTGGTTTTCTTTCTTTGTCGAAGAGGTTGATTGTTCATGCATCACACCCTTCGATGCATTAAATTGGCGGCGGATGAAGATTGACGTGATCAAAATTGCAACAACTAATGCCACCGTTGCGTCGGCCGTTTTAGCAATTTCCGCCTTGTACAAAGGATTGACATATCACCTGCCACTGTCGAAGGCAGCGTCATTTTGGGACATATCGAAACGGGCCTATGAAGATGCTCTGCAGCGTGAAGATCACGATTTCGATGCACATCTACCTGGACTCTTCCTCCTTTGTCTTTTCAGCTACATTGATCCAGATAGCGATCCAATCCTAAAGGCACCAAGCGAGGCTTTCACGGCAAGATTGATTACCTGGGCAGCAAGGCCATATCACCCACCGCTCTCGCTGAGACTTTCTGCATGGCTTCGACTACTCCAGGCTGCTATGATCCGCGGAGGAGGCATGGGTTTAGTATCAGATGACTTGTTGGGCTATTTTCCCAGCCATAGCGGGCCCATCCCAAGCCTTAAATCGCCTACTGATGGCGGGTCAGACGTAGCAACCCATCTATATGAGGTGTTGTTCGACCCCATCTTCGACTTTTACTTCCAGCTGCAGATGATCTCTGGCGAAATCGCCCGACTAACACATTACCACCGATCACGCGGCTCTGGCAAGGACCAAGACGAAGTCACGCAACAGATCATAAATATCCGATCGAAACTCCGCGATCTCTGGAGCCGTCGGTCGCCTACACAGCACCAAAGCCCCCAAGACCTCCGTTCGAACGTCTCAGCAAAGATCGCCAACCCTATCATCACGCTCGTGGGACTATGCGCCGCCGCGTACAATGCCGAGTTCGTGGAAATCGATCGCGTGTTAGGAGATCCCGTGTCCGAATCATCTGAATCCAAACAATGCATGCGGCAAATCCGGAATATCGTGGAGGGAGATTGGAACGTATATCACGATGGGAAGCTCAATCCAGGGTTGCTCCGACCTCTATTCCTCTACGCAATCGAGTGCAGGAATTGCGAGGAGAACCAATGGGCGGCGGATAGACTGGGCGAGATCAAGAACGCTGTATGTAGAAGTGACTTCTTCGCGGCGTTTGGTAAAGCTCTGTCGGATACTCAGATTCGGAAGGATAGGAGGGTCACATCGAAGTTCTTTTGTATTTGGTATTTTGGGACTGTGCCTCCCTTCATGTAGCGACTGAGCCTCCCTTCATGTAGCGACTGAGCCTCCCTTCATGTAGCGACTGAGCCTCCCTTCATGTAGCGACTGAGCCTCCCTTCATGTAGCGACTGAGC